TTCACCCCCATTCCGACACCCTATAAAACAAAACACCACGAATAACACTGCAATTTCAAACAACCACCACAAATTCAATTCTGAACAACTATACAATCGCTTTCGACAGTAGATACATTAGATATTTCTGAACCCGAATCATCAACAAGAGCTTCATTAGATACTTCCTTCATCCGCCGTACGTCCTCAATCCTTGCGAATTTCGCGTTTGGACTTATTTGCACCTTCTTTTTTTTTTCCGTGGCTTCATAAGCTCCAATCGCTGTTTCAAGCCCTCAATTTGTAATTCTGCGCTTACTAATAGATAATCCTTCTCATAAAACCCTTTTTTCATCTTTCTAAATAGCTGGCGTTGTGTAGTCATGTTAGTTTGTTGGAGTCGATTGAACTCCCTAAACTGGCGCTCTATATCTACGCTCTTCTTTGGCGTTGACCATACAATATTGCCCTCTAAAGGCGTCTGGAGCGTTTTCTGGACTTTCTGGGTTGTAATAAGAATGTATGGACCTTGGTGACGTGTGCGGTCGCTATTTTCAAGCAGAAGAGGGCTAGTAAGGGGCCTAGCGACATTTAGGGGCCATAGACCACTTGTACGCCAACCAGACTTGATATTTTGAGCCGTTAGGGCCCTCTGGTGTGCTCTGGCGTAACAGCGCATAAAATTTCGCTTGCAAATAGGTGCTGAATCAGTTAATAGGGTTAAAAACCCGACCTCCTTGCGATATGCCGTTTTCATAGCTGAGAACACCCCAACATCGAGGGGCTGAAGGACATGAGATGAGTGTGGGGGTAAAAATAATAAGTATATGTTGTTTTGATAGCAAAGAGACATAAAAGTATCAGTTGTGTGACTACCGTGACCATCCAAAATAAGTAAACGAGTGTCTGAAGGGTCCTGAGGAAGCGTAAGGGGTATAAAAACGTCTTCAAGCCATTTGATAGCTATCGTATCGTCTGTCCAGCCCTTGGGGGATGCCTTGAAGCGCTATTCCTTGAAGTCCTGAAGATTTTTATCAGGGAACCACTGCTCTTGGACGTCCTTGCCCTTGAAAATAACCAGGGGGGGTAAGGTATTGCCAAGGGCATCCACACATTCCAAAATTGACGTCCACGCCCTCGAACCAGGCTGTTTCTGGTATATTGCGCGTAAGGTAGCGCTCCCGAAAACTAGCCCAGAGCCCCCTCGACCCTCCATAAGGCCATGCTCATCCATATTATACCTGCATTGCGGCTTAATCGCTTGAATTGCAGGAATACGTAATTTTGAAGCAAACCAGGCTTGGATTACCTCGGTAGACGCGCCATTGATACGCTGAGAGTCAATACGGCGTTGCTTTTTAGTCTTTAGTGCTGGGTGACGCTTTAGAAAGGCTTCCAGCCAATTCTTGCCGAGTGGTTGGTGGTCACCTTTGAGGGCTAGGACGCGCTGCGCGAGCTCCTTGATTTGCGCGTGCGTTGGGGCTAGTCCAAGGGCTTCCTGGACCAAAACCCAGTCTGCTAAGTGTTTTTCTTGCACTTGAGGGCGTTTGTCAGTTATTGCGCTACGCGGTCCAGTGACTCGGCGTCGTCTGCCGTTCTCGCTGTCCCTCTTATTGGTTGTATGTTCCGTTAGACCCTGCAAAATGGGGGTGCATGCAAAAAGGTGGTCAATGCGGTTAGTTGTTTTAGTTATTCAGCTTATCTTTACGTTCGAGATCCTATTATCACGATACGAGTATCAGAGGCACATCCGACCAACTCGCCCACCAGACGTGTAAGAGCTTCACTCTTATAACCAGTACCACGATCTTCGTCTGATAAGACCAACAGATGGGATCTGTTGGTACTGGAGCCGTCTGTTCAGTGTGTTAGGTGGTAGGTATATCCTACTGACCGCCTGACCCCGTTTCATTATACGTCTGGTGCGCGAGTTGGTCGGATGTGCCTCTGATACTCGTATCGTGATAATAGGATCTCGAACGTAAAGATAAGCTGAATAACTAAAATAACTAAATAACTGACTGAAAAGCGAAGGTGAAGATATAGATAAGAAGGAGATGATAATATGAAGATGAGGATGATGATGCGTGAAGATGGGGGACTCGTGTCCTACTCTGCCTCTGTGCCTCTTAAAGAAGAGAAAATAAACTTTCTCCTAGCCCCGTAACCTATTTCCCTGATGTCCGGCCTTACCCCGTTTGTCACGCCGTGCTAGGGGTTGCAATCCTTGCCACTACGCCACCGTACCAGATGTCTTCACCAAAAGAGACCAATACCAAAGTCCCTGACTTTGATATCTGCAACCACTTATCAATCTATTCAAACCAGTGTAGGTCAATCACGTGACAACCGTCACACCGTTACACTATCTGTTATAACGATCCTTAATAATAGGAGAAATACCACACTAGGCGAGATAAGCAAAAGTCTTCCCTCTGAAAAGAATTAATAAAGACGACTATACTAAGGCTGAAGGCTAAGTTATAACAACAGATTTCAGTCCTTTCGACACTTATTAAGGTTCTCGCAGCGTCAGTGGCTATAAGGATATCAAGATGGTCGAGATATGCGATCCCCTCTCGAATAACTACTTAGCTCGAAAGCAGGTCTTTGGAACAAGCATTGATACTTTTATAAGAACATATCTTATAACGTACCCCACGGTCCAATTGAACACTTTCGCGCATTTCCGTACAACCTAGGTTTTATCCCTTATTTTCCACCTTCTACAATGGCACGTAATTGGGAAGAAAGCGATATTCAATTAGCGCTTCAAGCGCTTCAAAATAACCCCCAACTAAGCGTACGATCCGTAGCACGGATCTATAATATCCCTCATACAACCTTACGTCACCGATATCGCGGCGGTACTTCACGACAGGATATACGATCACCAACGCAAAAGCTTACCTATTCCGAAGAAGACGCGATCGTACGCTACATATTCGACCTAGATTCACGATCATTTCCTCCTCGAATAAGTGGTGTTGAAGATATGACGAATCGACTACTCCACCAACGCGACGCAGGACGCGTCGGTATTAACTGGGCTTCGAGCTTCGTACGACGACAACCAGACCTCCGGACGCGTTTTAATCGAAGAATCGACTACCAGAGAGTCCTCTGCGAAGACCCCGACGCGTACCGCGCGTGGTTTTATCTCGTATGGAATACAATTAATAAGTATGGAATTCAAGAGGAGGATATCTATAATTTTGACGAGACTGGGTTTCTTATGGGTCAAATCTCATCCGAGATAGTTGTAACGACCTCTGATCGACGTGGAAGACCTAGAGCAGTACAGCAAGGGAATAGGGAATGGGTTACAGTTATCCAGGGCGTCGGATCGGACGGCTATACTATCCCTCCGTATATCATCTTTGCTGGTAAAACTCACCTATCTTCGTGGTACGAAAATAGCCTACTACCAAAGGATTGGGTTATCGCGGTTACGAAAAATGGCTGGACTACAAATGAAAGAGGCGAGGACTGGATTCAACATTTCTGTCAGGGTACGGCTAGGCCGAAGGCAATAGTACAGAGTGATGGGGAGTAACGGGCGTCCCTCCTACGTAGCACCGGGTGGTCACTGGCGGTCTCAGGTAGGGGTGCCCACGGTGATGCATTGATCTCTGCCCTCTCTATCTTCCTCCGTCTCGACTCCTTACTTATAGCCAGCCGAGTTTCTCTCTTGGATTCTGGATGTTTGCTTCCGTATGTCTGTGTTCCTCCGACTTCGGCCAATATCTTGGACAGCGGCTCCTTATCTGCAACCAAGCGATTCCCTATCCGCTGCAAACGGCTTCAACGGCTCTCATTCGCCACAAGCGGCTCTCTAGCCGCCACAAACGGCTTCCTACCTGGTGGAAGCCGGCCCGCCTCGGATGACACTTGTGGCTCTGACAACTCCTTCCCTATCCTACTTCGAGATGGTCCTTATATAGATAGCTAGGCCGCCGCTTGGACCCGGCATAACAGCAGGGTCGGCGATGCCAAGGATCTTGACTCTCGTCATCCCAAAGCTTCACATAGATTGTAATCATGATTCGGGAGTCTTTTGTCCGAAACACCCCTCCGGCGGCCCGCCGGTGTCCTGCGTTCAGTGTCCTGACACCCACTGGTGCCTATGGCATTCTGTTCTCTGACAGGAGTAGAGTGCTTTGGGTAACTGAAGTATTCAAGTAGGGTAATCGGGAATAGAGTCGTTAAGGCAGTTTGCCTCACCAATGGGTTAGATTGATGCTTAGATTGATCACTGAAGTAGAGACTGTCTATCTATGAAATGCCTGGGAGTCCTGTCCCTTATATATCCATCTCTCCTTCACTGATCTCGTTGGATCACTCTTATCCGTTGTGATCCTGCTGGGGCGGCTCACTGGCTCACCGAGTGATCCAGTGATCCGTCACGTGACCTCCTAGTCGGTCCATCCTTTCTCCGTTCCTAGCTTCTATCCTGGTTTCCGGTCCTTTCCTGCAGGTATCCTCCTAAGGCCTGGCAACGGGCCTATTCTGTGTTGGTTAGGAACGTGGTTCGTAACAGATAGTAGTCCGCGTTTTCGGTTAGCTAGAGTTGTACGAGGGACATTGTAGAGTTGGGCAGCGCGTCGGATGCTTAATTCGGGTTTCAATTGAAGCGCCTGACACGCTAGAATCATGTCGCTTTCTTTCCAATTCGATCCCATCTTGGTATGTGTAAAGATGTTAATTAAAAGGTTGTTCGTACTGTGCCAAGAAAAAGTGGCCAACTTGCTTGTGGGTACGTTAAGTATATTAACTAAGAAACTAGCGAATACTTTCTCTTCTCGACGCTCACTTCGGACATTGTCAACGTATTCCCTGTAGCCCGCATCTCATCCTCTCCTATGGAATAAGACTACTCAACTCCACATTGTTCATCAAAAGAGCCCTTCAAGTCCACGCAGTACATATCTGACATTCCAGAGTCTGCGCCGAATGTCCATAGGCCTTATTTGTCACGGTCTATGACCGGTATGTGGCCTCTGCGACGCCTTCGGCCAGAAAGACCCACAGAAGATTCTCAACAGCACTTGGACCCACAGAAATCTCCGAATAGCTTCACTTCTCGAAGTGTCAGGTTACGGCCTGGACCGAAGGCGATAGTACAGAGTGAAGGGGAGAAATAGGCGTGTCCCCCTGGTGGTCACCTGGTGGTCACTGGTGGTCACTTGGTGATGGCAGGTAGGGGTGTCCACAGTAGTTCATTGATCTCTGCCCTCTCTATCTTCCTCCGTCTCGACTCCTTACTTATAGCCAGCCGAGGTTCTCTCTTGGATTCTGGATGTTTGCTTCCGTATGTCTGTGTTCCTCCGACTTCGGCCAATATCTTGGATAGCGGCTCCTTATCTGCAACCAAGCGATTCCCTATCCGCTGCAAACGGCTTCAACGGCTTTCATTCGCCACAAGCGGCTCTCTAGCCACCACAAACGGCTTCCTTCCTGGTGGAAGCCGGCCCGCCTCGGATGACACTTGTGGCTCTGACGCGAAGATTCCTGAAATGACGAGACGGGAGGACAGAAGGATAAAAGGGAGAAGGGTTCACCACACTGAATGTATCTAATGTTTTTTCTCTTCATAGATGGATAGTACTCGTAGAGTAGGCTAGGCTAATTGCATCGACATTACCCTTGACCCTTACATTATTAAGGGTCAAATTCGAATGCCCTCAGGCCAAACATTAATGTCGGGCACCCTGCAGGTATTGCTTCTATCGAATATGTAAAGTAAACACATTAGCATCACTTCGAGATAAGCGCAGACTACTCGTGCTTGGGTCTCAAATGGAAGCTGGCTCCAAAGCCTGGGAAACGAATATAACCGGCGATAAGAGTGGCCACTAGGAGAGGCCTCCTCAGGGACGTCTTATGATTACAGTATGTCTCTATTAACCATAATTATAGCCGCACGGTTAAAGCAGAATGAGTTCATCTCTCGTGCTAGCCCCTTGAGGACCCCTCAAGCGTTAAGCCTCTAAAGGAGCCTTTCCTTGTATACACCGTTATTTGCACCTTAACGTTAATACCTTCTTAACTTCTTAACTTTACACGCGTTAACGTACCCCACGGTCCAATTGAACACTTCTTAAGACCTCGTACAATAAGACATAAGTTAATTCAACTATAACGTAAAAAAATAATTAAAACTACTCGGAACTATCTTCTTCAGATATCTCTTTACTATTCTGACAAGTACGCATATTATGACCGGGCTCTCCGCACGTCCTACAGCGTTGCTGAAGTATCTCTGGCCTCCTCGTACGACTACGACTCCAGCGCGATTTATTATCTAACTCTCCGTTAACTAGCTTCTGAGACTGTAAATATTCTCCAGCTTGTATACGAAGTGATCCTCCATACTGTAAACGTTTTTTTTCTCGTATAATGCCGCCGGCTAAGTGTCTCATTTGCCTTTCGAAGCGCGGCGTTCTCACCCTCTAAAAGAGCAAGCCGGTGCATAACCTGCGTCGTACCCTTCGCAAACTGGTCAAGTGCAGTAAGTGTAGCTGTCGGAGAGCTATTTTGATGCCGTATAACTCGGTTTTTCACGTATTCGGTCTGGGATTGTGCCTCAATTGGGTTATTTGGGGTCTTCGACTCCCAGATAATAGGAAGGCCAGACGAGGTACCCGGAGGTGTTGGAGTATGTAACTTCACATCTAACTGTGAAATCACATATTCCGGATCGTACGGTACGAGTCCTGCCCCTCGGAAACCTCCTTGGATATTTGATATCGTAAAAGTTGCCTGGAACGCTTTTAAGAACGCGGAGAGGAAGTCCTCCTTCGAGATATGGGTAATATGTGCCCGCATAAGATCCTCAATTTCTTTACCGTACGCTCTTTTCAGTGCACGAAAACAGCCGATATCGAGAGGTTGGAGCTTATGCGACGAATGAGCAGGCATACAGAGTGTGATAATAGAGTTCTCTTTACAGTAGAGCTCGAAAGCGGTCGAGTGGTGGCTGTCAGAGAACAGAATGCCATAGGCACCAGTGGGTGTCAGGACACTGAACGCAGGACACCGGCGGGCCGCCGGAGGGGTGTTTCGGACAAAAGACTCCCGAATCATGATTACAATCTATGTGAAGCTTTGGGATGACGAGAGTCAAGATCCTTGGCATCGCCGACCCTGCTGTTATGCCGGGTCCAAGCGGCGGCCTAGCTATCTATATAAGGACCATCTCGAAGTAGGATAGGGAAGGAGTTGTCAGAGCCACAAGTGTCATCCGAGGCGGGCCGGCTTCCACCAGGTAGGAAGCCGTTTGTGGCGAATGAGGAGCCGGGAAGCCGTTTGTGGCGGCTAGAGAGCCGCTTGTGGCGAATGAGAGCCGTTGAAGCCGTTTGCAACGGATAGGGAATCGCTTGGTTGCAGATAAGGAGCCGCTATCCAAGATATTGGCCGAAGTCGGAGGAACACAGACATACGGAAGCAAACATCCAGAATCCAAGAGAGAACCTCGGCTGGCTATAAGTAAGGAGTCGAGACGGAGGAAGATAGAGAGGACAGAGATCAATGCATCACCGTGGGCACCCCTACCTGAGACCGCCAGTGACCACCCGGTGCTACGTAGGAGGGACGCCCGTTACTCCCCATCACTCTGTACTATTGCCTTCGGCCTAGCCGTACCCTGACAACTCCATACGTCAAACCCCGATATTATTGCTTGAGGACTCCGCAGCAGGACTTACTTACTAGCACAAACCCTTACAGACTCTTTAGTGGTTTACGCAGCTAGACTATTAGAGGTTTCGTTACACTATCTCGACGCGATACTCGACAATCTAGTCATAAGCTTACGGAATCAGAAGAGTTAGCGGTCGTACAATACATACTTGACCTAGACTCGCGATCATTTCCTCCCCGGCTCCATGGTGTTGAAACTATGGCTAACCGACTGCTCCGTGACCGTGGCGCTGGATGCGTCGGCGTCAACTGGGCCTCGAACTTCGTACGACGACAACCAGACCTTCGGACGCGTTTTAATCGAAGAATCGACTACCAAAAAGCCTATTGCGAAGATCCTGACGCGTATCGCGCCTGGTTTACGCTCGTACGAAGTACAATTGCGAAATATGGTATCCAAGAGGCGGATATCTATAATTTCGACGAGATAGGGTTCGCGATGGGCTTAATCTTATCCGAGATGGTAGTTACAAGTGCCGAACGACGCGGAAGGCCTCGTACAGTCCAACAAGGCAATCGAGAATGGGCTACAGTAATCCAGGGTATTAATTCGTCCGGCTGGGCTATCCCGCCGTATATTATTGTCGCGGGTTAAAACCACCTCTTATCCTGGTACGAGAATAGCCTATTCCCGTCCGATTGGGTAATCGCTGTAACCAAAAACGGTTGGACAACAAATGAGCGAGGCGTAGACTGGATTCAGCACTTTGATCGCTATACGAAGGATCGTACGAAGGGTGTTTATCGTCTTCTTATCCTCGACGGGCATGAGAGCCACCACTCGACTGACTTCTGTGAAGGTCAACCCTCGCAGACTCACTACAACCAGGTGACTTGCAGCTGGAACACCTGCCATGGCAGTGCCAGATGGGAAGCCAATCATAACCCCTGCAGGAGCCCCGCCAAGCGTGGACGACTTAGTCGCGCTCCCTCAAACCTAAGTTTGTGATCTTCTTTCCTTCGCTCCTTAGAGTAGAATCTTGGTCGATAGCACCTAATCGAGGTCTCTACCAATGCGATGCAACCCAGGTCGTGACAACTTCGAGCTATATTGCAAAGAGCATACTATTATTACACTTAGTATGCCTGCTCACTCGTCACATAAGCTCCAGCCTCTCGATGTAGGCTGTTTTAGGGCTTTGAAAAGGTCATACGGCAAAGAAATTAAAGACCTAATACGGGCACATATAACCCATATCTCGAAGGAGGATTTCTTTTCGGCATTCTATAGGGCGTATCGTACGACTATAACTAAGTCGAATATCCAGGCAGGTTTCAGGGGGACAGGACTTATTCCGTACTACCCGTGATATGTGATTTCACAGCTGGATATTAAGCTACATACGCCTACACCTCCTGGGAGCTCATCTGGCGCCCCCTTAATCTGGGAATCAAAGACTGAAAATAACCCAACCGAGACTCAATCCCAGTCTGAATACGTTAAAAACAGAATCGTACAGCATCAGAATAGCTCCCCGACGACAATAATTACGGCTATTGACCAATTTTCACGTGGTGCGACGGCTGTTATGCATCGGTTAGTTTTACTTGAGGATGAGGTTACTACACTTCGGAAGGCCAATCAAGAGCTAAGCCGTCGTCGAAGGACTAAAAATCGACAGCTACAAGATGGAGAATCTCTTAATTTACGAGACGCTCAGGACTTACAGTCTCAACGGGATATTGAACAGCAGCTACAGGATGATATACGTGTAAGTCGTCGTCGTACGAGACCGGCCGAACCACGCCGACGGCGCTGTAGGGTCTGCGGAGAGCCCGGACATAATGCTCGTACTTGTGAGAATGATAAAGATACGTAGGAGGAAGAGGATTATGATTAGTTTGAATTATTATTTTTTAGTTTAGTTAAGTTATTGAAGTTATTCATACGGTGCCAAGAAAAAGTGGCCAACTTGCTTGTGGGGTACGTTAGTCCCCTCATGATCATGATCACCAATACAACCCTCTTGCCTGTATTGCTAGCAATACAATCAACGGCCCATCCCTAAAACCCAGTTTATTGTGATGATGAGGATGCATCGCATATATCGGTTAGACTAGGCAGGCCAGTCTTTGTTGGGGCACACAGAGAGATAGAAGTGTGATGTATTTAGGTAAGCTAGGCTAGTGCTGGGGGGCTGGAACCAAGTAGTAGTGGTGGATACGCACGAACCACTCTGACAGCCTTACAAACGAGCACGTTTGCCTTGGTTGTTGACGAACGGAATTCAAAGCTCGAAAGTTCTCGTGCAAGACCCTTAGGTGCACGGCGAAGACAAGCTACACAATCCGTCAGGCCGGAGTCACTTGGCTCGGGAAACCGATACAGCCCCCTGCCAGCTGAGCGGAGCCTCCAGACCGTAATTGGAAACTAGCGCACCGTACGGTATCAATGGCTTGATAAGATACCGTAATGACGGATCCAGCCCCCAAGAACTCGTGTTTCTTCAGATTTTGGCGTTTATCACACCAGGTGGTGGTTTCAACTCGATTTCTGTCCGTTGACTGGCTGACTCCTTATCTACACTCTATTTTGTGCGCCAGGCAGTCACAACTCAGCAATATTGCAGTCATGGGCGGAGTCCCTTCCAAGCCAGGAGATCCGTCTCGTCCCCTCGAGGTGATCGGCGCAGGGTACTCAAGGACAGGCACCTTGTCCGTCCAGCTCGCGCTAGAGAAGCTCCTCGATGGCCCCGTGATGCACGGCGGGACTCATATTTTGTCTCGAGAAGACGGTGTGTATTCAAGCCCCCATGGGAAATCCCATTCTCCTCCAAACCCAGTCCACTTATTTGGTCTCAGCTTTCCCCCGCAAATGGATGCAAGCCTACAACGCACGCCGCGCTGGCGACAAGGAGCTCACGTTAAAGCTTCTCCGCGAATTGACAGCGGGCTATGTTGGCATTACAGACCTACCAGGAATTGGATTTATCGGCGAACTGCAGGAGATCTACCCCGAGGCCAAGGTGCTGCTGGTGACACGCGACCCAGTCAAATGGTGGCGGAGCGTTGAACCTGTTGCCAGGAACTCCACCGTGTGGTGGTTGCCGTACGTTATATTTCCCGTACCTGGGTGGAGGTGGTTCCCGAGTTTGGTAGAAGAGTGGTCGATGTATGCACGGACGTTGCGCGGGCGTACGGATGAGAATACGGTGGCGGGTGGGCCGAGTGAGTATTTCAATTCCTTGCCTTTTCTTTTCTTCTCGTGCCGACTGGTGCGTTGTGCCTAACACGAGACTAAAGATTCAACAGCAGTCCTTGAGGCGCACAATAAGTTCGTCATGGATCTGGTGCCTAATAAGGACCGGTTATTGGTTATGGAGCTCAAGGAAGGCTGGGAGCCGCTGGCCCGGTTCCTCGGCAAGCCGGTACCTGAGGAGCCTTTTCCGAGGGCGAACGATGCTGATTCAGCTGAGCAGACGGCTAAGAAGGTGTTTGGCAAGGTGTTGAAGATATGGGTTGGTATGTTCACTGTTGCTGGAGTAGGTGTTTATGCTGGACGGCGGCTGTGGAAAAGTTGATAATTCTCGAATCGCCACATGTGGGGGTATGAAATCCATCAAACTGAATGTTTCTGTACTTGTTTTGGCCCGTTCTTGCGTTTTCGGACAGGGAGAAGGGATATTGAGACTAGTATCACACAAAGTCCTCACACTACAACACCCAATAGACAATGCGTTCCCTCGCGCTTTAGTGAGTGACCCGCAATCAGTATCCATCTCTCGCCATCCCATCATCATCAATTTGTGTGGATGATGGCTTCTTCCCATACTCCACATCAACCTCGGTTGTCTGAACAATGCCACCATGTGCCAGTATCTCCTCCTTACTAGCAGTAGGTGAATTTTCCCCAGTCGTTTGTCTCTTCATATCCTTCATCACGAAAGACGACATCCCGTACTGAAACTGGTGCCTTGATCCATTTGTGCGCAACTTCCTACTCCTGTCACCCGACATCCCCTCTCCACCAGGGCCGTATCTGGTGGCACCATATTGGTACTGACGGCCCGAAGGACCCTGCAGCGAGCCGAAGACGCCCGGGAACTACTGCGTGAATAATGGCCTCAGAGCAGGTCCTGAGGCCGCCATTATGGCTAGGTTGGTTTCGACGGCCGAGTAGGTGAACCGAATATTGTAGGTGAAGTCCTCTGGCGGGGGAAATAAAGATGTTCCAACCAACCATACCAGGCGTAGCGTACTAATTACGGTCACTCTGGATGTATTTTCTTAGTGTTGTGCCGACAAGGCGAGGGTTGTGTTGGCAACTTACACAGCTCCCAGAAGGAACACGCTCATCAACGCAAACTTGAGTCTACTAGCCATCCTCAAGCCAAGGAAAATTCAAAACGGCAACGCGAGGACCAGTAGATCAGTGAGGATGGTAAGCGCCGCAGTGGATACATAGAAAGCGCCCGTGTCGACGCAGGTTCCTTTCAGTGTGGAGTCCGTGACTCGCTCCCAAAAATAGGGGATGGGTTTGCACTGGAATATGACAGTGATGAATATCCCAACAGCCAGTCCCGAATTGAAAATGTTCAGAACATGGATGGAGTACCGTATGGACCGCCGATGACCACCAATCCGGAGTATGAAGAGCAGGACAGAGCCCTTTACTAGGGCTAGGATCGGGTTGTAGAGGATCTGGATGACGTAGTTCCACATCATGCCATCGCTTAGATTGGCTGCTCTTGGGATATCGTAGACGTGGACACCGAGATATGCCGTCCGCATGCCTAATAAGTAGAATCGTAAGCGTTTCGCAATACCAGGGCTGGTTTTGAAAACACGCTCAAGCAAGGTCACGTACCCATATACGAATGATGCGTGCACCTAGGGGGGAGGATGCTATAATGCAGTAGCGCCCAACTTTTTAGTATCAAATTTAATGGGATTCACCTAACCAGTGGGTCCCCCTACCTTTTCGTATCAACGAAGCACCCGTCTCAGCGATCGAAAGCACCTACTCAGCAGTCAGACTCGACAGACTTGCATGAACTTCGGGTATCTTCCTTGCCATGGCGAGGGAGATAAGGATGTCATCTTTTTAAAGTCAGTCCGGATCAATCGAGAATTCTTGAGACAGCCGACATGTGTGTAAATCTGCACTGTAGGCTGAGCGACGTACCCCATCCAAATTGTTTGACCCTGAGCCTGCTATAGATCCTAAGAGTGACTGACTACTATGAAGGATAGGCATGGAAATAGGAACAGAATGAAGAACCCCGCCTGCTGGAGGGCCGAGTAGGGGTAAAGGCGCTCATCCGTGGGAGACTCATGCCTTTCGGAAACGTGTCGCGCGGCGATGGAATTCCCATGCGCCAAGAACTGAAGTCAAACCCTTCCATGATGTCTGCTTTCTCATCAATGGACTTTTAAAGTTCAGAATGACTTCGAGAAATATTGGTGAGTGCATACGGGTAGACAAGGGGGTTATAAGCCCGGCACATCATAAAGCCATGCTCCAAGCCTAGCATGCCAAGGCTGATCCCTCTAATGTTTTCATCGGGTTTTCTGTTAAGTAGGACCAACTCGTCCCAAAAGTATCTCCCCGCACGACAGGCACAGTCAAGTGAGTGTTTCTCGTTCTTGCACAACCTAGGGGAATGCAACCCCCAATACAGATATACCAAGCCGCGGACTACAACGTGGTGGTTCCATGTGTCTAGGCTATGTGAATGAGAAAGGGAGCCGAATTGCGCGGTCGTTATGATCCTGCCGAGTTGATGAACCACACTGAGGCCGCGTATTTAACTTTTGCGCATATTGATCATTGATCAATCATTGTTTCGATTTACGCTTCGTCCAGTATAAATTTACCCCTGTGATAGTCGAAGCCTTGGAGATACCTATGGCGTTTGCTGGTATAGATTGGCAGATGCCTTTACTCATGAAACTCCTAACGCTCATCTCGGCACTCTAGCCGGTAGGTTAAAGAACGTGGATGATGCACGACGAGGAACCTAGAAAATTTGCGTAACCGATTTATCCGGGGGCGATGGTGCTTCAGCTAGCCCACAAGCCGAAACAGTGCTTGGCCCGAGTCCAGACCATTAGTCATACGGGTCGGTATCAGTCCATCAGGACAGCCCGAATCTGAGATGTCAAATTTCGCGGTTTCTGCCGAGGATGTAAAGAATGATATCCTCATTAAGCGCATGCAGGTACTACGTAATATGCCCGACATCGGTGATATATGAAGAGCATACAATACAGTTTTGGGTTACCATGTACGTTCCGTCTCGTTCTCGTATGCGCCACAGCTTATCACATTCGTGCACCCACATCTCACCAATCATACTTAATGTCTGGGATGTTGTCGCGGCAGCTTTGTTGCTGCCGCTGCAGCATACTGTTTACGCACAGATAATAGTCGTGGGTAACACAGCAATTCGTAAGCTATACCATCCCCCACCACCCCACCGGTAACGTTAATTGAGCACAATACTGCAAAAACACTACATTTTTACTTACACATAATTCCGTACATATTGAAGCTATTTATACCGTAGTTATACCATTATGTAGCTATTATTATGGAGTTTAAGAATATTGCCACCTCTTGACTGTACGACCACTTCGTGTGACTACAGCGGCCGGCAAATCATCGCCGTAGCCTCTGATTCTGATGAATCAACCCCTTCATCCTCAACTTCCACAACTTTCCCATTATTGGCTTGTTCTTGACGGTTATTAGGGGGTATGGGCTCCCCTGCAGCTAGTGCTTCTGATACTGTTATAAAACGGCGATTCGGATTTGGCAGTGACTTGCGCTTTTTACCCCTTTTCAAGCGGTCTAGTTCCTCCTGTAATGCCGTAGCCTTAGTGCGTTCGGCTACCGACTCTGCCTCTAAGGCTTCAACCCCCTTGGCAACCTTCTGTAGCCTATAGCGGCTATGTGGGCTTGACTTTTTCGCAAAGTTGCGGATTTGACGGCTCGTACGGGGTGTAGAATCACTGTCAAATCCAGGGGCTTGTGGCAGCGGTGGAGTGCCCCTTTTATCAACATCTACCTGGATTTCTGGATGCCGCAGTGCCTTGGCCCTTGAAATTGGCCAATTTCCAGTAGTTATCCAGCCAGATTTAATGACCTTATCGGTTATAGCCATGCGTGCAGTACTATAACACCGGATAAAGTTGACTTTATCAACTGGCGCCGCATCCGTCATTCTATCCAATTTACTGACTTCTGCCCTATAGGCCGACTTCAATACGTTAAAGGGGCCATTTTCATTTGGCTGTAAGTCATGGGAAGTGTGTGCCGGTAAGTAACAACAGTATACATTGTACATAAAGCACGTAGTCATCCACTCATCCTATATAGCCCAGTTAGTACAGTTATACTGCAATAACTAGAAGACTTACAGAGGCGTGGGATCCATGGTCATCTAGTATAATTAGCCTAGCATCATAGGGGTCTGCTGGCTGCGTCTGAGGCAAGTATACGTCAATAAGCCACTGATGGCCTATATGGTTGTCTGTCCAGCCATTTGGTGACGTTATATAGCGCCAGTGGGGACAGATCTCTCGGAATTGGTCAATGAATCACTGTTTTTGGAGCTCTTTGCCCTTAAACACTATACCTGGCTCTAGAAGGCGGTCATCGGCTGTAGTGGCTTCAATAAAGGTAGTCCAACTACGGCCCTGTGAGCTCTTAATTATAGCCTTCTGTTGGGCGTCAGAACTCCCCAATACGAGCCCGTCAAGGCCTATAGTATAGTAATTAGCACAGATAATTGCCTAAGAGACTAATAGATAGTTACCAAAGCCAGCCATTATGCCTCCCTTATCGACATTAACTGTATTTTCTGGCTTAATCCAGCCGTATTCTCTCTCACGGATATCAAAGTACCAATGTACGGCTTTTGGTGTAAACGAGTTGAATCGAGCTGTCTCCTGCTTTCTACCCATCTTGGTACGAATTTCTGGATGTCTAGAGACAAATCGGTTGAGCCAATTCTTCCCTAATTCGTTGGTATCCCCCTGTTGAGCCAGAAGTGTAGAAACGCAAGCGCGTACGTGATTGTGCGTAGGGGCATATCCGGACAATGGCGTGAACCCGGCATGGCGGAACACGGTATTGCACGCCATCGCGGCGACGTTGTGGGATCCGACCTTGGAAGAGCCACAGATTAAGCAGACGAGTGATACGCTGACATTTGACTGGATGCAACGATGGAGTGACGTTTCCCCTGGAGCCGGGGCGTACATGTCTGAGGCGGATTATATTGAGTCTGATTTCACGCAAGCTTTCTTTGGGAGCAATTACCCGCAGCTGTATGAGTTGAAGCAGAAGTATGATCTGTTGGTTTTGTTCTATGCCCACACGGCTGTTGGGTCTGAGGATTGGGAGATGTCGGAGATGATTTTGAGGAATTTGCCGTCGCAGAATGATAACTTGTACAGAAAGTAATGGGCTTTATATAGATCTAAGAGTTGGGTATTATATAAAATATGAATAACTTAGTAATAGTGTAACCCCTTTGCTGCGGCCGAATGTCACTTAGCTCAGGGTTTGAGGGGAAAATTAAGACGGTCGCTAGGAGCTATAAAAAAGTGTAACGGGGTTCCCGCCAGGCAACTGCATTGTCAACTGTGACAAGCTGTGACACCCTTTCATCGAAATCGAACAGCTCAGGGCTAGTAACAATTTTCCGCCTCTGCCGGCTGTCCAATACGTCTATCCAGACCCTGAACCCAAGCAGCTCTTCATGGCCGCTAGGCTTCGCCAGAGTTCGTCCCACAGCACGGCGGCTTGGAGATGAGGAACAACCAACTTGTCTGTCACGGCGTCCTCCTCTATGGGGAAGGAGAAGCCGAACTCGATTTGTCGAATTCCATGGCCTACCGCACTTTGGTGCGCCCCAAGTAGTCTTAGGCTGTCTTAAAGCTCGTAAAGGTGAAGATGACGTTTCTGTAGATAGAGGCGCGGCATTCTAGGTACCGGGAGAACAGATTGGGCTCCGGTTCAAAGGCTGAGGGCTTCCTTACAGGGAATTATGCCGTTTCACTCGCATTTACTTACACGACAATGGCACGGGTAGGAAGGGGCTAGGTGTACCTCCTCCCTCCGCTGCGGCAGCAGCCGGTCTCCTGGCACTTCCAATGATAACGCCACCTCGAAGCCAACCGCCGCACCCAAGTGGGACTGTAACTCGGCATCTCCAGTTCCAATCTCTCAAGCTCAACCTGGCGGTCGTTGACGGAGGCGCGATGGTCCGTGATGCCCCGTTGTGTGTACCGAGACATCATCCAGGATCTAGATATGCTGTGAGACACTATCCAATTTCCAGGGTACTTTCTAGGCCATACCCCTCCCTGCTGTCGATAGACAAGTGAAGAGGAGACACCCTGCCTGGGAGTTTGTTGACTTGATACGTGAGATTTGGAGTAAATGTGTTTTGGGAGTGATTCGGCAGGTTCCACCGTGACGAATTTCGGTGACACCCTTATTGAAGCAGTGCGTCGTCTCTAGTGTTATTGTTTCTGCATGTACTAGGGCTACTGCGGGATCCGGGCCGCAGCCAACGCCAGAGGCTTCGGGGACCACCCACTAAGTGGCTCAAGTGATGTATTTTGACATTGGGGGGAATGTGTGTTTTTCATTCACCTCTGTCAAGCCTTTGTTGTGAAGAACAAGAGGGAGAAGGACATGTATTTCCAACTATGGAGTTAAGGCCATTAAAATGAGGCGCCACACCACCATAACCATCATCCCACCCACAGTTTGTAAATTCGAGCATATCAATAATGAATCTCGCCTGAGTAGGCTTGACAATGAAATAGTGAGAGAGAAAAATCGTTGCAAGTATTAATATTTCATTGTTTGTCTATTCCTATTGCCTTCGTACCCTTCTACGGGCAAACAGAGCTGGAACGATACACGAAAACTCTGTGACGCTCCCGGCACTGCTCTGCACATGTACAAAACTAACGATCCCTGTCACTGTTTGAAATGACGGAATGAATGCTTTCTTGCTTGGTTCACGAAGGGTACGACTTATGGTTCAATAGACCGAATCATTATGAGGCGATTATACAGGCTGTATAAGAGGCAACTCAACGAACCCTAATAAATGTTGAGGCCTTGAGGCCGATTGCGAAGGTTTGGCCCCATAACCGTGTTCTTGATAGTAACGAACTTTGCTGCAATGAAGGAAGAACCGAACGACCAACACCAACACCAAACTTCTATCGTAGAATGTAAACCTCGTCCATCATCTTGCGTAATAATTCCGTTTACTCGCTTGCCATAATCACACATGTAACGAGCCTTCTTCCCTTCCTTCCCTTCCCTTTTCTGTCTCGCAGAAGCTGGGGACATCGATCGTTCGCACAAATGTTATGATACAGTGACCAAAAAAAGAGAACATGCTGACTCTTTCTCCCACAATAACTCCTAGCCTCATATCGATGGCCACCGACGCCCTGAATTTCACCTCGTTTTAGCATTTTAATATTTCCACCCCATGGACCGACTGTATGCAAATATCGAACAATATGTTGCTTGCTTCCTTGCGGCCGACCACCTTAAGTTGCTCCTACGCCACCGTCTTGCCGCCGCAATCCGGAATCTTGACTCCCTCCTTTAGCTTACGGTTGACGTCCATCAACCCCCAGTGATCCTCCCACTCCTTGCCAGGCTCATCGAATGAGATCTTCCACGGCTCGTCAAACATCTCAAACCAGAAATAATTCGTGCCATTAGTGAGCGCTGCGCACACCCAATCTTCCATGAATTGGTTCAGCTCGTCGATGCCGGCGACCGAGGCGTCGGGGCAGACGGTCACGGTCTCGGATCCGCAGTCGGTACCGCCCTGGGTCGGCCATCCCGTCTCCGAGATGATATTTTTCGACTTGTCCTCTTTGAAGTACGCGCCGTTGTTGTTCTCCCAGAACGAGTAAGTCCACGACGCGGCGTCCTTGGCGTTGATGCCGCCGAAGAAGGGGTGGATGTTGGCCATGACGTAGTCGGAGACATCCGCGAGCTCTGAGGTCCACTTATCGCCCAAGTCGCTGGTAGCAACGGGAAGACTCAGTTGCCGCTCGGTCAAGTTGCTTCTCACATCGGAAAGTAATTTTCCAAGTTGGCTAGTGTCCATTTGCTCGCGGAACAAAATCTCGTTGGCTACAATCAGTCCTGCGAAGGGCTCATCACCGTAGCCGTCGAGAATATCCCACATCTGTGTCAATTGGCGATCGTTGGTCGTGTCGTTGCCGTCTTGCCACTGTAACAAGGAGAGTTAGTATTTACCACTAACCAGCGAGGATAGCGGATTCTAAGTCGCGTCTCAACAGCAAAAAACACCCAAGACAGCTCTGTTGGGCATTTTTACTCTCGACACAGACCAGAAAGGGGAAAAGATAACTCTCGAGAATACATACGACGCCCATCCAGATCTTGATGTGCGAGTCCATCTTCAGTTGCCGCAGCGCATGTATCGTCATCTGGGTCTGATTGCAGTCAGTGCCGTACAATCGGATGACATTGGTCAGCTGGGAGAGAACAGCGACGTCGCGGGTGATGTTGTTTTGGGAGGCCGGGTTCGACAAGCAGTCGGGATATTGTGTGTTAAGAGGTGTGTAATCAACACCCGGGAACACCTTGTGGAGATTCTTGTTGTTGAGGAGGGCCTGGATCTCAGAAGAGTTGATATCAAGGTCGCCGTTTTCGTTGGTGTCTTCGTCTGCCGATTGTCCTCCACCGCTACTGCTGCCGGATTTGTTCTTATTGAAGACTACACCACCCAGAATACCACCAACCACGCCGCCTATGACGAGGATGGCGACAACGGCGACGATCAACCACTTCCACTTCTTCTGGCTTCCCGTTTGCTTCTTGATCCATTCTGACTGCTCCTTAGCTCCGAGATCTGCAAGATCGTATTCGCTAGCACCGCCGGCTTGGTAGCCTGTGCTGTTCTGCACTGGACCATATTCGTTCCGGTTCCTGCCACCGAGTCCCCCGATCACGCCGCCGGCTGCCGCTCCACCCGCCACAGCAGCCGCAGCGTTACCGCTTTTGCCACTACGGTCACTTGCGTTTCCCAGACTCAACATACTATTTCGAGCCGGACGCCGGTACTCAAGACCGTCATCCCCGTCATCCATAATGTCATTGGGATCGACCTGACCTACGCGTGGATCCAAGCGTTGGGCATAGAGCGAGTGTGGGTCTTCGAAAGGGTCACTAGCGTAGCTGTGTCGACTTCTAGTCGGTGTGCCACGTTCCGATGGGAAGGCGGCTGCCCCTAACGGCGCCAAGCTTGGCGAAGAATCGTGGTAGTGCTGTGCCCCATAAGCATAAGGGTCCGACCGCAGAGCAGGCGACTGGTCATAGTAACCGTTGTCGTAAGCATGTGGTTGTTGAGCATAATGGGATTGTTGAGGATCGTAGGACTCGCCGTAATCTTGGTTCACATAATGCGGCCCATCCCTCATGGCGTCCATGCCGGATTCGCGAGCGTTGCGCTCCGCTATACTCGAAGCGATGCCTGCCAATCCGCCCGCTGCTCCTTCTCCGAAATTGTCGACGCCGGGAGTGATGGCGCTTGGCGGAGCTGGTGCGTAGCCGCGTTCTTGGCTCCAACCTGATCTTCCACTGTGCCCGCGATGTGGGGCGGCGGGTGGCGGTGCGCTTTGTGATGCGTCTGCTCCAGTACCGGACCCTGCTGCCTCGTAGCCGCGACTGCGCCGTCGTTCCTCCCTCAATCGAGCAAAAGTAGACTCGGGATGTGCACCTGGATGATTTCCTCCACGGACGGGAGACGTGTGACGGGAATCTTGATAGCTCGAAGAAGCTTGGTTCTCGTATTCGAGTGACGGATGCGGCGGTGGTTGCTGTTGGGGGGAGGAAGAATGCTGGAGATATAGGTTTCGGGAAGGCGAGTGGTGCAATGTGTCGTTTGGTTCGTCCAGAGGCACGCGCTCGTCGGGGTTTGAATCAAACGAGTAGCGGCGATCCATGTTTATGGTTATTCTTGCCCCTCGGGGGAGTGGGTCGAAAGGGAGGTCTGACCCTTGGTAGGGCTTAATTGAGGAGATATGGGGTCTAGTGGGCTGATGGGATATTGGGAGTGGACTGTATAATGCCGAGGTGGATGAATTGAGGAGGTCGAATTGTGCCAATTTCGCTTTCTCGTGTGCCTCCCCAACCAAGCTGCCCTGATGCTTGATATCGCAGCGCGTATCGAGCGGGTGATGCAGACTGTCGTGGGCGAACGGATGCCGGGGAATGGAACGGGGATGAAGCCGGGATGTTGAGACACCTCGTCTGAATTGCAATCAAGCCCGCAAACGAGAGGGACGGACAGAACTGCTGTCGGCCGAGTCAGACACCTATATCTTGCCAATGCTGCCTCCCTCCTTCCTTGATAATATGATGCTTTGAATCGCGGCGGGCGTTGATGCAAGAGGCTTCTCGATTTGGCAGAAAGTTTTCGGCGCAGCGACGGTGACTGCAAGAGCTGCGTTTGCGGTTGAACGTTGCGGGCGGTTGGGATGCGACTCGAACCTTGCCTCAATTAGGTACGGTACCTGGGTCTGTACCGCAAGAATGGAACGGCGCACAAGCTTGCAATACTACGGACGAACGCAACAGAGAAAGCCCTTTTGGAAAGTGTCTGGGTTTACGAGCGGATTGATCCCCTCAAAGGAAATCTTCACAGAGAAAATAGGAATCGCAGACAGCTTTGTGTTGGGTGAGGCGGCGCCTTGCTCGTATTATTTTTGTTCACCTGCAGCTCTGGATCCTCTTCCAGGTTGTGTTGCCCAGATGTGGTGTGGTTGCTGCAGCGCTGACGGTGGGATCGGGGCCATCTATTTCCAGGCTTTTTGCCCTGTGTCCACTACTTACCCAGCAACCAACCCACCCTTCGTGCTCGGTGTCGATCGTTCCAAGACGTCGGTCGGGCAGCTGGATCAAATGACAGCAAATGGCTTTCATACGGAAGTTGGACAAAATGACTGGAATCCGGCGTCAAAGCTGTTCGAAAGAGGCGCACTCAATCAATTTGTTGTTCCGCGCGAGGCATTGTAGCCCGACAGGGCAAGGACGCGGCCTCCGAGACCACGCGCATTTCTCTTTCACCTTGGTGGCACAAGCACCACGAAGTACTGTATGAGCATGATAGCACACTACACATGGAGAAATTTGGAGTTCTCGGATCAGCGACGAAGTGTCACCAGGAGGCCGTTAGTTCCGAGTTTCCTTCTCAATATCTCATCATGATAGGCGGAAGACGAAGGAAACACCAAAAAGCCCCAGTTAATGCAGAAGCGATCGATAGACGCTGGTCCTCCTCATTGGACGACGGGGTTGGCCGTACAACCATTCAAACTCAAAGCGATCTTGAGCTGCGCCCTGCAGAGCCAGACCGCAACTGTGGGCTGGTCTGACCCGACAGTAATTGTGTGCCGTGTTCTTGCGAATGCTGCTCGTTTACCTTTACACCCCCCCATACAACACAGCCAAAGAAATGACATCATGGTGGATGTCCTTGTTTATTTCTGCAAGGAACACCCTTTTTGGTCGAAACCGGCTGTGATTTGCCCCAGAAGACCCCGCCGGTCCGTGTCGTTGGTGATGGGGCAGCCCGCCAGTAGCATCATTCTTAGATCGATTCTCCAGGTTGGACTGCCAGCCTAAGAGGCTTGGACCATATGATAACTCTAGAAGCCGACATAGTAGCCTCGCGAGCTGCCGCTGTGAAGGTGACGGCGCATTGGGAGACCCGCCGGGCGATGCGCCCAAGAAACCGGATTGACACAAACTTTGCTCAAACTACCCTGGCTCAATGGTTTGGCTCCGCCACTCTCTGCGACAAGGGACCATTCGGCTTTCCAAGAAAAGCAGCCACATGTGCCATTTGACACCTGCATGGCTAGCTTGGGGTCCACAATGCTTGCCGGAATCACCATTTGGCGGCAGCCAGACTAGTGCGAGGCTCTTCAATACGGATGCAAGGCTGTCGCGGTGGGGATGGACGACCTCTTGTGTCCCCGTTGCCGTATCTTGTTTCATAGCTGCCACTTGCCGCCATCGGCAAACCGCCGGCCGCATCTTGATCTTCTGCTTAGGCTCGCCTCTATCAGCAGATGATGGCTTTGATATATGGACCCCATTCCATCAGAACTCGCACACCTCTCCGTAGCAAAAGCTGTGATGAGGTATCACCACGCTTGCTTGGATGCCTGATGAGCGAATCACAGCCATCGAGGCCTTAATTCAATGTCAGAACATCTGCGATTGCGTTGTTTAAAGACTAGAAGCCCCCGGAATCCAGTACGTTGGTGCTTGCCTTTCCCGTCGTTCCGTCTTTCAAGCTGCAGCCCAGTCGCCTCGGGGGTCGCATTGGATCCCCTCATGATGTTAGATCTCTTGACTGGGTACCAACAGAAGCTGATGGCATAGGCAATCGTAGACTCTTCAGAAGAGTATTCGAATGCGGGAGCTCGTCGCATTCTAGACCTTTTTCTCTTCATCGTCAAGTAATCCGTAGTCATCAACTCGTCACCCCACCTTGTGATCACCTAGGTCACCAGCAAACACATAAAACACACCACAATCAGCAAAATGTCGGCCAATAATGTAGACTCCTTCGCCGCCTTCCGGCACCGAATTCCACCCCCGCCGCCCCCACGATGAGCCCCTTACCACCAAGGGCCACGCCCCAGGTGTCAAAGCCACCGCCGCCGACAAGGCGCCGAGTCCCACCTCCAAACGCTCCCCGCCGGCACCCACAAACCCAACACCGCAAGCGAGGTACCCGGCCAAGGCCTGAACCCTTCGCTGGGCGGCACAACCTCCGCTGCTGTGCACAACGACAACCAGTTCGGCAAGCCGTTGCAAGACATGGAGGGCCGCGAGCTAGGCGGCAGTCGAGACCATAAGAAGGAGAGATCAGAATTGGAAGAGGTCGGAGCTTCCACGGGCAAGAATCTCATCGGGGAGAAGGGTAGTGGTCTGCCTAAGCACGTTGGCAAAGGCTCGAAGGGAAAGGCAGACCCTGACTACCCCAGTGCCACGGACCAGGTGCCCGAGAGCGCTGAGACGGTGGCGGCTGAGAACTCTGGACCCAAGTGTCGGGTTTATGGCTGGTTTTCTGCGGGTAACAGTCAATAGATGAGGATACCCTGATCTGATGACAGGCAGTCATGGCGTGAAGATACCCCAGAGAGCGAGCCCGCATCTGGTAGCTAGTCCAAGAAGTATTCACGAGGCTTATGTAATTGCCGATACGATGGTCTGATGATGCTCACACATCATTTCTACTACTTTACATCGATGTACTGTTTATTGACTTGAAACTCACGGAGACCACCAGACGCTTGACACACTTCGCTCCTCCTGTACTCATTGCAACCGCGCCATGTCGCCGCCATAGTCGCAAACACCCGAGTACCGAGCACAGTTCCTCAATTGCTACCCATATGATTGTGCCTTCCGACGCAGCGCTCCAAGTCCGAGTAATATAAACGAAACGTCATATCAGAATTAACAATTTTTGACAACGAACCAATAATTATACAGCTTCATATCATACCGAACCAAGCGGGCTTCTGCGACATATCCCCATCTTGTACTACCAGTATTTATTGTGTATCACATCGGTCTTCACAGCTGCGTGGGTATGATATCGGTTATTCAGTGCCCTGCCATGTCATAAAAAGAAAGGAAACACTCGCTTTTTAAGTACTTTTGCTACAAACCTGGCTCTTTCCGTCTACCACATAATACCCCCATGCCTCCCTTCCCCCGACCCCTCATACCAAAATACATTCTATTATGATATTCGAATATTCGGGTTTCACCACTTTACCTCCATGACGTGGCGAAATGTCTTCAGATTCCGAACCACCAAGCGCCTACGGGTGGTCCCAAGTTCTCACTGCAAAGCGTCGGGCATTGACGACATCGGCGAGAGAACTCACCTGCTGAACTCAGACCAAACTTATGATGACAGGGACTTCCCATACGACCCCAAAGCCTCACCCACCGACGTCCCCCTCATCCAAGAAGCAGGCCAAGAACTCTTCCAAATCTACCGCATCTTCCACCACGTCACCCCTCAAATCCTGCGCACCTACCGCCTCCGGTCCATCCTCTGTTTCCTCCTGGCCCTCTCCATCGTCATAAGCCAAATTCTCTTCCAGGCGCTAGCCATCCCCTGGATCAACGCCAACTCTACCTCGTACATGGCGCTCTCGGCCGTAATCGGCGTCCCCGAAATCCTCGTCCACATCGTCGACTTGGTCTGGGTGCCCATCACCAACGACCTGGACGCATTCTTCCACGACAAGCTGCGCGAGTGGCCTGGTATCCATCGGAAGGAGAATAAGACGGTTAGAGATGCGCTGCGCAAGTGCGAGAATGTGGACGATATCATTCATCTTACAATCACGAAGATCTTTATTGTGATTTTCTCGCTGTGTCAGGCGTTTTGGCATAGATTGGGGGGTTGGACCGTGCTGGGGAGCTTGGGTGTGATTTTGGCGAATTGGGCGTGGCGGTGGTGTTTGGGCCAGTGTGCAGCGATACGGGATAATGTCGACAAGAGAGTGGAGAGGTATATTGCATTGTGAGTTTGCATAATGCTTCTCCCGAAGGTGCACGGCCAAGCAGACTGATATTCAGTAGCAACTACGGCACAGAGGAGAAGTACGAGAAAGCGTGGGAGGAATACTCCAAGTCCAAATTCGAGAGAGGGAGATCAGACTTCGCGCGGTCCTTTACATGGGAGTTGGTTCTCTTCTTGGCTATCTTCTTTTTGACACCGGAAGGGACACAGCTCGCCATATACGCAAAGATGCTGAAGGATGTGTACTCTTTGGACGACCACCTCGACAAGATCACCAAAAGCAGTGTGCCTTCATGGACCTTGATGAAAGCCTGTTACGAGTTCGACCTATCGAGGAAACTTGAGTATAAGGGTGACGAGGAAATGAACCGGAAAATGAGTCGAGAGTTGCCTTTTGCCTGGGACGAGGAAATGGGGGACAAGCGAGACTGGAAGAGGCATTTTATTTCCGGGGGGTCCCCTTAAGCTCGATATGAAGACGAAAAAGAGTCGCAAAGGGACAGGCAGACAGTAGAGCGAAGTCCAGTTTTACAATTACATTCCTGTATGGTGAGGTGGAGTTACTCACTAGGCACAAACAGAATCAGCGATGGAATATAATTCGTAACTCGAGTGTCTGTTGATCCAGTATCTTTTGGGCCTTCCATCGCATGGCGACGACGGGCAATGATTCCCGCAGGTTAAGGTGATGAGATGGAGACGGACAGCAGGATCCTCAATAAGATCAAGAGCCTTATCGCTCTGATCAGGTTAACATCTTGAACGGAATCGCCTCAACAGGTGAACAGCAGAATAAATTCCCAACCGTAACAGAAGTACCTCAACAGGTACGAACAATGGCCTCAACAAGCACGTAGCATCATGAACATCTTGAAACCCAAAGTACTCCTCTCTGTCTCTCTGGTTGTCCTTCCCGTTCTCTTCGTTGCTTTTCTCTACTGCTATTCTCTGCATCTCTTCTCATCAAGATTATGTCCTCAGACTTTCTCAGATCCTCCCAGAAACACTCATTGCGTGTTATCATCCGAAATACCCGTCCAAGACCCCTGTCCTTACATCAACGGTCATTATTGCGGGATCATCAATTTTAAAGCACACCAGTTATCTAAGAAGTTACCAGCACCAGCGAAAGTCGAGAATATTAATAAAGCAAATTGCTGTCACTACTCTCAGGTTGGAGGCATATTCACAGGTGTAGGATCTCTCCACAGTACCATACAAGTGGTGGTTTTAATACATGTGTACACGAACTAGCAAGTTACTGTCAAGCATGCAGATAGAAACATCGTGTGGGCCAGTGTGGCCTTAGGTATAGAGGGGTACAAGGCACCTGAGCACGAACTATTGTATTTAGGAACCTACCATGGGCCGACTGGGCAGTTGTTCTCCACGCAACTTAATAGTACTAAAACAGACATATGTATACCCCGAAAATAACCCTCAGCAATGTACATAGTCGTGTGTGGAGCAGAGTTGTGGGTGAGCCCGGTGCCGCACAGCCAGCCATGGATCTGTTTATATCTATACGGCTAAACCTACTATTGACATATATAGAAACAATCGTGCGGGGATCCTTTCTAAATACCAGTTTCGGCCTATATACCAATAAGCTTGCAATTATATTCAATTAATCACTCGTGAAAGATCTATCTGTAATAACGGTACTAATATCTACGAATGATTGTCTAAATCTTTCGGCATTGGTTGTGTTCCAGTGTTATAGGTAGGTATTATTGGAAAGATTGAACACAGTTACATTGTCTTTGGGTTAAACCGCAAGGGAGATTTTTCCCTTTGTCACACTTACGGCCGCACCTTTTTAGCTAAAGAAGCAGGATAGTAAGTTTTATGACGCAGAATAGTTGAGGTTGGAAAGCTTGTATTGAGAAAAGGGAAATAGGCCGCGAATGGCTTCGCGGCGGCTGCCTCGTCATAGAACTTGTCATATTTACATGTCCATTGGCCTCATCAGGAACTACCCCTTACGTATTATATCTTCCACGCAAGTCCACTTCAGACGTAGGCTCCCAGCAGCACAGATGAATGCATAAAGATAGAGAGAATAAGAGCGAATGCTGAAAGGTACTGGCCAAGATACGAGGACCGTTGCCGGCATTTTTCTTTGTGGGCAATAGTGGTGTTGGCACCACCGTTTGTACCGCCTGGCAGTATTGATGATAAAGCTCTTAACTGCTGTGCTGAATTACTACACTTGGGATCTGGAGATGAAGTACTAGGATACGCAAACGCCACTTGCGGCGCACATTAGAGTGGCAACAATCTGATTCTGTGCGGTGGTTACCGGATCGTGGAGCTTACTGGAGCAGCGGATCCAGTCACTTCGGATAATAGCATAACTGATAAGTACGTAGACATGGCCAAGTTAGTTATATTCCTGGTATGGCCATGTGGGTCGGTCGAATCCCGACTTCACGCAAGCGGTGCTATGAATAGAATGGACGTTCCATTTTTCGTAAAGAATAGCAGTTAGAAAGACAAATTTTACGTGCTGTAGGATTACCTGCTAAAAGCCAGGATGTCATTATGAAGATTTAACGGATATCTTTATTGGAGACGACCCAAGGGCCTATGGAGCATTGACTGAGAACCACTGCTTGAACCGGCCGATCATCTTCACTACCCATGGACGGACGCATGAGTATTAATTCAGCAGATACCGGACGGGAGACTCCGTTGGAATTATATACGGCGAGGATGCCTTACATCATGAAGAAGTAATAGTCGGGATGAATCTTTATTGGACATATTTAATGCTATGATCAGCTATTAGAGATTAAATTTTTATACAAAAGAGCAGAACCACTTAAGAAGGCTGAAAAATATGATGAATTAGAGCTTGCCTTATCCCACTAAAGATGTTTGTATCAGATATGTGGAAAAGACATCTGGAAGAAAACAGACGATACGGACGCCAAATGTACTCTGTCAAAGAATTTGTTTGGCATAGTGATATTGTCATCTCTATTTGCAAAGCTGGAATTCACCCCTGCTTGGTTAAATATTGGATATTTTTCCTGGGACAAGCACCTTGGTCCAAAGTGTTTCTAAAGCCAAAAATCCTTCCTTACTGTACCGCACTCCTGTCCAAATGGTCTTAGGCTAACATTCTGCTTGGGAGCCGCTCCCCTGGCCACTATCCTTATCCAAGCCTCGGAGCTGAAGTTTTTACGACCAAATTGCTTAAAAATAAGCGGCGCATCCACAAGGTATTACATATTGATGCCTGGTCTACTACAATAGAATATTAAGATATCCCAAATCATCCATCCTGGGCGCACCGTTTGTTCTGTTAAGTTCATGACAGGACAGGGCTGTGAGATCAAAGTCGGCCAACATACGTCTTGGAATTGCATTTGCATCCCTCATGAATACAAGCGCTGTTCCTGATCGAAGCCGAGACGCTCCAAAAGTCTCTCATTTAGCACTGCCGGGATCCTCATACACTTATACAGCTATTTAGCAATGCTTTGCGCATGTTCCAATGGCCAGCACGACGGATATATCAAAGCCTGGAACTCCCAAAACAAAGACTAGTTACTATTCTTTCTTCCAGGTTTAGTCTCTCAGCTACTAGATAGAATGAGGGAATCTAGTGGTTTGACTTTCAATGCTGTGTAGTACGAAAGCCCTGTATCAACTGTGAGCGGTGCTACCCTGAACTGAGACCACAATTCCTATCACGACCTGGGTTGCATCGCATTGGTAGAGACCTCGATTAGGTGCTATCGACCAAGATTCTACTCTGAGGAGCGAAGGAAAGAAGATGACAACTTAGGTTTGAGGGAGCGCGACTAAGTCGTCCACGCTTGGCGGGGCTCCTGCAGGGGTTATGATTGGCTTCCCATCTGGCACTGCCATGGCAGGTGTTCCAGCTGTAAGTCACCTGGTTGTAGTGAGTCTGCGAGGGTTGACCTTCACAATTCCCCTTGAATGACTTCACTCAGTCTGGACGTGTCCGCTGATTTGATACAGATAGGTATTCTGTTTCACGACACTACTACACCGCTAGAAGGCGTAGTAAAATCACAAATGTAGCTGGTCAAACACTTGAACAAATGAATGGCAGATCTAGCGACCTAGTTGAAACAATCAGGTTGTACCGGTTGTACCTGGTCTACCACCGTGGAATATCGAGCTATAGCACTTTCCTACATTATTCCACCGTTACGCTGTTTATGATGGAGACTTAATTGCCGGTCATTCCTACTGGTATCGTCCCTGTCAAACCGTTTACCCCTAGTATGTCACAAAGACATGTCATTCAATCGCACACCTGTGATCTCTGCAAAATTCTCTTGAACTACCATATGCTATTACTTGGGTGTCGTTTTCACCATGTTTGCCTTTCTTCGGGCCCACGCCATCATCCATGCGGTTGTTCATGGAAGCGCGCCTGTGCATGATTTCAACATACCGATAAAACTTCGCTGATGATGGCCAAGAGACAACATAGAAAGATAAGAAATTCCTCCCTCCCCAGCATTTGACGACCCGGTACTTGTACGTCCTTCCCATCTAACTCCGATAGAGCAATGCATCCGAGCATGTGTTTATGAAAATGAAGCTGGCTTGCAGAGATGTACAACCTACGCGAATCGAAAGAAAGATAAGGTAAGGAACAGAAAAAGCACAAGTCAAGAAAATGCCAAAAAGATTCGTTTGACGTCGTAAGAGTCCGAGTTCATGGTGACGCGCACTTGCATAGAGTGGGACAAGTGAAGCGTCAAATTGTACAGTTGAAGATGTATAGTGATTGACTGGAATCGAAATGGTAGTAGGATTGATTTGACCAAGGAGGAACCCCACATCCTGCGACGTCCTTCTTCGCATTGACATCCTTCGGCGCCTATGCAGGTCTCGATCTAGTTGTGGCCATCGGCGTCGGCGTCGTCGACCGTCCCGGGTGGGTGTGACTATGCGCATAGCCTGGGCGCCCCTTCTTCCCACTGTGTGCTAATGTTCCAACGTCGTGTTTGCCTGGGTAAAAGTTAGTTTATGATAACGAGAGCTCTGTACGAAGGGAGGGGGGGGACCTACCATCGCAACATGCGCGAACATTCTCCAGCCGGTCTGCCTCCCGATCCTGCTGCTCAATGATCTGCCTTACATCTTCGGCACTGTCATGCACTTCGCTCGCCTCATAGATAGTGTTGTCGCCATGGCCTGTCTGACTACGAGCCCGCAAGCTGTTGAAAATACCACTGCCTGTGGTGCTGGTACGACCAAAGAAAGAACCGCTCAATCTACTTAGAGTGTGAGGTCGCGCACTTGTCCTTTCATGCGTGGGCGTGAGAGTCGGAATGTTCAAATCAACGGTGGGGGACTCGTTACGGGTTGTCCGAGAGTTGTATGATGAAAGAGATGGCGGTCCGCGAGGAGTGTTGCTATGGGCTGAGCGTGGTCCATAGGATGGGTTGAACTCCTCAACGTCTTCCTGGGTGATGTTGCCGGCAATCTCTTCTGCGTCAGTGTGACCTTCGTGGCCGGTGCGAAGCAACAGGTACGAAAGGGCGTTGAACCAGGTCTCGTGTCGCTGACCCGTTGTGCAGGTGAATTTGATGGTTCGGCCAGGTGAGATGATGACCAGACTCTTGCGGTGCAGGCCAGGGGGCATGATGTTGTCATCTGTCACGACCCGGACGGCCTCGATTGGGACACTCTTTGCCTTCAGCTCGGTGCGGCCAGCATTGGAAGGGTCACGATCACTCCAGTACAGCGTTCGCGTGTATGGATGGACCCAGAAGTATCGCCTGTGCCTGTTCTCGGACATTTCGCCGCGGCCAGCCTTGCGTGTGTATTTCCACAGGTATTCGCCAATCATGGTCTGGGTGATTGCTTGAATCATCCGAGGATCAGTACCGGGACTGGTAAGACCCGCAGCTTCTCCATACATGTCGGTCCTAGTATTGAACCTCGTATCAATCTCCGACGCAAACGACGAAACGGACGATTGTCTGCTGCGGGCGGTCATTTTGGATGGAGAGTGCACCTCGCCATACCCATGTGAAGAATTTGTCCTCATCGCTCGAGGGGTTGGGGTGCCACGACCAGTTGGAGATAGCTGTGAGTGGCTGCCGGGTGTTCGAGGTCGTGCAGCGGAGTTCTTGTACGCGGATGCCGGCAGTAGCGGTGGGCCCATCGCGCTCTTCCCACTCGAGGAACCAGTACGTGCCGCCTCGATGGCTTCTCTGTGATTAACAGGTAACGGTGGCAACGCTGGAACCGAACCGCGGGCACTTGATGAACTGCCAGGTCGGCGGGCAGGCACTGGTTCCGGTGCCGAAACGGCACTACTGTCGCTCACCCTCGTCCTGGCCCGACCAACGCCACCCATGCTCTCGTTGGATTGCTTGTGTCTGATAGTCGTAGGGGTGTTTGCGTCGTCAAATGGAGTTGGAATAACTGCGCCACGAGGAGTGGTGAGTATGAAAGACTCCTGGGAGTTGCGACGCTGATTCTTCGACAGGAGACGATCAAGGCCATCTGAAGTAAGCGCAGTTTGTGCGCCCTGATCAGCAGTAGGCATGGGCTGCTTCCGTTGTCGAACATCCGTGTTGATGGATATTTCCTTGAAGGGGCGCTGGGACTCTGGGGTTTCTGGACCAGCCGCAGAGCTTGGTGATTGACGCGTCTCGTCCTCGGCAATGACAGGCGTAGCAACACCTTTGCCCTTCCGCCCAACGACCGCGATCGCAGATCCATTCGGAGTCTGTGGCTGCTTTGGTACCGAGTCGCGCGGGATCATGAATGCCTCCCGCTTGGGACTGCGCAGAGACTCTGAATCCTCAACGGGCTGTGTCTCAACAGCGTTCACTGAAGAGTACCCCAGGGACGGAGGTTGGACAGTCAAAGATGCCCTCAAAGCCTCGAGCTCTGCAGCATGACCAGCCAAAAGCTTCTCTTTCAAAGCCTCGAGCTCCAGAGCGTGACTCGCCAAGAGCTTCTCCTTCTCCGCCAAGCTCTCAGCTCGATGTGCTTCCAGGGCCTGTTCGTGCTCAGCCTTCGCGGATCCAACGGCCCGGGCCAATGCTGCTTCATTCTCGGCCCTCAGTGCATCCAATTGTTCGGCGTGACTTGATTTCAAAATGTCCAACGCTTCTTCTTGTCTTCTGGTGTGGGCATCCCTGAGAGAATCGATGTCCTTAGCATGGCCAGCGTTGAGGTTCTGGATGGTATCATCAAGCACCGTTCGATGTTCTGTGCGCAAGGAGTCGAGCATCAAATCATGTGTTGACTTTAGACCTTCCAAATCCTTTGTGCGTGAAGCTTCATGTTCGTCCCGTAGCGATTGAAGAGAAGTTGCGTGGTTGGCATGCAATGTCTCCAATTCTGCCGCCTTGGATGACTCGCTCTCGGTTCGCAGAGCTTCCAGCTTCAATGCGTGGCTTGCCGCAAGCTCCTCTAACAATTCGACAATCGCGGATTCGTGATCAGATTTCAACGAAGCGATATGCTGCGAGTGCTGGGCCGCCATTTCACCAAGCTCCCTTGCCTTGGAAGTAGCAGCATCCGCCTTGAGAGCCTCGATCTGGCTCTGGTGACTCGCAACAAGCTCGTCGATCTCCTTAGTCTTAGCAGCGGTGGCCTCGGTTTTGAGATTTTCGATCTGTTTCTCATGGCTGGATGTCAACTCTTGCAGATCCCTAGACTTGATGGCGGCATTCTCGGCTCTCAGCGCTCCCAGCTGGCTTTCGTGTTTGGCAATTAGGTCATCGATTTCTCTGGATCTGGAAATCGCGTGCTCTTCTGTCAGCATCTCGATGTGCTGTTCGTGACTAGCGGCAAGTTCGGCCAACTCCTTGGATCGCAGAGTAGCGTGTTCACTTCTAATGGCGTCAAGCTCGCTCACTTGCTTAGAGGCAAGTTCGTCAAGAGCCTTTGACTTCGCGGCGGTGGTCTCATCAACGAGCGCCTTGAGTCTATCGTCATGCTGAGCAATAAGCACATTGATCTCCTTGGTCTTCAAAGAAGAGTGCTCCGTCTTCAATGCCTCGATCTGCTTCTCGTGTGACAAGCTCAAAGCCTCCAGTTGCGATTGAAGCTTCTCCGAATCTCGCTTGTGGACCTCGACAATCTCGGCATGGGCTGAGTTGATAGCCTCAATCTGCTGCGTGTGTGCAGCGTTGCCTTCGGTCTTGGAGGACTCGATCTGCTTGTCAACTGCTGCCTTGAAAGTCTCCAGTTCCTGGGCATGGGCGGTGTCATGTTCGCTCCTCAAGGCTTGCAGTTCTTTGGCGTGCGCATCCTTGAGTGCTGCAAGTTCCTTTGATAATGTCGCCTCGCTATCGGAATGGGCAGATGCGAGCTGTTTTTCGTGCAACGCAACTAGAGCAGCAATTTCTGCCGCGTGAGCCGCATCGCTCTCTTGCTTCGAATCTTCCAATTGCTTTGCGTGTATGGCCTTCAAAGATTGAAGTTCATTTTCTAGCGTTGCCTCGCCTTCTGCCTTGGTGGACGCCAGTTGCTGGGCATGGGCGGACTTGAGAGCTTCAATTTCCTTAGAGAGCGTGGCTTCTGCTTCAGCCTTAGATGATGCCAATTGCTCGAGGTGAGTAGCTTCAAGAGCGTTGAGCTCCTTAGCCAACTTCGCGTCACCTTCCGCCCTGGTGGAATCCATTTGCTGAGCATGAGATATTTGGAGAGCTTGTATCTCCCGCTCTAATGTCGCAGCAGCTTCGGCGTTGGAAGACTCCAGTTGCTTGGCATGAGAGTCCTTGAGGGCTTCTAGCTCCCTGGTAAGGGTGGCATCGCCTTCAGCCTTTGACGACTCGAGCTGCTTCTCGTGGAGTGCGACAAGAGCAGCAAGCTCTGCAGCATGGGCCGCCTCACTCGCCTGCTTGAAATGTTCAACTTGCAGAGCATGGGCTGCCTTGAGTGCCTCCAGCTCTTGTTCATGTGTCCCAGCGAGGCTCTCCTTGACCGCGTCGATCTGGGCCAGATGAGTGGCTTTCATCGCCTCAAGCTCATCCGCGTGAGCTGCATCGCTATCCTGCTTGACGTGTTCGATTTGCTCCATATGGCTTGTCTTGAGCGATTCGAGATCATTGTCGTGGCTTTCGGTAAGTTTCCTTTTCGCGTCCTCGATCTGGGCAGCGTGCGCAGCCACTAGGGCAGCAAGCTCGGCGGCGTGCATTTCGTCACTTTCCTTCTTGGAAGCTGCCAGTTGCTCTTCGTGTCTCGTTTTCAGAGCTGCAATCTCAGAGGCATGGGCCGCTTGGCTATCCGATTCCATCTGCGCAATCTTCGCAGCATGCGTAGCTTGAAGGGCTTCTAACTCTTGTGCATGTGCAGCCTTAGCATCCGCTGCCAGTCTCAACGTCTCATCATTATGACCAGACTTGAGTGTTTCGAGCTCCCGGGCATGAGCTGACTTCACTTCATTGATAGATCGAGTCAAGTGCTCGACATGGCTACACTTCAGTTCTTCAAGCTCTTGGGTGTGTGCTGTCTTCACTTCGGCAATAGATCGACTCAAGTGGTCAGTGTGACCAGACGTAAGTGCCTCGAGCTCTTGAGCATGAGCTGCCTGGACATCTTCGATGGATCGATTCAAGTGCTGGGTGTGACTGCTCTCGAGTGCCTCCAGTGCAGCATCGCGTGCAGCCGCATTCTCGGCATGCAGCTGTTCGATTTGCTTCGCATGCTCTTCTTTCAAAGCCTCAAGCTCAGGAGTACGTGTGTCCAACTCTTCGATTGCTTCAACCTCATGAGCATGCATCGATGACAGGGCGAAGTTCGTCCTCGGAGGCGAAGTTGGAGGAGATGGGAACTTAGCCAAGTTTTCCTCGAAGTCATGGCCCTCGCTATATTCGGACATGCCGGACTGGCTGACGACCGTACCCATAGACATCGGTCGCTCAGCAGTCACGACGCTCATTGGCGAGCTGGGTCGTAACTCTGGCAGAGGCTCTGTCATCGTGCCAGTATCAACCATGACACGTCGAGGCAGTCGAGGAACTGCGGGTGGCGGAGACGCGGTCGTCTCTCTCCTGGAACCAGGTCTGGACCAGCGGATGCTTCTCTTACTAGGAGTTGCAGACAGGGTAGAATCATTATCGCTGTTGTCGAACTCGCCGAGCTCAGCCGCGAGGCTCTGCACAGGCACTTGAGGAGTGCCATCCCGACTCAGAACAAAGCTGGCCGGACTGCTCTGGAACGCGGCATCTTCGCTAGCTTGCCGCGATCTGCGCATGGCACCCCGACCAACCCGCAGGGGAAACTTGTGCTGGACATTGGTGAACTGCGACGACGGGGTCTTCATGTCATCGAATTCGTACTCGTCCTCGGTGGATGCGGTGCTGTGAAGCGAGCCACTGCGTTGCAAGCGTGTAGAGAAGCTTGGAGGTCGGCCTCTGAGCGTGTGTCGCTTGGAGGGGCTGTCGGTTTCTGTCTCGGCCCCCTCGCTAGAGAAATCCTCGGCACCGGTCTGGAAGTCGTCGGTATCATCGGCAGCAGTCTGGAAGTCTTCCGTTTCGGTTTCCCGTTCATTAGCGGTCTCGAAAGCTTGGTCACTGGTCTCGTTTGCCATCTCGAAGTTCTCGCTCTCAATACTTTCCATAACGGGTTCGAAGGTGCTCACGGACCCACGCTGGTGCAGTGCAGACTGATTGGGACTGCCATCGGGCTGATCCTCCCAGTTGGGATCGTCAATAATGATCTCGCTTCGGGAACTACGGTGACTTCCAAGCAGACGTGGTGGCTTCTTGAGGTCGCGGGATTCGGCCTTTCTGGCGCGTCTGCTGGGCGGCGGGGGTTCCTGTCTCGCCTTCTCCAGCTCGTCTCGGACATCCTGAAGCATGCGTCGCAACTCAAGCTTCTCCGTCTTCTCACGATGGAAGTTGGTTCTCAAGCTTTGAATCGTTCGCTGGGCGTGGCCGAGGGAGGTTTTAAGGGTCTCGGACTCGAGGAACGAGTGTCGAGGCGTACCCTTGATCGGAGAAGGCGGTGGTGAGTGTTCCGGGGTGATATCATCGTTCGCCGTTGCGAAGTCCTCGTCGCTCAAGCGCTGAGCCTCTTGTCGATCAGACATTCTGCCTCTCTGGGACGAAATTGCCTGCGCAAGCTCTTGGTTCTGACTTGCCAAGTCGTCAAGCTTCCGATGCATGAGTTGTCGCTCCGCCTCCGCGATCGCAATGTTGCGTTTGGCTGCGCCGAGCTCGGTATCGTGCTGCTTCACGGCCGTGGCGTATTCATCAGTTAGCCTGGCATGGCCGAGCTTAACCTCGTCCAGTTCTCGTTGTGCCGAGTTCTTCTCGGCCTGCAACACGTTGACCATTTGTTGCAACTTCTTCTCGCGGTCCGCCGATTCCCGCTGAGCTGCCGTGAGATCATGGACTTGCGTCTCCAGACTCCAGTTCTCATCCTTGTAGCGGCCTTCGCTTTCGTCCAGGGACTTCAGTCGTTGTTGGAAACCCTCAGCCTCATACTCTAGCTTGGACTTTTCGACCTTGATGTCTTTGAGTTCTTCCTCCTTCTCAGCTAGAACCGATTGCAACTGGCGAACTTGAGCGATCAGCTGTGTACTGATTTCGGCCGCGAATTCGATGTCGTGTACCCGGCTGGCAGGCTGGTTGCGGAGCTTTCGATTCGGTAGGCTAGACTTGAGCGGAGAACCTGTTGCTTGGGCTTCAAACTTCGAGGGACTGATGGACCGCTGCAGATTACGGGTTAGCTTTGAGCCCGGTAGCCATTGCAAGTATCATATCGGGGGAGGGGGGGTCTTCTTACCCTATTGCCTCTACCTTCTGGCACAAAGGGCGACCCGGCGGCGGCCTCGTTGCTGGGGATTCTTGGCTTGGGCAGGAACGCCTTCGCGCTCTCCCGCGCAACATCGTTGTAGTCCTTCTCCACGGCTGCCAGCTTTTGCCGTAAATCTTGAGAGAGCTCGCCCTCCTGTTCCATTTGTTCTACTTCTTCCAGTCGCTGCCTGAGCTCCTCCTCTTGCGCTACCAAAGCCTGACCCAGCTTGCCAGCCTCCGCCATTCTTCGTGTTGTCTCGGCGAGATGTGCTTCTAGTGCTCTTTTTGCTTGAGCTGGAGAGGCATTGGGGCCGAGCGCAAACACGTGGGCGTCGAAATTGGAGAATCTGTGTCTGGTAGAGTCAGGATGCGACACTATAAAAGGGTCGTTGCCTTCCATTGACACCGGCGACGAAAAGTCGTCGGGGGCCCGCAACGTGGCCATGGTCGGCGTGTGGCGTTCGCGTCGATGGGAAGGCGCTGCAGCACGGCACGAAGAGCGCTATTTCCCTTTGGATTGCAGGGGTGACATGCAGTCTCGTGTTTACCTGTAGCTGCGTGAAACAAGACAAATAAAAGTAGGCCCTCGGTCGCGGTGTGCTGTATTGTCCCAAAGGGGTAAGTTTTGTATGCAAACCCGAAGGAGAATGCGGCAAGTTCAGGCCGGAGCTGCAGTGACAGCGAAGCAAGAGCACTCGGGGAATGGAATGATTGACGTCGGCGGTGGACAGTTCAATGTTGTCGCTGTTCAATCACAGGCCTTGAATGGGATCTTGGCCAACTTCCCAGGTCTCAGTCGGAATGCTCTAGCTTTAGTGAGTAAAAGTGGACTCGCGCGCAGCTATGCTCAGCTCCTGTAATGTCGTTCAACGAGGCGCGTGGTTTTAGTCGAATTTGAAGTGATTGCCAAGTGGCCGAGTATCCACTATCATGAGCTCCAATTGACGCCGCCACAGGTGCCGTCAATGCTGATTATTGTGCAGTGAACCACTCAATTGTAACCCGGGGAAACGCGCGATTCAGGTGCTCGCGACTGCGGTAGAGCTCTTTTCAGAGTTCGGCGTTGCAGGAGCTATGGCGGAAGTGAGCGTGTTGGCATTCAACTTTCTTAGAAGCTTGAGGTGGAATGATGCCAGGGGTCGCAGGGAGAGGGCGTTTGGCCGGTCGAGGGGTCGAAAGCGCGTTCACAGCGAATTATAATACAGTAAAATAAGCCAAGGGAGGGACGATGAAAAGAATAGTGTAAAAGCTGCAATTAGGAATTATACAACGCGACCGGGTTATCGCGGTCAACAATTGAAGTCCCGTACAAAGGAAAGAATGCCGTGGGATGGTGCGTAGAGGGGTGGTAGGGCCGTATGAGACGCGTCTTGTCCAAAACAATGGCAGACGGGAGACGAACCCAGATAATCTAAAGTTCCGGATCTCAGGCTTTGGGAGAGCCTGAGAAAACCTAGACTCTTGCAAGAGTTGTCTTGAACTGCCTCGCAATGGGAACGGCCCAGGCGAAAAGGGGGGTGTAAGAAAAACGAGGGGCGAAGAAAAAGGGAGGATGCAGAATCGACAGAGGAAGTCGTCGGTCGAAACAGATGGGGACGTGACACACACGAGAGCTTCGAGGGGACAATGGTGTTGATATTGGTTTTGTAAACGGCCAGGCCCATGCTTGCGATTAGCACGAACAGTGGGCATCAAGTGGATGTTGAGCAAGGGTTTCGGAGGCGGTCGTACACGATCAGATCACATTGTGGTTGGCAATACCGTTAGATGCTCATTGAAGATGTCACCGGGATGAATTACGCGGTACATAGTAATTTGGCCAGGACGATTGAACATGACGCGGAAGTAATAAAGGTTGTTAACTATGCCGACTTACATCCAGGGATCGACCGCAAGCTTCTAGATGGCTTTCCCGCTTCCCGTTTCCCATTTTCAGACTTCAAACGGAGGCACTTAACTTGCGCGACGATTCGAAGCAGCAAACTAAGTGCCGTCGGATACGTAGAACACGAGTAAATCTTCAATGTCATCTCTCCGACAACACTGTAGCTGTTCCACGTTCCACAGCGTCTCTGTGTTGTTGTCAAGTGTCAAAACAGTAAACACCATGCTCAACCATTGGTGACCATGGCAAGCTGCTCTTCTCCTGCATGAAAGCTGCTGAGTACAATTTTAGAAGCTGCCACTTGTCCGAGACTAGGTGAGGGGGATCCCTGTCCTTTAATACCACTACCCGAGGAGCGTGGAGCCGTCATTTGGCCAGTACCGTGTGTACACGAGCATATCCATTCTACACACTGGGTGTTAGGGGTGTGATGCGACATTAAACACAGTGCTTCATACGTTGCTGTGAGCTCCCGAACGAAATTCCCACATTGGATGCTCTGGTAATCGCTTTTGATTGGCTGATGTGCGGTGCGACTGGAGGTTCTGGAAACGCTGGAGACGCTAAACGCTAAACCGCGTTTGTCAGCTTCAACTCCAAAATCGCCGTCCATTTCTCGATGTCTCAGTGAGGCTATGAGCTGGTGAACGAACACTGGATAGCTCCAACGTGCAACATAGCAAAACCACTTTCGCGACAAAACATACGGAATCACCACAGATTAGCAGACACAGATCATACATTCTACCTGCATTCGTCATGGCGGAACCAACAGCACCATCAGCCATGCCTGCGCCATCCAGCGCTCCCATTGCTCCAGTAGCTCTTTTCAAGAAGCGAGGCGCAAAGAACAAGGCAAACATCCGGAAACGTCCAGCAACGCCTCCGCCCGCCAACGACAGTGACGACTCAGACTACACATCTTCCGAGGACGAGTCGGGGCATCGAGTAAAACGGAGGAAGAAGAACACCGTCGTAACCGCATCCTCGAAGAACAACACCACATCACAATACGAATCGGCTACCGTCTTCACCGCAGACCGCAGTGTGCCCATTACAAGCACAAATGACGCCACCAAGACGAGCAACTGGTACGACGAGGATACGAATCTGTTGGGAAAGACACGGCCTCTTCCAAGACAAGACACACAAGACGCACCGGCTCAACCCGACGGGACATACAAAGGGCTGGCGAACCGCACCACGTTTATCCAGAAGAACCCGAATGCTCCGAATCGGAGCGTCGGTCCGGTTAAGGCGCCTACCAATATTCGGACAGTAACGACGACCGACTTCGCGCCAGACGTCTGCAAAGACTACAAGAAGACGGGGTTTTGTGGCTTCGGCGACAATTGCAAGTACCTGCACGCCCGCGAGGATTATGCACATGGCTGGCAGCTCGACGAGCAATGGGACAGCGCAATCAAGGGAAAGAAAAATATCGGCGGCACAGTGATGGCAAGCGCAAACCGGGGTGTGGGATCAGGAGACAAGAAAGAAGACGAGGATGCGACCATGCTGGAGAAGATACCTTTCAAGTGCATCATCTGTGAAAACGACTACAGGAGTCCCATCAAGACAAAATGCGGGCACTACTTCTGCGAGCCGTGTGCGTTGCAAAGATATAGGGCTGACCCGAGTTGCAAGGCATGTGGTGCCGCAACTGGTGGTGTGTTCAATAACGCGAAAACACTGAGCAAGCTGTTGGAGAGGAAAAAGGAGCGAGAGGACCGGTTGAAACAAGAGGCTGAGAACGGCGATGAGGAATGAGCTGGCATCCCCGATACCCTCCTCAAGGCTCAATTCCGAAATCCGAAAATGAATCAATAATCGCGTGGATTGTTTGTGATATGATTGTTGCGACACCCGCAACCAGGCATGTGTACTTCAGGATATCTCTTACAAAGCCTGGATTGTAGGGGCAAGCTTGACACATTACTCGCCAGTCTGCAGGCCCGAGGCGTAGACCGTTATGCTGTGCGCAGGTATTGCCAAAAAAGGGCATTGATCCCATGCAAAGATCTATTTGCTTTTGAGCTCTCGATGGCACACAAGCTGATTGCTGCCGCGATCTGCTCGGGGTTAGCACTGCTAAGTCCGATTCCGATACTTAGCGCCTATATGTTTCGTCCGATTCAGTACCTTTATCGTCCAGTAACATTGGACATCTTTCGTAACCCTCCACCATGAAGACCCTCCAAATTTACAACGGCACCCCTGGCACTGGCCCCAACCCCTGGAAAGTCATCATCATCCTCATTGACCTCTCCCTCCCCTACCAAATCGTCTGGATCCCCTACAAAGAAATCACCTCGGAGCCCTACACTACCCTCAACCCCAACGGCCGCTTCCCAGCCTTTATCGACCCCAACACCGACGTAACCCTCTTCGAATCGGGCGCCGTGATCGAGTACCTCGTCACTACGTACGACACGGGTCTCAAGCTCACGTACGGCGACAACCAGCTCCAGGACAAATGGTTGCTCCGTAGCTGGCTCATGTTCCAGATGAGTGGCCAGGGCCCCATGTTCGGGCAGAAGATGTGGTTTACCCATTTCCATGTCGAGCCGAACGTCACGTCGGCTATTCAAAGGTATGGGGATGAGACGAGGAGGATTGTGGGGGTAATTGAGAGGCAGCTAGGGAAGCAGAGGGAGAAGCGGGGCCTGGGGCCCGAGGAGGAGATCTGGCTTGTTGGGGAGAAGTGCACGTATGCGGATTTGGCGTTTGTGACTTGGGATTTGCTGCTGGAGGGGAGGATTTTTCCGCGTGGTGAATTTGATGCGGAAAAGGAGTTTCCGGAGTTTTACAAGTGGCATCAGAATTTGCTGAGGCGGCCGGCTGTTAGTGAGGCTGTCAGGATGCGAGAAGAGGCGATGAGGACGATGGAGAACAGTGCGGCGGCAGTTTTACCGAAACGGAGTGAGTGAGCCAATATGGTCTCAAACATGGGATCCTTCATGGGGTAATGTGGATTTTTTTCGGTACCGGTTTTGTATGCCAGCAGCCTGCCATGAGGCATTAGCAACCGCTTACAAGGGGCTAACTAAGCTCCAACGCCACGAGGTTCCCTGAGCAACAGTACATTAGAGGGTATTATTCACTTGCGTTATCAATAGGATCCGGTCCAGGGATATATGTTGGCGTGTAAAGGCGCAATAGCAGGGCTGGGATGCATTATTGCAACGATCAGCTGTCTGGCGGCTCTCGATAGATGCGGAATATGCGTTGGAGGAAAGAGTCACTACACACACAACCATTTGTGAGTACCAGTGACTAGGCTACGATGCATTTGGTGCAGTTGACCTAAGGCATTCCGCCAAGTAAAGCCAAAGTGTACACAATAACTAACAGGAGAGGTGACAGGTAAGGATCAAATAGCTTTAATGTGAAGCACACCTCTAAGGCTTCCACAGCCTCACAATACTCCTAAGGTACCAACAAGAAAACATCGCAAGACAGGCCATAATGTCTCCTAGCTCTGGTCTTCCAAAGGGCGTGAGGATTATGTGTAAGCGGGAGCACATCTTCATGAACACAATCCTCAAACCTTGCCATGCTCGCAGCAGCCGAAATATGCTGGAAGATCCTCAGAGATAAGGCTGGCGCCTCAAAAATGCAATGCACCTTAGAGAAGATTGGCCAATTTTGTAGATATTTCCATGCGGGTATGAGTCTGGATCGCGACTTATACCAGGCCATAAGACTCGCTCGCCGCTGGCTGTAATTTCTTATCTCTGTACAAGTTTCTCACACGCCATTGAATATCGGAAGAAAGAGAATGAAGCACCCTTTTGATCATCCAGATCTGCAGGAATCCCCATCTCTTCAGTTCCGTCCAGGACTCCTTCAAACATGAGGGTGGTTAGGTCTTCTGAAAAGTAACTAACGGTGGGAGGCCTTTACAAGCATTGGCCTCGGAGAAAACGCCGCGTGACCTGTCACTCTTCATGATGCAGCGCAAGGCTGAGAACATGATTTTCTCGCGGGACCAATCTGGTACCCATAATGGCAAAGCGGCATTGCCTGGCTGTCCTTCAGGTCTTGTAGACCGCTAAATATGTCAAGATCTTTGCCACCCCGCAAGATCGCCATTGCAGTCTCCTTGCATACTTCGGACCAGGTCTTGCGGTGATCAACCATGATTCCTAGGTCTTCCCAGTCTGATGCCAGCCCTCCAGGAGCATTCATCTTATCATGGGAAAGGGGAGCATCCGAGCGGTGTCGCCTCAAAAGCAGTGATACCGAAGTCCTACGCTCATTGTTGCGAATTATGCTACGAGTGCGATGTATGGGATTGATACATCGTGGCGCTAGAGACTCATGGTCGATCAAGGCTAGAAAAAAAAGCCATTCTGAGTATGTAGTGACGAAACTGTCTTAAACGACTGTCATATCGCCGCACAAGATAATGCGCTTGTGGGAGAAGTCAACCCCTTGGATAATCTAGCTGCGATGGAACCAGCCGGATTTGATTAGACGCGTGATGACAAGTTGAGGTTCGAATGCCCACCCTCAATCCTCGATAACGCAGCTTAAATCGTAGCTCATTGGAATGAGCGGTAGTTCAGGGTACAGCTTAACTAAGCTCAACGACAACGATGCCTCCTTCTCGCCTAACCACACAAGCACCCCGTCTGCTCACTTGTAGATATCTCTCATGATACCTACTTATTGATTACGCTCGTCAATGTTGTCCTTGTCGATACAGACAGCGTCCGCCCAAAGCCATCTTGTTGTGTCGACCTGTCGAGTGTATCGTAAAGCATTAAAGAAAAACTCTGTTACTTTGATAGGCTGTCCGCCATTACAGCTGACGATAGTTTACCGTGGACAAAACCCCAGCAGTAAAGAGCGCCTCATAGGCCGGTGACGACTTGATTGAGACATTTGTGAGGTTTACATTCGATCTGGCTGTTAAACACGCCCGGAATAATTTCCAAGACCTGGAACTCATCGGGCTTCCGCGAGTTATACACCGACATGGTAGCCCACTGCACAAATTTGCCTAGTATTCTGCTGCATCAAAGCGCTAAATTCAGTGTTTGGTGGCTAGATTTGCACAGAGGATGTTATAGGAAGGTGTGGAATGACTCGAGTTCCTTCCTGAGGCTCGAGTCCCAAGAGATTTTGTTTCGATAGGAGGCAAGTGGACTGAATGTATACGCAGATAGTTTTAGGTAGTAGTGGTACTGTCGGAACCCATGTACTAGGGGCTGTATTGGTACTATGAAGGTGCGTGAGGGACCAATCCCAAGTTGGCCCGAGGGGTCCCTAAATACTACAACGCCTGCCTGCCTGCCTGGTACCCCTCCACACCTGATAAAAACCCCGACGCTTACCTCTTTAAGAGTATTTTGGTTGTTTAATTAAAGGGCAGGACAGAAAGATCAATCCCCGCGACGGCTTAAAACTACAAAAGAAAAAACTGGGATGAGAGATCATTACTTTGCGACGAACGTGGAGCATTCGGTCGCTGTGTGGCGCAGCAGCGGCGGTGACCGTACGGCCCTATCGAAAATGGTTATGATCATGAGCGCTCTATCCTGCAGCCAATACCACTAGACCGCTTCCAACGCTGTATCCAGGTCCATGCGGTGAAGTCGTTTTTGGATTGCGGATAATCTTCCCTCTCGACTGTGACGCCTGCCACATGGACGATACGCCGTTTTATGTCTTATTTGATAGTTTCGATGGCGAAGTTCAACTTAGCATCATTTAAATTAGATTTAAATTTTGGTCGTAGAGAGATAGGTTATGAAAGTTAAAGGAGCATGACTCACTTAGTGCGCGACTCGCTTGTGAACCACGTTATATTAAGTTACTAATGTACAAAGACAATTTGTATAGGAGCTTCTGTGCCCTAATGTAGCAGGTTCTATGTATAGCTTATGTTTTAACATAACACTAACAGTTGCAGAATAAGTCGTAGTCCTCGGACATCGTTATCACCGTGGTATCAATACGGATCGCCTTTATCATTCTGCTACGGTTGCCCTAAGGTCGATACCTTGCCCACAACTACCATTCACACCACTCTTCCCAGGTATAGTCTTCCCAGGCATAGTGAAAGAGTGGCTAGTTCTTAGAGACGCTAGTTGGTTGACGATTCTTCGAAGTTGGGTTTGTATCCACTCGAGAGACTTTCCCGTCGAGGGAAATCCTGCACTCTTAGGCATCTCAGATACCACTTTCTGAAAGAGCTCTTCTATGGATAGTTGTGGATCTTTAATAAGCATAGTTACACCATCGCAGCCCAATAAAGCGTACTGGTCGATTACGTTTACTGGTAATGGTTAGTATCGATAGGCTCTGGTCAGCTACCAACGTGATTGGACAGAAAACACTTTGTATATTGTCTGAACATGCACGTTACCCTGGAACTTTTTAGCATGCATACTTATCACATCTTAGCCACCAGAGCCTCGTATTTTGATGAATATCCCCTAGACCAGGCGGCCGTATTCTCTCTTTGGCACTCGAGTCATAAGTCCCTAATATTACTCAGGTCGACTATCTGCAAGCCCCTAAGTTCTCCATGACCCGCAATAGACCTCGCTCAGGCCTCAAGTTGCTGGATCGTCGCTCTGTCAATCCAGGACATACTCGCGCAAATTTGTCGCGGCGTCCATTATTGATCACAAGAAGTGTAACGAGATCGTCCAGTATGTAATCATGCCTGCTTCCTGGTTTAAAGATCAATGGCAACATGCCATCACACCGAGGCCACTGTAGGTTCTACAGGTAGCCTTGGCCTTTGAGTGTGTACTGTTAACTTGGATTGCTCTGAGCTCTGACTCCCTATGAAGTTCCGGTGCCGACCAGCTGCTCCGAGGGGATGTCTCCATGACGGGTTCAAACTTTAATAAGAGGTTAAACCAGCCACACGGCTTCTTGCACGTCTTGACGGGAAATACTATGTGGTAAGGTGCATCATTGTGACACTTGCATGCTCCTACCCGAAAAATAAGCAAAGACGCTTTGATTGGCCCGAGTCTGTCACCGCGTTCCTAACCCTAGCGGATCCATGACATCAGACTGGTCATAAAATCCGGGGAAGCTACCACCTGAGGTGGAGCTAATTTACTTGCAACTGCATGACTTGTGACCTTCACACTGCCTGACACTTGTGGTTTCCCACTCGACTTTGTCGTCACACCTACATTCGCCAATCTTGTAAACTGAATACATATAAATCGTCCCTTCTTCGGTCTGGTATGCTTGTTCTTGCCACAACACAGCCCCCAAGTAGCACCTTCTCAAGATCAAGATGACTTCGACTCAATCATCCGATCAGCAGGGTAACTTTGCCAATGGCTCGGCCGAGCAAGCTGCAGGCACGAAGCATCGGATTGATGAGAACATATCACCAGCGTCGAAGCGCACCAAGACCGATGACGGCAAGGAGCAGAAGACCATTGAAGAAACCATCCCGAGGTACAAATCAACCATTATTTCACGATGCGTGCCCAACTTTGAAATATCTGACATTTCGTAGCGTTGCCAACGGCAATGACGAGGAGAAGAAGCAGGAGCGTGATGACGACGGCGAATCTACGGTACAGCAAATGAACGACGATGGTGCTAGCAGCGAGCAGAAGTCCAAACCCGAGAAGGACGGCTCCAGCGCTGTAGAGCCCGACGGCCGAGATGGGGATACACCGGCGAGCATACTTGAGAAGGGAATTGTCTACTTCTTCTTCCGTGGCCGAGTGGGAATCGACGAACCCAGCAGCGTCGACGAGATTGCGCGAAGCTTCATCGTCCTTCGTCCTATTGGACAGGATGCCAAGCTCGGCGAGGGCACAATTGGGGATGCGGGCAACAGCCGACTCATCGCAATTCCCAAGAAGGTTCTTCCTCTCAGCGGCAAGGACAAATGGATTGCGTTTGTAGAGAAGACGAATGCATCATTTTCCACTCTGAAGGACGAGTTTCTCTCTGCGTCCGATTATGCTACCAAAACGGCCGGGACACGGCACTCTCCCGCCGCGACTCCTGTCGGCGAAGGTATCTACGCCATCACAACTACAGGACGCGAGAGCCACCTCGCGTACATGCTTACTCTGCCTAAAGAGCTTGGCGAAGTCCAGAAGGAGATTGGTCTGCGAGAGCGCGGGGGCTTCATTCTCAGCACCAGAAACCCAGGTTACGAAGCACCCGCAAATGCGCGACTACCCCAAGGCCCCGATTATCCGCAAGAGTACGTCGTCACTAACTCGTATTTCTCTACAGACCCATTGCTAATAGAATAAAATTAGGGTCAAGGAGGAATTCCGGGCTCTTCGTTGGATGCCTACCCAGCCCAAACACCTCGACTACGTCAACACCCAATTCCTGCTTATTGGAGAGTCTTCGGGTCTCGCCAAGGCGACCGAGCCCCAGAAGAAGGATATTAAGGAAGGGAAAGATGAGCCGTTGGAGGAAATGGAGAAGTTGGAGGATGAGGATACTCATCGAATGCAGGACCTGAAGGGAGACGATTCAGCAGCCATCTTTGCGGATCTGGAGGCCAAAGCAAAGTACTACCCCAAGCTGCAAACAACTTTCTAAATGGCCGCACCTCATGATCCCCTCAGTATCCGTTTGCCACAGGGGATGGGCAATAAAGCACGAAAAATGCAATAACGGATGGAATTGGTTTTACGGAGGTTAGTTTAGGCTCTGGATGGTACGGTTACGGCTGGCTAGAATACCCGTGCGTGCAGCTTTCATATTGCCGAAAGGGTTGTGGGGATATGGTCTCTATTTACATCCGGGGTGCAGCTGCAAAAATCAAATCTTTCAAATATGTATCGAATATAAACGTATCAGAGCTGGCGCTTGCGTACCAATAATCTAAACAGGCGCCTTTAACCTTCTAATGGCTAAGTATTGCGAATAACTCCGCCCAATGTTACAACTTATCCCCTATGCTTGTCCCCAAACCAAAGAAATTAATAAAGTCCTCCGCCCTCTCATCCTCACTCCACCTCCGCAACATTTCGGTTTAAGCCGGGCACTCGGAAATAGAAGCCGTCAAGTTCTTAGGTCCAGTGTAGTGCTGCGTGTTGGCAGTGCCGTCGGTCTCGGTCGTGATCTGGCTGGCGGGGATGGAGGCGCAATACGTGATGTTGGATCGGGCGTTGAACGCGTACCAGATGGCGAAGTCGAGACCGCCATCCGACGTGGGCTCGATGGACCACGTGTAGCCCACGTTGTCGGAGCAGGTTCCCTCCTCTACGGCGGGCAGCTGGTCTGGGCCTTGCACGAAGGCGGAGCAGTGGCTCGGGGACAGGGACGGGTCCGAGTTCACCGTGAAGTTGTAGCTGTGACTTGTTAATTGGTGTTCTGGGTGAAATGGAGTGATTCGGAGGGTTACGAACGAGCAGTAGTTGCTATGCGGGATGCAGTCAGCGGAGAAGTCTGCAATGGGGTAGGTTTGAGCCTGGCGCCTCTGAAGGGTGGCGGCGGAGGCGCTGGCGGCGAGAGCGAGGATGATAGAGAACTGCATTATGGCGGTGTTGATGTTTTGAAGAATGGTTCTAGATAAACAAGCAAGTATGTTCAATTAATGAATATGGATGTCGTAGTTGGAAGTTGGAATGATAACGAATGTGTCGGTGATGAGGAATAAGAGCTCAGTTAATCGAGCAAGCAGGCCCATCTTATATGCTGATGCCGTGTGCATTCGGCTCTCTGGTGTTTCCCGTATTGTCTTGGAGTGGAGCTGAATCACGAGTCGGAATAGGAGCCCTCGTTGATGATCTTCTCGTATCCGACCCTCTTGAGGGCCATGATGTCATGAGGTTGCTACGATTCTCATTTTAATGGACAAAAGGCTGATCATTTCTCCACGTTCGCTTTCATTAATTTACGATGGCATTTTGGTCTATTTCCGTCCTGCCATTGTGATTACAGCCACTTGCTGTGCCAGCGATCTTGAGTTTATTCCTGACTCGGACACCGACATCGCTGTTCAATAGGGTTATGCAGGGGTCACAACACTCTACCGAGAGCAAATCCATGTTTTCGGGATCCTCTCCAGTTTCAAAATTTACAGGAGTTTATTGGCTGTTTCGCTATTTGACCTTATGCCGCATGGAGAATTAAACCAGCACCTAGGTTGATGGTTCTAATGCTGGATGCAGTATCACGGTACCTCATCTCCTCGCGGTAGAGTGGATACCACGTCGTCTTAAGTTGACAGCCGCCCCATTTTCACCTAATAAACATGCGCTGTTCCACCAGATACGAAGCCCATTGGGGCAATTTGCCTAGAGTTGGAAATTCTATTTCTATCCGACTTATTCTATTCCTGGCCAACATCAGCCCTATGGATCTGTCATGCAAACCTTTTAAGGTTAAAGGAAGTGGACAATAGATCATGCGTGCTCGAGTAAAGAATGCTAGACCATACCGGATTATGCTATTACGCTGCCATCTACCGTTTGCACCAGTTCCGCAGCTCGATGCCGACGAAAGAGTCAACACAACTGCTGCTCAACAATGTGAGATAAAAGAGCCCTGTTCCGATGTCCGATGCCAGGAATAACACGGCCTCTTCGTTCTCAAGCACAGCGTTAGTTTTACCTATGCAGTTCTGATACTGTCTGTCAACTTGGTCTTGGAGCTTGACGTCATGGTAGGTCTGGGTGTTTCGGATGAAGTCTTTGCTAATCTCTGCCGTGAAATAATCTGCGGATAAATTTATCCGTTACCCACTCTTTGGCCCCTACTTCACATAAGAACTTCATTAGGTTATTCCTTAGCCAATTCACACTCAAATAGCCTGGGAATTGCTGCAAGAGTTTCCTTTATGGCGTGCACTTCAGTAATGGGCATACTAGCCACGGGCCCAGTAGGTAGTTCAAGTTAACAGGGTGTCCAGTTGTTTCGATTTCCCAGTTGGGTTGTGGACATAACGGAGGAAAATGGCTGATTAGTATACCGAGCTTCAGTGGCAAATAGTGAAAGACCTGTGACTGGGACTTAGTCAATGAGGTTCTGCTAATAGTGTGGTGTGGACTTGTAATTCGACGCTTTGGCGATATCTAAGCTACCCCTAGGGCCCCTACTGCTTGTCGGCAGGGGACTTTGGAGCGAAATTAATTTGCATGCAATTGGCTAATCATATGCCTAGTTCATCCCCCAGATATCACTCAAGTCTGCACAATACCCCAAACTTCCAGAAGAGTGTAAACTGACCAGGTACAAGAACGCTCTAACTAGGTACAAAAACTAAGTTCCTAGTAAAAGTTCAGCAGGTACTTCCAATATAACGCGCTCCGAGGTTTAACATATATTAAACTTAAGTAAGGGCTTTTTTCTAACGTACCCCACGGTCCAATTGAACACTTTCGCGCAGTTCCGTACAACCTAGGTTTTATCCCTTATTTTCCACCTTCTACAATGGCACGTAATTGGGAAGAAAGCGATATTCAATTAGCGCTTCAAGCGCTTCAAAATAACCCCAAACTAAGCGTACGATCCGTAGCACGGATCTATAATATCCCTCATATAACCTTACGTCACCGATATCGCGGCGGTACTTCACGACAGGATATACGATCACCAACGCAAAAGCTTACCTATTCCGAAGAAGACGCGATCGTACGCTACATAGTCGACCTAGATTCACGATCATTTCCTCCTCGAATAAGTGGTGTTGAAGATATGGCGAATCGACTACTCCACCAACGCGACGCAGGACGCGTCGGTATTAACTGGGCTTCGAGCTTCGTACGACGACAACCAGACCTCCGGACGCGTTTTGATCGAATAATCGACTACCAGAGAGTCCTCTGCGAAGATCCCGACGCGTACCGCGCGTGGTTTTATCTCGTATGGAATACAATTAATAAGTATGGAATTCAAGAGGAGGATATCTATAATTTTGACGAGACTGGGTTTCTTATGGGTCAAATCTCATCCGAGATAGTTGTAACGACCTCTGATCGACGTGGAAGACCTAGAGCAGTACAGCAAGGGAATAGGGAATGGGTTACAGTTATCCAGGGCGTCGGATCGGACGGCTATACTATCCCTCCGTATATCATCTTTGCTGGTAAAACTCACCTATCTTCGTGGTACGAAAATAAAGGATTGGGTTATCGCGGTTACGAAAAATGGCTGGCTACAAATGAAAGAGGCGAGGACTGGATTCAACATTTCGATCAACATACAAAGCTTCGTACGAAAGGTGTTTATCGCCTCTTAATTCTCGACGGCCACGAGAGCCACCACTCGACCGCTTTCGAGCTCTACTGTAAAGAGAACTCTATTATCACACTCTGTATGCCTGCTCATTCGTCGCATAAGCTCCAACCTCTCGATATCGGCTGTTTTCGTGCACTGAAAAGAGCGTACGGTAAAGAAATTGAGGATCTTATGCGGGCACATATTACCCATATCTCGAAGGAGGACTTCCTCTCCGCGTTCTTAAAAGCGTTCCAGGCAACTTTTACGATATCAAATATCCAAGGAGGTTTCCGAGGGGCAGGACTCGTACCGTACGATCCGGAATATGTGATTTCACAGTTAGATGTGAAGTTACATACTCCAACACCTCCGGGCACCTCGTCTGGCCTTCCTATTATCTGGGAGTCGAAGACCCCAAATAACCCAATTGAGGCACAATCCCAGACCGAATACGTGAAAAACCGAGTTATACGGCATCAAAATAGCTCTCCGACAGCTACACTTACTGCACTTGACCAGTTTGCGAAGGGTACGACGCAGGTTATGCACCGGCTTGCTCTTTTAGTGGGTGAGAACGCCGCGCTTCGATAGGCAAATGAGACACTTAGCCGGCGGCGTTATACGAGAAAAAAACGTTTACAGTATGGAGGATCACTTCGTATACAAGCTGGAGAATATTTACAGTCTCAGAAGCTAGTTAACGGAGAGTTAGATAATAAATCGCGCTGGAGTCGTAGTCGTACGAGGTGTGAAGATCAACCCTCGCAGACTCACTACAACCAGGTGACTTACAGCTGGAACACCTGCCGTGGCAGTGTCAGATGGGAAGCCAATCATAACCCTTGTAGGAGCCCCGCCAAGCGTGGATGACTTAGTCGCGCTCCCTCAAACCTAAGTTGTCATCTTCTTTCCTTCGCTCCTTAGAGTAGAATCTTGGTCGATAGCACCTAATCGAGGTCTATACCAATGCGATGCAACCCAGGTCGTGACACGAGGAGGCCAGAGATACTTCAGCAACGCTGTAGGACGTGCGGAGAGCCCGGTCATAATATGCGTACTTGTCAGAATAGTAAAGAGATATCTGAAGAAGATAGTTCCGAGTAGTTTTAATTATTTTTTTTTCGTTATAGTTGAATTAACTTATGTCTTATTGTACGAGGTCTTAAGAAGTGTTCAATTGGACCGTGGGGTACGTTAATTAAAATAAACGGTAACGTGCATGTACACCGAGCTGGCCACCCTTACATAACCTCGCATAGAAATTTTACAATAGTAAAACCACAACGCCGTAAATTAATTGAAACTACTCTGAATCTTCCTCTCCAGAAGATGGCAATGCGATCTTACAAGTTCGCGCATTATGCCCAGTCCCGTTGCAAATACCACACAGCGCCTCGGGCGCGTTTCAACACGCTTTGCGCGACCACCATTTCGGCGCTCTTGCTGTATCTGCGTCGCCAACTCCCTAGAGTCCCGTAGGTCCTGTCCTTCTTGGAAAATAAGTGATTCTCCTTCCCGTAATTGCATTTTTTTAGTCCTTCGGCGCCGGCTTAGCATCTTATTTGCCTCTCGAAGCTCAGCGCACTCGGCCCGTACGAGGGCGAGCTCGTGCATTATCATTTTTGCTCCCTTCGCAAACTGGTCGACAGCTGAGAAAATATTTGCGTGCGACGAACCTCGAGGCCCAGCGCGTTCCAATGGGCCCTGCGTTACGTGTCGCGCAGATAGAATTTGCCATTGCTTCCACATCAGCAATCCGGGGCGGAAACGCTCGTGCATCTAAGTCCAGTATATGCTTGATAATGGCCTCCTCTTCTAATTCTGTCATAGTTCGTGAATTGGGCAAAATACCGCGTCGGAAAGGTACGCCGTTTTTACGCGTTTGGAGGGTGCTTCGGGGGACTTGGCACGTTTTTGCTGCTTGTCAGAGACTAAGTTTTTGGTCATTTTTTGAGAGCTTGAAGGGCTAGCATTAAGTCTGCTTCGTTGTATGGCTTTGCCATAATTGGCTGTTGAGAAAATCAAAGATTAAGTTGGCCGGTCGCGTTGGCGCATGAAAGTGGCCAGCTCGGTGTACATTCACGTTAGCAAGTTTGACAAAACCACCAGCTTAGAAACGGCGGAGCATGTGGGCCTTCGCCAAATCGCGGGATTTTTCGGACATTTGTACGACCTGCTCGAGGACGACGGTGTTCTCTACCTACAGGTTGCCGGGTTGAGATGGGCGTGGCAGTATGGGTGTCAGCAACGGCTAGGCCGCAAGGCATGATTGGCCAAATAGTACAAAGTGAAGGGGAGAAACAGGCGCTCCCGCGGTTGAGCACCGGGTAGTCACTGGTGGTCACAGGCAGGTATGCCCAGTATAGTTAATTGATCTCTGCCCTTCCCTCCATCCTCTTCCAAGACACTACCCTTATACAGATAGCCAACCGATATTCGGGATTATGGTTCCGTATTCCTCGGGTTTCACGATATTCTACGACCTCCCACAACGCTCGCCAATTATGTGGGGTTTAAGCCCTATTTTAAGGTGAATCCGTCCAGTGATGAGTTTGGGCTCATCAAAGAGACACTGCAGCATAGATACTGTGGGTTTCCACTATTCAGCAGCCATCTGGCGATGGTACAGTACCTGGTTGGGTAGCGCCGACAAGGTGAGGGCCAAGTACGGTGACAGGTGGAACAGGGTGAGTCATCCCCGATATCGTTTTCGCACCAACATGCTTGCATCTCTGACCTGACAGTCTCTAGAACTAGGAATACTTCCTAGCGTATGGCATGATCGCATCTCGCCAGGCTACTGCGACCTGTTACCATATGATATTGGTCAAAAACATCCACGGCACTCATTGAGTCGAGGCTATTCGAACTCAATTTGGCCTTTCTGATGCATTGGAGGCCAGCAGGGCAGTTAGCAAGGCGATGTTGCCCAGCAAGTGCTACAATGCTGTGTTTAGGGTAGTTGTAGGACCTCGTACCCAACTGCTAATAAGTCTACCATCCCATCCGTGGCCACCCTACGGCCCATACTAAAATTGCTAAATTCACCATACTTCAACATCACGTTACGCTAAAATTGCCAACCACATAATTAACCAATTTCTACTGAATCAAGTATAGTACACTACTATATAATCTTCCGCTTCGCTAACTCCGTCATGGTCTAATTCTATAAATTTCGAGTCCTTAGAATCCGAGTGTTCTTTTAGGGGTGTATCGCCGGCGGCTTCTATACGTGCTGAAACGGGTTCAGGCGGTCAGTAGGATATACCCACCACCTAACACACTGAAAAGACGGCTCCAGTACCAACAAATCCCATCTTTTGGTCTGATCAGACAAAGATCGTGATGCTGGCTGCAAGAACTTCGCTCTTGCAAGTCTCGTACGCAAGTTGGTCGGATGTGCCTCTGCGACTAGCGACGGGACAATTCACAGAACAGGACGTCTGACTCTGGGAGTCGAATTGAAGCTGTCACTGGCACTGGCACTGGCACTGGATTGGTCTGATCAGGACAAGATGAATGCTCCTGTAATTGTCAAGGCCAAGATAAGAGCAGAATAATGGATTCTCGAAAGTAGTGTCTGAATGCACATAAATATGAACTGGATAACCGAAAACTAACTAACTAGCTGGAAAAACGAGGGTGAAGAAGATGATGAAAAAAGATGGGTGAAAGTCGTGCCCGATCCCAGTGTCCTTCTTGAAGCGAAGAAAGCCTTCTCTGCTCGAATCGCTTGTATGTAAGTAAAGTTCTTGTTAGGGTCCGGGAGTACTCTACGGCGCTTATTTCAGCTATAGAATAGAATTGAATGTCCATTCCCTTCGCCTGTTGAGGTCTAATTCTGCTCATCGTGCCTACTGAGGCCATTATTCGTACCTGTTAGGGTACTTTTGTTGTCCAATTCGATCTGTTCAAGCATGATAAGGCTTTGTTCTGTTGTTCGCCTGCTGAGGTGATTCTATTCCAGGACCTGTTAAAGGCCTGTTGGGGCTCAGTGGATTTGCCGTACCTGCTGAGGTACTTTTGTTGATCTGATTAGAGCGAGAAGGCTCTTGATTTTATCTTTTTGTTACCCTCCCGGATAGCTGATCTTGTTGAGGATCGTGTTGTCCGTCCCCATCATCTTGACCTTCAACCTGCGGGCAACACTGCTCGTCGTCAATATAGAAAATAGTAATGGAGATACATATGGGCGCGTCGCGTCGCGGAGTGGGCCGTTTAAGTGGGATGGCCGCAGATCGGGTGGTTAACTTATGACTACATTCTGCCAGAGTGGGTTCACTCGCTGTTTAGCGGGATGATCCGACATTAGTGTAGCCGGTTAGCCACGCAAGGGTCTTATTGTTCCATTAGTAAATATTTCTCAACGTCGTCTTAGATGATTTCGAAGGACGGAATCTTGTTAAATTCCAGTTTCGAAATAGATTGGGTCGTTGGTTCACACGCAGACTACATAGGAATATAGCAGTTGAAAAAGCTGACACGATGGATCGAAGGTAAGTCCGTCTTACTATGATTGGCCATCGGTCGAAGCTCGAGCGGATGTTTTATTCGTTGCACACAGATAACATGCCCGTAGGATTGAGGCGCTGTTAGACAGACTAGGTTGCCTTGCGCGCCCATTAGCTGTTGGTTTCAGGCACCCGTTGCAAACAAAAGCCAACTGCTCGGCAAGGATCTTTGGATCTCACCCCTTCCCTTCCATTCTTGACATGTCGCCTCCTCGATTTGCTTCGAATTACTCAAACGGTACACGTTGTTCCGACAACAAGTACGCTGTAATCTCTTGACCCTCCCCACCGCTCTCACAGTGGCAGCATTTGTACATACTATATACCACTCCTGGCTCTGATTCTGATTAAACGCTCCTTAAATCTTATACTGCCTTACGCATCACACATTCCATCCGCAATGGTCGACACAATCTCTAACTTCTTCCAAAGCCTCCTGCCCAGCAACAAGCCGTCGCAAGCATCCGCACCAAAACGACTCATCACGGAGACCCGCACCGTCGGTTCTTTGCCTAACCCAACCACAACTGCGACTTCACAATCGCCTGCCTCGGGTCAGAGCTCCGCTGAATACAGACGCACCATGGCAGATAGCAGCAACGCCAATGCGTCCCGTCAGGAGGATATCCGTAATCTCAGGGGCCAGCTCCTGGACCGTGTGGGGAATCAGGGTAGGGGAATGCGGGCAAAGAATGGGCAAGGTGGGAGGCCAAAAGCTTAGTCTCCGATAGTCGGCGAAGGAATATTGGAGTATTGCCTTTCGATGGCGGGCTTTTTGGGATGTGATATAGGGTCCATCTCTTGAACAGGTGGGCGGGGATGCCGGATTCATAAACGCTTGCAGGGTAGGCAGCAAGTTGTGGTCGAAGATTCACCTTGGATTTAAAATTGGAGGTTCCTTTGGTTCAAAGTCAGCGCAAACACACATATTCTAAACGCTGATGGCAGCCAAGAGATTTTGAAATAATCTTCTTGCAGCACCACACGGACGCGTATTTCAGCTATCCTACGTCTACTAGAGCAGATCAAATTTGAGCAAGTGTAGCTTGAAGGACGCATTCTTGCTATGTGCCTGATTTTCTTTGCCGATACATCGATGATTGAGGTTCAAGAAATGATACGGTGGTGTCAGCCATTTTGTTACACCATATATTTTGCATGCTGTTGATGTCAATAGGAGTTGCCTCAATATGCGCACAGTGCCGAGTGGGTCAACAATATATCAGGTCCTCTAAGGAAGGTTTATTTTATGGGGAGCACCAAGCGCTTGGAATCTGTACGCGGAGCCTCCTACCCGAGCCCGAGCCTCGGGACAAGCTGGCCAATTACGGCTCCTCCCGAGGAATAGTTTGAGGCGATTGTATCTGTTCTAGCTTGAGTTTCTAGTTCATGCGAACTATGTGGTATTCCGCCAAGGGAACTGATTTGGGTGTACAGCCACTGTCCCTGTACAGCCACTAGTCCGGAGAACTCCCAAACCCCGAGTGGACATCAATATGGATACCACAGAGTGCCAACCTGATGCGATAGGTCTCCTAACCAAGCACATGACTCAGCAGTGACCACTGGATCGTTTAGCAGGGGTATCCTGACTCAATCCATATTTTTGGGTGAGCGCAAGCGACTCCAGGTGTATATAGAGTCGTCGCGTGCCGATGCCATACCCAATCACCACTTGTCATCCATCCTTTTATCCACAGTGAACGTTCAGTCTTTCATTTCATTGCCAGATTTTCACTTCATTCATTATGTACAAGTTCAACCCCATAATCACTGCCGCCTGTCTGGCCGGCCTCGTTGCCGCTGCGACGCCAGTTTGGGAAACTCTTCCAGCGACACCAACTCTACCGGGCAACCCTGCCGGAAGTAAGACTGAGATCAACGGTGTGCAAATATGGCATGCGGAATTTGGAACTGCATCGGCAGATACCGTTCCAGTTTTGTTCCTCCACGGAGGGTTCGGCAACGCAGATTACTGGGGTATGTTACTCATTTCTAGTTCAGTATATGAATATTTGCGCGTCACAGACTAACCGCCAAATCCAGGTGACGTGATCGCAACCATATCGAAGACTCGCCAGGTCATCGCAATGGATAATCGTGGCCATGGACGGAGCACCATGGACAGCACACCCTTCACATACGAACTCTACGCAAGCGACGCCGCGGGTTTGCTGGAGTCACTCGGCATCGCAAAAGCAGCTTGGTAAGCTCAACCATCTCACGTATCGATGCCAACCATAACCTGCACAAACTGACCGATCAACCACAGGGTCGGATGGAGCGACATGGGCGCCGGCACCCTGGCAGCCCTCATGTCGAGCGACAACAGCACACTTATCGACCGCGCCTTCGTCTACGGTGGCTTTCACAGCTTCAGCTCGACCAACAGCAGCTTCGAGAGCACCGCCATTTATACCGAGTTCACCACGCGCGCCATCGCCGAGTACCAGACCCTGCAACCGGACGGCGATCTGACTGCGTTCGCAACCGCTGTGAGTACGCTCGAGGCCACGCTGCCGATTTGGGAGGAGGCGGATTTCAAGAAAGTGACGCTTGGCAGCAAGGTCACGATTTGTGGCGGGCAGTATGAGGAGGCAGTCGTGTTGTATGAGCCGACGTTGTTGAATGGGTGGATTGCGGGTAGTCAGTTGGTCATGATGACGAATGTTAGTCATTTTGCGCCGGTGCAGGATCCGGTGCAGTTTGCGGAAAAGGTGGAGGCGTTCTTGAAGGCATAAAGGGAGGTGTTGGTGGAGAAAATCGGTTAGACGTATCTCGTCCAGCCAGAAAAGGGCTCACGAGTTCGAAACAATGTCTGGATTGGCTACCTGGACTGTGGATTATACGATGAAGGTGGCAGTATTGTAATATTAGATCACGTCGACTTCCAAATGGGAAATGGCAAGTGGTGAACCCAAATGTTTCAATAGCTTTACCTTATCAACCAAGGTATTCAAATCCGTTTTGTTGTAGTGAGAGTTATTGCCTAAGAATCCTTTGTTCCTTCAGCACATTCGCCAGATTCCAACTAGCATGCACGGAAGTTCGGATGAAAGCATCCACAGCGCTTTCGCTTTTCATGACCGAGTTAGGTAAGACAGGAGTGCTTCTTTGATCAAACCATATTCCCAAGCCTGCTGGATATAAACATAATTCATTGTAGTCTAATGCTATAGACCATAAATCGTTAAACATTGTGGCCCATACGCTTGTTTCCTTTTTCCTTCTATTTCTTTTCTTTCCTGTATTCCCTCACAACAACGCCGCAATCTTCGCCGCCATAGCTTGGGCTGTAGAAACCGTGATCTGCGTCGTGGGAGGAGTCCACCCCAAGCTAAAAGGCAACCTCTCGTTCTCCATCATGAACACCGCCAGAGTCTTATTGGCATTCCCTTCGACCGGGTCGCCAAAGGCAGACAGCATCAACGAGTACTCAAGCAGAGACCCGCTGTTGGCGAAAGTGGCATTGAACTCAGGGTTCGCCGCAGCGCCGAAAACAAACCGCGCCGTGCGCTCAGCGGCCGCGACCGCGAAGGTGATGGTCTCGTTGTCGCCCCACGTAGATAGGGTACGATCCCATGCCTCCTGGTTAAAGGAGTGGTTATCACCCCAGAAGGAGTCGGTACGGCTCATGCTGCCGTCATGTTCGATGACTTGCGGGTCGTGCTCGTTGAGATTATCGAGGTCGAAAGTGGAGGCGTTGCCCGTTGCCGACGACGCCAGGGCTTGCGTTCCGACAAGGGTGGCGGCGTCTTGGCCCAGGTTGAAGCCGGCTAGCGTGCCCGCAGACAGGATCGCGAGGTCGATGCCCTTGCCGTTGCGGGGGAGGAGGCCGTGGTTGGCGAGGGCGTTGAGGCCTGGACAGGGCGAGCGCACGTCGCCCGTGCCGGGTAATTGGAAGGGGTTGGTCGTCTCGCTGACGGCAGAAATTGTGGTGAAGAAGCTGGTGGTAGCGGCCAGGAGGCTGAGGACTTTAATGGTGCACATTTAATAAAGTGAGTGGATGGACCTGAACGTGACTTCTGAGGAGGTATAGAACCTAATCTAAAGAATGAATAAACGCAGAGGTTCAGAGGTAGTTGAGGGACGACTGTAAAGTTCAATACCGTGAATAATCATCCAAGAAGACCAAGGCCACTGAGAAATATATACTGGCGTCGTCATTAAGGAGGCTCTCACCATGACTCGTGCTGTTTCTATAAGTAAATTGATTTTCACCATTGCAGCCATCTTGCCATATGGGGTTGTCACACAATCGCATGTCATGCATATTAACCTCGGCGCTCGCTCATGCGACAGTGGGACTCATTACTTCGACTTCTCGAAAGAGTCTGTCAGTGTGGGGTCTACAACGGGCTGTGCTTCATGCCAAATTCCCAAATACCTCTAACATTATTGGACACCGGCCTATGCGGAAGAGCTGTCGTCCCATCTAGAGAGGTGGGTGGAGACACTACGGTTGCAGGGTTCTGCCGGCGGGCCGTGGCGTCATGAATACATGTATCGTCCTTTTGATATTAACTGTCGAACAACTCAGCACCGAGGCCTATTGGTCCCTTGACATGGCGTAGTTCCGTCCAGGGGTATACCCAGATTTATGTCTCGCTTTTTTGCAAGCTTCTAGGAGGATATTCGATAATTACACATACAACTCGAGTCGTAAAATATCACTACTAGTTGGAATTTAAGATATTGATTTAGTCATCATGATACGTTAATTCGGACAAGGATTCAGTTCAGCCAGGCATATCATTCCTAATCTGACCGAAGGTCACGGATCGTGTTATATATTGAAATGTGCAGGTTTGAAAAAATGTCTTAATCACTGTTTCTATTGTATAATCTCTGAAGAGCATGGTCAAACAGAAAGAGATCGAACCTGCCACACATCAATACTCCATAAGCCAGCATCTCATCGCAAGCATTGACCCGCTGGGGAACCACTTGTGAGCCACCGAATTCATACAATTTTTAAAGTAGCAAACGAGATGGGCCTCGCGTGCACGACCGTCACCCCTTTCACAACAGAGAAATAGATTTCTTCCTAGTCAACCTGTAGTATTCCGACCATCGTCACCAGTATCCTGTTTGATCTGAGCCTGGAATTGCATCGGTGCATTGGGATAATTCTCATATTCATATTTCGAAAGACCAAAGGAAATATCTTTGTGAAGTCCGCGATGCTCTCCACGACGTAAATGGCTTCTCAATTGTGGAGGCAATGTCGGCCACCTCATGACATCTTATAAGACAATGTCCTGTGAGCGATATTTGTCCTCAGACCGTAGGGGAACATTAATGAAGGTCCTTGACGTCGATGGAAAGGACTATCTTTCCCATGCGATGTTCTCTAGCAGAGGCTGAGGATTTGACGTCGAACTTCCCCAATCGACTGTAAGATGCATACTCGATCCGCAATCTGGTTCTAGAAGCTGCCCTTGGAATTTATGGCCCCGGAAAACTCAGCGCGAATTGTCTCAACGATGCAGCAAATCAAACTAGGCATAATCAAACCCATCCTCCTTTACATATTGCGAGCAGCGGTCAACTGAGGAACACCCCATATATGTATTTCCGGCTTCATTGAAGCTCCTAATATCCTGGAAATCCACTTCTGCGAGGGACGACACAAGGGGGTTCGTCGTTTCACGAAAACTCGACAGTTCACGGTGGCGTGGAGAGAGCGCCCATGAGAGTGATTTATAAGGACGACAAAGGCGTATGGGGTCGAGTATTTACTTTTATTGTCAAGTTTGCGCGGCCGAAGACTGGTGCTGCTGTATGTGGAGATGGGTTCAGGCTACAGAGTTCGCTTCGGCTGCGATAGGGAATCTTCTTTATAATTTACACTTGTCGGAAGGAAAACGGTTCGGTCAACCTCTTAGTATTATAATGGCTGATTGGCCCCCAAATTATAGTTCAGCTACAATATCGTCGGCTCCGGTATGTTAATCACACATCCCGAGCCGACGTCGAGTCAGCCGGCAATCCGACAACGGAGCGCTCTCATGGAATGAAAGATTTCCCCTCATGACCAGATCCACCTCGAGAACTGTAATCTGCTTACTGTATCTGTTCATGAAAACTATTTGCTCGTCGAAATACTCGTCATCATGTCTCGCCAACTTATCAGCAACGAGGAATTTCCACAAAGGCCTCACAACTGTAAGTACCTGAATTTCACCTTCAAATATCAAAATTCTGACTTTAATTTTGCAGGCCCAGCCGTAACGGTACCTGGCCTCGTATTTTGCTCAGGCCAGATCGGCAAAGGGGAAATCAAACAGGCCACCGTGAGGCCTTCGCTTTCTTTATGGAAAGAGTTTGCGGCATGACTGATATACTTGCAGACCACTGCCTTGAGTAACCTTAAGAAAGTCCTCGAGTTGTCTGGTTCATCCATCGAAAAGGTTGTCAAGTTCAATGGTGAGCCTTTAGCCGCGATGTTTCCTCTTCCAAACTAATTGGGTCCCGCAGTCTACTTGCAAGACATGAAGGACTTCGACACCATGAATGAGGCATACATCGCAGTAAGCAATGGTCTCAGAGTCTGCGTTGATTTCGCTAAGTCTTGCAGTTTCTTCCGCCAAACCCGCCAGCGCGAACTTGCATCCAGGCTGGATGTCTGCCAGGGGGTGCCGTCGTCGAAATAGAATGCATCGCAATGGCAGGCACCGAAAGTGCGAAACTTTGAGTAGTCAGCGTTATTATCGCCCCGGATTCACCATTGGTTGTAAAGAAAGGTAGTTCAACCGCCATAAAACGAGTTCATGGCGCCGTAGCTGAACTCATACGCGTCAAGCAGGCTGAACCATAAAGACATTGGCATATGAAAGTCCCCTTGCGACACATATAGACAAAATTCTCAGAGTGATTAATGAAGGTTGATGCATCCAAGGACTGTTGGGGCGCACAGAGAAATATAAGGGTGATGTATTTAGGTAAGCTAGGCTAGTTCTGGTGGGCTGGAACCAAGTAGGGGTGGTGGGTATGTACGGACCATCTCTGACAAAGACTATGTCTCCACAATGGAAGGCGGCATATTCACAAGATTCAGAAAGATAATGGGCAGCCATACCCTTAATCAGCCCCTACGAAAATCCCAACTGTAGAGTGGTCCATGCTGAAATAGTTGAAATTCAAAGCCATGCCACTTCTGGAATCAGGAGATCAGGAGATCAGGAGATCAGGAGATCAGGAGATCAGGAGATCATTGTAAGCTGCGCCTCGCCATACGATAGCGTACGGTGCCCGCGGACTACCGGAGGACATTTCTTTTCGGCACCCAAGCTCATTTCCCCTGCTGTCTGTGTGAGAAGAAAAATATAGCATCGTCTACGCCATATGTAAAACTTCCTTCCTGTCACAGCTTGCTCAATCATTTGATGGTACTTGAGTGCATTTGTATATGTTGATTGGAGCCGGAGTTTCTCTTCAACATGGAATCATACCCGCCACGACCTCTTGCAGTGGGGGAAAAGCGCGCCTGGAATTCGTATCCACCGCTTTTGCAACCGCCTGTCTCGCGCATGGTTCGCGCAATATACGGGCAAACCGTCCAAAGCTATACTGTCATTCGGAAAACTGGCCGGAAAGCGGATGGTCCATTGATTAACTTTGGTCGCTGGTTACTTGATAATCAGACCGGTACATGCAATCCTTATATGAGCATGTGATAGCTATTACCCCTGTCAATGCAAGGCACTGGATATGCATCACCAATCAAATTCACTAATTCCTACACTTTATTATAGGTGTCTTTCTCAGCCTCAGCGCTCTTTTCGTCCTGGTGCACACTTCCACACCTGAAGCACAGTCCTATACCTTCAAATTCCTCACCATATCACACTACAACCCACAGACGGGCAAATATGCCCTCGGCGCCGACGATGTCTATTTTATCCTTTTTTGCACCATTCTTCTCACCGGTCTGCGTGCTGGCATCATGAACCACATACTCGCTCCCTTGGCCAAAGCCGGCGGTATAACAAAGAAAAAGGAAATCGCACGGTTCGCAGAGCAAGGATTTCTAGTTATTCACTATGGCATTTTCTGGAGCATTGGCGTGGTATGTCGTCCCGACGCCACCAAGACCTGATGTCTATTTGTATTCCAGGTGAAGATGACTAACACGAAACAGTACATCTACACTCACTCCCCCTTCTACCTCAACATGTCCGAACTCTGGACCAACTGGCCGCAGCGTGACCTCTCCGGCCTGACCAAATTCTACATTCTGGCCCAGCTGTCATTCTACCTACAGCAGGTCGTGGCCATTAACTTCGAGGACCGACGTAAGGACCATTGGCAGATGTGCGTCCACCACGTCGTCACTATTGCCCTACTCTGGGGCGCTTATGCGTACCATCAAACCCGAATAGGCACCCTGATTCTTATCTTAATGGACAATGGCGATATCTTGTTGGGCATTGCAAAGTGTCTCAAGTACCTTGATTTCTCGACTGTATGCGATTACATGTTCGGCCTGTTCATTGTCTCGTGGGCGATCTGCCGGCATGGGTTTTACCTAGTGGCGTGTTGGAGTCTGTATGCTGAGAGTCTGAAGCATATCCCCGCTGGATGTTCCCGTGGACCGGACCATGATTTGACGGGGCCGTTCGAGCACGAGACCGAGGGTTGGGGCCATCTTCTTGCGCCTTTTACCGATGGTCAGGGCACGGTGTGTTGGAATGAGAATATTACAACGGGCTTTCTGGTTACTCTGCTGTTTCTTCAGGTCGTGCAGATCGTGTGGTTCGTCCTCATCCTCAAGGTCGCGATTAGGGTCATCAAGGGCACTGGGGCCGAAGACGTCAGGAGCGATAGCGAGGAGGAATTTGGAGAGACCGAAGAAATAAAGTATGAGCAGCAGTATGTCGTCGAGAAGGAAGTTGGGGTTGAGCAGATTGACTTGAATAGCTGGGAGCGTAGGAAGACGTTCAGGGGAGCCAAGGGCAGCGGCAGCCTCTTGACCGTAGCCAGTGGCGTGTCCTTGCCCGGCCCCAGCGGTTGAAAGGAGTTGCTGAGTCGCATTGGATATGAAAAGCAAATCGACTGATTTTCAAGGATTTCAGTGCGCTCTTTGTATAATGTCGATGTTAATTCACAGGAGCACGATACTGAGATGGCGAAGTGAAGGGCAGGGAACGAAGATACTAGGGACGGCGCTTTAATTAATACGGAAGTTTAGATAGGGAAGTTTAGATAGGGAAGTTCTGGAAGGGCTTATCAAGACGGTTAGAAATCCCTCCCGTGGACAGGCCAGCATAGAAAATGAAGCTCACAATACATTCAATCCATTTCCTATGTCGTCAGCCTCAAGATAATGAACTGATATTTTCAGAAACCCCTCCACCACTGCATCCACCCAGACACCGTAATGTGCAACCATCCCCTTTCCGTCCTGCGTAGACATGAACATTGTCTTCCCCACCCCTCTACCCCGAATAAAACCTAGAGAATAATTACATAAAACCTCGTCTCGCATTCAAGCGCCTATGCTCAGCCTCCCACTCCCGACGCAGTGCCTTCATCTTCGCTTCGTTCTCAGCCGTTGCCTTCGTGTACTTGCCATTGCTTCCCGCAAATTCCCGTCCATCGCCGTCATTTCCTGGACGAACTCCTCCTCTAGTTCTTTGATCCTGGCTTCGGCATCGGCCAATTCCTTCCTGTACGCTGCGTTGGCCTTTTGCTGCGAGGCGTCTAGTTCTGCCATTTGCTTCTCGAAGTCGTCGCCCAACATATTGGGTGTTGTGTTGTGTGCCCCTTGGTTTCAACGTATCCAAAGACTTTTATCTCAATTAGATGCCACCTCTCACAGAAATAACTCCTGAATCAATTGATGAATTGGTACGTGTGAAGGCTGTTGGCAAAATAGAGGGACCGGATAGAGTTTGTGATGCCTTGTTGCTGCTAGGGTAGTTTTCGAGATGGAAATTGCCAAAACTGGCACCAATAGTCGTAGCCAACATATTTCGAATCCATGGGTTTGGTGACGAGATGACTTATGGTCGTGAAGTTTTATATCCCAGTGACCCGACCGGAAGGTAAATGGGTTGACACCCAAAATAGGCGGGGCATCAACACGTGGAAGCATGACGTCATTGGCGATCAACATCTAACCAAGTTAGCATGGGTAAGTGGCTGAGTGCAATGATGTAAAGAATTTATCTACATATGATTCCATTTCTGGATATTCTACGGTGCCATCAGATTGATGTAGTTGTTGAATATGCAACTTAGTTGCTTCAGTATTCGTGTCAGCAAGCTCTCGACAAATCACAGTTGACAATGAAGAAGGCATATATATATATGTGAAAATGCTTAATGACCGATGATATTGGAATACGTAGTGGCATGTGTTCTCATTCACCTCCTCAGCTTAACACGATTTGCAGGAATGTTTTCAGAGAGGCATGTCTTGCGATAGGCAGGGTCTCAATGTGCTACTTCGATATTCAGTCCAACAGAGCCATTGCTCAACACAAGCCTGAAATGGATGAGAACAGAATACCGTGATTATGGTGTACGACCGGGCAGTGGAAATTCTACATTGTTTGTAGTACTTGACCCAGTAAACTCTGACTGCAAATCCTAAACTAGTGCGACCAAGTTGGAAGGACATAGACGGCGAGATTAGACCTGTCAAACATTATACTTATCAGCATATTTTACGACCATGTCGCCAATTCCAGAAGGAATAGAAAATTATTGGTTTTGATTCTAAAGCGCATCTATACCGTCACTGCGACGGCGGTGTCTGTACGATCACGAACTTAGGTATTTTTCGTATTTTACAATGCATATTTTCACGCCCAACTCTAATCCTAATTATCACGCTTCTTTACCGAAAGAGCTCTCTCTCCATTCAGTTCGCCGTATAACTCTCCACCGACAACTTTTTCTACACTGTAGGCCTTATAAAACTCGCGTTGATCCAGCCATTGCGAGAGGATAAATCCCAGCAGGGCGGCGTCACAGAAGTTAACTTTGTGAAAATACATTTGCTGGTTGCTCTGGATCAAACTCAAACACTTGATATGGCACACATGTGACTTTCGTTGCAGCCAGAAACGAATGTCTTTTTATCTTACTATCTTTTTTATCTTCTTGTGAAATACATTGCTGATCCCCTTTGCTAACTTCATGCCCGGGAAGTCTCTGGCAGATTGGTTATGACCCGAAGCTATATTTTGCCTTAACGTCAAGGTAAGGATGGTAGAATCGGGTGAAGTTTCGAATTTCTGGATAATAAGACCCTTGATCTACAATTCTACGGACAGAGCCACAGTTGCGTACATAAATACTCAAATAGTTAGCTGTATTATGGATCGTTCGACTGTGCCGTAACAAAGAGAGTGATCGGAATTCAATGAAACATGTTCGGAAGATGCTCGTGACTTGTTCGGGCGTTGATTCGAGTATTCTTTGTTCGTCAGCTCCGGAATGGACTGTGTGGCCAACATCAGTGGAAAATCGGAATGAAAAAAAGGGAACCTGATTGATAAGAATATCATATGGACTCATCTTCCTCGTAACCATGAGACATTTCCAACCAGGAGTATAATCACGATTTGGATCTCAAGGCTAAGAAAGTAAAATGCAAGATTCGATTTGCATGTTGGGCCTTCAGCACAATGTAAACCGGGAGTTTGCTCATATGCCCTAGACATTTGTCCATATATACACGCTGTCAAGACCCATCATTTACACATGCCTCTTATTTAAGTGGTAACTTACGCCTGAATATGATATGAAGACTGGAATGCATCAAGATCGCAAGTGGGTTTACACATTTAATAGCTGCTAATAACGATAAAATACGGGGCACCGTTCGACCTAACCAGTCACGAACGTGCGGGTATGCTCAGTATTTTCACCAGTAAATTGCATACTTTGACTTCCCTTTGACCAATTTCGCGAATTCGTTCCCAATAATCTCATCTGTGGCCATGTCAGCTGAGGTCAACATCGGTTAATATCCAGCTAGGGCATGGGCTTACCAGTCTTCTCCGACGGGTGAAGTTCATCGTACCTGTGACGATGTCAGCACGAGCTTCTCCGATCGAGCCATGTGTAATTCGTCTCACCATAAGAACGACGACAGCGGGTTCTCCGAGTTTGTACAAACCGATCCGTCCTCGTTGCACTCACGGTAGAAACCCGTCGAGTTAAACGGTGCATCCAAATACTTTTCCGGCTCGTTGTAGATATCTGTGATGAGGCTATGGACATCAAAGACCGTGAACGAGCTACCATGCCACCTCTTCTGGACCACATTCTGAAACGGCACTCCGTAATGAAACATGGTATTGACATTCGTGGTGTACTCCTTAATCTTCTGTTCGTACTCAGTCATGTTGTAGGACGCCTTGTTCGTCCAGTAGTGGTTGTCAGAAACACCGAAGTTCTGCTGTGCAGCATAAAGGGGCGAAAGCTCAAGAGGCGCTTCGTTCAGTATCACGAAGTGGCGCCCGCCGTTTTTGTGGATGATGTCGAACACCTCCCAGATACACTCGACGAAGTTGGTGATCGTCAGCCCCGGCTTCTGGGAGTCTACCAGGAAAGCGTCATTTCCCAAGTCGTTGGTCCCGATCCAGATGGCGTAGATGCTGTTGTCTGCCTCGCGGTTGGGGTAGAAGGTCTTATTGCCGGCTTCTTGCACGAACGAAGGTATCTCGTCCTCTAGAACCGACGGGTAGGTGCGGTTTATTCCTGCGAGGTAGCGGGAGAATATCTCGTTTGAACAGTATGCCCCGCTCACTGTATGATGCGGTTAGCTGAAGACCAGTAGGGTGGGAAATCAAGTGGTATATTTCTGTATGTTGTTTTAAACGTCGTCTCAATAATTTCTGGAGATTTACCGGCATAGTCATAGTACTTCGCACCAAGCTTCTGGGTCGCGAAATATCCCCAAGCGTATCCACCACTTGCAGTAAAGTTGCTACCGGCCGTCGATGTGCCTGGTGGTGGCGGCTGGCCGTTGTTGGAGAAATATGCTGACAACCGACCTTCATCGGTGTAACTATCACCAAACGTGATCACATTGTGGGGCCCCCGAAGGTTCTGCAAGCTACTTGACTTCCATGAATTTGCGACTGCGCCAGCCGCAACGAGGATTGGGAACAGTCTCATATTATAATGTCTAAGGGGCTGATTGAATACAAGCAAAACGAAGTAGGCAATCTGCACCGGGACCCGGGAGAAGCGACTGCAGCAGCCATTGATACTTATACAACAACATTAGGACAGGTACGTAACTATGACAGGGAGGCCCTACGCACGCCAGCTCTGGGAAATTGACCCGTTCTTCCGGAAGCGAATCATCCACGAGCGGTAAAAAAGAATGACGGTCCTGTAAGCAGAAATTGGAGTAAGCAGGATGAGGGGGATGTATTTGAATCATTTCAGGATATGCAGCCTTTCCTATCGATAGATTGTGGCGGAAACTGGGTATTAATGGAAAAGCTTGCTAGTCACATAGTCTACGCATGCCGTGGTTCCCGACTGGGTTGGGAGGCAGGGGGAGGGCGATGGGAGTTGATAATTTAACTGGTTTCGACCGACTTGAGAAAATCATTCATGAATGAGGGGAATTTGGAGAACCAACAACAAGCATGGATGGGGTAAGCATCTCAACTTGCATGGGTGAAGTGGTATTGCGGTAGGAATAAGTGACGATCATGAGGGGGGAATCGAGGTCCAATAATGTTTTCCACCAATGAACGGAAAGTGTTGCGCCATGACGAAGTTGCTTCGAAGTTCGTTCACTCTTCGATGATTGGGAAACAACCGATGGCCTGCCCTGACTGAAAACAAACCGCAAGCGATATATCAACATTGAAGCACTGGAGGGCAAGAATATTGCTACATCGATGGAGAAATTGGAAGCCTACCCAAGATTGAAGCCAGAGGCTCAGACAGCTGCTTACAGCGATGCAATTGAGGCTCTGCCTCCACGTACAGTCAGGCTCGTAAGGGTGGGTACTACTTTACGAGCGTACAGTTGATCAGGGTTAGACATATTTCTGACCCCGGCTGGCTAACTGTAACCTGCTACTTAACGCCAACACGAAAATTCGCGCAAGCCTCTACAATTAAGAAACAATTTCATCCACCGTCCGAGTTATCAACATGAACTCGAATTAGACCTAGTTTGTCGTAGAGGTACTAGCGAGCTATATACTCAAGATTATTTTCATCCTTCACAGGATAAAGCGAATATATATCTCTTAGCGTAAGCGACAGAGTAGTTGAGTCCTAAAGCTATTTTTAATTAAATAGCTATGTCATAACATAGATCCTAACACTGTGAAGTATATTCAAGCTTATCTAACGAGGTAACTTAGCAGATAATACCCTGAACTATACATTTCAAAAAAAGCTCGATATTAAAAGTTTAGAGCTAACGTACCCCACAAGCAAGTTGGCCACACAAGCAAGTTGGCCACTTTTTCTTGGCACCGTATGAATAACTTCAATAACTTAACTAAACTAAAAAATAATAATTCAAACTAATCGGAATCCTCTTCATCGTACGTATCTTTATCATTCTCACAAGTACGAGCATTATGTCCGGGCTCTCCGCAGATCCTACAGCGCCGTCGGCGTGGTTCGGCCGGTCTCGTACGACGACGACTTACACGTATACCATCCTCTAGCTGCTGTTCAATATCCCGTTGAGACTGTAAGTCCTGAGCGTCTCGTAAACTAAGAGATCCTCCATCTTGTAGCTGTCGATTTTGAGTCCTTCGACGACGGCTTAGCTCTTGATTGGCCTTCCGAAGTGTAGTAACCTCATCCTCAAGTAAAACTAACCGATGCATAACAGCCGTCGCACCACGTGAAAATTGGTCAATAGCCGTAATTATTGTCGTCGGGGAGCTATTCTGATGCTATAAGATTCTGTTTTTAACGTATTCAGACTGGGATTGCGCCTCGGTTGGGTTATTTGGAGTCTTTGATTCCCAGATTAAGGGGGCGCCAGACGAGCTCCCAGGAGGTGTAGGCGTATGTAGCTTAATATTGAAACGGGGTCAGGCGGTCAGTAGGATATACCTACCACCTAACACACTGAACAGACGGCTCCAGTACCAACAGATCCCATCTGTTGATCTTATCAGACGAAGATTGTCAGGGTACGGCTAGGCCGAAGGCAATAGTACAGAGTGATGGGGAGTAACGGGCGTCCCTCCTACGTAATACCGGGTGGTCACTGGCGGTCTCAGGTAGGGGTGCCCACGGTGATGCATTGATCTCTGCCCTCTCTATCTTCCTCCGTCTCGACTCCTTACTTATAGCCAGCCGAGGTTCTCTCTTGGATTCTGGATGTTTGCTTCCGTATGTCTGTGTTCCTCCGACTTCGGCCAATATCTTGGAGAGCGGCTCCTTATCTGCAACCAAGCGATTCCCTATCCGCTGCAAACGGCTTCAACGGCTCTCATTCGCCACAAGCGGCTCTCTAGCCGCCACAAACGGCTTCCTACCTGGTGGAAGCCGGCCCGCCTCGGATGACACTTGTGGCTCTGACAACTCCTTCCCTATCCTACTTCGAGATGGTCCTTATATAGATAGCTAGGCCGCCGCTTGGACCCGGCATAACAGCAGGGTCGGCGATGCCAAGGATCTTGACTCTCGTCATCCCAAAGCTTCACATAGATTGTAATCATGATTCGGGAGTCTTTTGTCCGAAACACCCCTCCGGCGGCCCGCCGGTGTCCTGCGTTCAGTGTCCTGACACCCACTGGTGCCTATGGCATTCTGTTCTCTGACAAAGATCGTGGTACTGGTTATAAGAGTGAAGCTCTTACACGTCTGGTGCGTGAGTTAGTCGGACATGCCCCTGATACTCGTATCGTAATAGTAGGATCTCGAACGTAAAGATAAGCTGAATAACTAAAATAACTAAATAACTGACTGAAAAGCGAAGGTGAAGATATAGATAAGAAGGAGATGATGATATGAAGATGAGGATGATGATGCATGAAGATGAGGGACTCGTGTCCTACTCTGCCTCTGTGCCTCTTAAAGAGAAAATAAACTTTCTCCTAGCCCCGTAACCTATTTCCCTGATGTCCGGCCTTACCCCGTTACAATATCCAGCTGTGAAATCACATATTCCGGGTCGTACGGAATAAGTCCTGTCCCCCTGAAACCTGCCTGGATATTCGACTTAGTTATAGTCGTACGATACGCCCTATAGAATGCCGAAAAGAAATCCTCCTTCGAGATATGGGTTATATGCGCCCGTATTAGGTCTTCAATTTCTTTGCCGTACGACCTTTTCAAAGCCCTAAAACAGCCTACATCGAGAGGCTGGAGCTTATGTGACGAATGAGCAGGCATACTAAGTGTAACAATAGTATGCTCTTTGCAATATAGCTCGAAGTTAGTCGAGTGGTGGCTCTCATGCCCGTTGAGGATAAGAAGACGATAAACACCCTTCGTACGATCCTTCGTATAGCGATCAAAGTGCTGAATCCAGTCTACGCCTCGCTCATTTGTTGTCCAACCGTTTTTGGTTACAGCGATTACCCAGTCGGACGGGAATGGGCTATTCTCGTACCAGGATAAGAGGTGGTTTTAACCCGCGACAATAATATACGGCGGGATAGCCCAGCCGGACGAATTGATACCCTGGATTACTGTAGCCCATTCTCGATTGCCTTGTTGGACTGTACGAGGCCTTCCGCGTCGTTCGGCACTTGTAACTACCATCTCGGATGAGATTAAGCCCATCGCGAACCCTGTCTCGTCGAAGTTATAGATATCCGCCTCTTGGATACCATATTTCGCAATTGTATTTCGTACGAGCGTAAACCACGCGCGATACGCGTCAGGATCTTCGCAATAGGCTCGTTGGTAGTCGATTATTTGATTAAAACGCGTCCGAAGGTCTGGTTGTCGTCGTACGAAGTTCGAGGCCCAGTTGACGCCGACGCGTCCAGCGCCACGGTCACGGAGCAGTCGGTTAGCCATAGCTTCAACACCATGGAGCCGGGGAGGAAATGATCGCGAATCTAGGTCAAGTATATATTGTACGACCGCTAACTCTTCTGATTCCGTAAGCTTATGACTAGATTGTCGAGTATCGCGTCGAGATAGTAGTCCGCGTTTTCGGTTAGCTAGAGTTGTACGAGGGACATTGTAGAGTTGGGCAGCGCGTCGGATGCTTAATTCGGGGTTCGATTGAAGCGCCTGACACGCTAGAATCATGTCGCTTTCTTTCCAATTCGATCCCATCTTGGTATTGTAAAGATGCTAATTAAAAGGTTGTTCGTACGGTGCCAAGAAAAAGTGGCCAACTTGCTTGTGGGGTACGTTACATATACTATAAGAGGCGTGGGTAGTATGTCGGGCAGTCTAATGAAGCGGCTGATTAGTATACTAGAGCGCCGCTTCGCGCGATTGAAAGGGCCCGCGGTTGGTACATATAATTCTTAATCTCTACACGCTGAGCTTTATTTTGACTCTATTTAGTGTGCATATCGCTTATATTCATGAAGAAATGGGGAAGTGACAGTTGTGGTGCCCTGTAGCCGTTTGATATTCTAGCGGAGTGGTCCCCGGACTTTTGGAACAGTACTGTAGTTGCAGTTTGCAGTGTACTTATTATGTAGGGTTGTTTGATGATTGTACGTGCCTTCCTTTCATGGTCTAAGCGCAGCTTCTGCCTAATGGCCTATGCGCCACAATCAGCAGTGGCCCGTGCACCAAGAATATTTCCTACTTCAACTCTCGCGCCACCCATCCTTTCTTAATTTCTTTTCTCTTTTCTTCTTCATTCTGGTGCACGGGCTTTACGCATGTCAGTGAAGGTTCGCCTGAGACTGCGTTTTTGCTAGTTGAAAACTATACTATGACCGCTTCTGTTGGGCTTCGGCCTGGCAGAGAATTTTTGGCACATATTTTCTCGTGAGAGACATGTTCATTTTCGTTGCTTTCGGTCCCTGGTGGAACGAGGTGAGGAAGAAGCTGATCTCCACCTTAATCTGGCGCGAATGTCAGCTCTACTTGCCACCGTCCTCGATGGTAAAGTCCCAATCGACTAGTGTCCGCTCTTCAGCTCCAACGCGAAAAACGGCGACCACCTGCGATTACATTACCTGTACCTCACCATGTGTGTGATCAACGCGCCTCAACGGTTCTCTCCATGCTACAAGCGGCAGTTCGGCCGATGATATCATAGCAGCTCCAAAATGGATCTGTGCTCATTCGCCCTTGAGGTACAACATACCGCGACAATAGACTCCCCCGCAGCTACCATGAAGACGCAATGACCTAGCGAACCCAGACTAAACTCTCTGATGAACGCAATTGCCAATTGTCGACGCGATCATCGTCCCATGCGATGTCCCCAACGCTGGAGGGAACAGCATCCAAATCCGAGCCCGCAACCAACCGAGCAGCCTTTGCTCATGTACGTTTGCATGACGCGATACCACTGATGCAAGAGACTCGACTTTAAACTGGAGCGAAGAGCGGTCATGCCGTTGCGAGGCAACTTCCTCGACTTTGCAGGCAGGATCAGAACAGTTCGATTCTGCACAACAGGCTAATGACAACTCGTACCCGCAAGCAACTGCCAGACCGACTGCTGCGATGAACCCTACGGACCTTGCCCCAGCTCGGGCCTTGGCGCAGGATCAGGTCGCCTAGTAGCTGTGTCACTCGTGCTATATATGAGTAGCCGAAAATAGAATTGGGATCGAACACTCCGTTAGCGTAGATGCTCTTGCCTTGCACTCCATCACCACAACTGGCCCTAGGTAGCCGCAGGTGGCCATGTTCGCAAGCGTATTCCGGTCTAATCTGGGTTCGTCAAGCATTGTGGGTTCAAGGCTGCAATGCATGTCGGCATTCGCGGCAGTGCATGAATGCCGAAGGCCCCAAGGTCCACGAGCCTGGGCCTCGAAGTGTAAGAGACAGCAATGATTTCTCGAGAATGTACTGCGTCTCGTGATTGTTCCGTGATGCCGCTGCCGACCTGGTGCCTACTACTTGGATGGTGCTACTAGTCCAGTGCGCAGCATGCCTCTTACGTTACTCACCATTGATTTCATGCCGATATAGTTTACAACGTCTATTGCACTATCTGACGTTTACACCTATCGATGATATCTAGTTGTGTGTTTCCGCAGCTGCTCCTTCACTGGGCGGAATCTCTAGCGATGACAGGTCTAAGGTTAGGTCCTCGACCTATATTTCTCAACGGCAATCTCAATGCGAAGCTCGGGTTTGATTTTGTATGTGCCGTTTTTGGAAACTTATGATCGTCCTCTTGGATCTTCAAGCCCTTCACAGAACAAACCGACGGGTCGGCGCCATGCTTCTACAGCTAGGCCGCCTTTTTGTAGTCGAAGCTGCGCTATTCTCTAACGGCAAGATCGAATGGCGTACGCGCTGGTTTATCCTTCAAGTTGATGCCGTCCGGCGGTTCTCCAACATGGTACGTACCATATTAACAGGCTAGGGCTTGACAGCAATATGCAGCGATGATTGTCCCAGCTTCTCACAGTCAGAAAACCATGGCCCGATATCATTATCGATGAAGAACTTGACCTTCTGTTTATTATCCCCGACCATAGTGGTCCCTCAGTGTCTTTGCGATGTCCTCGTAGCCCCAGAGAACCGCGAAACTCAAGGCGTCAATCATCCACAGCAATCGATGTTGTTGATGTTATAATACTCAATATTCGGTGAACGTGTTTGACAGTGTTTCAATGTCCTAGGTCAGGCAGCGAGTGTTGCCCGATACATAATGGGGACTGTAATCCCCAGCTGTCAATAGTTTCACAACCTCAAGGTGGCCGTTCATGGCCGCCAGATGAACGGCAGTGTGCAACTAAACCGGATGGTCCACACCGAAATAGGTATTCCAGATCAGGTTCGCAGCATCTATCGCCTTTGCGGCTGTCGGTGATGAAGACTTATTTCTAGAGAATATCCCAAAGAGCACAGCAGGTCGTTGCCGGCGCGGGCACACCCACTGAGTCATCGAGGTGGTATTTGGCACCATACCAGAAGATCTCGGCTAGCAATGGGATATTGGCCCGGGCTTGGGTCTGGTCTTGTTTGTCGATCACAATCTCTGAAGCCATTTCGCTGTTTTGGGGCTGTTGGTTATTCAAGATTTGCGGGCTTGAAAGGATATAAAATCCCACGGTGTTGGCTATCGGAGTCACTGCATTCATGAGATGTCACTGAAGGAGACTGCGGGACGCTTTTGAGTGACATACTTTTGGATATCCTTTGTCATTCCCTTATATATCGGATTCATTGTTGGCACCTAGGATAGAACGTAGGTTCAGGGATAAAAGCTTCAATGGCAAGGGTGATACTTGGTCGGTTGAGCTCATGCATGCAAAAGTCGCAGCGCCCTCAAAACTGTTCCATTATTGGTTTCAAGATAGCGGCTTGGTCTTCCACCAGAAGACGCCACCAGCAGTATTACCCAGAATATTTGGCTCGTGATATCCGCAAAGTTGCACGACCTCTCAAGACCTAATCATCCACCTGGGCATACTTGGAGAGTTGCGCATGGGGTGTCTAAGACCAATACCCGTCCTCTATCCCGGAATCAAAACGCGAGCGCATGGCTTCTCTATGCTCCCAGAGGGTGAAATCTGCTCAAAATTGTTAGACAATTCTCAGGCCATTGCCGGTAGAATAATCACCTGGAGTGAATCCCCATGCCCGTGGCTTCTACACTTGGGTGTTTGAACTTCCAAACCGCCGCTGAGACCTCATCATCAATGCTGCATTACATCGTGATCCTTGTGTCGTGGCACTACGGTGGATACAACGCGGCTCGCGTTCCTGTCGGTTCGATGTAATCGGCAGGTCCTCGTTTAGTCCGTCGGAACCCTGGGATCGTACACCTCATACCCCTCATCCTCGGTATCACTCTCATCCGCATCCCCCAAAATCTTCTTTTCTACCTCTTTCGTACCCCCTCCCTCATCGCTCGCTCTCCCCGCAGGTGCAAAAGCACTCTTAAATCCACTTTTCTTGAACCCGCCCTTTTTGAATCCACCAGCAGCACCATTTCCCGCACCCGTGTTCGCATTATTCGCGTTCGCACCCCCGGCATCGCCGAGCTTAATACTAATAATGCCGTCGGCCTTCTGCTCCGTCTTTCGTGCTCGCGCGGCGGCGGTCGGGTCCTTGACCATCTGCTTCATGTCCTTCATGCGCTGGCGGTGGGTGTGGTCGTAGCTGGAAAGGTGGGCCTCGTAGTCGTTCATGCGGCTGTAGCCTTTGGAGCAGAGGTCACAGTAGAAGGATTGCAGAGCTGCGCGGGCCGAGGCCGTTTGCGCGGAGGGCAGGGTTTGGTGGCGCTGTTTGGGGACAGGTTTGAGGTTAGCCGGCATTCAGGAAGAGTTGGCAGGAAGGGGATTGTCGGCAGAAGAAAGACTTACTGGAGGCATCTTGACTTGAATCTGTGAAATGGATGTACCAAGGCAAGGTGTAGAAGATGGGAAGCTTTGGGCGTGATGAAGTTGCGATAGAGCTACGTGAGGATCGTCGCGAGATCGTCGCGAAATCGGCTGTTGTGGTGGAGTTGGGGGATCTGATTAATTCCAGTGCGGGCATTGGCAGGAACAAGCCGAAGCTTGGACATTTGGGTCCTGCAGTACACGTCATGTTGCATTGGCACAGCTCAGTAGAATCTGGGGAATAATTTTTGGAAAACACCAAAACGTTGTTCAATACTAGGCACAATTTAGAGTTGAGAGCTTTCTCAGCGACCACTCAAGATGTTTGAGCACACGCTGAGCCACAAGGCGTCTCAGGAGACGTTCATATCTCTCATGCAGCTTGACCCGTCACCTATGGAGAGTCCCTATACTGAGAAGGACCTCCCACCACTACCCGAGGACCTGGACTCTTCGACGGAAAGGCTCAAATCGCAAGATACTTCGCCCAACTCTTCCTCATATCTCTTGGGTCTCAGCGGCAGCGGCCGTGGGCCCGTGTACTACCGTAAACATGCCATATGGTAGAAATTCCATTCAGACTGCATTACTCACCCCACTCGCAGTAACCCGCATACAACGCTACTCAAGCTACACCTTCACCTTCTTCGCCGGCCTACACTTCACCAGCACCTCCCTAATACCCCTGCTCTACCAATCCGTCCCGTACTCCGAACCTTTCCTCCTCATGGCCCGCGAACTCTACCAAACGCCCCTCACCGAGCCGCTCCTTGTCGCCCTCCCCGTCGCCGCACACGTCGCATCCGGTATCGCCTTGCGCCTGACCCGCCGATCGCAGAACCTCACACGCTATGGCGGCGCTACGCCGGGGATGTACGCTCTGCACCGTTCCAAAACTTCTTCGACTTCTAGCTCCAAGGCGGGGTCCAGGATATGGCCGCTGCTCAGCTACACCGCCGCAAGTGGATACTTCTTCGTGGTGGTGCTAGCGTCGCATGTGGGGATGAACCGGGTGCTGCCTCTGCTTGCGGAGGGAGATAGTTCGAATATCGGCCTACAATTTGTTTCACACGCGTTCGCGCGCCATGAAGTCATACCTTGGATTGCGTATACCTTGTTGCTTGGGGTCGGGGTCGGACATATGGTTTGGGGATGGGCGAAGTGGTGGAATGTTGCGCCGCCGATGAACTGGAGGAGGACAACGATGGATAAAAGACTGAGGAAGAGAAGGAGTAGGATGTGGTGGGGGATTAATGGCTCGATGGCTTTGGTTGTGGGAGTGTGGGCTGCTGGCGGTCTGGGGGTTGTTGCGAGAGCTGGGGCAGCCGGCGGTTGGTTGGGGAGTGTATATGATGCTGTATACGCTCGCTGGGGGCAATAGACCGCATTATGTACATGAATAACGCGCTTATGTATCACATGGGATATGCCTGGGAATGATTAGATAGAGGTCAAAGGTAGCATGGAAAAGCATAGCGGGCGCCGAGAGTCGGGGAGGGCATGTTTGCATTTGTTACGCAGGTCCGTTTCGCGCTTCCGGGAAACATTCTCCTCACCTCGAACATACAAACATTGTTTTTGTGCTCAAGTATTCTTTCCAAGAGTTTTGAATCCATTTATTGTTTCTTCGGCCTGTCGAATTGGGCAGGGCAATTTATTTCGCGATAGGCAATTACGGTGCGGCCGGCACCCTTGCGTCTCTCAACAACTTGATGCTTCCCTTGGAACCCGATCGTATTATCACATTCTCTGAATTTCTGCTTTCACCGCAGTTTTACTAAGAGTTTGACAAGTACGCGAATGACGAATTTTACTCAAGAAGGTGCATTCATCCCAGTACCGGCACGCGATGCCTCCTGTGCACCCACCCATCCAATCAAGCTGTCGTAAATACTCTTGCGACTGCAGAATTCTGCTCTCCTCAAATTTCCATCGCCAATTCTAGCCAGAACCCCAAGACAATACCTCTTAACTCCTCCCCTCAAGCTCCACAAGGGTCCGCGAGAACATCTTGGTTGGATCCAATATCTCATCACCTGACCTCAGTGTACCCAAGATGTGCACCGAATACACCATTTATCACATCTGCCCCCAGTGCCAGAAGTGTGTCTGGGAACACCAAATCTACCTCCGCCTCTGCCATGCGGCAAATGGTAAGCTGGGGTCCTGCCCGGATGGGATGCACACGCATGGACGGAGCGAGCGAATGCCCGAGCCGTGCGGGTGCTGTAAGTGGTTGACGTGGCGGCAGAGAAGGGCGAATATGGTGGGTGTGGACTTTTGGGGTGGTAATCATCGAAAGGTTGGGCAGCGGAAGGCTTGGTAGGGCAAGGGGAGCAGCAGTGAAGCCTGGGCCTGTTTGTTATTCTTTTCGTTTCCAGCAGGAATTCCAGCAGGAAAGGGGGCTGCATTACGGAATATCGTGATTAGGCCTTCGATGATGGACGTGTCGCCATGCATCAAGGAAATGTAGCCGATTTTGACTGTTTAGGGGTGTAGGGAAATTAGATACATCAAACTACAAAACAACCCTCAGAGTTACCGTTAAGAGACTACTAGTAATAGTGACTTTGGTGCTTTAAGTATATCTGATACATCCTCCATGATTCCTTGGCCTGTTCGCTGTCCGATGATAATTGTTATATCATGGAGGATTGTGATGTTGATTTAGCTAAGTTAACCTCCGTCAGGTGTAACGGTAGAATGTTACCTATCTAACTAGTGTACATTGTTACGGAGTAACTAGGGCTCCGCCAGTGGACTGTGTGCCACTAGTTCTCTGTTATTATATAGACTCAAGTAATGACGTGCCTAACTTCGGGTCCGAGAACTAGTCTGACTCACTGCTTGGCGTACCCGAAGATGGATTCAGTTATCGACCTAGTCATCGTAACCCAGGCCCTTATTCTTAACTTTGGGGTTTTCTTCGATTCTTTTTCGGATGTGACTGAAATAGGGGGCACCAGTCTATCATCTTAGGTTAGAATTATATGGTCTTCAACTACTAAGATCTTAGAGGCTTTTATTCGAGTTTACCCACGGGATATGTTATATCCTACAAAGTTAACTTGTTTTTAGTAGAACTAGCTTTTCTCTAAATTTACGATTATGCGATTTTCAAGTCATCACTGGGCCCGGAATCTTTACCAGCGGGTTACCCTGCTGAGGAACTGCGGGCTAGATTACCACCAGTGGTAGATCATTGTTTACTTGGCCTGCTTGTGGGCTGTTACTCACATGGCAGCTCTCAACGTCTTGTGGAATCATCTAAGTCTCCATCCAGGCATATCACGCCCGTATCTGTTTCATACTAGCCCTCATTACGCTCTTGATTGCTCTGGTGCCCGCTTGAGTTTTGAACGGGCACAAAAGAGGTTCTTGGAAGCAGTGCGTCCGACATCCTTCGCCATCTTTTATTTCAATCTTCCTTCTAATCTCAAGTAGTGTACTTGATGTGCCCGGCGCGTCTCGTCAGCAAACCAGCCAGCTCGTAGTAGCCCAATTTCCTTATAGCTTCGTCTTATACGTATAATCGCGCGAGGTTCACAACCACATTCATACGCGTACCTGTTATAGCCTTTTCATGATAAAATGATATCCGCCTTGTATCTTATTACCGATGGATTGTGCAGATTCAGCGTAACCTCGTAGCCCGACAATTGAGGCCAATTTTGGACATAGATTCAGATATGGACCAGGTCGTAATGTAGGAGCCAGTTTGGCGGCCACAGTACTAGAAGACCGTAGCGATCTTTACTCCAGCATCTCTGGCAACTCTGTTTTGACATCGCGGCGGGGTCTGTTATATTACCAGGTACCGCCAACAAATCACTTTCTTGTTTATTTGTGTAGATTTAGGTTCCTCTATAGGAAAGCATTGATTGTTGTTCCTAAAGTTGGTATCGGCTTACAGAGCTGCCTGAGACTGGTAACCAAGGTAGTGTGGTTACCTGAGCTGCAAGTTTCAGGGTGTAACACTGCTTGTAGTTGAGACATGAATGAGTATCGCAGTCCGGATGTTTTGCTAAACACGAATGTAACCCCTGTTAGTAGCTAAAGTTCTAGCTTATTCCGTTCGCCAGTAGACCATCACTAGTTCTTTCGCAGCTATATATTCTACCGAACTTCTGCAATGTTATGTGTATAGTTCCTTCGTCCGATTCATCTTTAATAATTGTCTTATTTATGATTTACGTACTTGCGAATGAACATGTGTCTGTCGATGGAGAGATATCGAGTGTCCTATACCCTGTTGAATTTGGCACCTGAGGGATGAGGAGTGGAGATTTGATATATGAAGCAGGCACTCGGTCAGAAGCTTCATATCGGGGATTTAGTCCTGCCGAGCACTACTGCGGATCATGTGTGAATCCGTATTGAGAAAAACAGCTATTATGTTTGCATGTCGGTTCTATTACTGTGTCTACCTAAGGGATATATCTGTACTAATTAAGATAAGTAGCTCAACCTTGGACTATAACTGGCTGAACAGATTAGCGGGGAAAGAGACAGAATACTACACGTCAATCATGAATTATACTTAATCTAATAACGTGGTAGAAGCAATAGTATCTGGAGGATTCTCGTCGCAACTGGTGAGTCCGACAAGCAATGCTGTCGTATTTCGTGTCGTGACTTAATCGATAGTGGAGGGTAATTATCTGAAAGCTTCTGAATTATCCTAACCACTTTTCTCAAGTTACTAGACACTGGCATATCTTTGAAACTCCATTGTGGCCGCCTCAAGACATGCTCAATAACTAACTAGCAAATAACATTAGGGTTTACATCCTGAGGGATTCAGTCCTCTGGTGATGACTCTGCGTGGATAGTGTATTGATTGGTGTGTCTGCTCTATGCGTTGCATTATATTGGTTACTAGAAGTGCTATGTAGAAAGCTATGTCTGCGGAGGGTGTGAGGGGTTTGACCCCACTAACTACACTTGCCGCTACACCGCCTTCGGCCTAGGACATAACTGTGGTGCTCAATCCCACATATTCTATACGTCCTGCCCTTATTCTTATGAAGCTAGGGACCATCCATCGCGGGAGTGTTTCAACATAGATATATTAACCGGAGCGGCTCCGTAAGCCTATGTCGGGTAGCGATCTTCAATATCCTATGCTAGATGCCAGCTAGCTTGGCCTAATGCAGACTTGCAACCCTTCTTATTCTTATTCTGATGGGCTTTCTGACAATCTTGCCTGTAATACTGTGGTTCCAACAGTATCGATTGACGGCTTGCAATCCTAATTAATCACTGAGACCAGCTTGCAAATTATATAAGCAAGAGAGTTATATTGGTAATGATGATGATGATGTTGGGACTAATTCCCAAAGGCTGCAGCTCCTGAAGGGCTACCTCTGGGCAGTTGGCCCAAGCGCTGTACCCTGAACCCAGCCGGTGTCCCCGGGGCATGGAACAGTGTCATGTTTTCAGGAGGCCTACCATTTATTCATACTGCATTAGGCAGTGTAACCAGATAGTCGTAGTCAAAGTCGCACCACGGGGTTACCGCATTAATACAATCAGCAAGACCACTCACGAGCAAACGCAACATAATCGTCAAATTAAACCAAAGGCTGGGTTAAGCGTTTGGAGTAAACTACCGAGATATAAGCTGGATCACTTGAGTATTGCCACGTAAGAGTCGGACCGAAGTGTATAAGGGGAAGCTAGGGAAGTGCAGCCGAGTCTCTGGTATGCAAGCAACCAGAACTTTTGGTATTGGGACACTCAGATACTTGAACGAGGAAGAGATCAGCTACTTTGACGCACCCTCTTCCGACCCCCTGCCCTCTACACTCCCCTCCTTGCCAGTCCTTTTTATCTCTGAACGGGTTGGCTAGTCATAGTATTAGATTTCTAGCTCCCATGGCATCGAGTCTCTTGTACCGCAGCATCACACATCTCTCTACAACTGGTAAGCTAGGCTGATATTGACATCACTGGCGCCTGGATTGGTGACTATGGACGGACTAGGGTCTAGAGCTTAATGAAGCGTGGCCAGCTTTTGATTGCCACTTTGTAGCCATGCCGTGGCTAATGAACACCATACGTGCTGATGAGAACAAACATTTGAAGCAGCTGACCTGGTATCCCTAAGCAGAACGAGGACTAGTTGTCTCACAAGTCCGATCATGTCTCATCCCGTTGGCAAGCCCCCTCACGGACACAGACGCATCCGGCCATCAACAGTCATTCCACAAAGCTAACGCAATCCAATTTTATAAGCGCAAGTATGACGAAGTCAATGATAATCCCAATCGACTCGCTCAAACCCATCAAGGCAACCGCCAGGCATGCCCTTGAACAGCAACTAGGCAACTTCTAACCATCTTTGTACTCATGAAACCTCCAGAGATTAGGGGTTTAGTATTGGTATTCCTCAAGCACGATATTCAGCATTGAGGACCTGGTGTCACGTTTAATTATAAACATTAACTTACCGCAGGCGACCTCGAGAAGGGGCGAGGACCTAAGGACACGGATATTGAGATTGCAAACGGAGACCCAAGATCTGAATACCTTAAGATTGCTATGCTAGTCTTGTAGGCTCAATGGACTGGAACTGGTAATTATATGGAAAGTTACGGAAGATAGCGACTTGGCCTGGCAAGATGTTTTAGTCACTTGTAGTGCCGCAGAGATTCTGCACTTAAGACGTTGTCTTTGACCTGAAGTTTGCTCCTCTCACTCTAACATAAAACCCTTTAATGGATGTTATGCAGGATCCCGGATGTTATTCACTTCCTTCGCAAACACTCACTTTGAACACCTCAAGAGTTGCTATTGGCTTAACTGTGCTAATCAAACGGGCATCTTCTATTTGCAATGGACTGAAGCCTTATGTTTTAAACCCACTACTTCCGTATAAATTTTGCATCTGCTTCTGAGACTTCTCTTATGGGTATGCTCATTTCTATGATTTCCAACATTTGATAGCTGTCTGCTTCACAACTCTTACACTCCAGTCGCTTAGCCATCTCGTGTCTTCGCTCTTTCCAGACGGTAACACGCCCGCCGTGTCACTAACCCAGGTATGTCATGTCTCATTAGCATAGAAAATCAGTAGCTTTTCTCATCCTCCTTTTTTACTTCTTGCCAGTCTATCCATCTGTAATTACCACAAGACTCTATCCTAAAATAACTGCTTTCCATATCTGCTAAATTGTGCTAAATTGAAGAACATAGTTGAATCAGACCTCATACGAACCAGCCTCGTGTGGTTCTTGCGACTCGGTGCTTGAATTTGGAGCTGAATGCTGCGTAAGGCAAGCCAACGAAAATCTAATCTGAGCCTCATCTCCACATTCTTCTTCCTTTGTTCCTTCCTTCCTAGCAGAATCTACGGTCTTCTCATCGAACCCCTCTTCCCGGCCTTCGATCAGAAAGCATGCCTTCAACCATTCCGATAAGTCAGGATGCTTTCATGTATCAGGTTCATCATATCTTCTTGCCACCAAAGCTTCCGCAGAAAGACGACTTCGATGCCTCGCATGAGCAGGAATTATTGAAGAATGTCCTCAGTGCCATGGAGACATTCAAGGGCTACATAGACCATTCCCCAAATTTTGAAGCCGCCATTGGCATGGTTCGGACTATGATTCGTAGCAGACAAGGTGGTTTCCTCAGCACCGAGTTCGTCAATTCTGTCTTGCTGAACATGAAAGATGGTGGTAAGTTCGAACTATTTTCAACCCCTTGTACAACAGGTCCACAAAGACTTCCTGCCTTGACCGCCGTTCTGAACATATACTGACAGAGCATAGATTGTCTAGGATTCTGCGTCAGAAGCCAGAACTTTGGGCTGTTGTTGACTAGGGTTGAAGAGGTTGTTCGCTTCGAGGGATTTGAACTCCTCGCCTCAAACTCTCAAGTTATCGGGTGCAAGGGGAGACTGCGACGAACATTTCCAAACACCTGCGTTGAGCTCAGCTTTCGCAGGTTCAAGGACCCTTCCTTTCCGGAAATGCTGGCCGATCTCATCGTCGAGCTGGACCGCACAACACATCCAAGCTGCCGTCCCAAAGCAGCGAAGGCAAAAAAAGCACAAGACGAGGTGCGCGAAACGGTGAATCCAAATCTCCTTTTCATGGTGAACGGCATTCTTCGTGGTCTGGGGGACGGGTGCGCATATAAGCAGATCCTTAAGCATAGCCGCGAGGAGACTCTTTATCACGATTCTAAGGTCGGCTGGCACAGATCGGCTTGTTGGCTTTTTCTTCGCGTCTCACTTCAGCTTGCACTCGACAGAGAAGAGACAGACCAGAGCCTGTTCAAGGAGCTCATGGCTTTTCTCATGGGTACATTGCTTGAGCAGGGCATATCTATGAATTTGCCCAGTCATCTGTTGCATTGCATGCTGGCCAAAGTCAATCGTCGTCATCTGAAGTTGCTTAACGTCCTCGGTTCAGAATCCAAGCCTCGATGGGTGTCCTATACTTTGGACATGATGCAGCGAGCCAGCTCGAGATTGCAAGAGACCTGGTCACTCATTCAAAAGGACAATATACGACCGATCAAACTTTCCAAGCTAGAGAAAGTTCAATTTGACGAGGATACTCGCTTAAGCTTAGCCAACTTGAAGCCGTATCTCGACGGGGTATCTGATCCCAAACGTTGTACATCATCACGGGCCCCGAGCGATCGGAACGGCGGATTTGCTTTTAGCAGAGCACGTGTCGACTGCCTTCCTAGCCCTTCGTTTGACGGTGAACCTAGCATTTACCTTCAGTTGATTGATTTTGAGAATTGGGTCTCCGAGAGCCTGCAGACGTGGTTAACCAGCCACGCTAGCTCAAGGTCAACGTGGAAAGACCTGTCCGGCCTGTTGGAGAACTATCACTCAGCGGCATCAAAGGCTTACGACAAGAATCCAATCAACCTTTCGCATATGTGGTTGACCAGCATGGAATTGTGGGTCGCCGTCGATGCGTCTGTCGTTTCACGGTGCGGTCTCCTACACGACTACAAAATTGGGTTCCCAATCGGTTTACTGGAGCCATTGACTTTAGTGACTAAGGATCAAATGACACGTCTTCGGAAAGTCGAAGAGTACCTGTCTCGACGAGACGGTCAGGCAAAGCACAACTACCCACAGGCATTTGAGGGATTCGGCCGTCCTGACGCATTCGCCGCACGCTTCTACAAGGGTTCCGAAGAACACCGGGCCCTCCACGAGAAGATCCTACAGTCGGCCAAAAAGGCCCGATTGGAGAAGCTCCAAGAGCTGGAGTCGAAGAAGCGGACATACAATGACTTGAAGGCTCGCCATAGTTGCACAACGCATGATCAACATGAAGTGGAAATGTATTTGGGATGGGAGCAACAATGTCTGGCCAGCTGCTCAAAGTGCCGGCTTCAACATGAAATGTGCAGCATGAAGATCTCTGTCCACGAGTGGCCATTGCCTGACCAACAAAATGAAGCAGAGGCTGTCGTTTTTGAGCTACAAGTCCCTGATTTCATTGCTTGCTGGCGACGAATAACACTGAAGCTGCTCATTGACATGCTTAAAGACCGCGATTTGTCTCTATCGGGAAATGGCAATGTTTACTATGCCGTGGAACATAGTGATCTTGCTCCCTTTGTATCCAACGCAAGCAATAGCAGACTCCAGCTAGGATCGACCGTCAAACCTTTTACGGTTGCTCATTACCGCAATCTACTGGTGTCCGAAGCTGATAGGAGCAAAGTCTGCCAGAACCACGGCTGTCAGTACGAGTACTACGACACACAACATACTGAGCAAGTATCTCGGCTTTTAGGAAAGTCTGCGATTCCGCGAAAATGCTCCTTCGCACATCTTTCGAGCTTCCCTGTCCCCCAGTGGATCGGTGGGTGCGATCACACATCCAACCAGGTGGTTGCTCAGCAGTTCTTGAGTCCGCAATCCATGGTCCTAGAGGAATTCAAGGCATTTGGTCATATACGATCCGGCCCCCGTCTCCAATGGTATCAAATACTGACGCAACTCATGGTAACGTCGGTGGACTTGAACAAGGTCGAAACGGCCCTTCTGTTTCTCCAGGCCGCTTACCAGGCTGGACCTAATATTGATGGCGCACCTAGCCCCTATCGCGATTCTCACAGAGTCCTTGCTAGCAGAGAGTTTGGCCAACCCTTTCTTAGAGGCCTGTGGACTACGCTGGCACGGGTTGAGGGAAGCTGGGAGTGCGAAGTCACTCTGCTTATCCTCTCGTGCCTTTGCACCAGACTTCTGTCATGTTCGCCCATGGCTGATATCCATCGGGGGTGTTTCAAGCTTCTCGCCCGTATCAGATTGCTTTCCCGTCGCTGGGTTACGATCCTTGTGGAGAAGTGGTCTGCAAGCGCCGTAGAGGCCGATAGGAATGAACTCAACCAGCAGGGGCTCCGAATGGCGCTCGTATGTATCAGTACATACGATGTGGATCACAGAAACCTCCAGCATATTCTCTCTACCGACGAAGCGATAACTCATTTCATCGAGGTCTCTATCATCATTCATGATTCCCACAATCAGAATGGTCCTCCGCCTCCGGGATCAGCGTTAACTTTGATTGGGCTCCAATTGTGGCAGAGACTGTGCTATCGGGTGCAGAAGTTTGTCTCCGGGAGAATCGAGCGCTTGCGACATTGCCTGGACCAAGCGGTTAGGACATTCTGGCAGACATACCAGCCCGGACACGCCTCATGGTCGCTAATCGATAGCGAAACCAGAGCCCACATTCTAGTCTCGACATCATCATGCGACCTCCCCGTCAGTCTCAACCTGCTTGACGGTAGTTTGCTTGTGGATGGCCGACCGTTGTCTCGACTTCCGTCTGCATACCAAAATCATCTTACGTACTTGCAACTATTCGGAACACAAGTCATCAGCATTGTTCCGTCTGATCAGACAGGTATGGAGTTCTCGGCCACCCGAACGCAGCACGGTTGGACGGTGCACTTTGCCATGGCTCAAGGGGACTTAATCATTCGCGCACAAATCGACGACTCGATATGGGAGTTCATCCCACCCTGGAAGTTGGCCGGCGATTTCCCAACAGAGTTCACCAACTCCTATAGTCATTGGCTAAATGTTGATACCGGAATGGTGGAGTTCCGTCTGTTCGACGAGCCGTGGAAATCCGGAGACCTTTTGTGGCGCACTTATCCTATAGACGGCAGATTAGTGCTTCGGAGTGATAATTTGCGACTGATAGATCCTGAAAGCGAGACTGCGGCGATTCTCGCCGAAGCGTTTAGACCTATTGAGGACTCTGGGTTCATCAACATCTTCCTTAACACGATTTCGAACACTCTCGAGATCAATCTATGTCGATACGACCTTTCCTTTACTCTAGAAGCGAGCAGTTCCGCACTTCGCTCAAAGAATCATCGTGGCATGCTTATCGATGGAGATCAATCCCTGCAGTCTCTTATTGGATTACAAACTCGACTTATCCTTCGTCCTGAATCTCCTACGAGTAACGATATGAGGCTAGTCATAATTCCACAAGGAGCTCTGTCAAGTGAAAGTGGAAAATGGGGTCATCCAGTGACTCGCATCAACCCAATCACTTCCGCTCAGTCCTCAGTCGTGGGCTACCCTGCGGTCATACCACGTCGAAAGTACGACTTCTTTCGCGTTAATATTGCCCTAGGACAACTAGTCGATAGCGGCTCACTGCAGAGCAAATTATTACTGTGCCATATTCACGCGGCAACCTCGCACTGCCTGCCGGATCCGCTGACATGCCGAACTGGAACAGAGCAGGCGTTACGTATCCTCAGGTCGGCAGCGATGTCATCGTTTGAGAGATTGACCAACCAGGATATCACAATGCTGTCGGACATATCTTTTATGAGCCCTAGGCGCCGGTTCTACCCCGAACACTTGAGAGTCATGCAGGAGATCAAATGGAGGGCCGTGTATGATCCATTAGCGCAGAATGACGAGTTCTTTCAGGTTGTCCAAGAGATCATGCGCAAGGGTATGAGCTGTGAGATGTTTTTCCCCGACAAGAGATCTATCGAAGAGCTGAAGGGCATCGAGACGGACCTGGCGAAGAGGGCCTTAATTCGAAATTCCACCTTCCGAGTCGACGGTTTTGGAGCCGAACATCACACGTCGATACACGACAGGCACTATCGGGGCCGTGACCAAATCGAGGGCTCAGCCCTTGAGAAGCTGGAGCGTGAGGCTTATCAAATCACGAGGAACCTTGCGACCGGAAAACAGTACTTACTGGTCCAGCCGCTACTTTCTCCACAGACTCTGTATAGAGTGATGGGTAGCGAAGTTGACGGATCGACAGCTCTGTTTCCGCCGGAATCCTGCAAATTTAACCATGGTTGGCTTGATAAGCCATCAGACTCCATCGGTCGCAAGTGGTGCAGAATCCAGAAGTACTTGTCTCGCGTCGATTTGCGCAGATCAAAGTACGATTTAATTTCCTTCTTCAGTGCCCTGGTCTTTGCGGAAGAAGCAGACTTGCAGGTCATCCAGGTGCTTCTGGCGATTGCCTGCGTCCCAGCCCTTCGAACCCTGCCACAACCACAATTTGCGACCTACAAGCTCAGCGATGGTATTTACCCCCAAACATCCAAACTAAAGCAGTGTATCGAATACAAAGAGTACGACTTCACCTTATGTCCAGAGTTCCGCTTAGAACAACTCCATAGGGAGACGACAAGTAGATATCTTGCAAGACGGACCCAGGCTTGGAAAAGTAAGGTCGCGAAAGTCTCTCAAATTTTCGTCTCGCAGCTCACAAGACAATGGCAAGCACAAGTGCCGAATGAGCCGAGCGGAGAGCAGTTCACGACGTACTTTAACGTAGCAGCTGTCATGCCTGAGATACACGGATGCTTCGAGTCCTGGCATAAGAACCTCCAGCTAGAAGAGCATCTAAAAGTGATTATCTCTAACCTAGAGAAGCTCACGGTGGATCCATATGACGTTGAATCATACGTTACCACTGAAACAAGACTCGGACCCGCCGAGAGGGGCCCTGTACAGACATATATCGCGGGTTCCGACCTCTTTTCCCACGATGCGCCAACGATGAAGTGCAAAGCTCCTTCGGGATTTGAAGACTGGTGTCAACCTGCTGCCTCTGAGACGCACCCCACGAACAGCGTGACGAATAGGTCCGGGGATCAAGACGGGGGAAGCCTGGCTGATTCTTTCCAGACCGTCTTGGACACGCTTCGTGTCTGGGCAATACGAGAGTATCAACACGAGTACGTGAATTCGCTTGAAGCAAGTTCTCAAAGTCCCACCCTGGAAGCAGACCCGGGTGCTGTATTACGTAACGATAAAGATCTGCTTCGCCTAAGTCTCGAGCAACATGTGCATTACTGCTCTTCGCAGGCTGCATCGTTCCAGGCCGATCTATTCAAACACCTCCGCGGGTCGGAAGATAGTCTCGGCATTGCCTTCTCCAGCAAATGTTTCCCCAGGATCAGTCCTATCTTCCTCCTCGAGCAGCTGAACAGACACAATTGGGGGAAGCTAACGATGGCCTGGCGGCAGTGCATTGTCGAATGGGCGGTTTCGCTGACGCATCTTCAACGGGCACAGCGCATGTTGGCTACGGCTGGCAAAACCAACGAGCTCATGAAGGAGGTAAAGAACGTGGGCCATAGTTGGGACCCTATGGAATTCCCGGAGTCGCTGCTCCTCGAAGTTGAAAGCGGCCTTATGATCAGGGACGTGCAGGAGAAAATTGCGGCTCCGATGAGGAACTCGTCGGGCAATTCGTGCATGCAGCTGAATATGGTAAGTCTTGACTCACGCTCCGGTTTCCAAGTTTCGAGGTCAATTCCTCCGGCAGTATTTAATATCCTTCCAAGGAGCTAAATCATTTACCCCTTTGTCGATTAGTGATGGATATAGTATATTAACTTTAAAACTTGTCAGGGCGAAGGAAAGTCTTCAGTCATCGTTCAGATAGTGGCCGCTGTCCTTGCTAATGGAAAGCAACTTGTCCGGGTTCTCGTCGCGAAGCCCCAGTCCAAGCAGATGCGTCATATGCTGATCACTAAGCTGGGAGGGCTCTTGGATCGACAAGTCTTCTTCCTCCCCTTCTCACGATCCGTCGGCATCGATTCCCAAAAGATCCAACAGATTCAGTATACCTTGGAAACTTGTATGAAAACCGGCGGAGTACTGCTAGTTCAACCGGAGCACCTCCTATCTCTGAAGCTTATGGGAATTGAGAGTGTAGGCGCTAAAGACGAGACTGGATGTAACAGGCGTGATCTTTCGAAAGGGGCTCAGCTTATCCGGTTACAGAACTTCATGGATACCCATTCCCGCGACATCGTCGACGAGAGCGACGAGAACTTCAGCGTCAAGTTCGAGCTCGTTTACACGATCGGGACCCAGAGCGCCATTGAGATGAGTCCTGATCGCTGGATCATTATCCAGAGTGTTCTGAGTCTGGTGCAGAGATACGCCCCAGAGATCCAAAGGTCGAATCCAGGTGGAGTCGATCTAGGCAAGTCGGTCCACGGCGGTCAATTTGCAACACTGCGGCTCTTAAATAACTCTGCAACGCAATTGCTACTGCGAAAGGTTGCTCAACACATTTGCAACAATGGTCTTCACGGACTCGCCACAGGCCATCAGAAGCCAGTTATTCGACAAGCTGTCTTCACTTACATAACCGAGTTCTTGTTGACCGATGAGGCCTCGCTGGTGGAGAAAGACGAAGCCGGCTTCTTCTGCGGTACAGCCAAGAGTATATTATTGCTACTACGGGGTCTGTTTGCCGGCGGCGTGCTAGCATTTGCCTTCGGGCAGAAGCGATGGCGTGTCAACTACGGTCTGACTTCTCGAAACCCACCCACAATGCTCGCGGTCCCGTACCGAGCAAAGGACTCACCAGCTCCACGTGCCGAGTTCAGCCACCCGGACATGGTTATCATGCTCACATGCCTAAGCTACTATTACGGAGGCCTGTCTAACGACGAGCTGGATATCTGTTTCGAGCAGCTGAAGCGGTCCGATCAGGCCGAAAACGAGTTTGCTTCGTGGGCCGAAAGCTCGCCAGCGCTGCTCCCGGCTTTTCGCCAGCTAGGTGGTGTCAACCTAAAGGATCGTGAGCAATGCCTCGAGCATATATTTCCCGCCTTAAGTTATTCCAAGGTCGTTATTGATTTCTATCTCCACACTATCACGTTCCCTAAGGAAATGGTCGAGTTCCCTATGAAACTATCGGCTTCCGGGTGGGATCTGGCGAAACCCAAAGCACACGCCCTCACTGGATTCAGCGGAACGTGTGACTCGAAATATCTTCTTCCTTTAGATATCCAGCATCTCAACCTCCCTGAGCAATCCCACACAAATGCTACGGTCTTACGGTGCCTGCTGCGCCCGGAGAACCTAGTTAAGAATCTCGCTCTGGAAATCGACAGCATTTCGCTCCTAGAGGCAGTCGCCATGAACGACCCGCCCATCGATGTAATTCTCGACGTCGGTGCTCTGATCATCGAAATGAGTAACGCTGAAGTTGCGCGGAAGTGGTTGGAACTCGAGAAAGATGTAGGGAAACAGGCCACCATCTTCGTTAACGAGGAGGACGAGCTGCTTGTAGTAAACCGACAGGGCTCTGTAGAGCCATTTCTGACATCGCCGTATGCTAGACACACGGAATCCTGCCTAGTATTTCTCGACGAGGCTCATACCAGGGGTATTGACATCTCGCTCCCGGATCATTACCGGGCAGCAACGACTCTAGGTCCGCGACTGACTAAAGACAGGCTAGTTCAAGGTATGCTTACGCCCCCTTCCTCGCCGTCTTTTGTTACTCCAGCATAAAGAATATAGAGTCCTGTTGAGAGTCCATCTGGATGTGACACCAAAGTACTAGTAAGCCTATACTGACACTGCTATCGCAGCGTGTATGAGAATGAGAAAGCTCGGCAAAGGACAGTCCGTGGTGTTCTTCATCCCCCACGAGATACAAGATAAAATTAGGAGCTGCAAAGTACTATCCGCCACCAGTCCCTTAACAAAAGCTGACGTGCTCTGCTGGGCCATTTCCGAGACCTGGCACGAGACGGAACGTTCGATTCCTCTCTGGGCACTGCAGGGCCTCAAGCACCAGCGACAGGAAATTGTCTGGAATTCTAAGATCAAGGAAAAAGCCAGTCTCTCCCTCCTGACCGGTACCGACCTGGACGAGTATTTCGAAGACGAGGCGATGAGCCTTGAGCAGAGGTACAAACCGAAAAACCAGAAGACTAGCGAACTCTTCGAATCTCAGATGAAGAACCCGAAGCTAGAGTCTCGCAGGGCCCAGATCGAGCTGATCAGGGACAAGTGCGAGCGCTTCGAGGTGCTAGGCTTCAGCTCAGCCACTCTCCAAGAAGAGCAGGAGCGCGAGCTCGCGCCTGAGATTGAGCAGGAGCGTCAGATTGAGAACCCACCTTCGATGAAACCGTGTATGCACAAACTCCATCCTGAAGTCAAAGCACTGGTCCAGCAGGGAACCATACCAATCCTGGGGATGGGGGGTCTCTTACCCGCCTTCCGTTCTCTCCACAAGAGCAGCGCAGCACAGGCGGCCAACATGAACATGAGCGAGTTTGGACAAGACCTGTTAGTCACGGCTGATTTCGCCCGGACCGTTCATCTCACCTTGGGGTCCTGCTCCGACGCCTTCCATCGCTCCGTACATTGGATTCTGAGTTTGAAACAATATCCCCGAGTCCTAGTCATCCTCAGTCCATGGGAGGCAAACAAGCTATTGCCCAAGATCGAGCTCAGCAAATACGTTCATCTGCACTGCTATGCACCTCGCCCCAACATGTCATTTCCGACGTTGCAGGACCTGTCGCTATTTACGCAGCCGCCGCTCCCCCCCGGCTGGACAGCCCCTCGTCGCGCTGTCATGCAGATGTGTCTCTTCGCGGGGGAGTTATATTTTGAATCCATGCACGAATACACGGAGCTTTGTGCATATCTCGGTCTGTCCTGTGTGCCTAATGATGGCGTTTCGAGCGTCGCTGCAGACGGCTTCGTTGGTCGGGGAGGCGCAAGCCCCGAGTGCTGCTTCACGAGCAGTCCTACCATGTTCTTACGCGCGCTCATATCTAATATTCGGCGAGACCGGCAGGATATTTCTCGAACTCATGTCGGGCGAATGCTGGTGGGAGAGATTCTGACAGAAAAGGAGTTTATTGATGAGCCGCGTGGCTAATCTAATCTTTTGTTAGCGGTGTCTGGGGATATGATTCGGGGTTAGCTTGTTGCGTAGAAATATTTTATAGATACTATCTCAAGAAATTTGCTTACAGATATGATCGACAACTGGGTGCATTGGGGCAGGCATTATTTTATCCCAACGCAGAAGTACATAATGGTGTGGTTCAGCGCCTCTCGTTGATGCGATACGACACAACACGCCTCGTCTACTGTTTATTTTTATTTTCAGTTTTCCTGGCACATCCTTGCCATGTATGCCACCATTCCACGGTCTGTCTGTGAGGCAGTAAGCTGAACTAGTACTGTCTTGACCACTACCCCAAACTTTTATCCAAGACTATTTACTGCCTATCCTTTCCATGTAGACAATATCTTGCGAGTTCTGCAAGGGGCTTTCTATGTATGGTCCTCTATTATCTTTTCTGAATATTGCTTCCTAGTGACCCCGTATAATGTAATAAACCTCAGCCCGTACTTCTCAGGATGTCTCAAGCCCTTGTAAGAGTCTCCGAGGGTCACTTTGAGGAAGACTAAGGCATTGGAAGAGTCTTGTTTAGTGGCTACGGGGATGAGCTGCCGCTCTGGCTACAAGTACGCGTAGCCAAGATTCAGGGATCAATTACCAGGGAGACAAATCCACTTTCTTTCTGAGGCAGAGTCTCCTTCTTTCCCCACATCTTACATGTTGCGATGATCGGCTGAAATGTTCAGAAAATTTCGTGGCAGGGGTCTAGAGATCGGATTTGGCCTCTGTAAATTCCTTTGTGAGCCACAAGATTCTTATTCAAGTTCTACGAGGTTATATACTTAATAGTACCAAGACAGGGTTAACAGACAATAAAACAATGAATGTACTTGATCAAGGCGATAAAGATAAAGCCTTCTCCTGTTTTGGGGGACTTCAGAATAAAATCCCGAGGTCACTCCTAACGGGTATATCCCAGTTCGTGCAGTCAGGTCGTCGTCGATTCAAGGCGACGCGCTTGGTGCTTCTTTCCATCGCCGACACAGCCGGCACACTGCTGCAACGGATTCAGCTACTCATAAATTATCCAAGCTAACTCTTTTACCAAGAATCTATGAAGTTCCGCAAACCAAACATCCATATCGTTGGATAGAAGGGCGTCGACGCTGGTAGTATTTTAACATCCACCCAGCCTTCACTTCGCATCTCGCCGATGCATTACTTGAGTAGAGATCACGGTCTCTTCTTTGAATGGAATATAATTGTTCACCGTGTTGTAACGAAACCTCTAATAGTCTAGCTGCGTAAACCACTAAAGAGTCTGTAAGGGTTTGTGCTCGTAAGTAAGTCCTGCTGCGGAGTCCTTTAGCAATAATATAGGGGTCTGACGTATGGAGTATAGTGCTTTGGGGTAACTGAAGTATTCGAGTAGGGTAACTGGGAATAGAGTCGTCAAGGCAGTTTGCCTCACCAATGGGTTAGATTGATGCTTAGATTGATCACTGAAGTAGAGACTGTCTATCTATGAAATGCCTGGGAGTCCTGTCCCTTATATACCCATCTCTCCTTCACTGATCCCCATTTGGATATGTTGGTTGTCCAACATATCCAACATATCCATTCCTTCTTATCCTTCTTGGATCGCTTGATTGATTGATTGATTGAAATTTAACGTCTCATCACGTGAGACGTGCCGGGCGCAGTGCCGGCATGGTCAATGCTAGTCGAATCTATGTTACAGGGGACTGTCTTCATCTAACATTCCTGTTCAGTGCGATGGGCAGATCTCAGTAAAGAAATTGGTCTCCTCCGCCCATTGGCAAAACAAACGAGCTCCCTTGGCCGTGCCTAGGAGGGAATCTATACTATTCTTGGCCATATGCGCTTTTAGATGACCGGGCGTGGCCTTGCGGCCGCGCTTGCAAAAGTAGAAGTGGACTGGTGTCTTTGTCTTTCCACACCCGCAGTTGAGCAGTGCGTCGCGATGCTGGAGTCTCTCGTGGTAGGTCACGAAATCCCCGTGGTGTGACCTCGCTGCGAGTAATCTGCCTAGGTGTTGCCGGGGCAGGCCAAGTTCGGGGGGTCGCGGGTGGATAGCGATCCCTAGATCTCGATACTGTTGAGGGCAGGTAGTGGCCCATCGATCGTTGAAACTCTTCCAAGTGTAGGATCTCGCGATTCTCTTTATATGTGCGAATGAGGCCGGGTGTTGTGTCTTGGGTGGTTGCTCACAGGCCGCTTTGGCCTGGACATCTGCTTCTTCGTTTCCGGGGACGCCTACGTGTCCTGGGCACCACCAGATATACACTTGTCCCGGGGATGTCCAGGGTTTTCGCTCTCTCTGTGACCAGGTTTTGGACAGCTCTTGGAAGGCGGTGAACTTTGCTTGACTGCTTCCGGGACTTGGACAGATGAGCCTACCCGCAACCGCGAGATTATCGAGGCAGATGTGAACGTTATCTGCCATGCTGTTGGACGGAAGCTTTACAGCCTCCTGAAGCCCCCGTAGTGCTGCGTGGGCTTCCGCATCGTATACCTCTATCTGAGAGCCCAGTAGTTCGGACCCGCAGAGTAGTCTTTTACCGGCCTGATAACCAGCCCAGCCTGCTCCAGCTAAGGTCCTGTCGCTATGGGTAGCCAGCGAGCCGTCTGTATAGATTATTATATCGCGCTTTGAAAACTCGTTTATCCTTTGTAGAAACGAGCGCGCAGCCTCCTCCTTTGACTGTCCTGGGATATAACCGATCTTGGCGAGGGTGATGGACCATTCGCCAGCCTGCTCCCAGGGCTGGCGTGGCCTTGGATATGTTGGACAGCCAACATATCCAACATATCCACCCCTGTAGGTCACGTGACCTATCGGTCCTTTCCTTCCTCCGATGCGGGGTCCCGTGATCCTAGTATCCACTGGCCTGCCGACGGGCCTGTAATGTTGGTTCAGGGCCAACGGTTCGTAACACGGGTCCAAATTGCCTAATCCATGTGCATATAGGTTGTGAATTGTTGTAGTAGGAAAGGTTGGCTAGGTCAGTTATTCTGGCCTGGCAGAGCTCTTTTATAGCTCTTATCTTATCTTATCTACCTTATCTATAGCTAACAGGGTAACCCCCATGGGGTTACGTATCACCGCCGGTACTTGGATATTACCAGGATTTTCAATGATATCATAGCTTCTTTCATCGGACGATTCGAACAACTTCTGATACGCAAAGCCTCAGATGAGCGAAAACACCTCCCGTAATTGTTTGCAGCGATCAGGAGCTGGGTAACGTGAGCCCAAGAATAACCTCATTAGCCACAAACTAAGGCCAAAACCTCCTGCCAAGATATACTGGAAATGGTAGCTAACGCAGTTCAACCCACTCACTTCCCCTTTCCGATAATTACTCTAGCTGCTGTGTTAGAACCTAACAACGGTAATTACATCTTCCCGTACAGTCCTCTGGTTTAGAGCTGGGACGGAGGCAAGTAAGGAACCACTAGTCAGACGGCAATAAAACGGATACCACTTGCAGATGACGAAGGCAAGGTTAAATGCAACCAAACTCAGCAAACGTTGAAAAACTCGGTAACCATTTCAATAACTGGATTTTAAAAGCCTATATCTTTATTTTGAAAGAAATCTTTTGCCGAAAGGCCTTATACAAGTGTAACAACCTGGACTAACATGTACCCCCGGTCATACATATAAACTACGATCTGTCAGCCAACATACGCCTCACATGATGGCTATGCTAGGCCTCCTAACCGACTCATACCTTTGATTAAGCTCAATCACGCCACGGTGCACCTGAGGAGAGTGAATGGAAGAAAAGGTTTATGAGGATGCCTGGCTAGACTGATCAAGCGGCCGACTAGAACCTGACCCAGCCCATCAAGCTGGACTCTGCCAGCATGCGCCTGGGCATTCAACCTAAAGATAAGAGATGGAGCTTTATAACTAGTAAGAGCTCCGCAAATGGAGACCAAGTACAAGAAAGCATTAGGCTGTGATAATAATACTGCTTGGCAATGCCGTATCTTATAGTTCCGCCTTCGTCTTTGTCTTCGGGGCCATTTTGGGCCTGAGAATACACTGCTGCGTCATGCAAGCCACCAAGGTCCCTTTTTCATCCCACAGACGACCCTCTGAGTATTGTCTCCCGAATCCAGCGGCATGTGTCTTTCTCTCGCGCAGATGCCAATCGCCCAAGTCGATATTCGGAACGAAAATGCGCAGGGCAAAGTCTAGACTCGAGTTGGCTTCGGTGTCATCGAACCTATGCGATAACAGACTTAGCAGACTCTTCTCCAAGTCCTGTCTGGTTCTGATAAGACCATGTCTCTCTTTAAATGGGTCAAAGGGCAAGAAACGCGCCGAGAGCTACCGACACTCACCACATACTGCTATGCGCCAGCGGCAAAAACGCCAGCGCCCCATCCATTAGAAAACTCAACGTAGCCATCCTTTCCCCGACCCCATCCACCTTGTCCCAAGTCTTCACCCACTCCGCTGACGCCTTCTCCGTAACGGACAGCTCATCCTGTGTCGTTGGGATCCCCCTCGCCAGTCCAAAAAGGGTTTGCCCAGCTGGCCCCTCCACACACGGCCGCATGTCGAAGTACTTGGTGGTCATTTTGAACATTCCGTCCGGCGCCACCGCTAAGGCAGCTTGGCGCTTATCCAGCTTTCCTTCGTTAGCAAGGGATGTTGCGAGGGCGGGGATGGTGGGGTTGCTGTCTGGACCAGAGTATGGGTGTGATGGCAGGGCAGAGTAAGACATCAGTTCGGGCTCTTGGACATGGAAATCAGCCAAAAGCTCGAGACAAACACGGAGTTTTCCGTCGGGCTGGTGTTGTTTGACTTCGACGCGCCGGGTGGCGAAGTTCTTGGTGTTGCGCATAGTATGGACAGTGCACAGGAGCTTTTGCTTGATGGAGGCGGGGCCGAGGTAATGGCCAACAAGGGAGTACAGCGAGTGCGAGGACGGGACGGTCACAATGGCGGCGCGAGTTGCTATACCGAGGGTACAGCCGCCGTAGGCGATGGGGAGGGAGTTGCCCATCCATGCCGGGAGGGATTGGGATATGAATTCGCCGGGGCCAGTTTGCTCGACAGCAAGCTGGGCGGCTAGTGTTTCGGCCATTACATGGGATTGAGGTGAGGACCGGAGGTAAGCTATAAGCTGTGGAGTTACAGATAAGAACAAAACGAGATGGGGTTAGGACCTCAATTGGCACATATTTGTTTACGGGAAAATAGGAAGCAAGGGAAGTGTAAGTTACTTCAGGATTTAGGAACCTGACAATGGTGAATTTGGGGAACTTGATGAGAAAGGGATGGATTGCCCTTCCAGGACCCTTTGATGGCTTATGGCCAATCGGCGTAAAGGCGGAGTTCAGCCAGACCTCGGTATCCCTCCCAGTACTCCGCTTTCAGATGTGTATTTAGCCGTTCACGGCCTGCGCCTTGCTCTGTTTAAGCAGCTGCTGTTAATGTCTCAACCTTAGATTCAGACTCCTCAGGCACGGGGCTCAATAGGTGAGGACGGAATGGAGGAGACGCAGGTGCGTGATATTCAAGCGCACAAGACTCGCCCCACATGGCCTCGCCATCCGAATACAAGCCAAAGCAGCCTGCGACAGCTGTCTTGATCGGCTTGGTGATGGTGCTAAGAAAACCAAGGACACCCATGACGCTAGCCACGATAGTCAACGAACTGCTGGGTAAGGTACAATCAGATCAGCAACAAGTATAAACAAAGTTAGGAAATACCGGTACTCACCTGTGATTATTAAGTTTTCTCGCACCAGCTTCAGATGAAGAAGCAATCACGTAGTTGCTGTGAAATTAAAATGAGCACATGTGAATAATAATTTGTCTTGAGACCCAAGTTATACTTACCAGAACAGCGGCTATCGAGAGGCAATCGAGAGGCCTTGAACAGTAATTGCACGGGTTCTAAAATAGCAATGTAAGTATACAAGAATTCGCGCTTATCAAAGTTAATGGTGCTTACTTGCTCCAGAACAGACAGGAAATGATAGTTGTTCTTCAGGCTCGGAATCGGTGTGGAAAGCTGTCACTTCTTTGGGATGCAGAACGGTCAATCAACAGAACAATGGTTATGCTTGAGAAAAGTGAGGATATGGGGCGTGCTTGAGCTTGGTCGTCGGAACTTAAGTTGAGTTGGCAATTGCCAACTTGCTATTAACGATCGCTGCGGCAACTATGTGTAAAGCGGAAGAACATGTTTCGGCCACCCCATGACCCTAAAAGGCACAAGAGAACTTTCAAATTGCACATGCAATATACTAATGTGTCTCCCTTCGAATCCACAGCTCCAAAGTAACTCCAGCAATTTACCACCAAGCCGGATGTGATCTCTGTGTATTATCCTCGATAGCAGCAAATGAAGACTGAACAAGACCGCTCACTGTCCTCAGCTCAACCCCATTATCTTTAAGAGTGTCTTCCTGCTCAGAGGCCTGAACCCTAGTAAGCAGCATCCTAAGACTCTGAATATGATCATCCAACCTACCCATCCCCGCCGCTTCCTCCCACGCAACAGAAAATCCCTCCCTATCCTCATGTAGGGCAACAGCTTCACTACCATGATCTACTCCGTCGCGAGCCGGGTCAGCGTCCGCAAGATCTCCTGCACCATACCCCTATCCCACCTCCCCGCGACAGAGAACAATTTCTTCAGCTGCTCACGAGTAAACACACCTCACTAGCCACGCTGGGCCAGCACTCGATAACTTCATCCCAGGGCAGCGTGGAGCCGCCGTTTTTGGAGCCGCAGTGGACAGATCCGGTCTAGTAGATATTGTAGCAGATACTGCCGAGAGATGGTACTCATTGCATATTCTCTGGCGTGTCGCGTACGAGCTTGAGAATTTCGAGGATGCTGGATGCGGCTTTGGTGTGGCAGTCGGCGCAGCTTTTGCGCCGTCTTTGACGTGCCAGGGGAGCTGTGTGAGGATACAGTCTACGTGGGACTTCGTAAGGCTGTGGCCGCAGATTTGTTTTGGGAGTCTGACTGGCATTTGATCTAAAGAATATTGGACGGTATGATAAGAAGGCTCTGCTTCTTAGTAATTAAGTGATTTGTCTAGAAATGAGGGTAAAAAAGAATATTGCGGAACGTTTTATAACAATTGTGGAAACAAACGGACTGAAATCGTTAGTAGTATTAAAGGGTCTGGCTGGGGCGTATTTATATGGCTTTTATATCCAGTAAACTGTATGCTGGTTGATTAAAAGGGGCCAGGCCAGGAAAAAGACGTCAGTCAGTCATCAAACAAACCTGTTCTTTGAAGATAAAATTCTATTGTATCCCGGTATAAAACCATCCCGGCGGGACTGCTGTCGCCATCTCTTTGTAAGAAATCATAAACCCGCGAGGAATATCTAGCTCAGCTAGAACGTCTGGACACAGTATAATAGTATACTTCAGGAAGTTTGTCGCCTGGGCTTTTCCACCATTATACCATTGCTGCATGATTTATTTAGAAGAAAAAGAAAGTGGCGGAGCTGTTTGAACAATAGGAAAAATGAAGAACCCAAGTCCCCAAAACATGAGAAAAACGAAGACAATTGCAAAAGAGTACAAGTCAAAGCACGAAATAATTCTGTTAAAAAGAGAAACTGACGGGAGCTATTGTGGGAAGAAAATAACTCAAAATAGGCATCCTTGATTTTTTCATGACCTAGTTTGGAAGCTATAGAAGCTTCCAGTTCAGTTAGGGTTGAGTGAACGTCAAAGCTCGCTAGATAGCTAGATTTCTGTTGGCCGGGGTTCCCAAAAAACGGAGGTGCCGTTTTCGCTCCACCTTCGTTGTGTTGCCTGAGTGCTCCCAACCGTTGTTCCCGGCTATTGTGAAAGAGGGGCAATCTCTACCCGCTGGCTTGCAAGAGCATCCATTTCCCAGGACATCGAGCAGGCGCCAGTCACTGAATTCACGCACACCGCAAATGGAGGCCTTTCTTGTTCAAGTTGAAATCCTCCTTATACTGTAAACTTCGTACGTGTCGCCAAATAGAGATCAGATATCAATCACAGTGGCTTCCGCGGAAGTAATCTGTCTTGCCAGTGACCGTCAACCAGTAGGGTCAAATTCACAGATTAACTATACAGCTTTATACAATATGCCGATGTCTAGACGAAAGCGACCAGCGCCGTAACCCCAACCAATCCTAGCCAGTTACCAACCGCAAACCCCTTGCTGCCCGCCGACTTGCCCGACGGAGATGCCGTAGAGTTGGACCCCTCCTTCCCCGAAGTCCCCCACTTATTCAGTAAGCTGCCCGCCATGATAGGCATCAAATCCGCTTTCACCGTCGACGAATTCGTACAATCCCTCGTCATCGCAGCGGGGGCGTCGTTGGTGAACCTCACCGCGGCACACTGATACAGCATTTCTCCCATCATGTGATCCATACCCGTCATCCCGGGCATGTTCGGATCCATCCCCATCATGCCCGCCTGCACTACCTGTACAATCCCCTGCTGACCAGCGAGGCTCGGCGGGGCTGTAACGGTAAAACACATGTTGCCCAGCCCGGACTGGCTGATGTTGGGTTGCATGTCCATGAATACGGTTGGGTTCGTCAGGGTCGCAGCGCGGAAGACCCACGTCGCCATGGAGTGGGTGCTGGTCAGACTGACGGGGTGTCCCGAGACTGGCCAGGCTGTTACTGTGTCCCGTACTGTAGCCGGGTCGAAGCCTCCGCAGGGGGCTTGGGGTTCTTTTTCGTCGGAGAAGCCTAGGGAGGGAGGGGATTGGAGCACGAAGTGTGTCCAGGCTGGTGCAGCCATGAGGATGATGGAAAGGAACAGCATGGTGCTGGTAGGCCGTATTGCAGTGGGTTTGTATGGAGTTAGAGGTCGGAAGAGGAGTGATGCGTAAATACAAAGATGTTTCGAGAATTGAAAACGAAGAAATTATACTTAAAGCGTCAGAGGAATAGCTCAACGTCATCAGGTCGAATCTGATACAAATTTTCCCTCGCCCGCCTGACCGATCATATGAAAGTCCATTGTCAAACATGATTGTTTGAAAAATGCTCACGATAACTGCTAAGCTTCATATGCCACCGTTATCGATCCTGAGAGAAGGGGATTGGACCAAGCGATTGGACGGAAACTTGTTGGGCCGAATAAAGGGATAATATATTAAATGAGCGAAAGGCCAAAACGAAGGAGAGAAGATTTAGCTGTAACAGTTGCGACACTTCAGTCCACGCGAGTAAGATGGTCGCCGTCCAGATTACCTGCGCTTCGAGTTTCCAAACTAGAAACCTCTCCTCCATGGGTCGTTCCAGATCGCCAAGAGAGCCAGCGAGATCGACATCAACACAAGTTTGGGTCAACATCTGATGTTCTGAGACAAAGTAACATTTGGACAGCTTCCGTGTGATTGGGTTGAGGGCAATTAGGATTTGTGTATACCCTGATGGTGATGGAGAATGTTTCAGAAACAAACTTTCAAGTCCAGATCAAGAACAAGGCCGTCCCATGCATCGGACTATTCGTGAGGATCTCCAGAGTGCCGGATTAGATGCCATTGGTCCCACGATATCTATCTTCAACTGACGCATCTTCCCGTCGCGATTGGCGAAACATTCCCGTTTCCTTCTTGAACTCAGTACCTGTGGTTTATTATCAGCCTGAAGATAGTTGAACTCACAGCACCGGCAATTGAACCTAGAATTTATCGACATATACAGCCTCGCCGCCGCTTCGATAAGATGTGTGAATGTAAAATATGTTATTTCAGTCCATCTCTTACAGTCAAGTTTACATTAGTCACTTATATTCATCGTTCTTGGACCAAGTGCAACATGCGGGTCATATCATTCCTTCTCTGTCTTCTCTGCGCTCCCTTAATCCACGCTCACTTCGTTCTTCAAGACCCTCCTAACATCGGTTTCGATGATGACAAGGAGAACCAGGCCCCCTGCGGGAGTTTTGACGCTTCCAAACGAACTGTCGTCACTAAATACCCCGTTGATGGCGGCACCCTGAGCATGCTAACCACCGACGAAGCAATGGACATTACCATCAATATTGCTCCCGCGAACGGCTCCATGAAGTTTAGAACTTTGATGAAATTGCAAATTAAGGGAACCGGCTCGTTCTGTCTTCCTTCTATGCCTGTCGCTGAGTCTCTGTCTGGAACCGATGCATTGATGCAAGTAGTTGCCAAAAGCTCGGATGGTACTTTGTATCAGGTTAGTTTCCATGTACTCCATCACTCTGGGGATGGGGCTGACATTATTACAATCAGTGTGCTGCGGTCAAGTTCGTACCTGGAACTACGTCCAAGGTTTCCGCAGACTGCAGGAATTCGACGGGGTTAACGGTCACGATGATTAGCGATGATACGATGCTGGGCGCAAAAGAAAATGCCACTCATTCGCATTGACGAAACTTGGGCTGATGTGATGGGTGGCGGGTCCACTTACGAGTAGTTTTTGCTGGACAACAGTTATTTTGGGTGCAAAATATGGTGACGCAACGATATTAGCCCAATCTTTGGTTAGAACCAATTTTTGCATGGGCTGAAGTCTCCTCCTTTTGAGTTAGCATCATTCGAAGGGGGACTAACACCGCTTATCGCTCTTTACTAAAGGTCCTAATGGCCACCTTCATACGATCAACCTATCAGAGATCTTCGATTATTTCAAATAATTGATATTCTGCTGGTAAAGCTGAGATCTACAATTAAACTATATCCACGGTGTATTTCAATGCTTCATGCTTCATATAATGATGCTAGGAATTCTCCTGCCGACGCAACGTTAGAGGAAGTTTTCAACGTTTCGCCCAAGACGGGACGGCTTGTACAGTTGTGATACAGGGAGTCGTGATCAACATGGACCGAATATTTTTGCCTGTCTCGTGCTTGTTCATTGGGAGGAAGTAGACATTCTAAATAGAAAGGAACGTCTGAGGCCGCGAGGCAGAGCATGTACGAGGCACAAACTCTGGCAGGCACGAGCAAGGGCACGACATAATAGACGACGCATCCCCTGGAATAATACAGAATATCCCGATACTCCAGAGTATTACGTTAGATTGACATAATGTACGATGTTACATCTGCCGCCCAAGCAAAATCACTACGTGGGATACACTTTGAGCTATTCCATATTATTCCACCATTTGTGATTTATTTTGTCATCCTCTTGGCGAGGGACCCCAAGCGGGACTGGAAATACAACCTCGATGGGCACCTTTTCTTGGCCTGGAGAAAGTCACAGCTTGCGGACAGCTTTCAATCATGATCATTAGTATGTTGTATTTCCCGACAGCGTTCGCACCTCAGGAGCACAGGGCTATCTCAGTCACCCTTCAGGCTTCAACAGTCCGTACCTTCCTGAATAATCGTAGCTCGTACTTCCACTTTTCTCTGGTCGGACAAGGATGAGAACGAAACCAAGCTCGTCGGCAAAGGCTAACTTCGTACCAAACATCCCTGGCGCAGCCATGCCTGGTTTCCAGACAGTTCTGCCGCATCGCGCAGCCAGTCTACATGACGAAAATGGCAACGTCCCTTCGCGGACCGATGATCCGAGTTCTGCGAGGCGACAGGCTTTGTTGGACTTCAGGCGAGCCTTCTGAATTTCAATGGCCGGAGAAGACCTAAAACTTTCAAGATATCGTGCTTACAAACTCTTTCATCGCTGAAGATGGCTTGGCTACCATCCTGACCTGCTGCAAAGACATTCAAGAGCTGTAAATTGTTTGGGACTACGTTAATGGGAGTCTTGACCTCGGTTGGATGGGGTACTTGCTTAGAACAAGCGGAAACAAACTTGAGATTCTGGTAGTATACACCAAAAAGCTATCATACACTCGGGTTCGGATTGGGATTTTACATAGCTTCGAGGAAGAAGAGAGTCACTGCGGGAGATGCGCAACTTGAAGACTCTGAATCGACAGGGAAATCATTATTGGCGAAGAGACATTGAATGTGGCAAACCTCAACATAATAACCAGTCCAACCACTTTTCTCGTATAGGGTTTATCAGATCCACTAAGAGCATTGTGTATGTTTTGCCGAGACTCTTAGAATGCCTGATACCACCTGGATCACCCAGGATGGAATGCATGGACTCATCACAGGTGGCAACCGACATGAGCTCTGTCAGGTAGTGGCCGACCGCCCTGTGTTCAACCGAGTTTTCATAGAGACCATGGAGGATCGCGGATGGTTCAATCCAAGAGATCTCGAAATTATTGTTTTGCCAGTTCTCTCCAAAGAGAATGAGTTGAATACTCGGGTGATGAAGATGGACTGCAAGTTTGCCGGACTTGGGGTGAATCGGGATACTGTCGCTGCATAGACTGGGAGCCGGCGCTAGAGATTTTAATTGCTCCACACCTAGTAATTCTTTTCGCCACATTGCTTTTCCATAGGAAAGACACATGTACTCGCGTCTGAGTCACATTACTGAGGAGCCCTCCACTCGGGGATGGCTCAATTGAACTAGCTTGCAAGGTCGCATTCTGCGCGCCGTTGGTTGGGTGGATAGAACTTTCCAATGTTGAACAGAGTCGCAGCCCACAAATTTGGTTGTATTTCCCCATACATTTTACCAAGGAACCTTCATCTCTCACAGCTTACCGGCCTGGCTGGGTGGCAAATCGGACTCATTAACTCCAAGGTCCTCGACCATCTCCTTGTCGCCCACAACCAAGTTCTTACAATCCTGCAACACAAACATCATCCTCGCCCATTCCGTGTCGCTCGTATTAACCCACTGATGCTGCGTCGCTCTCTGCACCGCCACATCCCCCCGCTTCATCTTGTGCACCTCCCCGGAATCAAGCCGCATCTCAATACTTCCCTCAAGCACAATACCATAGTCCAGACTCTGCGTGCGGTGCATACCGCACGCATATCCGGGCTTGAAGTCGACGCAGCGCATTACCGTGCCCCCGGGGTTGACGAGCCCGAGACGCTCGGGCGTCTGCATCAGCGTGTTGTGCGCGGCGAGGTCCTGGTCGTGGTTTAGGTCAACCGGCATCTGCGATGTCGTGTAGACAACACTGAAGGACATGTTTTTGTTGTCAAAGGGGCGCCAGTCGAAGTCGCTGTGCGTTTGCACGATGGCTTCGCCTGAGGAGTTGTGTCCCGTGATGAATTTGTGGAGTTGCGGGAGGTTGGAGACAGAATGCTGGGGGTGGGAGTTGGAGTGGGCCATTGCGTGGGATAGTGTCGATGTGTTCAGTGGTAGATTTTGGTGATTGGCGGTAATTGGGACGACAACGTTGAAGAAAAGGGCGTTGACCTGCAAGCGTTGAGATTCACACAAGAGGTGAGGAACTTGATCCGAGGATTCCTGTTGGGGTTCAGGTGGAATCCAGTCTAAGTCCTCAAAATCATCTCCTCCGATTGTAGTTGATTTTACCCCACGCGGTGTCCGAGAGTTGCAGATAACCGTGCGAGGCCATCTGCATCTCCTGCATGAAGGCGCATCGGATAAACTGAAAGATGCTAGTGGGCTAGCTTAGTGTGCGGAATTCGGGACATCGGGCAGGCACGATGTCATCATGCTCATTACTTGCTTAGATTTTGCTTTAGCTTGAGTATACACAAAGTTCCGGAATGGAAAACCAGGATTACACCTACGATTAACGATGAAGTATTATTATTATTAAATACGCCGTAGGCTCGAAGCCCCCGGTACCTCTACTAGTACTCCCGTATGTCAAACCGTGCCCTAATGGCTGGACTAAATACATACGCTGCGTCGTCGGTTCGCCCTATTGGCGACTGCGTTACGTCCACTACCATACTATGTTGGTTCTCAACCTACCAACAAAGTCCCCCCTGAGAAGATCGATGCTATCTGGGCCTTGAAGCTGTCCGACCCGTCCCTAGCAGCCACCTTACAATAGTCCCACTAACTACTGGTTCTCCTGTTGCCGTTGCGAGGTCTCTGCGAGAGTATAGTGGCCGTGGTGCGATGGCGGCCCGTAATCGTTCCCTCGGTCCTTCCAACAGCCCGCAAAAGATGATTACGTGCTCTGCCGTCTCAGGGGCGTCGCCACAGCGGCATAGCGGCGAGTACACGCCAAAAGCCCCTGTCTTGAATAAGAAGGCTGCTAGTCCTATTTTTTCCGTCCTGATCTGGCACAGCGTAGACGCCTCCAGTCGGTTCAGGCCAAAATACCTGTCCCCTTTCGGTATCTGCATCGAAGGGCCCTCCGGTTCCTCAGCGATAGCGCGTCGCTGGCGATCGTGATGCTCTGCTCCGGTGAGCCATCTTTTCCTCCAGTGGCCGAGGAGGGCAGCCGGGACCTCCTTTTCCTCACTCATCCACTCGGAGCCCCGGGCCTCCTTCTCCATAGTGTACCCTGCCGGTCGGAGTAGCTGCGACGCCTGCTTCCTCTTCGCCGGCCTATCCTGCCGGAGTATATGTGACGCTTTAGCGCTCGCGCTGCGAAGCAGATTTCTCTTCCCGCTAAGCCGTAGCCGTTCTTCAAACTTAGCAGCCCGGGCACTAAGATAGAGGTCTAGTGGCGGGATTGCTGCTTCTGCTTCCAGGTGGCGAACCGGCGTCGCTTTGTGGGCGCCACAGACTACCCGGAGGCACTCGTTCTGTATCCCCATCAGGCTCTTAGCTGGCCCTGCCGGTTCCTCACTTATAGTATGCCACGCAGTCGCCCCGAAGGCGATCGCGCTACGGATAACCACCGTATATAACAGCCTCGCCCGTATAAGATCGCAGCCCCACGACATATTGACTAGCTTTGTCAGGGCTAGCTTTTGAGTTTCTTTCTTTCGAATTCGATCCCATCTTGGTATGTGTAAAGATGTTAATTAAAAGGTTGTTCGTACGGTGCCAAGAAAAAGTGGCCAACTTGCTTGTGGGGTACGTTAACCATTCCGCTAAATGTAGGTGATTTCGGGTAAAGTGCCCCTATTAGTATAATGCGGTGCACCACTGCGCTAGTGTAAGTGCACTGCGTCAGCTGGTGTGCATATATAATGATAGATATCGGAGCTGCCGAAAGAGGCGGTCTCTTTATATCACCAATTACGTCCAGGGGTTCATTAGCTGAGCAGGGCAGCTGGGATCTCCGCCTAACGTTTCGCCAAATTCTCTCTTAATAAAATTTGGCCAACAGACACGGCAGCATCCGAAGATGATTATTAAAGACAGAGTGAAGCATCGTGAGCAAGAATGATGATTTTACAATATTGATTTCATACAGCGCTCCCTCTTTAGTGTACATCTATGATTCTCTACTTTATATCGCACATGCAAATTTCCCTACGAAACAGGGGCCTCCGAGTCGTGGTACTTCCCCAGCTTCAACAGCGCCTTCGCGTTCTCCCTTCCAATCTTCTTGTAGTTCTCCACACCACCGACCGCTTTCTTGACCGCATCCGCCTCGCCGTCCCACCAAGCACAGCAGTTCTCAATCGTCTCGTACGGGTAATCGACACTGAACAGCACACGATCGGCACCAATCTCATTGATCACATACTGCAGCGTTGCCGTGGAGAAGTGGCCGCTGGTCGTGACCCAGATGTTGGTCTTGAAGTAGTGGTAGATCGTCTTCTCGCACATGACATTGCCCTGTGCCTTGGCGATGGGTCGCTCGACGTCCTCGAGCCAGTGGTTGATGCGCCAAAAGTCGAAGGGGATGTGCTCACCCAAGTGCCCGACGATAATCTTCAGCTTGGGGTGGCGGTCGAAGACTCCGTTGGTGATCATGCCCATTAGGTGCAGGGACACGGCGTTGGCGAAGGACAGGGGCGGGCCGATGAGATACTTGCGCTGCAGGTACAGCTTTTCGAAGATGACGTCCGCAGGGGCGGACGGGTGTATGTAGACAGGGATGTCGAGCTCAGTGACCACCTTCCAGAAGGCATCGTACTGGGGCTGGTCATAGAACAAGTACGTCTCGCCGTTGGGACCGCTATGTTGCCAATTGCAGAGCAGGGCGCCGTGGAAGCCAAGGTCTTTGACGCAACGGCGGAGTTCCTGGCCTGCTTGCACGGGGTCGTGCATGGAGAGTGTTGCGAAGGCGCCCAGCTTGTCGGGCTTGGACTTGATCTGCTCGTAGGCCCAATTGTTGATCTCGTTGGCGCGGGCTTCGGCCTCGGCTTGGTCGGCGATGCCTTGGATGCCCGGGACGGTCAAAGACACGATGGTGTAGCCGATGCCATGTTCATCGGCCAGTTTCACACGCTTGTCGTTGAGGTCGCTGATTTGGGACATGTAGCGCTCGCGGTCTTTAGGATGGATGTAAAGTTCTGCCTCACGAGCTGACTTGGCTTCCATGCCAGCCATCTCGTAGGCTTCTTCGAGAGCAATCTTGCCGAGCATGTTTGCGATTTGAGTGTGGTTGCGAATAGGAACCGGAGTACAATGTGGTTGAAGGTGATCTGTTCGAGTTCAGTTGGAGAGGTTATTGTGTTTGATGATGAAGCAGTAACAAAGTCTCTTGCCCTCCGTTCCCTCCTGCCTCTTTATACCTCCGTCTATCATCCGTCTATCATCGCGAAGACCGAATCGCTCTTTTCACAGTCGCGAGCCATTATATCATCACGGTATTGTTAGCTTCAAATCGGTATGGTGATACTTTCAGCTTCCGAAACTTCAAGCTGAGATCATAGTGAGATAATACGGTTCCGCTGTAATGATGACGTCCTCGCGATTCGCCGTGGAAATGTTCCAGCAATGAGAGGATAACCAATCATATATTATCCCGATCTAGTTGATATCTCCATAAGAAAAAGGGACGAGTGCCGAGGCCCACTTACCAAGTCTTCTGCACGTGGGTCTGACGATCTGGTTTGGATGGTGGGCCGAGTCCCGCCAAAACTTCCGACGATTTAAGTGATGGCTATAACTTCTCGCGGCGCTGATAATAGCGAGTCATCCGGCGGGCTATGTCAAGTCCGGACAATGCAGAAACAAGTCGAATCCAACGATGCAATTCAGATTATACACCGGAAGAAGTCAAGGCCGGACAACGTACACAATATTAAGGCGAGGCCAATTCTCACAGCACGAGTTTTGCCTGAAGATGCAGGCCGAATTATCTTGTGACACTGCACACGTGGTCAATCTTCGGGTTTCGATATATTTATGTATTGATGGATTCCCTTGCAAATTAGTTACGAGAGCATACCTGGACAACAGTCTAGCTATCTGTTGCGTGCCCCATGCAAACCGGCTGTGGGCTGGGTGCAGCGCTTGAGAAAACTGCCCATAGGTAGCTGTTCTGTAGCAGATGCCTGATACTAGTTTTTCCTCATCATCATCGTCATCCCCAATATAGCTCTCTTGCCTGTATTGTCATGGAGGATTGTGATGTTGATTGAGCTAAGTTAACCTCCGTCAGGTGTAACGGTAGAATGTTACCTATCTAACTAGTGTACATTGTTACGGAGTAACTAGGGCTCCGCCAGTGGACTGTGTGCCACTAGTCCTCTGTTATCTTGTTCTCGCTATCTGTTAAGGTGGTCTGTGCGTGTCGGCCACTTCTACTTGGTTCCAGCCCCAGCACTAGCCTAGCTTACCTAAGTAGATCACACATCTATCTCTCTGTGTACCCCAGTACTATCTGTAACTCATGAGACCCGAAGATCACTTTGAAACAGAGATCACTAATTTTGACAGACAGTACCACTGTCTGATGAATTGTTTCAAGAATTCATGGTCCTTCCAGTCTCGATCCCTTCGTCTCACCTATATGCTTTACCACGTGCGGACTCCGCTGCTGGCAGATCCAGAGCCACAGATTCCTGTTTCCCCGGTCAGCATCTATGCAACCGATAGAAACGTGTCTTCATGGAGGGAGAACAGTATTGTCCTTCATCGGATAGTTTGGAGTCCATGATTGTAGGTTCTATGAACATGCCTGTTGTTTTGACATGGTCATGTTTCTGATTTGAGATAAATCTCTAAGCGTAACGAGTTTTCCACTATAAGACAACAACAGCAGGGTTTAGTGAGACCAAAAAGAAGTTTGTTCCACAACCCGCTTTGCGAGACCTGGCATAGTGACTTTTCCACCGTACAAAACGACTATGGCGGGGTTGGGCGCGACGGAAGGAAGATTTATTCAATAAACTACTTTTTCATTTCTATCTGTGGTGAAGTTATCTGCAAATAACGAAACGAACCAATCGAGAAGCATGAACAACCGCTCTACATGTTACACAAGTGATGGATGGTATAATTTGCGAGGAAACAAATAGGATAGAACTTGTACCGATTTGCCAACATCGCACTGCGCTGCCTTACTTACCTAGTCGCTCTGCGAACTAATCACTTCCCTCGGCCGACCCACCACAGGACCGCTTAATTTTACTCGCCACCCACCCATCACCCCTTTCCCCCGCACGGCGGGCATCTGGTAAGGAATAGGCAGAGTCAACGATATCCCGATCTCCGACCAGCTCCCTAGATGTGAGGAACATAAATGCCGCATCCTCATCCCTCTCGATCTGATGGGTACATTCGCATAACTCCCGGCTACTAAGTAGGGGCTTCCCGTAATCGGTCTTGTAATACGATGCGGAGTAGTAGGCAAGTTCAATGACCTGCTAAATGGGTGAGCTTCTCCATTCTTCCCTTTTCTCCGGCTTCTGCTCCGAAGAACCGGTCTTGGTAGACTCTGGCACGGATTCAGCAGAAGAGAACTTACCATACACAATCGCATCTGCCTCCTCGCCCGTGTACGGATTCCCCGAGAATTCGGCGTACTCGGACGGGCTGGGCAGGTTCCTCTGCAGTGCGTCATCGAACATTTCGTAGGCCTTCGACTTGTGGATCTTTCGTGGCGACTTCGGGGTGGCGAATGTGCGCTCCTCGAATTTGTCATAGCTGTTTGCCAGCTGGTTGCGCAGCTCGAATTTCGATATGAGCTGGCTGACTACGGAACCGCTGCTTGAGGCGGAGCTGGAAGGGCAGGCGGTGCTGTTCGCGCTAGCCGTTGCACGGTTCCGGAAGGGAATCTGGATGGTAAGGTTGCTGCGTGGCGTCTTCATTTTGGGTTTGGTTTGAAGATAACGGGATGAGAAGTGATGAAGTGATGAGGAATTCAAGCGTGTGGAACGAAGGGGAAGCCCTGACGTCAACAAGACTTATGCGTACGCATGAGGAACTTTTGGGAATCCCAGATGCTCCAAAGGTCTAAAGAAGATCCAATTGGTGCGTACAAGTCTATTGACTGAGGAACTTACTTACCTGTGATAATGGTTATGATATGAGTGCTTGCCTACGAAACCTAAAAGTGTGCTCCAACGGGGCGGTACCCTGGGTATTTAAAGTTGAGACGTGCATTGGCTAGCAACCAGTGAAAGCAAGATACCTTTGTTTATAGTAAACAATGAAACTCACTTTTCTCGCAATTGCCGTTCTTTTTTCACAATAACTAACTGCTCTTGGTGTGTTTAAAAAATAGCGCAAGGATGCATCCTTGTGATTGAAAGGCTGCTTACAACGGATATATAATCCCTCTGGGATCTAACCGCATTGACCACCTTTTTGCACACACCCCCATTTTGCAGGGTCTAACTGAATCAACCTAAATACTTCGTCCATGTTATTTATATACAGAACATACTTAATTTAAGTGTCCGATGACTTAGATATATTCTTTCGAGCCCTCTTTTTAGGAGGGACCCTTCCTTCGAGAAAAGTATCAGTTTCTAACTCCTATCCGGTAAAATAGGTCGTATTCGCTTATTTCGCTTGTCCTGAGCTGTTCGGATCGCTGATAAGTTAACGAATACTTTATTCGGGTCTGGCTCGACGGGCTGGCGTATATCTGGAGCGTATTTATCGAGTTCTTTATATAGTTGCTCGTTTTCGATACGTAATTTGGCATTCTCGGCGGCCTGGAGTGTAAGGGTCTTGCCCGCCTTGCCTACTAGAGTACGAATCTTACGAGATACCCCGCCCTCGGCTTTCTCTATCGACTGTAGTTGGCTAGATAGTTGCTGCGCTTTCTGAGGAGTAAAAGCAACTAAAGGTGGTGATATATGAGGCGGAGGATCTGGTGTATGAGGCTCCGGAGGATCACAAGATACGTCGACTAGTCCTTCGGAGCCTAGGGGCCATATACCAGTCTTCCGCCAGCCAGATTTAATATTTTCCGTAGTAAAGGCTCTCTCCGAGGCACGTAGATATGCTTCTAGCATACGTTGCTTGTAAATTGGGGCTGTAGCCTTGTAGGAAGCGTAAGCCCTGAGCTCTTGGCGGTAGTAGGTCTTCAAAGGTGAGAACGGCCCGACATCGCACGGCTGGAGATCGTCACTGCAGTGTGAGGGTAAATACAGCACGGCGACTCTATTCGAGTAGGCTCGGATCTTGTTCGAACCGGACGCTCTAACTCGGCTAGCATCTACGACGCGCCCAATTTTGGTACGTATCTGTGGATGGCGGCTAACGAAGTGATCCACCCAGTGTTGGCCGAGTGTATTGTTATCCCCTTGAGCAAGGAGGATTTCGGCAGCGAAGTCGGCCACATAACGCTTGCTAGGAGCCCGTCCACAGACTTCTTCGTGTAGGATCCAGTTCACGATAACCTCCTCTTTCTCTGGAGTCAACTTTTGTTGCCTGGAGGCCGCGTCGCGATGCGAATTACCGTGACGAATACGGTAGGACAGTGTAGTCCCCTTGATACCGTACCGATGAGCTGCTACGGCCTGGGAAGAGCCCTGACGGACAAGCTCTTTAGCGCGTTCGATTCGCTGCTCAAAATCGTCCAGACTATTCTCCACTGGATTAGTCATTTTGTACGTAGATAGGGAGCAATTGCGAGGTAAATTGAGAGACGTCGTGTTGTTGAGGCGTAGAAATTCCCTGCAAAATGGGGGTGCATGCAAAAAGGCGGTCAATGCAGTTAGCTAGATGCACTACCTATATTGGTATAGCACTCTACTCGGGCCATTTATAAACCCCTTCATTACAAATCCTCCCACTCTGCAACCGCCATATCCAGCTCCAACCTCTCCACCAACTCCCTCAAAATGCGCACCACCGCCCTCTGCAGAAACACCTTCTCTACCATATCCAAGCTTAAATCCTCTAGCCTATTCGTTATAGCCATCACCTTGTCCTCCTCCGTCTCCGCCTTCACCTCCTCGATAAACCTGTCCATCTCCTCTGCCGCTGCTTGAGCGGCGACATGCCGGACGTTCTGAGTTATCTCGCCCGCCATTTTGGTGCGCTCGGCTTGCATCTTGTCTTGGACAGCAGCGTCGATAGAAGACACGATATCAGCTTCGAGTTGCCGTAGCTCCTGGGTGATCCCCTCGACTATGTTGACTCGCTCAGCTTGGATCTTCTTGTCGGTCTGGCCGTTGACGGAATAAAGGATCTCGGATTTCAGAGCGTCGACCTTCCGGGTCTCCTGTGTCATCTCTTTGACCATCCTAGATCGCTCCGTTTGGGTCTTTTCGTCGATGAGGTTGGTCACGGCAGAGAGAATCTTGGCTTCCAGCGCGGTACCATGGATGGTGCAGGAGAAGTACTCGGGATACTTCTTGGGGGCAAGGGTATCTCTGGTAAAACGGAATCCGGTTCTATGGATGGATGGGATGCTGGACATGTCTTGGGTATGCTCTTTAGTTTGTGTAATTTTGAAGCTGCATACGGCGGCCTCTTCGTTGTGAGTAGAAGGTCCAGGTGTGTGGTTATCTTTGATATCTAGAGATGGCGATCTTTCTGTGTTCTGATCTGATGGGGCACTGTTTTTTGGTGCTGACAAGAGAACATGCGATGTTCTCGCGTCCTCCTGCGTGTCTCGGAGATTTGTTGTCTGGTTTGGGTGCTCATTCGATCGCTCACTTTCGTCGTGCGACTCAGACTGGACTAATCCTTTCCCGTTTTGTAAAATCTTGCAGTCCTTCGCGTGCTGCAGAGTTGTTGTAGAATATTGCACTTCCTGTGGCTGTAGTCCTTCGGTTTCACTCTCCGGCTGAGATGCTTGGCCTGCCTCAAGATCGTTTCTGAATGCGTTCTGCTCCACCGACCTCTGTGCGAATCTCGACAACAGAGAGTTCGGTCTTCCGACGGGATACATATCGTTTAGCTTCTTTCTGGTTATTTCTGTTTTTGATTGGTAGTAGTCCTATGCGCCACACCAATGTTTAATCACTTAGGAGCTCGAGGAAGAAGCAAAGGAGATTCCGAAGTTCGCAAGAAATATAATATGAGTAAGAAGTTAATTGCTGCGCTGGCAATAACTCTTGTTTGCGCATTGTCAGAATTTCTCGTCAGTGTGACGTGGGTCTCGCCATGGTTATTCACTGCCTGAAACTTTTGTGACGATGTTGCAGTCACATTGACTAGAAGACTGACAGGGTTGTTTGGCCTGGTCATAATATGTTACGAGATATTATATTACTAATTTGCATGACTGTATTTGGTTCAGTATACAGATCTTAACTGCATGTAATTTCAAAACGTGCTTGCGGACAGAGCTGTCTAGTAACAACTGTGAAGCTCGTACCTCTTGAATGCCAAGCATCTAAACATTTGGTCGCAAAACTCAATTCTCCTGCGTGGGGAAGACGTGAACTTCTCCCAATCCTCCTTATCCGTGTGTTGGACAGAATTATCAACACGTTACTAAATTTCGGGCTAACTCTGCTATAAATGCGAAACCTTCGCTACGCCGAACTTATATAAAAGTCGATGGAAACCTGTGCTGCGTAAGTATATTGAATTTTAGGTCATATTGGACGCACTTACTATATGAACGAAATAACGATCCCCTTTCATCTCTCTACGTCTAGTTCATATTCAGTTTCCCGGTGGACGCCCGATAGGATTCGCCTATCTTCATGTAGTAAGCCGTGAAGGCTGACTTGACGGTGCCCAAAACGTATATCCTATCTGTGTAGATCCTGGTAGTCTCCTAGTATATCCGGGAGCCTGTTCTCGCAAGGCTTCGTCGTGTGCAGGCTTACTAGGAGGAATCCAGCCACCGGGGCAATAAACCAATTGGCACGCCGGTCCCCGTTCCGGCTTTGAGACCAGTGTTTGTATCTGGAGACGCCAATATCGTGCTGTTGGTGCCTGTCACCATGTTGTATTTTCGCAATCCAGCAACGGCAGCGTAAGTTGCCAGTTGAGAGGCCGAGCTTGTTGCAATGATGGCAGGAGATGCATAAGAGGTAGAGGAAGCTGGTGTTGCCAGAGGCACAAAGGCATCACTGCTCGGAAATGGAATCATATTGACATTTGAATTTCCTGGGTTAGGGCGGCTTATTCAATTAAGGACAAAGCAATTATAAGTTATAATATGAAATATTTAATAACTTCAAAGATAGATTTCTCAGCTAATTTACGCTTAAATTCTAATCTGTAATTTGCAAATCGTCTTTTATTTAATAGTACGAATACTAGCCCCTTGCTTTTCTTACTGCTACAAGCCGTCGTAGAAGGGACTTCATAAGACCGCGTACGTACGTTAAATCGACCTATAACTACGCATCCTCGATCATTAACCTAGCCTAGGCCTCTTGAGGGATATTAGCCTTCAATTCGGAGAAATTAAGCTCTATTTCACGTATTTTGGCCTTTAAAGCTTTCTATACATACTCAATAGGGTTCAAATCGGGGCTATGAGCGGGCTACTTAATCGTCTAGATATGATACGAAATGGTAAGGGGACCCACTGGTTAGGTGAATCCCATTCAATTAGATACTGTAACGTTGCGCACTGCTGCATTATAGCATCCTCCCCCCTAGGTGCACACATCAAGATACTATGATCCTCTAGCTACCTCTGCGTATAGCTTGATATATATATTTTCGCGTTATCCTGCATAAAGGGATCCCCTAGTGAAACGGGGTCAGGCGGTCGGTAGGATATACCTACCACCTAACACACTGGACAGACGGCTCCAGTACTGACAGATCACATCTGTTGGTCTGATCAGACGAAGATCGTGGTATTGGTTGTAAGAGCTTCGCTCTTGGAAGTCTTGCGCGTGGGTTGGTCGGATGTGCCTCTAAGACTAGCGACGGAATAATTCTCAGAATAGGACGTCTAGCTCTAGGAGTCGAATTGAAGCTCTCTTTAGCATAAGAAACGAAGGTGCAGATAATTAAAGAAGGTGAAGAAGATAATAAAGAAAAGATATGAAGGAGGATAGAGATGAGGATTCGTGTCCTGCTCCGTCTCTGTGCTTCTTAAAGAAGAGAAAATAAACTTTCTCCTAGCCCCGTAACCTATTTCCCAGATGTCCGGCCTTACCCCGTTACACTAGCTCGTAGAATAGAAGTAGCCCTTACTCTAGGATATCGTAATAAGACTGTGAGGACACTCCGTAGCGCGGAGAGTCCGGATCGCCGTCGCAGAAGACTAACTTCGATACCCCGCTTTTTATCATCCCTTAACCAGATCATTCCCTACACTATAATCGAAATACGTGGCCGCCTATAGCTCTATAGGTTCACGAGATCCTCTCTATACCTCTCGTTCGTATAGCGGAAGACTTATTAGCCTAGAGAGTCCGGCAAATTCTAGACCGTACACTCGTCCGAGAAGAGTGTCCGTATAAGCTACTAGATCTGGGCCTGTTACACGCAATGGTGGTCGAATATTTGAGAGTTGTAAGAGCATGACATTCTATCTAGTACTATGTATGATACGTGACCCTATAGGGGGTTACCCTGTAGCTATAGATAAGATAGATAAGAGCTATAAAAGAGCTCTGTCAGGCCAGAATAGCTGACCTGGCTATCCTTTCCCAATACAACAATCCACAACCCATATGCACTCGCATCAAATGGTAGCATCTCCTCCGTTCTTTGGTCAAACGGTCGCATGGTCGATTTGGTAGGGTTTAGGACTCATGACCACCAAGTCCGCACCGCATCCGGCGAATGGCTGTCGCGCCCTGACGAACAGACCACTATAGGGGTAGTACCGGGTTCAATTCCCGGCGGAAGCACCAAACCACTTGGGGAGGATTACGGACCTACTCTGGCAATAAGACCTGCGAGCGATAAGCCCATTGAGGACAATGGTTTCAATTAACCAGACCCCGGCACTTGATGCGTGCACCTAGGGGGGAGGATGCTATAATGCAGCAGTGCGCAACGTTATAGTATCTATATCAATAGGATATCCACGGTGGCACGAAGGTTGGACTTAGTCCCAAAGGGCTAAGTCACGTGGTAACCTGGGTGGTCTTGGCAAAGCCCACAAAGGTTGCCTAACATCTGGTACATGCCCCCACAGATCGAACGTCATTGATTTAGGCTTGCTGGCGATGTGAAATCGCGGGTTTTTGTCGTCATGGTGACTGCGTAATGTGGCGGGCATTCATGGTGTATTGTTCAGGTGAGGCTACCTTTACTCACTGCAAATGTCTTGATGCTTGATACGAAAAGGTAGGGGGACCCACTGGTTAGGTGAATCCCATTCAATTAGATACTATAACGTTGCGCACTGCTGCATTATAGCATCCTCCCCCCTAGGTGCACGCATCAATGCTATTCCAGGAAAGCGATTATGAGGATCATCACCGATGGACTTCACACGTGTAAGAACTTACCGAAAAGTAATGAGTTGTAGGCTGAATTATGACCAGTAGTCTGTTTATGGGATTCAGCTACCAAAATACGTCCGTGCCATGAGTAGTGGCCCTATGTAGGGTTATGTTGTTCTCCTGAGCCCAAACGACTCATCAGATAAGACGAGAAATAAACCTTCTTGTCGAGTTTCTCCTCTTTGATGACGGAAGCGCTGGTCCTGGGATGTTATACATCTTCCTCGATTCCCTAGGAACCAATGTCCATCTCCTAAAAACTTGCGTGGCCATTTCTCGTCTCTAATATAGGTTATACTGGATCTAATGTAGTTAAATACCGAGCTACTTCGGGAAGACCCACTCCAACGCTAACCCGATCGGGGTGGCGTAGATCATGATGATCATTTTTTTCCCCCGGGAGATTCATTCGGCCTCTACCGAAACTGCGGGCGGACAATATTACCAAAGAAAGCCAACCTTGAAATGATGGACTCCAGCTTTCCTAGTGAGATATACTGCCTCCTTGTTTAATAGCTGAGGATCAAAGATTCAATGTGACCCACCGTTTTCAGATACATGAGCAGTCTCAGGCAAGCCATTGTGCCGACGGTCAGCCTCCTTCTGATGACGGTGATTCGGCATATACGCCGTCAATTCACCAACAGCCATTTCCTTTCTCCGGAGTTTACCGTGCCTTACAACGCGAGGCCGATATTGCCGTTGTGGTTCATCCCAACTTCAGCTCATCCCAGCGTCTTGGGGGCGGCGTCCTCGTGTTTTCAAGCGATCGGGTGACAGCTGGTGACGAAAATCCGCGTGGAGCCCTGTTTCACGATCGCCCCCCCACATTCGAACCTGCCTGTTTTAGGCAGTCTGGACCTCGGCAGACAGGCTTCACCTTGAGCAAAGTCGTTTACTTGACTCTAGGAGTTCAGGTTGCATGGTATGACCCGCTTTTAATTAACATAAACCATCAAATCGTTCGGCGCTGCTTAATATCCAACCAGATGGCTGACGATGACCAGGGACTTATGAGCCTCAACTCCCCTATGACGCCCTCGGCTTGACCCACCATTCATCTATCAACAACGTAGTGAACCGCCCACTTGTCCACTGTGCCATATTGCTATCGATTGCAAGCGCTGTCATTGGATGTTCGGCAGGCCGGAAAGACTTGCCACTTCTACGCTGAGCCCATTCGGCTGTACTGACTCCTCTTCTGCGGTGGCAGATATTGCTTCGATGCGACGGTCAATGCTGGGCTCTGCAGGCGCAGCACACCTATATCTAGTCGTTGATGTCGCCAAGTCATGATGCCCGGTCAACTTCATTCTCATCATTACTTTCTGGTTTGGTTACCTCTTGTAAGTCGTTTGAGGTTCAAGCGCATTGTTTCTTTCTCTCTGCCTTGAAGGCAACACCATTCTTTTCAAACAACAACTTTCATTCCACATTCATTCCTTTCAACACAAGCAACTATGCAGCTTTCTACCATTCTTTCAACAGCATTCGCGCTAGGCGTTGCGGCTGTATCTCACAACGTCAACTATACTGAAACCAGCTCCGGCATCTCATTCGCCGGATACACAGATGGAAAATGCACTGTCGGCATAGCCCTACCGGAGACCCCAGGCACCGACTTGATTGCCAACATTATCGGCCCTCTCACAGACGGAGCAGGATGGGCAGGGTTGGACTTCGGAAGCGCGATGACCAGCAAGCTCCTGCTCGTTGCATGGCCCAACGGAGACGACGTGGTTATTTCACCTCGGCTAGCTTCCAGCTATGTCACCCCACCAGTCTACACAGGCGATATCAGCCTCATGCCCATTGCTAAAGGAACCTTCGTCAACGACACCCACTACTCCGCCACTTTCCTGTGCAAAGATTGCATCACTGGCGATGCCGACACTTTCGTCTCTACCGCGGCCAATATCGTCCTCGGCTACGCCTACTCGCTCACTGCCGTTACGGATCCCACCTCTGCGTCTTCGGCATTGTCCTACCATGCCGCCGGCTTTGGTGGCTTCGGCATGGCCATGGGATCCGCCGAAAGTGCCAACTATGCGACGTGGGCAGCCATGGCCTCCGCAGCAACCACTACCACTCCCAGCAATGGAACCAGCGGGTCTAACACCACCACCCCCGTTGCCAGCAGCACCCCAGTAGCAACGACCACCTCCAATGCCACGTATGATTACATCGTGGCCGGAGGAGGCCCTGCTGGTCTTGTCGTAGCCGGCCGACTTGCTGAGACTGGTGCATCTGTCCTTCTTGTGGAACGTGGTAGTGCTTCCTTGAAGTCGACCGGTGGTGATGCCGTCATGACGTGGAACTCTTCCGTCACTCAATACGATGTGCCATCAATGGCTTACTACCTGAGCACCGCTGACGATACAAGCGAGTACTGTGACGACACCGCATCTCAGGCTGGCTGCATTCTGGGCGGCAGCGGCATGGTGAACGCTCTCATGTTCGTTCCGCCCCAGGATGCCGATTGGGATGACAAGTGGCCCGCTGGCTGGACATCCGCAGATGTTAAGGCCGCCTCCGAACGATTCTTCACCCGCAACCCTGGCACCGACCTGGCATCTGCCGATGGAAATCGATACGACGATGGCGCCTACACCGTGCTGTCTTCCTTCTTGAGCGGAAACGGCTGGAGCGAGGTTGCGCCTCTGGATGAGCCCAACAAGAAGACTGATGTGTTTGCCCACCCTCCATGGAACATTCAAAACCACCTGCGTGGCGGCCCCGTCAAGACGTACCTGCCCTTAGTTGAGAACATGGACAACTTCAAGCTCAGCTTGAACACCAAGGTCATTCGTGCGGTTCGCAGCAACAGCACCTTCGTTTCCGGAGTCGAGGTCGAGAACTCGAACGGCAGCCGCACCATCATCCACGTCACCCCCAAGACCGGCAAGGTTATTCTGTCTGCCGGCGCTTTGTCAACCCCCAAGATCCTCTTCTACAGTGGTATTGGCCCCACCGAGCAGATCGAGGCTGTTCCTTCTGATATTACTCTTCCTCCTTCTTCCCAGTACATCGACCTCCCCGTTGGAAAGGGTGTCAAGGATCATACCATCATCACCTTCACCATGGGCACTAAGACTTCCTTGAGCGCTTTGGACTCAACTGCGTTCACAGACCCTGACGAGGAGTCTATCTCCCTCTTCGCCGAAGGTTCCGGAGTCCTTAGCCAAGCCGGTCAGCGCATCAACTTCTGGACCTCTATCACCTCCCCCAGCGATGGTATCACCCGATACCTGCAGGGAACTTGCAACAGCCCGTCCAACAACACCATCAAAGTCAAGCTCTACGTCATGCACGGACTCACCTCGTCTGCTGACCTTGTCCTTGACTCCACGGGCACCATGACCGAATTCTCCGGCTCTCCGTGGCTGCAGACGGAGGGCGACATCGAGGCCTACACTGGCTTTTTAGACCGCCTCATTAAGATGACCACCACCGGCAACTCTTCGTTGACTCTACAGATGACCGACGGCTCGGCCGTGGCCAGTGGTATCACCGGCACCGAATACTTTGCTGATATCAACTCGACCCTGACCACCGGCGCTCACTTCGTAAGTCAACTTCCTGGTTATCCTGTACCAATGTCGCCTAAGACGTAATTACATTTATTTCATCTGCGCATCAACTAACACTCATTGCTTCAGGTCGCAACCACCAAGATGGGTGCCACCAAAGACGGATCCAGCGTCGTCGACACCAACACCAAGGTCTTTGGAACCGACAACCTCTTCGTTGTCGACGCCTCGATGCACCCCGATCTCCCGACCGGAAACACCCAGGCTATCGTCATGGTTGCCGCTGAGCAGGCTGTCGAGAAGATCCTCGCCCTTGACGGCAAGACCATCAACGACTCTGCTGATACCGGCTCGGGCTCCGCTACCGGATCGGGCTCTACCACTGGCTCGGGCTCTACCGCCGGCTCGGCACCGATCACTATTCCTGCGTCGGCCCCGACCGCCACCGCCACCGCCACTCCAAGCGGCAAGAAATCCAAATGCAAGCACAGGAAGACTGCCGCAGCGCAGCACCAAGTCGCCACCCGCAACATCCGCGTTTCGTTCGAAGACCGTCGCCGTACGAGGGACATCTTCCAGCGCGCCAGCAATTAAATATTCCAAACGATGCAAGGGATACGGCGTGGATGATCATGGTTGAATGATTCCCTCTGCGCAAACATTCATGTATATATCTGATTGAACTTTTGACTTGTACCATACTAGCCTATTAAGCTTAACGTGATCCACAAGTCATTTTCGCACACAAGTCACTTTCGCACTTTTTCAAATATTTCAACCTTTTAACTTAGCTTGCACTTTTCTTCCCTCCCACAACATGCCTCGTAAATCCAAAGAAGCCGATCTTCAGCTAGCTATCCAAGCTAAAAAGCGCAACCCTGAAATTTCATGGCGTAAGCTTGGCCTACAACGTTTGCGACCGTACACTAAAGAATCGATTCGACGGCGACCAAACGCGACACGAAGCTAATATGTTAAAACGAAATCTAACTCAAACCGAAGAGGATACGATTGCCCGACGTATAATTGAGCTAGATGCGCGAGCATTTCCTCCTCGGCTTCGATACGTTGAAGAAATGGCGAATATCCTACGACGCGTACGCGACGCGCCCCCCGTCGGCAAGAACTGGACCACGAACTTCGTTAACCGCCGACAAGACCTCCGAACGCGTTTAAACCGTCGAATTGATTACCAGAGGGTATTTAGCGAAGATCCTATCGCGTATTACGCGTGATTTGAGCTTGTTAGGGACACAATCGCTAAATACGGTATCCTACCGGAGGATATCTACAACTTTGACGAGACGGGCTTCCTAATGGGCATAATCACAACCGGTATGGTTGTAACGAGTGCAGAAAGACACGGACGGCCTAGACAGGCTACACAAGGAGGTCGGGAATGGGTTACGGTGATCCAGGCTATTAATTCGCAAGGTTGGGCGGTACCGCCGTACATCATCTTCGCGGGCAAGGTTCATCTTCCTTCGTGGTATCGCGGTAACGACCTACCGGCCAACTGGAAGGTCGACCTTTCCCATAACGGTTGGACTACTAATAATATTGGTGTGGAATGGGCAAAACACTTTGTTCAACATATTATTAGCCGTCGTAAGGGTGCGAAAAGTCTCTTAATATTGGATGGTCACGAGAGCCACCACTCGATGGATTTTGAGACTTACCTCGCGGCGCACGGCGTAATTACATTGTGTATGCCTTCCCATTCATCCCACAAGCTCCAGCCTTTGTATTTGGTACCTTTTAGTGTGTTGAAACGGCTGTACGGTGCGTTCGTGGAGGGTTTAATGCAAAGGCATCAAACCCATATTGAGAAGCAGGATTTCTTAGCTGGGTTTTTAGAAGCTTTCATTGGTGCTTTTCACGAAAAAAACATCAGATCAGGATTCGAAGTAGCTGGGCTTGTTCCTTTTAACCCGGATAGGGTCATATCTATGTTGGATATCGCAAAAGTAGTACGAACACCGACACCCGACCCCCAATTGCCTCCCTCCGTCTGGGTTTCTAAGACGCCTACCAACACCCTCGAAGCCGAATCGCAGTCAACTTTGATTAAAAGTAGCGTCCAGAGGCATCAAGACAGCTCGCCGACGCATATTTTGAACTCAATTAACTCGACTACGAAGGCTACGCATGCAATGATGCATGAGAATGCATTATTACGTCGGGAGAACGAAGAGCTTCGTGAGACGAACCATATACTAAGTAAGCGTCGTAGGACGAAAAATAAGCAAATCAAATATGGAGGAGCACTTAGTATAGGTGATGCACAAGTTTTACGGGCCTTGAGGGGTGATATCAAGGTTATGGAGGAGGAAGAAGGGGAAAGCAGTCGTCCTGTAAAGCGCCGGCAGACCGGTATAAGGCGCTGTGGTATTTGCGGAGGGACTGGACATAATGCAAGGACTTGTTCAATAGAAGTAGAAACTGATAATGAAGAAGATTTTGAGTAATTTAAAGGATAAAATGCGGGTTATGCATAGGATATTACTGAATTACTTGAAGGTGCCAAGAAAAGTGCGAAAGTGACTTGTGTGCGAAAATGACTTGTGGATCACGTTACAGGACTGTTATCTTTACCAGTCGCCCGGTTGCTTTCTGCATGTGCTCACTTCTTGACAGACCTGATTATTGCCCCGGCCGTTGCCTGAACCCACGCATATGCCATCTCCATGTGAGGTCAATGATGGACCCTGGCGATGGTACTGTTCAAGTTCTTCTTCCGTCCAAATGATCAGCCACGCCCTAGCTCAGCTTCTCGTCGCATCTGGCCTTCCTTGGGGTAATCTAGTCAACAATTTGTATCCGCTGAGATCTCGTCGGATGTAATACTCGGCTCAGCCATTGCCTTGACCTGTGTCCTCTCAGATGTCCTCACAGATATCAAGGTTGGCCAGAGGCAATGTAAGCACAGTCTTGCAACCAGCCCGTCCCGTCATGTCTTCGACTTTATAATCCCATCGTCTGCGGACTCTATATCTTTTTCCGGACCTGATCTGGACTGCTCATGTAGCTCAAAATCTAGAAAAGCCAATCTACAAAAACCAATCTACTTCAAGATTCGCTCTTTTACGTTTCTTATAGGCCAACAGTCCGTTTACTTCAGTATTTCCCAAAGTATCATAGCCGAATAGTTCTTTTATATCAGAATTGCAATAGTATCTTCTAAACTCGTACAGTCAAATAATTCGAATGCTTCAGTCTTTCCTGTTGTTCCGTCCGGGTTGTTACAGAGGGAGGAGTGGACCTTGATCTCCAGTGATAGCCTAATGCTTTCTCCCCCATTTTTCTTTTTTTCGATTTGTATCTTTGTGCAGGCTTGTTTCTACTGTATTCCGTACATGAATGATTTGGTGCTCTTAGTACTGTTCTGAACTGCAAAATATCACACAGACCGCCCATGGCTGTCTTGAAGACCTACCCGTAAGTACGAACTTTTCTACTAAGTCCTATGAGCTGACGGGAATATTGATGCACTTCTAAGTAGCGGAAGTAAGAGCTGGCTAATTGACCTTGGGAAAGACAAGTCTCGCGATATTTTGCAGTGTCACTTTGTTCTTTTCCACCCGAATTCAACACAAAGCCCCGCCACCTTTTCCAACATACATCCATAATCCAACTGCCGCTGAACATACTTTCTACTCTCTGAGTGGTACGCTTTTCTTATTTATCGACATATTTTGCAGTTCCTGCCATTGGAAAAGACTTTCTCAACACCAAGGTGATGCTTTACCAGTCTCTTGCTCGTCAAACCCTTCGGTCACTAAAGATCAAGGATCACGTTACTTCTACCTGAATTCCGGGAAATATGTCAATGTACACAGGATTAATGGCGACTCTGCAACTAGACACCAAGAGGCCCGTACGAGGTTCCAGCAGAGGCGGCCGACAGTATGCTAGCAGGCAAGTTTGAGAAATTTCTCAGTGGGGCCAAAAAGAAACAACACATTGGTGATTTTCTGAAAGTTTAGTCTTTCACAATAAAAACAACAAACCAGTCATTTTGATCCTCTAGGCATGCATCGTGGCCTATGTCTCAAGACTGCTGAAGACAACGGTGTGACTGCGCGTTACCATTGTGCTTGTCTCTAGCGCAAACACTGGTGCTTGCACTCAAGCAAAATAGCAGGAGCTTGCGGACCAGCAACTTCGAAACAGAGTAAACATTACTTATGTTGCCCCAGCTGATATCTTCAAATACCATTACCCCCTCACTTTCATTTCATCCAACTCTCACTTATTTCGTCAGTTGTTGGGTTCTTGGGATTGTTCAGACGGTCCCGAAGAAGGGACGAAAGACTTTGGTAACTTGTGGTCACCGCTTCCCGACCTTCAAACAGACAAAATAAATTCGAGACCTAAGAATTCCTCAATCCTGCCCAATCCCCAACCATTCTACCAAAATCAATGCCAATACCTCATCTACAAAATTCCTCATACGACATCAGCAAACAATCATTGCAGCACCAACGGTTTCTCCAAGTCGAAGATCAGCCAGGTCAGATAAATCATCATCCGGCGCTTGGCCATTAAAATTTGGGATTCCAAATGAGTTCCTATGAAGCGACGAAAGAGCAATTAATCATGGCAGACAGCCATGAACATGTCAACCCTAGGGTCGACGCATTTCAGGTATGAACCAGCCTCAGTTCACCCGGCAATACCAAGCAGCGCTCGCAGCCTTACCTCTGCCAATCCTGTAGTTTCCAGCCTTCCCTTTCTCAACTTTCCCTTCCCAATTCTGCATCTTGTGGCATCTCCTCTTTCCAAATTCTTCTTTTCCAGCCTTGCTCCTGCCGGCACTTCATCTTGCCACTTAAGCAATTTTGTTTCTTCTAGCCTAACACTTTTTCAATCTTGCCTTGCCAAGTCCTGGGCTTCCTGGTCTTGAATTTTGCAACCTTGATTTACAGTCCCGCATGCGCCTTCCAACCCTCACTTCCACCTCTCTCAATTTCCAGTCGCACCACAATACCGCCGCTACCTTCCATAACCAGTCCAACCTTCTAACGCGATGGCACAGAGCGAGCTCGACATCATCAAGCAGCATGTTAAGTTCGTGCTGCGCGGAAAAGATGGAAAGCAGTGGCATTCGATGCCGGAACTTCCTACTGCGCAGGAGCTGAACCCGGATTGGGATGTCGAAGGTGAACAAATCCATCGTCAGTTGCTGGTGAACGACATCACAACTCCATACAGAAGCAAAGGCGAGTACCTCGAGACCTTGTACCGCATCCAGCGTGAGGAAGGCATCACCCAAATTCGACACTCGATCAAATCATTTAAGGAGAACCCGCGAATGTATGATGACGAGAACACCTTCATCTACACAAAGGTAAGTCCAAAGATCAACACTTGTGATACCTTTCCCATTCCTGACGCAAAGCTGATATTCCTCTTCTCGCAGGTGTTCGTTCAAGGGTATTCGATGACCAGGCTTGGCCCCCTTTGTCGTATTGAATTCTCGACTGAGCGCGCAGGCAAGAAGATCCGGTGGACTCACACTCGTCGCCTCACGCCCGGTACCCTCGTCGTCATTTCGACGGCCAAAGATAGCTTCAAAAAAATCTGCAAACCAGCTATCATTGCCGACCGCATGATCAAAGGTGGCTTAGACCGAAATCCCTCTGTCATTCAGATTCAATGGGCGCGTTGCGAGGATGCCGTGATGGATCCGACGGAGGAATTAATTATGCTGGAGGCACGCCTGGGCTTTTACGAAGCTGTCAGACATTGCATGGTCGGATTGCAACACGTCGCCGAAAGCGACACATCACTCGACAAATATCTGGTTCATGCCGACCGTAACGATCACAGCCCTGACTATGTGAAGAGCAGGCCACAGATTAACCTAATGCCACTGGTCGATAACAATCTGCCACCCGAGGAGACCGCAAAAGCCCATATCAGGGATAAATACCACAGCTATGATGTCCTGGAAGGTATCCCAACAGAGATTGGCAGGTACACGTCCCTCGATAACTCTCAACTGGAGGCAGTTCATCGCATCTTGACGAAGGAGCTGGCAATTATTCAAGGCCCACCCGGCACTGGAAAGACATATACATCTGTGCAGGCCTTACGTGTAATGCTGGAAACTCAGCAGAGACCAACAAATGTCGTCGTCGTGGCAGCCGAGACAAATCACGCGGTGGATCAGATCCTAATCCAGCTGATCAAGCTCAACTTCCGCATAGTTCGCCTGGGAGGTCGAACCAAAGATGAGGAGATCAAAAGATACAATATGTTCAATCTGCGAAAATGGACAATGCTTAATAACTCTAATGCTGATAAAAACTTCCGAGCACTTGAAGGAAAACGCAAATATGCTTCCAAGTGTTTCGAGGACAAGCTTCAAGAAGTATTTCCTTCGGATACAAGCCTACTCGACCCCGAAGTCTTGATGAAACACGGTATAATCACCAAGGACCAGTTCAACTCTCTGTTGGCTAATGACACTGAAGAGTGGCAGCATAACTCACCAGGTGATGACAGTCCCCAAGGGATCATGGGTCAGTGGCTTGGAGGTAGTCTTGTAGATGTTCCCGCCCGCCGTTACAACACCCAACTGTTTGACACTGAAGAGTTCGAAGAAGACGATGAATTTGATGAGAATGGGTTCAACCCGGAGCTTGATGATTGCGTGGTCGATGATGACGATGAGGATGGCCGTCAAAATGGCTATTGGGTTCCCATCGAACGCAAGTGGGCCGGATCCAACGATAATGACTACACGGAGAATGACCTATTACTGAAACGCCAGTTGATTAAGCCCAATCTCTGGAACGTTGAATCCCGATTTCGCGGCGCCGTATACGAGCACTGGCAAAGAGCCTTGCTCTTGCGCCTTAGTTCTGACCTTCACGCGCATCTGGCCGAGTACGTGCACATCACCAAAGACCTTAAGATTAACCGATGGAACAAGGATACCCAGTGCATCAAAACAGGCCGCATCCAGATTGTGGGTTGCACCACGACTGGATTATGCAAGTACCGTGGCCTTTTAGCCGCTTTGAAGCCTCGGACAATTCTCATCGAAGAAGCAGCCCAGAGCCAAGAGGCCAACATCACCTCGGCGTTGTATCAGGGACTACAACAGTTGATCCTAGTTGGTGACCACCAGCAGCTCGTTCCACACTGCGATACAGCTGGACTTGCTGGCGTTCCCTTCTTCCTGGGAACATCCCTTTTCGAGCGACTTGTCATCTGGATGGATATGCCTTTCACTATGCTGAATATGCAACGACGCATGATTCCTGCCATCAGGGAGCTTCTCGTTCCTCACTACAAGAAGTTGACAGACCACCCCGTGGTCAAAATTCCTGCCAATCGACCACCGGTCCCAGGCATGCTCGTGGATTCATTCCTCTTCCACCACACGTGGCCCGAGGGAGTTGACACAGAGTCACTCAGCAAGCACAATATCATGGAAGCAGAAATGGTGGTTGGATTCGTCCGGTACCTGCTGATGAATGGGGTCAGGTCAGAAAAGGTTACTGTTCTGACTTTCTACCGCGGCCAGCGAAAGAAGGTCATCCAAATCGCCCGCCAGAAACTATTGCACTTCGGAATTCAACAGCTCAATGTTTACACGGTTGATTCATACCAGGGAGAAGAAAACGACATCGTCATTTTATCCCTCGTTCGTAGCAACCGACCTAATGACCCAGGTCGCGCTGGCTTCGTGCAGGACCGAAACCGTGGAGTCGTCTCTATCAGCCGTGCTCGTCGAGGTTTCTATGTCTTTGGCAACATTGTCAACCTGGAGAATGCCACGACTGAGTCTGCTTTCATGTGGGGCAATGTGAGAAAGGTATTCGAGAGCCAAGGACGCTTCGGCAGTGATGGCCTGCCAATTAGCTGTCAGAATCATGACATAGTCAACTATGTGAAGGAGCCAGATACCTGGATCAACAATCATGGTGGCTGCTGGGAACCTTGTGGTGGAAGATTCGAGCCCTGTGGCCATCCTTGCAACAGACTTTGCCATCCGTGAGTTCTCTTTCCTTATGAGAATGATCCTAAATTAACCATATCCAGAATGTCGCACAGCAAGCTGATCTGCCAAGATCCGTGCGAGAGGCAGCTACGTTGCGGTCATGGATGTAGTGAATTCTGCGGTGAAGAATGCCGATGCGCCCGGCACTGTCCTGTCTTCCATGGTCTCCTTCATGAGAAGTTTGAAGCCGAGAAGCAAGCTCGCGCCACAAGTCCTCAGAACACCCATAACGGTTTATATCATAGAGGCAACGGTCAAGGCCGCGATAAGGTCAACAATGGAAACCAGCGCGGCCGCGGCTTTAATGCGCGATACGGTGGCCGTGGTTGGACCGGCGGACTTGGGTACAGTGTTGCCACAGCATTCGCTCGAGAAGGGTATGGCGAAACTCACCAATGGAGTAACTTCAATGCAACCGCGGATGACGCCCAGATTAACAGAGACCGTCGCGCTGCCGCGATGCCGGCGCCGAAGCTCATCGAGCTCGAAGATTCTAATGAAAACCCCGAGCCGCCCGAGCCTCCTGAGCCTGTCCATCGCGAAAGATTCCGCCCGGTGACTCTGGGGAACCAGGGTCAGCGCAACGTGGGCAAGGTGATTCTCGCTGACAGTGGTGGTTCCTCGTCCCATGAGAAGACTGACCTCGAGATGCGCAATAAACAACAGAACCTAACCACCTTCCCTCCGCCAAAGGATCTTCCGTCTCTGCCGCTAAGATCCCGAGAATCGAGTGATGGTACATCCAATGCTGAAGGAACTCCTAGCAAGCCCGCGAGCGGCAGCAGTCGCCGCCATCAGGCAAATGACGACATCTTAGCTGGACCTCAGTATGACAACAACAGCTTCCGGTCTACTTGGAATGACTTGGCCTATCCTAGTCCCGTTTATCCCGTGCCGCACAACTTTGTGAATGCTCAGGCGGACAATGAAACAAGCTATTCGGCCTCTGTTGCCGAGTGGGAGGTTGAGAGTGTTTTCGAGAAGTCTGTCACCGGTTTTGAGCCTATCAAGGATGAGCAGGATGAGGAGGACTTGATCCAATTTTAACCACGAGCCGAAGCACCTCTCTTCCGAAGATCTGATCTAGCTCCAGGGTACCATGATGAGCAAAATGTGTGGCAAAGAAAACAAGGAAAAAATACCAGATGGCAGAGTGCACGCGCTTCATGTAGAGTAGATTCATATGAAAATAATGATAGGCATGTTTGGTGCAACCAATGCATGGTACAACAGCTTCATTGCGGGCCATGCGAACGTGGGGTTTAATCCGCGTGAGCTCGCGTGCGATGTACTTTCATCGTTGCTACTTCTTGCCGTATCCATTTCAACAATGCCCACCTCACGAGGCCAATATTGACCACGAGCAGACGATTAAGCGAGTACTCCTTGTGTCTACTCTACAGATTCAGTAGATATCACAGCGTGTCGTACGTCGAAGGTCTGGGCGCGGAGGGTGGATATGGTGTCATTATAGAAGAGGATGTAGTCTGTTTCATCCGCCTGAGTATGTATATTATCTATCTCTCTATAGTTGGAAGGACAATATCGCATAGTCTTACCCCCAAGGAGATCGAATTTGTCGCCACGGCGATGGGTTCTTCGGCTGCAACGTCGAAACTAAGCGTATCCAGCGTGGCGGGCTGCGTCCAGTTCTGATTGACTCTACCTTTCCGGGTCCACGAAGCGCAGGTGGTTGTTGGGGGCCTGGAAGAAAATCATGGTGTTGAAGCCGCCAGCATTATTTTCGGATCCGCATGTGGCTAGCATCGATGAAGATACAAGTGTTTCAGCAACATAAAATCGTCTTATCGTCTGTCCCGTCTTGCCTATCGATACGATGTCCTCGATTACATACTTCAAGCGCAGTACATTCAGGCATATCTTATAAAATAAGTACATGTAGAGTTTAGTATGAGAAAACCGTGGATGGAAATCCAGGTCCCTCCGTAAGTGCCTATACCGGCTTATCATCACGTAAAGTCGTAAACCAGGAGGCTCTCTTTCTCACTAGACTCCTTCAGCACGATGACCATCTCATCATCAAACCCTACCCAATTCCGCCTTTCGCCAAAGCCCGACTGGCCAGCGCCCATCGTTGTATTTGCTTTGGCGGGCTCGTTGGTGCCATTCGATGCTGTTGGCCGTACTTCGATACTTCTTCCCTCTGCCGCCCGGCCTTCCAGTTCCCATACTCGAATTTCTTCACCATGACAGCTCACGCTGACGGCTTTACCCCGCGCGGTTATTTCGGCATCAGAGATGCCCGATGTGTGACCCCATAATCGGATGCCGGGGGAGATGGAGAGCGATGATGCATTCGAGGTGCAGAGATGTAAAATCAGGGTGTTGTCTGGGAGGGTGGCGAGGAGATACGGATGGGTGTAACATATGTTTGTGGGGCCGTCGGAAATAGGGTCATCTGGTGGTATGGTAGACGATGTCGGCGGTCGGGAAGGCATCCTTGGTGGTGAGAGCATTTGTGATGGTGCTGGTTTGACAGGCAGGGTGTAAGCCAGCCGCGAAGTCGTGACAATAGGGTTTCGTTTGGAGCTTGAGGCAGACGGCCTCAGATGCAAGTCTTGGATGCCAAGAGACCATCCCTGCAATGTGGAAAAGGTATAAGCGATGGAGGCGACCGTAGTTCCAGAGGTTTTCCGTATTGATAATGCCAACGGTGCTCTGCAAGTGTGCGACTTGAGGGAGGTGAGAAGATATGGTGCCGCAAGAATGGCTCCCTGTGGGAGTCGTGCTTTGGAAGGGTCGTGCTGCCCTCGGTGGTTGCTGGGCTGGTCTTCGCTGTGGCTTTCCGAGTCCCGCGCAGTCTTACTTTCAGACCCTCTCTCTGCTTCGCTCTCTGGCTCTTCTTCCTCTTCCCTTCCAAGCTCGGCGGAATTTACGGGCCCCTCAAAGGTATATAACGAAATGAGGACAGACTCAGTAGCGGTCAGCAAATACGGATATGACAGGGCCGCGCTTGCGAGTTTCCCGTTGCTCGACTTCTCGTGTCGATGTCTCCGTGTTATCCTGCCTTCCCCTACATCGATCCTCCAAATACCAAAACTGCCATCTATAAATCCAACCACAACATTAAGCATCTTCCCTTGTATGTTCTGATCGTCGATGGCGAGGCAACTCGGCGCAGCTTCCGAACTAGCCTCCGACAAATCAATATGCGCCACGAGCTCTTTTGTCCTCAAATCCCAGGCGCGCAATCCCGAAGCTGCATCTGCTGTCACGGCCGTTCCCTCGACAACTTTGACCAGCATCTTACGAGATGCGCTCTGTCCAGCACCTGCCATCTCGGAGCCGACGTTGAGTTCCTCGACGGCGCATTTCCCCCTTGACCAATTGTGCCTCAGCTTGTACTGCCTCTTCCAGTCGCGCAATTTGTCCCCATCATCACTGCGCATGTCTACCCAGCCTCCCCTCCTACCATCCGCCCATACTGCCTTACGCGACGAATAGTGCAGCTTTCCCTCTCGCGCCACGCCATGGCGGAAGCCTGGAATGCGCAGCGCTCGCGGCAAGACGAACCGCGTGTAGTAAAGATGTTTCCAGATTTGCGAGTCCTGCGCTAAACGATGGAAGCGGTTCGATACGGGCGCGACGTTGAGGAGGTCTGGCAGCGGTAGAAAGGTCAAGATGCGCACCAAGAGTTCGTCCGATAAGGGCGATAAGAAGTCGCGGGAGAGGCGGATCCGCTTTGTTATCGGGGATGGAGGCTTGTCGTTCTCGGTATCGGAGTGGACGCGTTTCCGGGGCATCGTGGGTCAAAGGCGCGTATGCGCTCCTACGAATAGGTACTCCTTCTCCGGGAGGTGATGTTGCATGAGTGACAAAAGGCATCAGCGGGGTGGCGTTCAACTCAAGAGGAAAGTTGCGAGTTTCGGAGTTAAGGTCAACCGAGGTTTGGCCGACTAATATCCCAACGACAAGTCCAGCTGGAGTTGAACATAACGGTCAACACATCCACCCAGTTCGAGCCAAAATACCGATCATCGTCCAATTGTCAAAATAGGTTGGAGCTATTGTTAATGGGCGTCTACGATTAGTCATCGCGTCAACCTCACAGTCCAGTGCACGCCTCCTGAATCTGGTCGAAACTTGCTCAGACTTGTACAGGTAAGTACTTATTTACGTAAGTGACTGGTTCTTTATTATCCCAAACATATTGCATCATAGATTTAATGCTAGGCATCACGCCGTGGCGAGCCATCAGCGGTACACACGGGCTACCGGTACGGGCAAATTAGCCAATACGCACATAGAAGTAAACAAATTCACTAATACGCAATTAAATAACGTAGTCCACGGTCCAATTGCACACTTCGGCAGATTTTCGTACGCTACCACTTTGACCTGCGAGTTTTCACCACATAACTATGGTTGGTTCTTGGAATGAAAGTGATATGATTCTAGCATTACATGCGCTTCAATCTGATCCAAAATTAAGTGTACGTCGCGCTGGTCAGATCTATAATGTACCTTTTAGAACCCTTGCGTATCGACGCGACGGTAAAACCGCTCGAGCGATTACGCGATCACCAACGCAAAAGTTGACTCCTTCCGAAGAAGAGGCAATGTACGACATATAGCCGACCTAGATTCGCGAGCATTTCCTCCCCGATTGAGTGGTGTTGAAGATATGGCCAACTGATTACTTCGAAGTCGCGACGCGGGACGCGTCGGCGTCAACTGGGCCTCGAGCTTCGTAAGACGACAACCATGTCAAAAACGACGGGTCACATGGTATTGGAGCATAGAAGCACCATATCGTTAGTTCTAGTTTTGTCTAGACTGTTGTTTGATATTAAATGTGGGATTGAGCACCACAGTGATTCCTAAGGTTGAAAGGCGCTTTATAGAGGTAGCCTAGTAAGGCTGGACCCTTCAGATTACTTAAAAGCAATGCACACAGCCAACAGAACAGATAGAGGGAATCTAGCATGGGAAAAACGGTGACCTAACCATAACCACCAAATTATTTTTTTCATATAACCGTCATATCACGGTCGTACTGCAAGATACGTGAATATCTAACAAACCAGACCTCCGGACGCGTTTAAATCGAAGGATCGACTATCAGAAAGTCCTCTGCGAAGACCCTGACGCGTATCGCGCGTGGTTTGACCTGGTACGGAATACAATTGCGAAATACGCGATCCAGGAGGAGGATATCTACAACTTCGACGAGACCGGTTTTGTGATGGGCCAAATCTCGTCCGAAATGGTCGTGACGACTTCTGATCGGTGCGGAAGGCCTAGAGCAGCCCAGCAAGGAAATTGGGAATGGGTTAAAGTTATTCAAGGCGTTGGGTCGTCCGGTTATGCCCTCCCTCCGTACATCGTTTTTGCCGGCAAAACCCACCTCTTGTCATGGTACGAAAACAGCCCATTACCGCCTGATTGGGTTATCGCAGTTACTAAAAATGGCTGGACTACGAATGAGAGAGGCGAAGATTGGATAAAACACTTCGATCATCACACCAAGTCTCGTACGAAAGGTACTCATCGCCTATTGATCCTCGACGGTCACGAAAGCCATCACTCGACCGATTTCGAGGTATATTGCAAAGCTAACAATATCGTCACGCTTTGTATGCCTCCTCATTCGTCGCACAAGCTCCAGCCTCTTGATGCTGGCTGTTTTTGCGGGTTAAAAAGAGCGTACGGAAAAGAAATCGAAGATCTCATGCGAGCATATATAAGTCATATCTCGAAAGAAGACTTTTTACCGGCGTTTTTAAACGTGTACAACGCAACTTTCACGGTTTCAAATATCCAAGGAGGTTTCCGAGGGGTAGGAATAGTTCCGTACGATGCAGATTATGTCATATCACAGCTCGATGTGAAATTACATACGCCAACACCTCCGGGTAGCTCGGCTGGTCTCCCCGTCCCTTGGGAATCAAAGACTCCGAACAACCCAACCGAAGCCCAATCACAAAGCGATTATGTGAAAATAGGATTTTACGACATCAAAATAGCTCACTAACGTCAATTTTTGCTGGAATAGATCAGATTGCGCGAGGTACAACGAAGGTTATGCATCGGCTTGCCCTTTTAGAAGGCGAGGTCGAACCACTTCGAAAGGCAAATGAGACCTTAAGTCGACGTCGCCGTGCGAAGAAAAAACAGCTACAGAGTGGAGGGTCACTTCGTATACAAGCTGGACAGGACCTACAGTCTCAACGAGAGGTTGATGGGCAGTTACATGACGAATTTCGTCAAATTGGTGGTCGTACGAGGCGGCGAATTGCGCGTGTACGGCGCTGTAGAATCTGCGGCGAGCCCGGACATAATGCGCGCACTTGTGGAAATTATGTAGAGACGTCTGAAGATAACGATTCTGAGTAGTTTCAATTGATGATAGGCGTTGTGGTTGAATTAACTTATACATTGTCGTATAAGGTCTGCCAAAGTGTGCAATTGGACCGTGGGCTACGTTATAAGACGTGAAATGTATACACTAGCTAAAATAGTAGCACAAATCGTCAAGGGAGCATTGCGCTATAAACTCTTCCCATTTAGATAAGGTATTATGCTATTTTAAAGCCTTGAAGTAATGATATGAAATACTTGTCGTGGTTTAACTGAGATGGCCGTCCATAATTATCAATCTGGAATTAGCAGGATCCGCTGTCGCTGTTCCTAGTATGAGAAGCGCTTTAAGGACCCCGGATTCTCGTTAATAATGCTGGGCTTCTTCACGAACCAATCTACATTAACTGAGTACGAGAGGTTATTCTTGTCCACCGGTAGAATGAAGTGCCCTACGGACCGACCTTGACGCAGGGATCATCGACATGTGCCAGACACTTTGAAGTTGGCAGCGTGTCGGCTTGATAAGCTGGCTTAACACCCTACTTGTTTCCATCCGTGAGGAATAACCACTCCATCAAGTTCTCGCAGCTATGGAGGAAGAGAAGATGAAAAAGCTAACAGTGTGGTTAAGGGACCCTAGCGAGGATGACGGCGACGGTGACGGCGATAGAAGTATGAATGACGACGGGGTTCACATGTAATAATAATGTCCATAAAAATATTCTCGAGTCCACGAGCATGCTCAGTTGATGCCTCATCAATCAGTCCATCAGCCATTTACTAATTTGACCACCAACCCACCCAGGGGTAATGGTGGGTTGATAATAAGTTGAGCCGACCGAAGCTTGGCCACAGGTGACACGAAGACCTGAGTCTTCGTGGCTCCATCCAAAATGTCCGTAATGCAGTATTACCGACTGTTTCGGAAATGTCTCGGTAGAAGCTACACAAACAGCGTTTTAGACTTTCATTTACTTGCTCTCCAATCCAACACAACTATCGTATAGGATACTCCCATTACTAATTATCAAGTTCCTCCAAGATGGTTTCAAGAAACTTAGACAACCGCAGCATGGCACACATATTCGACCTCGACCAAAGCAAACTCATTGGATTTTTTGGATCCTGCATCGAATGCATTTGCGGCCGCAGAATCACACAAGCCGATGCACGCGACTAGTTGAAGACGGGGGCGGGTTTCCCTCCTAGGGCACACTCATGTCGGTAGATCACTCAGCGATCATGGACTTGACTTGACCTGCCCAGAACACGACGCCATGCAGAATATGAGTTACCCTCAACTTCTAGTTTATATTCCTAACGAAGACATTTCTCCTATCACGTACGACGAGCTTCAACGCTAGCAACATATCCAAGACATCAACCACATGAAGAAATATAAAAAAAAATATTAAATACGCCGTAGGTGTTAACCCTCGGTACCTCTACAAGTACTCCCTTAAGGGGCTATAGATGATATAGCGGGCCCTTAAGCCGCGTCGGGCGGTTATACAGGTAAACTTGTAGCCAAACGACTACTAAACCTCCTGTCCCTCCCTAAGTCTGTGCTACAACCCCTGCCTGAACTACCGATAAGCGTGGTAATGTGGCACTTAAATTCGTCCTCAGGGGTGGGATGCTGCTGATGTGCAGAAGATGCTCGACTATTTTTTTTGTCGCGACAAGTCGTAGTATCTGCTAATTGGGGTTCTCGTCGAGCGTATACATCTCAACCATACGCTCAAGTGGATAGACCGTAACGTGGTCTAGACGCTCGCAAGAATCGCGGCGAGAGGGCGTGCTGCGCGCCTTCTATCGTGAGGGGACGGGTTCGCCGACGAGCGTTATCGGATAGGCGAGGTCCGATAAGGGGCCGGATTAACGATTCGAATTCTGGACCGGCTGTCGAGTTATATTCCGCCGACGTAGTGCTTGACGGTCGACTGGCTAGGATGCTCGTAATCCTAAACTGCACCAATCTCCCTATTATCGCTAGGTAGGCGAAGTCAACAAGGTGGGCAGCGCGCCATAAGGGTTGACTAAACCCCCTTGTGTGTCAGCTGCAGGATTCGAACCCGCGACTCGTCACCGACCCAAGTGGGGGAGGCTCAAATCGGGACTTATCTACCAGCGAAGTGACCAACTACACCAGCCGACTTGAAGAAATATATCCACAACGGGCAACCGCCTTACGCCGCCGACTGAGTTCCGACAAGATGGCATCCCTGGCCTTCATATTAATGACTACAGAGGAAAAGTCTCTGATCATGAAGCGAGTCTTAGCTCTACCCGAGTCCGTCGACAAGTGGCACGTAAAGCGGGAACTTCTTGTAGCGGAGGGAATGGAATGGCCACCAAGTTCAGGATCCACGGCGGGTGTACTTCTCGCCCGGAGGTCAACTAGTTGGAATTTCCGTTCTGGAATATAGCTTATGCTTGGATCGAGTAGACTGAGGATGCTTTCCTCTCTCACTTGTTGCGAAAACATGGCATTGTTACCGTAGGATCGGACACGTGAAGAGATGAAGACTGTGGCGAGTCTCAACTTCAACGAGGATGAGGAGACCTTCTTCGACACAGAAGAGGATTTGTTTGTTGACGATGATGAAACTCTATACGGGGATGTTATGACTACTGTAACTACTGAAATTGGTGGCGGGGAGGACAACTCGAGTTCAGACTCAGCTCATCACGACAAATGGTCTGGTCTTCAGACTTTTGAGCATGTATCTAAAGTCATGGAATGTACTAGTCGCTCATAGCATTAGCAAACAAAGTGGTCGATGACCGAAGTTCGTAACCCACAATTGGCCTAGCTGTGGGATCTTTCCGTCATCCTTGCCGCATCGAAGACACTGTGTTGCAATAATATTGACATACGACTGCATGTCTTAGTGTTTGTCCTGATTTTGCTACAGGCAAGTTGCTGTTTCTCGAGTCAAAACTCAATTGGAGGTGGGTCCCATGAGTTCGGTCCCGAAATCCATCGATTTGATGCCATTTGTTGTGGCATGCAAGGCCAAAGTCAAACTGAAGCCGTGTTGTGCATTATTTATTGAGTACAGTATGGGATAAAGCGCGTGTATACTAGGAGTCTGACCAGCCAGTTTACTGATTGTGAGCTTCGCGACTGTTGATATAAGCCAGGCAGCCCACATTCATCCGTGGAAATTATCAAGTACTGCTGTAGTAGACTCAGCATCTCTCCAAATGCCTCTTGAAGAACTCATTTCTGAACTCTTAAAAAGCCTCACCATGATGCTCAAGCTCACACACGTCGCAATATGGGCAGCCGCCATCAACTACGCCGCGGCAAGTCCTGTCACTGCTCGAAAGGGCGGCTTTTCCGCAAGTCAGGTCCGCGGCAATATATATCCGAAGCATGGTGCGGCTGCCACAGCGAAAACCTATGCCAAGTTCGGTGTTGCCCTGCCTGACTACCTTGCCGCCGCCCTCAACAGCAGCAACGTTGAGAGACGGCAAACCGGCAGTGTCGAGGCACAGCCCATGAGCTACGACGAAGCCTACGCATGCCAGGTCGATATCGGAACACCAGCCCAGACATTCAATCTGGACTTTGATACAGGCTCTGCTGACTTGTGGGTAGCCAACTCGCTCACCCCTGTGCTCACCGGCGGAGCGGGCTACAACCCCGGTGGCAGCAACACTTCCCAGGCGACCACCGACACTTGGCAGATACAGTATGGGGATGGCAGCTCTGCCGGGGGTACTGTGTATAAAGATGTCGTCAGCATTGGCGGCATCTCGTATCCAGAACAAGCTGTAGAGGTGGCTGTCTTGGAATCGTCCCAGTTCCTACAGCAGTCCACATTCTCGGGCTTGGTAGGCTTGGCATTCAGTTCCCTCAACACGGCCTCCCCAACGAAGCAGAACACGTTCTTTGACAACATCAAGATGACGTTGGACGCACCTATCATCACTGCAGATCTGAAACACCGAGCCCGTAAGTTTCCCTCCTTCAGTAAAGTCCAACCAGGCGTTTAAAAATAGAGCTGACCAAGACAAGCCGGCTCGTACGATTTTGGCTTTATCAACCAGAGCAAGTATGCCGGCGAAATCGTATACACTCCGGTCGACAATAGCGGCGGCTTTTGGAAGTTCACCGCGACGGGCTACCAAATCGGCTCAGACCAGTTTCGCAGCGCCTCGATCCCCGGCATTGTCGACACTGGCACTTCGCTCCTCTACCTCCCAAACGACATCGTGCAGAACTATTACCACGCGATCGACGGCTCCAAAAACAGTCCGGATAACGGCGGCTGGGTCTTCCCTTGCAACAACGTGCTGCCCAACTTTAGCTTTGGGGTCGGCAATGGCGCCCTCATGAGCATCCCGGGCGACTATCTCAACTATGCGTCCAACTCTGATGGATCATGCTATGGAGGTTTGCAAGACTCGTCGGACATCGGTTTTGCCATCTTTGGGGATGTGGCACTGAAGGCATCCTTTGTCGTGTTTGACGGCTCTGAGAGCCCTCGGTTGGGGTGGGCGAACAAACCTCTGTGAACTACGTGGTAGTCTTTCCCGTGGCGTTTGGTGATGCAATCCTCCTGCTTGGGAGTTCAAGTTTATTTGTTTAACTCAAGCCCACTCCTTGTACCTACCTAGATAGCCAACTTACTTGAGACATATGTCCTCCTTGCACCGTGATGCTCAGCACGCGCCGCATATCTGATCGCCGTGCTCCCCACAACGCAAATTGACCGGGCTCCTTCATCACCGTAGCTATGCATGATGAGTCTGCTATGTTTCAGGAACGATCGAGGGTTGCCGATCGAGTACATAATTCAATGACTGATGAAGCCATGTGCAGATTTCATCTCATCGATGACTGCTAGCTTGAAGATTGAGCTTCAACCCTTGTCTTCGAGAAGGGATAGGAGAAGTCTCCATATTGACGTTGTTCCTTTGGGTCATTCAGAAGTTGGAAATCTTTGTCCATGATAGACACTGCACATGATGCCACATTTGCCAACATCAGTTTCTTTTTCTATCGCAAAGTTGTGTCTATTGAAGTTTCAGAGCGATCCGTTGGATTCAACATTTTATAGTCTAAGTGAGAACGAGAACGACGCAATTGAAATGTGGGGGTTACACTGGAAGCCTCAGCTCCAGCCACACCTCTCCTTTGTATTCGAGCAACGGAGATTACCAAACTAAAATGTGACGGGTCTGTCGCTTCCCATTCACCCTGGTCACCGCCTTCCGTTCCTGCATTTCCAAGCAAAACGAAGCGAAATTGTTGGTTGAATCACGTTTTGCTTCATCGGCTGCTAGTGCGAAAAGGGAATTAGTCTGGATTCTCAATTGAATTGACATGGCAGGTTGATAGATCCACGAGCTAGCTTTTTCTGCCACAGGGAACCTGGGCTTGGCTCCACACGCAGATTGTCCCCCGGCAACTGACTTGGTCCCCTTTCTTCGTCCGACGTCGAAAGCTTTTGCGTCTGACTCCTTACTCTTACGAGCATCATTTTACGCAGTGAACCTGTTTACTTTGCAGTGTCCAAAAACGAAATCGACCTCGCAGCCACAGACGTCTCGTGCTTGCCTTCTCTTGTCCTGACTACATTTCCAACCCCGGCACATCCATCATTCAACATGGCCAATCTCGAGGCACAGGACAAGATCCGCGACGCGGCCTTCAACAAGGCCATGCACGGTGACTCGTCCGCAGCAAAGGGTGGATTTACCGCCATGCTCAAGAAGGACTCATCTGCGCAGAAGGCCGCTGTCGACGAGTACTTCAAGCACTGGGACAACAAAGCGGCTAAAGACGAGACCGAGGAAACTCGAGCGGTGAGTGTTTTGCCCCATCCCTTCCCCTAGATGAAGCTTGGACGCTGATATATTGCTGGACACAGCAACGGACTGCCGAGTACGCAACCCTCACAAGACACTACTATAACCTTGCAACCGACCTATACGAGTATGGCTGGGGCCAGTCGTTCCATTTCTGCCGCTACTCCCATGGCGAGACCTTCTACCAGGCTATCGCACGCCACGAGCACTATCTCGCCCACCAGATAGGAATCAAGGAGGGCATGAAGGTACTGGACGTCGGCTGCGGTGTTGGCGGCCCTGCCCGCGAGATCGCAAAGTTTACCGGCTGCCACGTTACCGGCCTCAATAACAACGATTACCAGATTGAGCGCGCCACGCTATATGCCAAGAAGGAAGGCCTCAGCAAACAGCTGGCCTTTGTGAAGGGTGACTTCATGCAGATGGACTTCCCTGACAACAGTTTCGATGCCGTCTATGCCATCGAGGCGACCGTCCACGCCCCCAAGCTTTCGGGTGTCTACAGCGAGATTTTCCGTGTGTTGAAACCCGGCGGTATCTTTGGCGTCTACGAGTGGCTCATGACGGACGAGTACGATAACGATAACCTGCACCACCGTGAAATCCGCCTCGGTATCGAGCTGGGTGATGGTATCTCCAATATGGTGCGCGTTTCCGAGGGCCTCGAGGCCATGAAGATTGCTGGCTTTGAGATGTTGCACCACGAAGACTTGGCAGACCGACCCGACCCCTTCCCGTGGTACTGGCCTCTGTCTGGCAACTTTGCGTACATGCAAAGTCCGTTTGATTTCTTCACGATCGCCAGAATGACCAAGGTAGGCCGCTGGTGCGCGCATAGACTTACGGGCTTATTGGAGGCCATCAAACTCGCCCCCCCCGGCACCATGAAGACGGCCGACAGCCTGGCTGTCGCAGCTGACTGTCTCGTCGCCGGCGCCCAGGAGAAGCTGTTCACGCCCATGTACCTAATGATTGGCAAGAAGCCTGAGAAATAGGAAACACGGAGTGCGGCATGGGACGGTCGAACGCGCTGGGTGAATTACTTGCCCCTGACAACTTGTTCACCATAATGGTATGGCAGCGAACGGACTGCGGCCAATACTCGTATCTTCAGTGGCCTGGTGGCACCATTTGTTCAACGCCGAGTCCCACCATTTATACTCCGATGCCAATGAAATAGCGTGCTTACGGCGCGCCGTTGGGGCTGCATTGGGAGATGGCCTCATAAGTCTAGTGGGATGACATCCGTGGAGACTGGGCAAAACCCGATAATAGAGAGCCGCCAAACAAGCTGCTCGTCTTGGTGGTTAGCCCTTGGATGGGACTGGCTCTTGATTCTATGTACTTAATTTGCGCTTGTGTTCGCCCAGTATTATACATACAAGATAGCACTAATTGGACTTTTCGACCACACCTCGCAATGTCCACACAAGTGATGGTTCTGGTTCTGGCGGGCAATTGAGTTTGGGAAAACAGAAGGGTACGTACCTTCCGCCCCGGTGAGCTTCGAAGTTGCATCTCTGGGGCGCGGCATTTCCATTGTTCACAAGTGTCGACGTCGCCAGGCAAAAGCCAGCTGGTCAATTCATCTTCTGGATCATTACATGTGATTCCAAATAAAATCGTGTGCGAAATACAACTTCCATAGTGGACTGTTTGAACCCCGACAATGCAACCAGGCGATCTCCAAGCTGGAACCCTTGAGCCATCCGCGGATTCTCAAAGTTCTGCAGCCAGTAGAACACCGAAATGCGGCCACGCTAGCCTTTATCAAGCTAGCGCAATTGGATCCGCTCAACAAGCAGCTTCCTGTTCCCTCCGAAAAAAGTTGGGAACTGCGAAGATAGGAAAAGCTGACGGTCCTGACAGCTTCGACAAAATTAATTCCCTCCTTACCGTCAGGCAATCTTCATCACCACCTCGACTCTCACCCACTCCCCCGTGCGCGTGACATCAGGGCGGATCTTCTCAAGTCGGTCTCTTCCGTCTTGTCATCTATCAAGTCAAGGTCGCTCACTCTTCTTTCCATACCCCCCCTCCAACCATGTCGCGCTATCTCCGTCCGGCGGCCCGCCTAGCTGCTGCCGCCTCGCGGTCCCCCATCATGGCTTCGTCCACCTTCCGCGCCCGCGCCGCCCCTGCGACCCTCTCAGCCTTCTCCCAACGACGAACTTATGCCGACGCCAAGGGCGCCAAAGACTACACCGTGCGTGATGCGCTGAACGAGGCGCTCGCCGAGGAGCTCGAGGCCAACGAAAAGGTCTTCATCCTGGGTGAGGAAGTCGCTCAGTACAATGGCGCCTACAAGGTGACGAAGGGCCTCCTGGATCGCTTCGGCGACAAGCGTGTGATCGACACGCCCATTACCGAGTCGGGTTTCTGTGGTCTGGCTGTTGGTGCCGCCTTGAGTGGTTTGCACCCCGTGGTGAGTAACTACCTTTCCGCTTGGTGGTCTATTTTCTCGTGGGCTGTCGCTGCGGTGTTCGGCGCCCGGTGCTCAACACGAGAAGAAAAGAGCTGGGATACGGCAGCAAAGAGTTGCGTCGAAGATTCCTGCTTCACCGGAGTTTCCAGAGCTCTCGTCCCACCTGTCGTGGATGTACCGGAAGCTGACATCATCTTCTAGTGCGAGTTCATGACCTTCAACTTCGCCATGCAGGCCATTGACCAGATCATCAACTCGGCCGCCAAGACCCTTTACATGTCGGGTGGTATCCAACCTTGCAACATCACCTTCCGTGGCCCCAATGGTTTCGCCTCTGGTGTCGGCGCCCAGCATTCGCAAGATTACAGCGCATGGTACGGCTCGATTCCCGGCTTGAAGGTCCTGGCTCCCTGGTCCGCCGAAGACGCAAAGGGTCTTCTCAAGGCTGCCATCCGCGATCCCAACCCCGTCGTCTTCCTTGAGAACGAGCTTCTGTACGGCCAGAGCTTCCCCATGTCGGAAGCCGCCCAGTCCTCCGATTTCGTCCTCCCCATTGGCAAGGCCAAGATTGAGCGCTCAGGCAAGGACTTGACCATTGTGACCCTGTCGCGATGTGTTGGCCAGAGCTTGGTGGCCGCCGAGAACCTGAAGAAGAAGTACGGTGTCGATGTTGAGGTTATCAACCTGCGATCCGTCAAGCCTCTGGACGTTGAGACCATCATCCAGAGTGTGAAGAAGACTCACCGTCTTATGGCTGTCGAGTCCGGATACCCTGCTTTCGGTGTTGGTTCCGAGATTCTGGCCCTGACGATGGAGTACGCCTTTGACTATCTCCACGCCCCTGCTGGACGTGTCACCGGTGCCGAAGTCCCAACCCCATACGCGCAGAAGCTTGAAGAGATGTCCTTCCCCACCGAGCAGCTGATCGAGGATTATGCTGTTAAGATGCTGCGCCTGTGAGCTCCAAGCAATGGCAAAACGTAGGTGCGGAGAGGAAGTTCTTGTCGAAGTTGAGGTTGACTGGCGCTCTAGTAGCAGGACTCGGGGTTTAACCGAGGATGCAATCAAGAGGGACAAACTTTGGGGCTTGAAGGGTTGCGGCTTGCAGCAGAAAAAAAGTCCGCAAACTCAAATATAGCATAAAGTATAGTAAACTCCCTCATCCAACACCTACCGACATATCCCAATCTCTTTCATGCTTAATGAATGCAGAACGGGTATCATTGCATATTAGCCCGGTGATGGAATTATAGACGGGTCGGGGAAGCTGGTCAGATAAGTGGAAACCTGTACTTGTAGGCTAAGCTGAACTGGGAATGTCAGACGGAATTGACATGTACAAACTTATCTGCATGTCGGAATTCGTGACTTGTCGGTGTGGGAGCTTGGCTGTTTTGCTGTATTATGCTCAAAGGTAACCTGGCTCATGGATGGAGTTTTACGCAATGTCATACAACACCGCTGAACCATGCCGCCTATGCTACTCGGGCTTCCTTGATGATGTGTGTTTGTTACCAGACGCACCTCAGCGACATCATGCAACGCGGTCCAGGGCAGTAAGTTGCCATCTCCGTTGCTCCATCCCTTGGTGGGATGGGTTGTTCTTTTAGGTGCAGACATGGACTATTGTAGCCGGCGACCCTTCTCCTTAAAGCCCCGTCCAGCTCAGGTCTAGATGTGCATGTATTCCCTACCACCAAATCCCTAGCATATGCTGAGCTAACATTGAGGCTCGGGCCTTGGTATCATCGGAATAACGCGAGTGGCCTTCTATCTGCAATTGGGTTTGGGCAATGTTATCCTGGAACTCAAGAGCGGTTACCAAGTAGACGATGGTATAGCAATTGCATTCGGAATTGTTTGACGTTGATTTGATCGACATGATAATGTAAGAAGGTTCGACCTTTCGAAGACGTGACTCTACTCATCAAATGTCGACATTCTCAATAGGAGAACTAGAATGAGGACAAAGTCTTTCCAAAGTAGGTGTGGTAGTGTAATACAAGACTGTTTAATGTAATCAAAGCATCATAGTTTTGCTGTTGTAACCTAACTCCTGGGTCAGGAAGTGCTGCGTATCAACACAGTTACCGACCAAGGCCATGTCGATACTTTGCAGCGGGTACTACCACGTAGTGTAGACCACGGATATCTCGCCATGCCACTCTGCCTTCACGCAAGGATTGACACGTCTGGCATTCATCGATCGGCCAAATCCCCCTCCGAGCTCAAAAGGACGCGATGCCTCAGTTGGTTCCTCCACCATCGTACGTGGCATCATTGCTGCCAAGAGCGTCTGCTTCTCCGCGGCTTGTCTCCAGTTAGCAAATCGAAGGTGTGGCAGACTAAAAGGCTGCGGTTAAGTGAAACAATGTTATCGGTATATCAGATCTTCTCCCTGCTGGATGGTGCAAATACTAGGGTTGAATGTTGATGGCTCTGGCGGTAGCGTGGCTAACATAAAAATGGAGTTATAGCCTCAGCAGCGAATAGAAATATGCACGCCATTGTTTTCTTCACATATTCATTAGTACTCACTCATTATATTCAATATTATTTATTCAACACAAAGGACAGAATCTTACAATCACACCCGAGAGCGACAGCTCTAGCTCGCACAATGACCATGACCATGAACCTGATTCAAGGAGCCAGTGACACTCCATGTGGATGCACACCAGCACTACATGATCTTCCTCTACCCTGGACAGAAGGCGTAATATATGAGAAATTCCATATGAAGGGAATTAGACGTCGGAATTTGCTTTTGTACATTAAGTGGTGAGCATATATGATCAGGCTGAGGTATTAGGCTAGGTTGCGTGAGATCTGTGAAGTAAGAGATTTACTGAGGATGACTCCGCCACTAGATTCTCACTCAGGAATAGCATATTGTTTATATAATCCACCTTGCACTAAATATACATGATCAAATTTACTGTAACATGTACTTGCAACTGCACAAGGACTGAATAGGCACTGGTAAAGGATTCCAATATCAACCCATTGGTCCATCAACCCATACTGATTTAATGACAGTGGTTGTAAAACTGCTCGATGTAATCGTTCTATTGATGAGCTATTATTAATGAATTTGCTCTATGAACGATGATTCATATGTGTTACGCTATATGCCACTGTGTTCAATATGACGTCCCTGACCCCCCACTCGCTCGTCATTCGTGCCACAAGCACATCATCACCCAAGAATACCAATCCAGATGCGCAACGGGACTAGACCCGAGCACACCATAGCATTATCTGAGATAACCCTTCACTGCCAAGCTCAAATCATGGCAGTCTAAATGATATCGCTCTATGCCACTGGTACTCATTTCTGATTGTCTGCAGCTACTTCATGAACTGAGCTGACACTGTGGGAGTGAGATCATGCTCTATAAAAGTACTAATAGGCAATTTATCTCCAACGCATCAATATGAAATCAACCAATAATCCCGAGGTCACTGTCGGAGTTGACCAATCCGCAGCAGCAAAGACAAGAGAATTGGCGAGTGAGACGGTGTCGAGGGCCAATGAAGCGAACTTGCGCGATGACCCCGACGCAAAGGCCAAGTTTCTGGAGACTTTTACAGCCGATGAAGCCAAGAAAATTCCGAGAAAGCTGGACAGAAAATTCTTCATTTTGATTGGGTTTATGTACATGATCAAGCAGGCATGCCGTTTCGCTCCTCTCTTTGGGACGAAATGAGGCTAATAACAAGAGCAGATCGATGTCAACAATGCCGCAAACGTCAAGGTTTTGCAGGTTGGAGGGCCGAGGAACATAATTACGGAGCTGGGTATGACGGCGGACCAGTATAATTGGGTTCAGTAGATTTATGGGGTGAGCATTGCTACTGAAAATTGCAGCTTGAACTAATGGTGAACTGACTTCTCGGGTCGCAGATTGCCTATATCATCTTCGAAGCCCCCTCTAATCTTCTGCTAAAACGGATGAGTCCACGTATTTGGCAAACTCGCATCTTTCTATGCTGGGCATCATCACAGCTTGCCATTCCACTGTGTATAACCGCCATGCGCTGTACGCCTTGCGGTTCTTGCTCGGGTGCGTATCTCTAGTCGTGTATAAAGCTACAGGGTCTGAAGCTTACAGATTACAGTATGTTTGAAGCGGGGATGTTTCCTGGCGTCATGGCCCAGCTTTCATCATGGTACCGAACAGACGAGATGGGAAAACCAATCGCGTGGTTCTTCACTATCCAGATGTTCGCCAACATCATCGGCTCATTACTTTGCTATGGAATCTCATACATGGATGGGGTGTGTGAGTTGAGTGCCTGGCGTTGGTGAGTGAAACCTTATATTGGTGCAAAACAGTTGTGGTTCGCCTAATGCTATCACTAGGGTGTATCTCATCGAAGGCGTCGCAACCATCTTCTTCGCGGCCATCGTGTTCGCAGTCCTGCCGGACTATCCGAAGTCTCAGAGAAGCAACAAATGGCTCACCCCAAGAGAGCAAGAGTTCATCGAGGCGCAACTACCTGAGAATGCCCCGTTGACTAACGATCCAAACTTCTCCAAGAAGGAAATTGTCAGCACGCTCACGTCTCCGCTCATCTGGTCCTTCGTGCTCTCACAGACGCTGGTGAATTTCGGCGGGTATTCGTTGACTTGGTATTTGCCCACCATTGTGACGAACCTAGGATTCACAGCATTGCCAAAGAATCAATTGCTCAACATTCCTCCTGTTGTTGCGGCAATATGTGGCCTCATATTCTCGGCTTGGTTCTTGGGAAGGGCATGTATCGTTCGTCCCCTGTACATTATGTGAGTCTCTCCATGGCCTCCTTGAAAGAGGTCAAATTGCTAATATCATAGAAAGGTTCATCATGACCGGAATGGTGATCTGTTTCGTACTATTCTTCACCCTGACAAGCAAGGTCGGAATCTATATCGCCACCATCCTCGGCACACTATTATACCAGAGCTACTTCATCCCCTTTTGGTCGTGGCGATCCGCAACCCTGCGCGTATCAACGGGCACTGCTTTCACAATCGGTCTGCAAAGTGGGGTAGGACAGCTGGGGACCGTGATTGCACTGCAGCTGTTCCAGTCCAAGTGGGCATATAACGGGTACAAGAACAGCTTCACTATTGCCGCTGCAGGTATAGTGGCCGCGTTCTTCGCGAATCTATGGACCTGGTGGCTTACGCGGAACACTGAGTACGATGTCATGAGAGTTCGGAGACTGGTTAGGAAAGCGCAGAGGGAGGGGAAGGTTTTCCACGGGGAAGATCTTAAGGTTTTTGAGGAAAGAAAGTTTTATGACGGGGTGAGGAGAAGGGTGGATGGAGAGACTGACACTGTGTGAAATAAGTCGCTATCCATCAGCCATTGTTCGATGGGGTAAATGGGTATCACCTAGGATTAAGCTTCTTTTTACAAAAGGATTATCGACTATTACAAGTTCGCTTAGATTACGGATATCCAAAGACCTATACACCTAAACAGATATGATTCTAGTCCTTCGAACTGTGACCAACCACCAACATCCCTATGTCGGTCAGCGGCTTCTTTTTCACCTCCTGTGCAGGCTACCATAGAAATTATCCTGACCGGTGGAAAGGCGGTGACGACTTTTGATGGCGAAGCATCTTGTTTGAGGCACTATTGCAAACGTCTACTTCTTACCAGTATAACCAAGACTTTGCCAGATAGACCTGCAGCAAGTCCATGGAGACATACTAACATGTATACAGCGTGGTTCTCCCGTCCAGGGGCAACAATTTCATCCGTTTGCGGCAGCCAAGTTATTGGCCCTGGAGCGACGACGCGGTTGCCGCGGGACGGATATAGTCGAGTACACGAGTATACTGAAGTGTCAGCAACGACACCGGCCACAAGCTTACAGAAAGGTAGTATACAGCAGCCGTGCCTGGTAGAGCTAGGATTCGCGAGCCCAGAGACATATTTTCTCTTTCAGTCAGATTCTGCCGAGATCCGCACGCCCCAGGATCCTGCACCCTGCAAATCCCTGAGCAGAGGCCGCAACCGCAAAAAGTCATCTCGCTGCACCGGCATTTCCAAGTACTCGGGTGTCTGCTGCATATCATAGCTAACTAACTCTTATAAACTGCATCGCATGAAGCGATTTGCGCATTGCGCTTATTAAAATAAAGCAAAAAGTCACTGTCGCTTGCAGGTAGCGATTCGCCGCCTCCAAGCAGCACTCCTAGACAGCACTCCCATGCAGAGATCTGGCGATCGTGGAGACATCGCAACCCCTACTTATCGTTGCGTAAAATATCTACAGGGATAGCTATGCCACTTAAAACTGAAACAGAGAGATACTGTAGGTTGCTACGCGTTGGAGCCTAGCGATGGCTTTTTGAACCTGTCCGCCGGATAGTAATGTCATCTTCTGTGAGCATCGTTTTTCGGACCACGACAACCCATTTCCCTGACGCAGATCGAAAATGATCATCTTTTGCTAGCGTCCTCTTTTGGACTGTGGAAACGTGCTCAATTAGCTTGATTTCTTCGTGAATTTGTCTATTTTCCAAATATGCTCGTGTAAGCTCGTGCTCTAACACCAGTCGACGACGATTATCTTCTGCGAGAATTGTGACATGAACTGCTGTGCCGTGCTCGAAAATAGCAATGGCTTCCTTCGTTCGTCTGTCTCCAAATACGCGCTTGCGAGCGCCTGTTCTGATGCCAGTCGAAATTGATCATCTTCCGGAAAATGTTATCTTCTCCAATAGTAGGCCTTTTCAAAGGATCCCACGGCTTCTTTGAACCGTTTATCTACAGACATATATTGTCCAAACTCGAAGAGAAAATCAAATGTCTTTTACCTTGCCGGCTTTACTTTCATGGAGCACCCGTAGTGTAGGCGGCAAAGTATTCTCTCCATAATTTGCAATGCGCATAATTATTTATCTACTGACCTATTTAATCCGCTCGCGTATAAAGTACGGTACTTTTTCAGACTTTTATTTCAGATAAGAGGAAGTCAACTGATATTAATGTTAGTTTTCCAAATAAAGTCAGTTAACTTGGAAAACTTCCGAGGTTAGGCTCTTCGCCCTGATTGCCCTGATTGCCCTGAGGTTACAAAACCAGCGGCTAAGCCTTAGCAAAAGGGGCGGACCGTGCACGGCTCCCCCGGAGCTTCCATCAACGTCACCATCATCAGAACATCATCACAACATCATCATCATCTTCTTGTTCTTCTTTCCATATTCTTGTTTGTAATCGAAAAATCCATCACCGGGAAAATATCTTCGCGGCGCATGCGCACTGTAAGTCGGGGATGCCACGCTGGCGGCGATTTATTCTGACCTCAGGTTAGCCAGGTGTCAGGGTTTACTGACCCCAACACCAAACCTAGGATCGAGTCCGATGGGCAATCTGGACGCGTTAGGTGGGCAATTGTCAGTGGTAATGTTGGGAGTTAAACCAGATATCAGGAGCGAGAACCACAAGGTCCCCATCCACCCAAGTCTTTCGGGCTACCTTTCAGTGTAATCATGACTCTCGGGCGACCGTCTGGGCATTCCTCGTTGGCATGGTCACCGGGGTAATCAAATACGAGCGAACAGAAGCCACCAATCCAGCCCCAACCATTGCAGTGCTTTGGTGAGAGCCCCCAGCATTTCTCGCAGCACTCTTCCGCATCCTTGGCGCCGACTATCAGAACCTGGCCGGGGTCAATAAAGGGGTCGTAGACACCAACCCAGCTCACGTTTCGCTCAAAGCCTTTAGGATCACAGGTCGGCAGAGGTGTCGTGGTCTGCGGTTCGGTTAGTTCTTGACTGACTGGAAGACACGAGCTGAAGTGAGCTTACCGGGGGCGTGGTGGGGAGTGAGGTCAAAGAACTAGTCATGATGATCGGGCTGATTGAGGGGGCAGCGGTCGTGTTTCCTGCCGTCGATGTGGTGATGCTTATCACCGTGTCAGTTGAGGTTGTTACAGTATTTGAGCTTGAGATTGAGATTGCTAACATGTTGCTGGTTCTTCCCGCGCCGTTGAGCTTGCGGACTAGAGTCAAGACCGGAGCCAGAACTACTACTGATACGACGCAGAGGACCAGGGTCGAGACCAAGATCAGGCGTTTTCGATAATTAACTTGCGCCCGGAGTCGCTGGCGGGGAGTGTTGTGCACGGCGGGAAGAATTGATGACGGGAAACGAACTTCATCAGACAGAGTTCTTTGTTGTCCGAGCGGACGCGTCTGGACCGGACTACCTTTCGTCTCTCGGTGCTCCATAGCTCTAAGGTTGCTGTCAGGCATGTTGCCTCCGGTCTCTTAGGCCATTATTCCAGGGCCTCCTTTCTTCGATGTGTATCCTAGAGATCTGAGGTTGTCCTCAGCAAACTGAGGCGGACGTGCAAGAATGTGAGTATAAATTCGGAAACTTAAAGGCGCGATCGTTCTATTCAAGGCGAAGGCTTCTGCGATGTAGGTCTGGCGGTCCGAAGTTCGATTTTCCAGTTGGTCGAAAGAAAAGGAGAGAGGAATAGCTTCCAATGCTCGGCGAACTGAAGCTCAATACGGATATGCGGCGAATAAAGATTTCCAAGGTGACAACTCAGCTTGTTGACTGTGTAGCCGTGGGAGGGAACTGGAGCGGGGCAGTTGATGCTGGACACCAAGCAGGTTATCCAGAAGCGCAGTAGTCTTCGCAAATACGTTGAGCGGGACGTGCGCTGCCGTTACCAATTCACTCACTCGGGAATAACACTGAGAAAAAGGCCTGAGAAGGTTGTGAAGATTCCATTGAATTTGAAACCCAGTCTGGTGGGATTATTATGGTTCGGGTGTCAGTGAATGCTGGATTCACCGCGAGAATATGATGCGATAGCGCTACGCTAAAGGGGCAATCGATGACTCGCAGCCACCTTACCAAGGGAGGAAGCCGCGATTTTCCGTCCCATGTCTAGGATGCTCACCTTTCCACAACTATGGTAGCATACTCTCTTATAGAGCTTTCAGCCCACTCTAGGTGTCGTATTCCTTTACTGCTAGCATAGTAGGGCCACTAGCCTAGTCATGACAACCACCGGTGACTCTTTGCCCTTTTTAGCTTTACCTAGATCATTGTCCACACTATAATCGATATATTCGTTTCAACGTGTGATTCTAGACCAATGAAGTCCTTATCGTTCGGAAATCGAAAGAACTAGGCGATCGGGTTGCTCGTAGAATGTCACATAGAAGACTCGTCTAAAGATATTATCTAAAGCCTTGATTAGTAAAGGAGCTCTACTTTGATAATAAGCAAAATCATAACAATGTTTTACCAATTGTAACGAGTGGAATTCGCTTCTAAAACCTCTATTTACATATGAGTTTTGAGGTAACGATGCATAGCAGATTTACTAATTTTTAACCCTAGGTTATTGTTAGCTCTTTATAGGTCCAATTCCAATTCCTTTTACATAGCTCAAAAAGCAGAAGCTTACCATAGTGCATTAATCTAAGAGGACGACCACCGCAGCCTAGCGAGTCGATGGTAGAGCACTTTTTCCAGCGTAAAGTGTTTTACCAAGTTTCCCACGGTGGGGATATACGACCTAGTAGCGGAAGAGGACAATGGATCAGAATCCGCTATCCAGGCCAGAACGGCCGAACATTAACTGCACCGTAGCGAAGACCGTCTCCTATATCATGCCTGGCTTAATACACTTCTACAGTGAGCGGACTAGCTCGACGGTGAAACTGTTGATAACACGGAGGACATCAACCTCAGTTGCCGTCTTCGCTGACCTTGAGACTGGATGTCCTCCAACATGGGTTCGACTTCAATCCCGGCACCCTGGAGCCTGTCGGCAATCATGTACCTCACGTGCTCGTCCAATGATCTTGCGGTAATCCGTCTCCCACGCCAGCACCTCATACGGCGACTGCTCCTCGGTCTACTCAATTACCTTCTCAATTCCATGCACTGTGTCCAGCCCCGCTAGACGACCAGCCTCAAACTGGGGCACCAGGTATGATATTGTCCCTCCTTATGAAGAATCATCAAAAAGGGGCGCTTCGAGAGCTCGTAATATACGAGATGTTGATATAGTATGCAGTCGACGCAGATGGCGCTAAGGGCATCCACTCCAGCGTACTCAATGCTATGGCCAATGTGGACTGGCGCGACAGGAATTCGGTCTGGCCAATGGGCGCCACCAAGAGAAGCCACACGTGGGGTTCTAGTTCGCTCCAGACACACCTCTCGAATGCGGCCGATGAGCAGGTGTCTTTTTACACAGGTGTATTCCGCAGATTGATTGTTGCAAGGAAAGCCAGGCCTGCTAAACAAAGGAGATGTGGAGCCCAGCACCTCGGCCGTCGGCTCAGGTTGTTACCGTTGAAATCCAACGCCCTTTGTTCATGGTGTAGTATGTGTCACTAGTACTGTGTGAGTTACAAGGGATCAGCGGCTCGTAGACCTGTCCACTGGCCTTTTCCGTCCCGTGATTGAACATGGTTGAGTACGTGGATTTGTGGATGAAGATGATATCAATGTTGATAGGCTGACAGGGCGTATCCCCGAAACCGCACTCCTGCTTGTTCACACGCGTGTTACATTATTCGAGATGCGGCCCGGTGTGGTTCGGCAGACGACGCGCTCAAAGTCGGAAAGTGACGAGCGCAAAAAGCAGAGGCGGTAAACTCATTGAATATATCACCAATTCTTGAAATACTTCAGCCTGACAGCCTATCGTTCAACTTCACGCCGTCGGCGATTATTGAGCGCAACACAAATATGTACATGGCATCAGCTAACGGGGAGAAAATAAATGCACATGGTATTTTATCAAAACAACATGCCCGAATTACAAAACGTCCATCACAATATTCGTCCGCTAAATAACAATTTCTTGAATTCTGACAGAAACCTCTCGCCTTTACATCACACAATTACAGTCAGGGTCGCAAATGATGTCGGTCTTAATACATAAACAACGTCTTGGAGCCACTTAGTTCATGAGACAAATCTCTTCATGGGCCCGGTAGTCACTGGCATGCCTCCAGGAAGTTCAGTGAGCCCTGAGTACTCGATTAGCAACTATCAGCACAGCATGACGGTGTTACTTACACCCATCGATGTCCTCAGTGACGCTCGTCTTCTTGACACACTGGTTGCCCGTTGCGATGGATTGCGTCTTGAGCTGTGGGCAATTGATGTTGCAGTTAGAGTCCATTGCGGTTTGGAGAGCATTGCCCTTCCATCCAAACACATAATCACCGTGGGTACCGTAACCAAGCGGATCGCCGTAGCTCCAGACAAAAGGTTGTGAGCCACCTTCAGGCCAAAGGCTGTTGTCGTTGAATTTGGAAGTGTCCCAGATGACTTCGTAGAAGACTTGTGGGATGGGAACAGGATGTGTCGAAGGGCATGGCCCACCACTTTCAAATGTCCCACTGCTTGGATATGCAACATGGCTCATGTGATCGGCGCTGTCGAGGTTTACTCCGTCCCAGCAACTGCAGAAAAAGATGATTTAGTCTTGCACGTATAGACGGGACAACATATTGGAACTCCTCACGTGGGGAAGCGGATATTGGACATGATACCCGCAGGGCAAGGCTTCGCGGGCAGGTCCTTCGTCTCGCCAGTTCTCGTACCCCTATCTTGCAAGCATGTATAGGTGAGCTGAGGGAATTGGTTCGCCTGCTCCGCAGTGCGGTATGTGGGATTTCCCACGAGCATCCGGAAACCCTGGAGATTTCTGTCAGCATTTGCCAGAGCTCTCTGCATATCTCTAGAATATTACTCACCGGCTTGAAAGCAGTGACTTTCCCACCATTGTAGGATGGGGTATAATAAACGGTCATGCCACCAGTGGCCGATTCGAAGCCGATGTTGGGGACCTGGGGAACACGCTTGAAAGTCCCATTGCGAGCACGAAAATACAAAACGGCGGTCCAGTAGTTGGAGAAGTCGTCGGCAAAGGTACAAGTCGTACACGTGGCAGAGGAAGGAATGTCACTTAGCATTGAAGCGTTAAAGGCATTTCCTCCCACGACTTGGTGAAGGTGTGGAGAGCCGGTGACTCCAGGATTGACCAACGGGTCGAGACGCTCGGTGACTAGCTGGGAGCATGAGAACCGGAGCAACGCATCGACATTGGGTGCGAGAAGCGCAAGAGCGGTGATGAGGTTCGAATGCATCTTAATTTCGATGATTCGAAAAGAAAAAAAAGAAACACAGGGAGACCTGGCAAGGATGTGACCTGAGATAAGATGGTCGGTCTTTCGTTGGGAAGAATGTATAGCTATGCCCCAACGTGAATGCCGGTCTGAAGCCCTCCATGTACGACTGCCGTCCTGTAGAACAACGTGGGTTGATTGGTTAATCTAGCCGGAACCAAATCTACCGTTCTAAAGCCGGCGAATCAACTGACAGCTGTCTATGGAACATTGCTGGTCTTCTACGCTTAAACGGGACATGTACACCATTCTATATATCACTACGACGTCTGTTCATGACCCGGATGCCGGCCATAATTTGATAGATCATGAGTAGAGAAAGGAACCATAGAGTGCTGCATCATTTGGGCTCCCCCATGAGGAAGGTGCAATTGATTACTACCGAGATATGATATGTGCATCCAGCCTGGATTTGAGTAACGAACTGATAGCATGTGGCTTTTGCACCAGTTCGTATTGACTTCTGTTGCGTGCCCCAGGCACACCGCTTGTATGCTGGGTGCAGCGCCTGAGCCAATTGCCCATAGATAGCCCTTCCGTAGCTGCAGCCTTTGGGACTTCGTATCATCATCATCATCACCAACACAACCCTTCTGTCTGAATTGCCCACAGTGGATTCAGCACTGACCAGGCAGGCTTGAGCGGCAGTTCAAGTCCTCGACTCGAACTTGAATCTTAGGGAAGTGAGTAAGTAGGATGAAAAGAAATCTAGATACACCTCGGCTCCGGGTTTTCATTATTTCTTATCTGCTCAGATGTTTTCTTATGCATCTAAGAAATTTGGACTTTATTGCGTGCCTCGTTCTAATTGAGTCATCACAGTCGGTAAAGGAGGCTACCGCCAGACCAACAAGGCTCTCAAAACTTGTGCCTTTGAAGATGATCTGGAAAGCCAGCAGACTCGTTTTCCCAGGCTAGAGGACATGGAGCAACTCAGCCCGCGAGCCATCCGCGTCCTTGGTCAGAACCCAGGAAAGGCATGATTTCAGAGTCCCCACTACTGGTTGAAGTCTTTTGCTTACGTTGTCTAATCTCTCTATAGTTCACACTCCAGAGAAAAAACACGAACGTCATCGACATGGGCTAGGGCATCCCCTTAAGGGCAGATCTAATCCCATCCACCGTCACACCCATTAAGTTATTGCCATCCCATGTACTGCTCACCCACTGGCACGGTTACCATGCTGGCAGCGTTCCCGACCTGATTCACATGTATTCGCCCCTCGCCTTGGACATTCACAAGCACACGCCGATCAGGATGCCGCAACAGCAGCAACCCATCACGTACGGCCAGGTATTCAGGGTCGAGGGCGTTACTATCGGCTCATTTCACACACCGGGCCACGGAACCGCGGCCGTGGAGCACCTGAGCACTTGGATAACAGCCCTGCACACAGTGTCGTCATCGGCCAACTGAGGGCCAAGATCAAAATCAAGCTGGCGCTGGAGCAGATTAAATATGCCGAGAGCAGCGCTGGCGGGCCTGAAAAGGGGATCGTAATGGTCAAGCAGCTTATGGAAGATGCAGGGGATCGAGGCGATCGGGGAAGTTGTTCCATATGGAATCAAACCCAGCACCCCAAACCCACTTATCCTGCATCATAATTTTATCCTCAAGAGTCCCAGAGTCGTGTGCGATCTGCACAACTCTAAATCACAAGTCGCCCTTGACGGGAAACTCAGAAGCCCCCTCGCCATGCTCAAAGGGCCCGGTGACGTCTTGGCCTTCTTCAGTGCCCGCACGAACTTAGCGACTTGTCCTTCGTCATGCAGGTAGTTGATGGCCTTGTACATTGAGTGCCAGTCCATACCATTGATAAGCGTCGGCTCGTACTGAACAACATTTTCGACGAGGCTCAGCTCGGCCGCGGCGCACGAGCGTACCACACCAAGTCCAGCCGAGAGGCGCGCGCCTTGTCCTCGGCTCGAATCCACAGCTGACGTAGTGTGTCGATCTAGTTGAAGCTCGTCATGTTGTGCACGGCGAAAAAGTCTATCCGCGAGCCTTGCCGGACTTGCGTGCCGCCCCTGCGCAGTACGCCCGCAGTTGAGTTGACCAACTCGGCTGTGGCACGTGGGATCTCGTGCTCGGTGGGGCCCACTTGGTATTGGGCCGCTAGGGCAATGATGTCGTCCATGGCACGGCCTAGAACGTCGTAACGCACTGGAAAGCCCCGTCTGCTAGGCGCGAGGCAGTGCGTATTCTATTTCACCATTTCAAGTAAGCAATTGCTACATGTGTGTATCAAGCTAAGCAACATTACCCGATAAGTGCGTATTAGGAATACCCTATTGTGATGATTTGACGACGTCCTTCCGGCCCTTGACATCGATGTCGCACTCGAAGCACAGGAAATCTGTAATCAGGCAGCAGGTTCATACTCGCCCTGAACTTTACCGGGTCGCTTAACGAATCAATGACTTCCAGGTCCGGCGGTGGCAGGGTCGCTGTATTCCCTCGCCGTCGTCTGTCACGGGATTTCAAGTGCAAAGTGAAGGACGAGAGTGCTCAAGCGAAACAAGCTGTCAGTCACCAGGTAGGTACCAATAGCGTAGTATAGGGGACTCAATAACGACAAGTTAATCGCTGCCCTCTCTAAAAGAAGAGGGGTCACAGCAGCCTAGTTATACATTTCCGACCCCTGTCCAGGCCAAGCCACTGTGGCTTATTTGCACCTGACAGGACGCCCTCTCCCTATGGCTTCTGTCCTCAGAAGCCGAAGGTACTCAGCAGGTGTACCTCTGGGGTCCTCTGAAGGTCGACTCCCCAAAGCTAGGAACATCTAGTTCCGACAACCAAAACAACAATCCATCTGCTCCTAACCATAGACTTAGATTCGCCTCCAAGAGAACAATAGGAATCCACCTGCGATCCCCTCGTAGACACACACTCGCCTCCAAGAGAACAACAGGAATCCACCTGCGATCCTCTCGTAGACACACACTCGCCTCCAAGAGAATAACAGGAATCCACCTGATACCCTCCAGTAGACACACACAACTAACCGGTCACCCTTGGAACACCTCCGCAGGCCCAGCAGTCAAACTCGCCTCCGGGAAGAACAACAGGAATCCACCTGCTATCCTCCCGTAGGCACACACTCGCTTCCAAGAGAACAACAGGAATCCACCTGCTATCCTCCCGTAGACACACAACTAACTGGTCACCCTTGGGACTCATCCGTAGGCCCAGCAGTCGAGCTCGTCTCAGTCAGCACCAGGAGTCACACCTGTGCCTCACGATATGCTTTGCAGCGTCCATAGAATCAGCTCCGGCTAGTGACAACCCGTAGAGAGTAGGCAGCACCCCGAGCACCCAAACCGACTGGCTTCTGTCCGAGAGTCCCCTTTTTCCTACAATCCATTTTTTTCCTCCTATATTTCCGTAGTAGTAGCCAATGACCATCTTCCATCCCTTTTCTACTCCATGCCTGCCCAATAGTCCTACTTCCTCACACAGGTTTCACCGATTCTCTCCTGCGGCTCCACTGGTGTCCTTTCCCCCCATTCTGCCCCTAATCCTTCAACAGTTCTTTTCCTACATTCAACCCAGTCTTCCATCACATCCTATCGGTTCTTTTCCCCACATCAACCTGATCCTACCCTGTCACTATGTCAGCAGGCCCATCTCGGTCGGCCAGCCGACAACTGCGCCCTGACTGCACCCGAATTTCCGGGCGCCACTACACACGTCGCCATGCAGCCTGCTCTCGCTGCTTGGATCGCATGACCAGATGGAAGCCAACAGTTGGCAACACCTTTCCTGTCTGTGAGGACGACGACAGTAGGTTCTGTTTTCTCAGATCTGAGCTCGCCTTACTAACAATAGGACAGGCGGCTCCACGAAATGCACATATTGCCGCGGGCTTGGTGGTAAGCCCTGCTCAGCAGTACGCTCCTTCCCTAACAAGGCCGCTCCTGCGGACTTGGCTGACCTAAAGTAGCCCCAAGGCTCGCTACAAGCGTGCTCGGCCGACCTCGTGCGGGTCGTTGAGTCGGTTGTCTCTGAGGGATACCTTGAGCACAAGGTAAAATTCCCAAATCATTGAGGTGTAGGTCAGGACATGCTGACCAGCTGGTAGGAGACCCTTACTACCGCTCAAATCTCTGTCAAGAAGGCTCTCCAAACTGCGAAGAACCTGAAGACCATGCCTGCAGATAAGCGCAAGGCTGTCGATGAGGGCGCTGCTGCAGCTCAACAGGAGCGAAAGCTCTTGGCCCTGGAACGACAGGCTGCCGCTGCAGAAAAGGCAGCCATCGAGTTGAGCAAGATTCGCACCACCCTGGAGGCACAGTCATCAGATTTGCAGCGTCTGTTGACCTGCCACCAGGAGCTGTCGGAGACGTATGCAGCAGTGGTAAGTCAGCTGGTGCATGCCTAATGCTCGTATTCCTCTAATTTCCTTCGCAGCACAAGGATGATCTGGAGGAAATTGCCGGTGATGAAGAGAATGCCGGTGGTGAGGAGACTGATGTATAAACAGCTCCTAAAAAGGTAAGCTGATGTGTTGGGGAACCTCGAAGAGGTTGTGGTCGTGGTTGTGCTTCGTGCTGTGCACCTGGTAGGTACCAGGTGTTTTCTTGCGTCTGGACAGCCTCTAGCTGGCTGTGGCCAATTTGGCCTCGTAGTCTCGAATCAGATCGTCACTGACATCTTTCTTTGCAACCCAAGAGTTCTCTTCTGGGCCGTAACCTTTCCACTTGATCAAGTACTGTCTTCGCCATGCACCACCACGGTGGGCTAATATGGCGTCGACTTCATAAACTTCACTGTCTTCTTCAACAATAGGCACCAGGGGGGGAGCTGGTGCTTCACCATCCCTTTGCCTCCAAATCTCTAACGACGAGATTGGGAACACGTTATGTATCTTGTACTGGGATGGCAGATCTAAACGATACGCCAACCCGTGATCACCAACTACTGCTGCGACCTTGAAGGGTCCCAGGTACTTGTCTGACAACTTTCTACTCGGTCTCTTCTGCTTGATATGTTTAGTAGAGAGCATAACAGGATCACCTACTTTGAATTTCATGTCCAGATGGCCACGGTTATAGTATTTCTCATACGTAACCTGACTGGTTGCCAACAACTGGGCAATTGCGGCATGCTGATTTAGCATCTCAGCTGCCCTTTGAGCCCCAGCAGCGGACCGTATGCTAGCCGGCCCAGATTCTCTCGTGTCATTAGGCCCTTTCGGAAGGTATCCTAATAGTGCCTCTGCTGGTGACGTACCGGTCGCCGAATGCCTAGAAGTGTTATACACGTGCTCCGCCAGAAGAAGCTGGTGAGGCCAGTCTGTCTGCTCGAAGGTACAGTAAGTTCTCAAATAATGCTCAAGGTTCTGGTTCTGTCTCTCAGTCTGTCCGTCGGTCTGTGGGTGGTACGCTGTAGACAGCCGTCGCTTTACCCCTAAGCAGTGGCATAGCGTCCTCCAAAATATGCTCGTAAACAGGGATCCACGATCTGAAACAATCCCGTCAGGTAGCCCAAATGGCCTAAGGACGTGGTAGAACAAGAGGTCCGCAAAGCCATCTGCAGTCAACTTGCTCGACACTGGTACATATAACGAGTACTTCGTAAACCGACAGACAATAACGAGCACAGCATCACACTTTCGCCCCGCCAGTGACACTGCTGGTGGGAGGCCGGTGATGAAGTCCAACGAGATCTCTTGCCACGGTCGGCCTGGTATTGGCAGCGAAGCCAACTTGCCATAGGGGAGGTGTTGCCGCGGTTTAGTTCTCTGACAGATCGCGCACGTTGGTACGTAGGTCCGGACGTCTTTGGCCAGGCCATTCCAAAAGTACGAATTGCTAAGTCGGGCAATCGTCTTTGTCACCCCCTGGTGACCACCAGTTGGGTTATCGTGAAACAATTGCAGCAGCTCGTTCTGGAGAGGGCTGTCATCTGGGATAAACACACGACCTTTGAAGCGGAGCAGCCTATCTTGGCCTTTCTGCCACAGCGCATCTCCGGTCTTCCTGTCCTTGCCTCTCTGTTTCCACGCTTCTGAGCGTACGAAAGGACTTCTCTCCTGAGAGGCCCGAATATCATCTTCCAGGGATGGCAATAGCTCTTCTGCCGTTCCTGGCTGCCCTGCCGGTTGACCACTGGTAGGTAGCTGGTGGCGTACCGAATACGGTCAACCTCCGTCTCTGTGTTTGACGAATCGATAGCACAGCGGTTTTTAACTTCAAAGGTAAAAACCTTGAGCTCTGCCCAACTAGAAGCCTTGTATCGTAAAGTGCTCATCGATGGCTTCCACCAAGTCGATTCTCTCAATCTCTTCCCCGGACGGGCACTGGTGTCCGCCGGCTGTTCGTCTGGATCTTCGCCCCTCAAGAGGGCGGTAAGTCGGTCTCTCTTCTTCTGTCTGAGGCGCTTGGCTTCTGCCGCCGCCAAGGCTCTGTCTAGCTCCTCATCGGTACAATTGTCGACGTCGATTTGTCCCGAAGGGGTCACAACGGGCTGTGTGTTGGAGTCAAAGCTGGACCCTTGCCCGCTACCCTCCGTCTGCACTCCGGAGGTCATTGTCGATAAATAGAAGCTCTGTCGCACTCTGCCCAACGGTCCGCACTCCCTCTGGTAGGTTGGAGCGATTAATATGTCACGGGATTTCAAGTGCAAAGTGAAGGACGAGAGTGCTCAAGCGAAACAAGCTGCCAGTCACCAGGTAGGTACCAATAGCGTAGTATAGGGGACTCAATAACGACAAGTTAATCGCTGCCCTCTCTAAAAGAAGAGGGGTCACAGCAGCCTAGTTATACATTTCCGACCCCTGTCCAGGCCAAGCCACTGTGGCTTATTTGCACCTGACATCGTCATATGCACGCTTCAGTTTCTTGTACCCACGGCCCATGGCTAGCATGCTTAGCACCGAATGCGCGATGTGGTCGTGGCCCGGCAGATCTCGATAGCACATGTGGTACTTGTCATGGTTCTTTTGCAGCAGCAAGTTTGCCATCTCGATGCTGCTCCCCGGAATTTGACCGATACGGGCTACATCTAGGTGCTGCGGCGATAGGCTAACTCGGGAAGCTGCTGTGGCTGCCATGGTCTCCTTGGTTATGGATAATGGAATTGAATTCTTGATTTAGAGATCCTGTAGCATTTAATGAGTGCGACGAAATTCAATAGTTAGGAGAAAATAAATCATCTTCTTCTCAAGCATACAACTGCTGGCCTAGTCGGAAACCGGAACGCCACTAAAATGCTGTTCACTCAAGTTTCACTTGAAGCACATTGTCCCAACGCATGCTCAATCGCACTCGCACGGCACGTGTAGCAAGTACATGAATATTCATCACATCGCGGGATTTATTGTGTGAAAGCTAGAACCGCGTCTCAGAAATTCGACTTCTCCAATACAATCGTTGTGGAAAGTGTGTCTGATGCACTTGTCGAAACGGAATCTATCCCCATCCTCGTACTTATTCGAAAGATAATGACATATACGTGCTGGTTCTGGTAAAACGAATAAAAACTCTTTAGTTGCAATATACTGCCTTTGAACTTCCATGTTATTTTCTAATTGATATTCTGTGATCTTTTGCAGAATCCTCTCCGTATCGAGGTGCTTGAGAATCTCCTTCCGAACTAGGTCGCACGTCGCTCTAAGAACAGCGAGGTTGACCTGGCGGATTTTGATGTGTAACTTCATCAGTGTCCTTCCGTCTGACCCCGAGACCGCCGTGAAAGCCACGCTTTAGGCCTGTTGACATGTCCCTCTTTCACTGGCCGCAGGTTTCCCAACGGCCGAAGTCTTTGTCAGTCGTGTTATCAGTCGTGCTCATTTGGATGCCTATGGCAAGATGTGCTTATCTCCTGTGCAAAGCTGTTGTTTCCATCGCAGTTCCTCAGGCGAAAATTTTGCAAACTTCCCTTGCATACATAAATGCTGAAATTGTTCGATCTTTCCAAAATCCGACCTCAACTAATAGAACCCTGCTACTCGTAGAGTTAAAGGTACATCCTTCATTTCATCGTTAAGGAAGTTCGCTAGGTTCCACTCTGCTCGTACATAAGAGTTTATTCATGTTCGAAATATCTTATCCTATATTGGAAAGCTAGACGTACCAGAACTGTTCGGGCTGCTATGGCTTGATCGATTACCGAATAAAGCGTCCTTGGTGGTTGTGGGGGTCGAAGTGGAAGCGCAAGGAAAGCTGTCACCGCCAGATAGTAAGGCTTGGGGAAAGTGATTACCAAACGAGATTTGATCGGCTTCATTTGGATGTTCGCCGAATATTGAAGAGAAGTCATTGCCTGGAGATAAGGTCCCAGTGAATGGACACAATTGCAAGAGCCCATTACCTGAAATAGAATTATCGGAAGCGATGATACTCGTTCTCTTCTTTTTCTTCTTTTTCTTCTTTTTTTGGCAACTCCAACTCCCCGGCTAGGACACATTCCGCTTCTCCATCCGCTTCTCCAGTCCTGTACGATGCTGCAGGCTTCGTTTTTAATTCAGACTCAGAAAGCGAAGGATGCGATGCAGATTTCGGTTCATGTTCGGAAGGCTGACCACATGGAATTTCTGACTTAGGTTCAGGTTCTGGATTGATTTCATAGAGCGCAAGATCTACTGCCTCTTTTTGTATCATCAGATGTGGCCCCATCTTAGAGTTCAATCGAATTTGGGGTTTGGATATAGGCGCAGTGATAACGAAAAGGTAGGGGGACCCACTGGTTTGGTGAATCCCATTCAATTAGATACTATAACGTTGCGCAGTGCTGCATTATAGCATCCTCCCCCCTAGGTGCACGCATCACGCAGTCTCTGTTGGTAATCCAGTTTCATGAAAGTCATCCGCTTCTTTCCCATTTTTCTGTTCCATCTTCAGTCTCGTTTCAGGTCTGCATGAGGGCATGTCCAGTGGTGAATTCGCGAGGGACTTTTCAGCACTATGAGCTTGTGTTGCTGGTTGTGAGCTGGGGTCGTCGGTAGGCTTAGTCTCAACAGCAATACCCGTCCGAAGTGTATGTATCTTCTCGCGGCACAACTCAATTATACTTTTGAGGAGGACGTTGGTGATCGACGTAGTCTCGCCGCAGCTATCGATTGCATCGGCTTCCAAGGACATAGGATTATCGATAAGCGGCTCGACCAAATGCTTTGTATAGTCATAAAGCCATGTGTCATTTGCCCTCAAATTTGGATACGAATCCTGTATCAGGTCGAGAATCCGCGGTACTCGCAAGCCGTCTCCAAGTCTCTCGATTTCGCTTCTGGCGAGGTTCGCTAGAACGGACAGTTCGTAGTCCTGAGCGACTGCATATACTGGGACACTCGTTTTGAACTCGGCAGTACGTGTCTCATAAAGAGACAACCCTTTCAGCCCGAGACACTGGTATGTGCCAGTAAAGAGGTGGTGGACCAGGACATGGCCGGCACACCAGGAATATCTTTTAGATGTAGGATGTTATCCCATCTATGGAGGCGGGATAGTGTTGGATTCTTATCGAGCAAAGCGGAAAAGACCTTAAGTGGAGGGCCGTCACCGAAGTATAGAGTGATCTCGGGACTAGCATACGGGCTATAATCTGATATCAGCGTCGCACAACGACATACACAGAAAGCTTCTTATGATATTTCCGGCGGCGTATCAATCGCTTCTGCCCCAGCCGCCTTTTGGTCTTTGTTTTTTTTGCTTTTTCTTCATCTTGAGGAGGCGAGATAAAGCAATTGATCTCGCGATTTTACGTCGTTTGATGCTCTGAGCAGCAGTGTGGAGGAGAAATCATCTACCCGTTCATGGCTCAGTGCTAAGACAGCTTTAATGCTCTTGTGCGGCTTGGACCCCCCACCTGTACTTTCTTTTTTCAACTTCGTATGTAGCGGAATGCCAGTACCCGTGCGATCCCACAGATCTCGTCCATTTAAAACGCGACAGTTGTCAGTTGCATGTTGGATCCACTAGGCGAGACTGATTGGAGGTATCTCTGGGCACCCGCTGAGTGCCCTTGACGACGTGGCCTCGTTTAAGCCGGACTTGGTATTTAACAACGGCATTAGATGATACATGGCTCTTGTGTCTAGAAAGAAATTCAAGCCAGGGCGACAACATAATCAAGCTGTTGATTCTGCCAGGCCTCAATAGTTTGGCAGGTTACTTTCTGTTGGCTTGGTAGGTTTGAGTCTCGGTGGTGGTATCGGGACGTTTCAGGGACGGCATGGCCTGGTGATGGAAACTCTTGTGTCGGTACGTCTAGCAACGGCCCAGAGTGACGTCATTGTGGTGTCCATGAAGGAAAATACAGAACTCTTCTGGGCACTGCGCGGCGCTGGCCCCAACTTTGGCATAGTCATATCAGTGACGTATCGAGTGTTCGACGCAATCAATGAGGGTCAGTTCGTAAATGGCGATTTCGAGCACGCGTGATCCAGTACTCGTCCGGTGTGCAAGTTGATTAAGTCATTTGACGATGAGATGCCTGCTAAACTTCGATTGTGGTCGGTGCTGGGTATAAGAGCTCTCAAACAGGTAAGCTGAGAGTATGGGTATCTCGTTGGAGCTTCGTATAACATAGTTATTGTTGACACTCCAGAAATAATTAGTCGAACCTTGTCGCCGGCTTCGTTGACTCCGGGTGCTTGGAAGACGCACAACCGTATCTGGCCAAATTTTCCAACTTTTCCAACTTGGCCCTAAGTCCAACAAGATCAGATATATTTATAAAAAATTTGATTCATCCTATTGCCTAATCCGGCACGGAATGTTACGCCTGCTAGAGGAATCAATATAACAATATTTACACTGTCGGCCTTGGTCAGATCGACGTGAACACTCTGGAAACTATCTTTGCCAAGTTTATTGCGTTTTACGAATCACATCCAAATTACGAGGAGCGGTCTGGGTTCCAGAAATGCAGCAACGCAGTTATCGCGTCGGTATCTCAGTCTGAGACTGTTATTCATGGACTTGGATTTTATGTTCCCGTTGAAGGAGCAAAAGGAGGGCACATATGCCTAACCTGTATGTATTGTAGCTAACTCTGGTCCTCTCTTCGAGGGTCTATGTATGGAAACAAAAGGGTTCTTATATAGTCAATGAATGGTAGACTTGCTGATTAATTCAGACAAGTTGTAGAAGCATATAGATAAGTAGGGAATGTTCTATCCTTGCCACATTTCTCGTAATAGAGGTATGTGGGGATGGTCGCCGTTCTAGGTGGCGATAGTGGCAAGTATAGGACCCACATGGCCCACAGGGCCCATATTGTCCAACTCATGGCATGACATCAAGACACAAGTGTATGGATACTTTCTGTTTCAGATCCACTGTATCAAGGTACGCTTTCCGAACGCGCGACATGGCTCGCTAACACATCAAACCAGATTATTCCGGAACATGCACACAGAACCAGCGCTGTATTCCGAAGTCGACGCATTCACGCGGTATTTGAGGTCTCTTTTCGTCGCGACGAGTGGAATCAACGGCTTGAAGGCTCATATCAACTATGCGCACGGAGACGAGTCTCTAAAGGTCTTGTACAGGTCGTCTAATCTGCCGAGGCTGGTAGAACTGAAACAAAAGTGGGACCCGTCCAACGCCTTTGGAAAGGGAGTTCCCATGACGCTGTCTTTGTGAGATAATATACGGTGACGCTATGTCACACTGTACGTTGGAACGCCTCATATACTCTATCTTGGTTCCGCCCGCTCTCTTTGTAGAAGAGTAGTTAGTATGCTGTATTATTTACTAAGGCATTATCATGAGCCTCCAAGCCCATAGATTCATTATTAACAATGTCTATACTCAAGAAATATCGATCTGTTGAAAGACTTGACTCATGCTTGGTATGGAATTTGCAGGGAACGAAACTTGACTCTAGTAGCAATAATATGGAATATTATAACTATTGGCAGATGTGAATTATGGTTGTGTGCCCCCCGAGGCCAGGAATCTTATGCACTGGAGATCGCAACTGTATCAGTCAAGATCGGTGGTCAAGCTTGGAGCTCACCACTATTCGGAGATGCCTTATATGCAGCATTATCTATACAGGCCACTGCGTACCCGATAGTTACAATACTTCCTTTAATCAATCAATTAAACCATCATCCATTTCCCCGTCACGAGGAAACACTAAGAATCCCACAGTAACCTTGAAATTACGCTTAGCGTATTTTGACTAACGTAGGCCACGGTCCAATTGCACACTTTGGCAGACCTTATACGACAATGTATAAGTTAATTCAACCACAACGCCTATCATCAATTGAAACTACTCAGAATCGTTATCTTCAGACGTCTCTACATAATTTCCACAAGTGCGCGCATTATGTCCGGGCTCGCCGCAGATTCTACAGCGCCGTACACGCGCAATTCGCCGCCTCGTACGACCACCAATTTGACGAAATTCGTCATGTAACTGCCCATCAACCTCTCGTTGAGACTGTAGGTCCTGTCCAGCTTGTATACGAAGTGACCCTCCACTCTGTAGCTGTTTTTTCTTCGCACGGCGACGTCGACTTAAGGTCTCATTTGCCTTTCGAAGTGATTCGACCTCGCCTTCTAAAAGGGCAAGCCGATGCATAACCTTCGTTGTACCTCGCGCAATCTGATCTATTCCAGCAAAAATTGACGTTGGTGAGCTATTTTGATGTCGTACAATCCTATTTTTCACATAATCGCTTTGTGATTGGGCTTCGGTTGGGTTGTTCGGAGTCTTTGATTCCCAAGGGACGGGGAGACCAGCCGAGCTACCCGGAGGTGTTGGCGTATGTAATTTCACATCGAGCTGTGATATGACATAATCTGCATCGTACGGAACTATTCCTACCCCTCGGAAACCTCCTTGGATATTTGAAACCGTGAAAGTTGCGTTGTACGTGTTTAAAAACGCCGGTAAAAAGTTGTCAGAGAACAGAATGCCATAGGCACCAGTGGGTGTCAGGACACTGAACGCAGGACACCGGTGGGCCGCCGGAGGGGTGTTTCGGACAAAAGACTCCCGAGTCATGATTACAATCTATGTGAAGCTTTGGGAGACGAGAGTCAAGATCCTTGGCATCGCCGACCCTGCTGTTATGCCGGGTCCAAGCGGCGGCCTAGCTATCTATATAAGGACCATCTCGAAGTAGGATATGGAAGGAGTTGTCAGAGCCACAAGTGTCATCCGAGGCGGGCCGGCTTCCACCAGGTAGGAAGCCGTTTGTGGCGGCTAGAGAGCCGCTTGTGGCGAATGAGAGCCGTTGAAGCCATTTGCAGCGGATAGGGAATCGCTTGGTTGCAGATAAGGAGCCGCTGTCCAAGATATTGGCCGAAGTCGGAGGAACACAGACATACGGAAGAAAACATCCAGAATCCAAGAGAGAACCTCGGCTGGCTATAAGTAAGGAGTCGAGACGGAGGAAGATAGAGAGGGCAGAGATCAATGCATCACCGTGGGCACCCCTACCTGAGACCGCCAGTGACCACCCGGTGCTACGTAGGAGGGACGCCCGTTACTCCCCATCACTCTGTACTATTGCCTTCGGCCTAGCCGTACCCTGACAATAGGGAACACTCGACTAAGCATAAGCCTCGGTCAACTTCTAAGGCGGATAAGAGGTAATAACTATAGTTAACCTTCCACTTTATTCAATCTAGCGAGTAAAAGAATTATAGTAATATCTTGTCAAAGAGACATACAAAAATATCAACAACAAAACATACAACACCAGGGATTCGCTGGTGGTCACCCACCCAACTACTAATCTAGCGGTTTGCAGCTTATCTATGGGAGAGCGGACGGGATCCCGAGTTCTCTGCAGCCTATGGTCGTATGTGCTAGATCAGTTTGTTACTGAAGCTTATATCGATCAGTCTGTTACTGGAGGTTATATCGAACTAGACACTACCTTGCACTCGGATAGAATCAGCTAGAACAAGGGCGATAGATATCTAAGCACGGCTAAAATCAATTATACTAAAAAATGTTGGAATTAGGGAGAAGGCCGCTAGCGAGACCGAACATAGCTACGGATACTTACAATATCTAGCGAACAACTTTAGACAAAAAGTAAATTATATAGCAGAAACATACAACACTAGTAATATCTTGTCAAAAAGACATACAAAATATATCAACAACAAAACATACAACACCAGGGATTCGCTGGTGGTCACCCACCCAACTACTAATCTGGCGCTTTCCAGCTTGTCTATGGGAGAGCGGACGGGATCCCGAATTTTCTGGAGGCTATGGTCGTATGTACTAACAATCAGTCCTGTAGACATATATAGAGGTTGCCAACTGCTGGCAAAGAACTTGCCCACCACTATTTTGCACAGTCAATGTTGACAATACCAAGTTCATAGATCCAAAACAACCACAACTGGTGGCATTATCTTCATATTATTAGGGGTTCCAGGTGTTAATACCCCATGTTACTCTCTAACTCCGGCTAATATGCGTCACTAGAAACCCAAGCATTAACCCTAGACTCCGACATGCCTCTCCTATGACTCCAGATGTTGACGTATCTCCTCTAGGACCGGCTCATTCTTTTCTAAATGTATGCTTTGATTAGCCCCTTAAACGACAAGCAACCTAGCACCTGGGATGTTATCCGCAACATACTTGAAATTCTCTTCACGTCACATGTTAGCTTAAGTCCTCGGAACCCTCGCTTTTCAACTCACCGGGCGGGCATATCCAATCCTTCTCCCCAACCACGGCCAGCGTTTTAGTCGTGGTTGTGTGTAAAAGATCTCTGAAATCAAAATACTTTCCGTCTCCGAGTACAGATCATCTACACACGAGTTAAAGAAGCCAACAGCTAAGTTCCTAACCCCGGCAAACCATCGCCCTAGAAGGAGGAGAAGACAAACTCACTATGTGCCTCGGCATTGTACGCATTCCCCAAACGCGTCACCAAAGCCTTATTTGCGTCAAATGTCTCACTATGTAACGGCAACATGGCAAGATGCACGAGTGGAAACTCGAGATCACTATGAACCCTCCCATAGATATCTTCTTCGGCATCTCGACCGAAAGCTGGAAGTTTTGGCGATGCGCTGTTCAAGGGCTTTGATGGCATCATATTCTTCTATATACCGCAGTTGCGACATTATTTATCTCTCATCCATTCCTTCATTTTTCATTCCTCCAATGCCCACTAGCGTGGGCAAAAGGGGATTTAAGATCCGGTAGGAATAAATTATAGTCAAGCAGAAGAAGATATAAATGAAAAGAACAGAGACTGGCCAGATAGAGAGGCAAAGTCTGATGCAAGGAAAAGAGAGGTGTTGTTCAAATAAGTATTAGCCTTTCAGATCTGAACAGTTTGCGCATCGGCCCAAAGTCCATTGACAAATCATGAAAAACATCCTCAGTCTCACCTGCAAAGCACACGGTTTCCTTCTGTATAAACCAGCCAGCTTGTTTGAAACAACTGCTGTCATGATGGGGCTGGAGGAGGAGGGCTTGGATGTTTGCGGGCTCCGCATTCTCTGCACGAGCATGACCAGTGTGCCAGACAGATATTAGCCTTCTTCGTATGCGTCCGGCACGAATGTTCTAAGCTCGTTAAATTAGTCCCATGAACTGATTCTGTCCCAGGCTTCGGTATACTTTTCGTCCATTGTCGGCAACCTCTAGATGAGCCCGTAGGAGGTCCTTCAGCGGCGCCACCTCCGCGACAAGTTCAAGCTGCGCGCCTACTGTCTCATTGCAACGAGCGCAATTTCCATGATTAGTTATGCTGTGGATCTGCACCAGGGACTTCCACCCGGATTGTGAGGTGGACTTATCCCACGACACAGGTCCATCTCGAGAAGCCCATGACCAAGTCGGCGCGCGTTAACCGCTGCATGGAAGCTTCCACTGCCCCCGAAACCATGAGTGCCAGAGAAGCCCTCGATGCAGATCCGCCCTCCAGAGGCCATATGCGTACGTGTCGTTTACCACGCCTTTTAGCATTGTAGCCAGACCTTCCATGGCCGGTAGCTTGTCTTTCTCGTTTGTCAGGTTTCTGCTTGTATATATCATGACCACCTCATACCATTCCGACAAGCGGGCATATTTCCTTTTAGATCTCTCGGCCGCCGAAATATGTTTCGATTCGGCGAGAAGCAGAGGAAGTTCGGCGCGCTTGGGAAGTTTATCATCGGGGGTTTCCAGCTTCTGTGATACGGCGCACTCGTAATAGATGACCTCCTTTTAGATCTGCAAGTCTCGTGCTTAGTTGGAATTCTTGGAGCCATTGCTTAACGCTCTCGACGTTTTCGGCCGGAAGTGGATGCGGAGTGGTGAGGGTTGCTTCTGTTCATTTTGTTAGAGCGTGCTGCTGAACTTCCTTATAAGCGCGTGCCTGATGATATCTGAAATACGACTTAATAGGTGATAGATGCTTTTCTTCCTCCATGATCATACACTGGCGCTTCGACTCGTATGGTATGAGGGCTTCCCTTTCTATACACTGAAAGCGGGTATGTGTCTACTAACCTCATAGTCCATGGAAGCCGATAATTCGATCTTGTCCAACTGTTCTTCGCTGCGCATATCCAGTCCTCGCTTCTGATACTCGGCCACCACGCTTGACCTGATGAAATAGCAAAAGAGAAACCATTGATGGCTGGTTGTTTCAACATAGGAAAGGTGGGGAAAATATCGAGATAAACATGAAGCTGGTACCTGGAAGCGACAAAGCTAATCAAATAGCCCTCGTCAGGCTCATCAGCGATTCCTTTGAACTGAAGTTTTGCGCAATATTTGCATAATTTATATGGTTGGGAGGAGTTCTCTTTAAAGGAAAGCGTGGCCATTAAGCCGCTTTTGGCCAGTCTTTCTCCCTCACTTGACAGCATGTTGAATATGTGTGGGCAATACTGCTCTACTGGTGTTGGGATGATGATGATCACGCCGCTATATTTGACCTGGTGTCAAACTCTGATGCCAGGCCGAAGTTGAATGCGGCTCCACCCACACAATCGTGGTCATATTGTGGTGTATACGGTCCAACACCGTGACAGTACGATACATCCCATAGGATTACCTAGGAAAGCCAAGGCCATGGTTCACTGAAGACTAACCAATCGAACTGGATATTATCTCTCAACACTGAGCAATGCGCATTTTATGCACTAGTGCTGAAGTAGTAGTTCTCCCACAAATACTCGTAATCCTCGAGTATGCCACTCACCAGACTCGGCATCCGCCTCTTCACGCTCCCAACCATGCTCTTAGTGACGTTCTCATAGAACGCGCCCCTCATTGTCCACCATCCCATGGTCCAACCCCTCTTGCCCCATTCCTCCCGTTCCAAACCCGTCGTCCGGAAGCTGCGCTCTCTCAGCTGCCTCGCCGCATATTCCACGGCCACTCCCAAGACCCAGGGCGTCCACGACTTCTTATTTTTGCTCCTTGCCAGCGCCGTTACATAGATGAGGGGGGCGAGTATGTGCAGGATCTCGGCCGCCTGTGCTGATCCCTGCAGCGTATTGAGTAGTTTTACCGCAGGCTTGATATCGTCCGCCGTCAACACGCGGCTCTGAAGGTAGGAGTTGATATTATTCGGATTGGGTAAGCTCGGTAAGCTCGTCCCCGTCCGTGGCATGGTCCATTCCTTCTCGTGCGCCGCCTTGGCCGAGCCATTCATGCCCGTCAGGGTGTCATCCTCGATGTCCTCGCCCATTAATTCCTTCAACGTCCTCCCATTGTCCGCGTCGTCTTCGTGATCCGGAATCGGTTCTCTCTCGGGCAACACAGGCGTGACCAGCGGCCTCGAATTCGTTATTCTGAGTAGTAGCAGCCTGCACAACGCCTTAACTGCCTCGAGCACAATCACGATCCGCCAGCGCACCTTCTCCCCCCTTCGCTTGGCCGTCATCTCCCACAGGAGCTCCGTGTACTGCACCACCTGCAGCAACAGCGCTGTCCGCCGGTACAGCCGGCTCTTCTCCGTCCAGAAGCGCGTGTACCTTGCGTGGAGGCTAGGGACACGCGCTGACAGCCCCGGGATGCGGGATAGGGCGCGGAGTAAAACGGCATCGTGGTAGAGACTAAGGAGTTGGACGCCCGAGTGTAGGGTTTCGGAGGCGATCTCAGCGTCGCGGAAGCGGCCTGGGATGATGTAGGTAAGGGAGCGCAGGGCGCTTTCAATTTGCGAGACTTGGTGCGCGTTTTTGGTGATAAAGTCGCTGTACATATGCAGCCAGCGCGGTGGGAGGGAGAGGACGGATTGGATGGGATTATTGTTCTTGTGTTGGTTGGAGGACGAGTAGGAGTGGCCGTTGGACGCGCGCGATGCGTTTTTGAGGTGGTCGGAAGAGCTTGACATTATGATTTTCGGGGTTTTAGTTCGTGGGGGGGTTTGGGTATCATGTCGTCAATTAAACCATAGTGGGTATAGAGAAGAGAAGGAAAAGGGAAAGGTGGCTGGTTTGCATGAGATGGATGAGGTTGGGTTGGTCGTTATTGATAGTTTGCGAAAGGAGGAGCAGGTAGACACGACATGGTAGCTGTGTTGCTGGTGGTCATTGCCTCGGTTGATGTGTGGGACAAGCTCGGGCCACTAGTTTAATTAGAGACTGTCACCAAACGCCACTGTGCTGCGATCCACATACAATCACTCCACTTCTCAAAATGTAGATAACTGTTCTACCCTTTCATTAACGTATCCCACAAGCAAGTTGGCCACTTTTTCTTGGCACCGTATGAATAACTTCAATAACTTAACTAAACTAAAAAATAATAATTCAAACTAATCGGAATTCTCTTCGTCGTACGTATATTTATCATTCTCACAAGTACGAGCATTATGTCCGGCTCTCCGCAGATCCTACAGCGCCGTCGGCGTGGTTCGGCCGGTCTCGTACGACGACGACTTACACGTATATCATCCTGTAGCTGCTGTTCAATATCCCGTTGAGACTGTAAGTCCTGAGCGTCTCGTAAACTAAGAGATCCTCCATCTTGTAGCTGTCGATTTTTAGTCCTTCGACGACGGCTTAGCTCTTGATTGGCCTTCCGAAGTGTAGTAACTGTCACGACCTGGGTTGCATCGCATTGGTATAGACCTCGATTAGGTGCTATCGACGAAGATTCTACTCTAAGGAGCGAAGGAAAGAAGATGACAACTTAGGTTTGAGGGATCGCGACTAAGTCATCCACGCTTGGCGGGGCTCCTACAAGGGTTATGATTGGCTTCCCATCTGACACTGCCACGGCAAGTGTTCCAGCTGTAAGTCACCTGGTTGTAGTGAGTCTGCGAGGGTTGACCGTCACAGTAACCTCATCCTCAAGTAAAACTAACCGATGCATAACAGCCGTCGCACCACGTGAAAATTGGTCAATAGCCGTAAGTATTGTCGTTGGGGAGCTATTCTGATGCTGTACGATTCTTTTTTTAACGTATTCAGACTGGGATTGCGCCTCGGTTGGGTTATTTGCAGTCTTTGATTCCCAGATTAAGGGGGCGCCAGACGAGCTCCCAGGAGGTGTAGGCGTATGTAGCTTAATATCCAGCTGTGAAATCACATATTCTGGGTCGTACGGAATAAGTCCTGTCCCCCTGAAACCTGCCTGGATATTCGACTTAGTTATAGTCGTACGATACGCTCTATAGAATGCCGAAAAGAAATCCTCCTTCGAGATATGGGTTATATGCGCCCGTACTAGGTCTTCAATTTCTTTGCCGTACGACCTTTTCAAAGCCCTAAAACAGCCTACATCGAGAGGCTGGAGCTTATGTGACGAATGAGCAGGCATACTAAGTGTAATAATAGTATGCTCTTTGCAATATAGCTCGAAGTCAGTCGAGTGGTGGCTCTCATGCCCGTCGAGGATAATGTTACGAATCTACGATTCTAACCAACGCAACAGGCCCGATGGCAGGCCCAGTGGATACAGGACAAAGAAGGATGGGAAAGTCACACAGGAGTGGCTAGCTGCAGGAGGAGCCAGCTAGTACAAGGATCACAAGTCACGTGACTTACAAGGGTGGATCATTTGGATATGAAATGATCCAACATATCCAGTTAGGACCAATAGTATCCATGAAGGATCTAATGGCCCCATTTATCAGTGAAGGAGGGAATGGATATATAAGGGACAGGACTCCCAGGCATTTCATAGATAGACAGTGTCAGAGAACAGAATGCCATAGGCACCAGTGGGTGTCAGGACACTGAACGCAGGACACCGGCGGGCCGCCGGAGGGGTGTTTCGGACAAAAGACTCCCGAGTCTTGATTACAATCTATGTGAAGTTTTGGGATGACGAGAGTCAAGATCCTTGGCATCGCCGACCCTGCTGTTATGCCGGGTCCAAGCGGCGGCCTAGCTATCTATATAAGGACCATCTCGAAGTAGGATATGGAAGGAGTTGTCAGAGCCACAAGTGTCATCCGAGGCGGGCCGGCTTCCACCAGGTAGGAAGCCGTTTGTGGCGGCTAGAGAGCCGCTTGTGGCGAATGAGAGCCGTTGAAGCCATTTGCAGCGGATAGGGAATCGCTTGGTTGCAGATAAGGAGCCGCTGTCCAAGATATTGGCCGAAGTCGGAGGAACACAGACATACGGAAGCAAACATCCAGAATCCAAGAGAGAACCTCGGCTGGCTATAAGTAAGGAGTCGAGACGGAGGAAGATAGAGAGGACAGAGATCAATGCATCACCGTGGGCACCCCTACCTGAGACCGCCAGTGACCACCCGGTGCTACGTAGGAGGGACGCCCGTTACTCCCCATCACTCTGTACTATTGCCTTCGGCCTAGCCGTACCCTGACAGACAGTCTCTACTTCAGTGATCAATCTAAGCATCAATCTAACCCATTGGTGAGGCAAACTGCCTTGACGACTCTATTCCCAGTTACCCTACTCGAATACTTCAGTTACCCCAAAGCACTATACTCCATACGTCAAACCCCGATATTATTGCTTGAGGACTCCGCAGCAGGACTTACTTACTAGCACAAACCCTTACAGACTCTTTAGTGGTTTACGCAGCTAGACTATTAGAGGTTTCGTTACAGATAAGAAGACGATAAACACCCTTCGTACGATCCTTCGTATAGCGACAAAGTGCTGAATCCAGTCTACGCCTCGCTCATTTGTTGTCCAACCGTTTTTAGTTACAGCGATTACCCAATCGGACGGGAATGGGCTATTCTCATACCAGGATAAGAGGTGGTTTTGACCCGCGACAATAATATACGGCGGGATAGCCCAGCCGGACGAATTAATACCCTGGATTACTGTAGCCCATTCTCGATTGCCTTGTTGGACTGTACGAGGCCTTCCGCGTCGTTCGGCACTTGTAACTACCATCTCGGATGAGATTAAGCCCATCGCGAACCCTGTCTCGTCGAAGTTATAGATATTGAAACGGGGTCAGGCGGTCAGTAGGATATACCTACCACCTAACACACTGAACAGACGGCTTCAGTACCAACAGATACCATCTGTTGGTCTGAGCAGACGAAGATCGTGGTACTGGTTATAAGAGCGAAGCTTTTATACGTCTGGTGCGCGAGTTGGTCGGATGTGCCTCTGAGACTCATCGGAATGATTCTCAGAACAAGACGTCTGGCTCTGGAAGTCGAATTGAAGCTCTCACTAGCACTAGATTGCTCTGATCAGAGCAAGATATAATCCTCTGTCATTGTCAAGGCTAGGATGAGGGCGGAATAATAGGATTTCGAAAGTAGTGTCTAAGTGCACGTAGGAATTAACCGCATAATTGAAGGGCTCGTTAACTAGAATAGAAAACAAAAGTCAAGTTGATTGAATAAGATGATGAAAAGAGATGAGGATGATGATGCGTGAAGATGGAGGACTCGTGTCCTACTCTGCCTCTGTGCCTCTTAAAGAAGAGAAAATAAACTTTCTCCTAGCCCCGTAACCTATTTCCCTGATGTCCGGCCTTACCCCGTTACAGTATCCGCCTCTTAGATACCATATTTCGCAATCATATTTCGTACGAGCGTAAACCACGCGCGATACGTGTCAGGATCTTCGCAATAGGCTCGTTGGTAGTCGATTCTTCGATTAAAACGCGTCCGAAGGTCTGGTTATCGTCGTACGAAGTTCGAGGCCCAGTTGACGCCGATGCGTCCAGCGCCACGGTCACGGAGCAGTCGGTTAGCCATAGCTTCAACACCATAGAGCCGAGGAGGAAATGATCGCGAATCTAGTTCAAGTATGTATTGTACGACCGCTAACTCTTCTGATTCCGTAAGCTTATGACTAGATAGTCGAGTATCGCGTCGAGATAGTAGTCCGCGTTTTCGGTTAGCTAGAGTTGTATGAGGGACATTATAGAGTTGGGCAGCGCGTCGGATGCTTAATTCGGGTTTCGATTGAAGCGCCTGACACGCTAGAATCATGTCGCTTTCTTGCCAATTCGATCCCATCTTGGTATGTGTAAAGATGTTAATTAAAAGGTTGTTCGTACGGTGCCAAGAAAAAGTGGCCAACTTGCTTGTGGGGTACTTGGTGGCTCAAGCGTTTCTAGCGAGCCACCTCTTAACAGAGGTGGGGGAAATAATCTGGGACAGAGGGGTCCGTGCGGCTTGATTTCTCTACAGTAAATCAACGACTAGATGAGCCGTCAACCTCAGGGCGTTTGCTACAACTATACTGTATACCCGCAATCAAGTATGGAATTTGGGCAAAAATGGTCGAAATCGCTAAGGTTTACAAATTGCTGTATTTGATGAGACCGCTATAGCTAAAAATACAACATATTCACCTCCTTGCTAACTACCTCCTTGGCTCGCTGTCGCACCACCATACCCCCTCGGCAGTGGGTTCCAAGGCGTCAAGGCCGCCTGGCCGCCATATTGGCTAATAAATCTTACAGCACTCGGCAACGGAGGGCTGCTTGGTACCTCCTCAGTGTCGTCACTGCCGTTTGATACCTTGTTATCCTTCTCTTTAGGGTCAGAGTCGAACTCATCCCCTATATCGCTAACCGGCCGCTTCCGCTTGCCCCTCTTCTGTAGTGGACTGGCCGGTGTACGACCGCATACAATGTCCAACGATTCTGTACTGGAATTGTCATCAACCTCGCTGTCGCTGCCGCCTAGGGGCCTGTAATCTCGAAGCGACCGCTTTAGCCAAGGGCCTATGTTCTGCCATGATGTGTCAACTGTGAAGGTAGCCGTAGGGGGCTGTTTGGGCTCGGTCCATAGTGGGTGACTGCTGCTGAAGGGGATGAAGTCATCCGCGCGGCCGATGTACTGTAGCCAGTCCTTCCATTTCATGGTGCCCTTTACTTCTGCGCGCCATTTGGCCTTCAACTGCGCTTCCTCTTCACGTATGATCTTCCGCATTTGTGCCTTCTCTTTGTGTACAACCTTGTTGGCTTCCGTACGTGTGAGTTCGTCAGCATATTCTTGTAGTTCGGCGTGGGTTACACTGGTATAGATTCAATACCATGGCTTCATCAGTCATATCGGCAACCAGTCTTATGGCTTCACGTGAGGGCGAGCTTAGTAGTAGGTTAGGGACCTTGATGTGGCGGTTCATCAAGTACTGAGAAGCTTCCTTGGCCCTGCTGTAGCGGTTGGCTGGCGGAAGTAGCGACGGATGAAGCAATTAGCCGCGTTTGGTGGCGCGTCTCTTGAGTTCATCTAGTACAATATGTGGATTGTGAGGGTAGCACCCGCTCTTTTCGAAGCCCTTCATCATGTTGTGGCGCGTAAAGGCGCCATAGTAGATCTTATGAAGGTTGTAGACGAAGTCTGTACGGTTGAACCGTAGACCGCCTTGCCGGATGTGTTGTTGTAGAATTTCTTGGTGCTTCCACTTCATAACGCTGAATACGGCCACATCGCAGGGCTGTAGGAAGTGAGTCGAGTGAGATGGCATGAAGAGTAGAATGATGTCGAATTGTAGGCAATATGCACCGGCCTCGAGTGAGATATGGCCCGTGAAGCCGTCGAGTGAGAGTAGCCGATACTTCCGTAAGTTGTTTCCCATAGTCCTCTTGCCCCCTTCGCGTTCGGGATCACTAAATCTGCCATCGGGGGTCTCGCCGCACTCGTTACAGCCAAACCACTTCTGTAGAGTGAATCCGGTGGCTTGGAAGGTCGGGGAGCTGCGAAACGAGTGCTGATTGAAGTGCCGTAGGTAGTCAAGCTGTATTTCTTTGCTAGAAAAGCCGTTTTCTGACCTTGTGAACCGAGTGTGGCCATCGCCAGGTGCTGCGGCCCAGTCCATAAGTGGCCAAGTCTTGAAGATGCAGTAGGGTGGAATAATCTCGCCCATGGCCGATCCGCCGCCAATAACAGTACCAGATTCGCGGTTGGCGAAGTCAGCGATAACCGGCCTCTCTTGAACAACGTACTTGACTTCAACTACTTCCGTATTGCCGGCAACGCAGCCGATTCGGATACCGGTCTCGTCAGCATTCCAGTCATCTAATGGAGATATCTTATGCTCTAACATAGTACGCTGCCGGAGATGGAAGAACTCTTCAATTTATTCATACTGCTCTTCGGCCTTTAGCCGCTTGAGGTCCTTCGCCTCGGTTTTGTTAATGGTGAGCTCTGGGTGATCCCTCCACCACGCGACCATCGTTTTCGGTGATAGCGGCGGCATCGGCGGCGTTCGATGCGATCGGAGTTCATCGGCAGCGGCCTTAACCATAGACTTGATAGCAGGGAAGGCGCCACGCTGAAGAATTAAGCAGTAATTGACGAGGGCGCGATCTTCTTCATCCGTAAGGGCGCGGGGCCGGCCGCGCGCCCGTTGTAAGCCATAGTAAGGCAGGCCATGGCGAAGGGCCTGAAGTTGGCGATGGATAGATGACTTGCTGGCGCCATCCTTTGCCCTGGCGGCGAGGGCGCGTACGGAATAGCTAATTGGTGTAGGAGTAGTATTACTGGAAGTTGTGGTAGTGGTGGTAGTAGTGGTAGTAGTGGTAGTACTACTATTACGTAGTGCACCGACTCGCTGCTCGCGAATCAAGTGCATTCTGGCGCTATTAAGCCCCTTAGGGGGCGTTAATTGCCCATCTGCAAACATTTCAGGTTATTGGTTTACTAGTAGGAAAAATACAGGTGTTGAAGGCACTTGGAAATATGGTATTTTGGTGGTAAAACGCGTATTTTCGCATATTGTCCAAGCGCGTCTGTCCCAGATTATTTGCCCCACCTCTGTTAAGAGGTGGCTCGCTAGAAACGCTTGAGCCACCAAGTACGTTACTCAAATTTCTCTCAAATCAATTGTAATTATTCAATGGGGAATGCTGTGTCCGATGCCGCTATGCTCATGGCTATTGCGACGCATAACTATGAACGAATGTGGTTGATCCCTCATATTACCTACCTCAAGCTACTACTGTCCATGCTAATCATCGATAAAACAACGGCATATTCAACTATGTACAGGAACGTTCAATATCGCCACTCTTCCACCCTGCAATCGTTCATGCAGTCCAAACAGCCGGTCCAGGTGGGGTGTACGTGGTCGCCTTACCCATGTAAATGTCAACCTATTCTCGTCAGCTTCAAAACACCACGAAGGGGCTAAAAGGGATACCGACCATAACACCGGGATCGCTTTGAGCAGCATAACCAGGAATGGAAGTAAGGAAAGCCCCACTAGGAACTGCTGTTCCCGACCCGGTGACCTCGATCTGGGCGCACTCAGGGTAGAACTGCGGCGTGTTGGCCTGGTGAAGAGCAAGCAGCTCATGCCGAATCAAGTACTTTCCCGGCTTAATGTTCTTAGGGATCTGGCTCGAGTACTTGAGATCCTTGTACACGAGCGCAGTGCCCCAGTTGTTACTATTCAGCACGTCTCCCCACAAGCCCACCTGGTCAATCTTGAACCAGTTCTTGCCCTTGCCGTCGCACGCATTGAAGTCAGAGCACGGGTACATCCACACCATGACGGGCCCTTGTTGGTGTGTCCACTGCTTCCAGACAGCCGTGATGTTCTCGCCCGCCGCGATGGTGGCGGAGATCGGCGCGGAGGTACCGCCGTTGCAGGTCATCTTGGCGTCCGACACTGTCATAATGGGGTTGTAGTCGGGCCATTGGCGTTGGATAATTTGAGCGTTGGGAACGGGTGAGAACCCCTCATAACCTAGATATTCCTTGCCGCCGATTATATAGCTGGTGACGGCGCCATGGGCTGACACCAGCGGCGCGGCCGCGAGAAGGGCGAGGATGAACAGCATTGTGCCTTCGAGACTACTGTTTTACCGATGGGGGATCGAAAAGAACGAAAGGCTTTGCGAGGAAAATACAGAAGAGAGAAAGTCTTGGCAGGCGAGTTCTCTGCGGCTGTTTATATGCTGACCAGGAGGAATAGACGCAGATCGGAGCAGGTTAGGTAGGTTGCACCCCGGCTTATATTCAAAACCTGGGTTATTGCCTCAGGGAATTCGGATGTCGGCATCGCACGGTCTAGACGGACGGCATTTGACTTCAAGATCGTAGATCCGTTGCCTTCATTAGGACGGGTAGGCCATTGCCTACGATACCAGAGGAGAAATCCCTGACTGACACTTTGGGCACGGAGCCGCCTCAATTCAGGATACGAATAGAAGAGGCAAATCAGAGCGCGGGTAGTGGACCGAGGGTACTCTTGGCATTGTTAAGCACATTATTCGTCCTACGATAGATTGCAACCTGGTTCTCGCACTCATGTCGGTCCAACTCTCATCACCATTCCTTGGCCGCGCAAATGAAGCTATGTCAGGTGGTATAGATCCGAGGCAATCGATTGGGTCAGCCTGATATGAAAGCTCTCTCAGGTGCCTGTGACTTCCCCACAAACTGGGACCTCGGCAGCGTGCGGTCCGGGGAAGTACTACCTGTTTGCTGCCCATTGGCCTGACGGCTTGTCACAGCCTGGTAACCGTCCCGGATAGGGTTATATAGCGACTGGTGATACGAACGCAGGAGGTTGTCATGGCACTATATGTGATAGCTCGATCAGTACAGGCTATTTAGGATAAATACCAACTGAGCATATGCTGCCGCGATGGGAAAGGAAGGTGGCGGGAAAGTTTTCCAAACATCTGTTCCGGCAGAGAAGATGCGGCTTACTGTCATATGGGGTCATTGCTTGTATGGATTTATTGAAAGAGTCTCTGAGTTTTTCTAAGATGTGGAGAATCATCGAGGTTGCCATTTCGGATGACTCAGCATTTTGAGGATTCAAGTGGATCAGAGTCACTATGTGGTACTGAAGAGTATCCGGATAGGCGTGAATACGGCCCGCTGAGTGAGCTATTCGCAGACGGATCAAAAGGCGGAGACACTGATGCTAAGTGTAACGAATTATTCCCTCTGTTATATTACGGACCCACACCGAGATAGGAGGTCGTGGCGACGGATTGTGCTAAGTAGTGTAGTATAGAGCGCCAGGCACTAGATAATCTTCCGCTCAAGGTTCCTACAACTTCCACATCTGGTTCTCAATGCTCACAATTTGTTAAGCGTAATCCATCTCGTGCCTAAGGAACTATTGCCAAGAATGGCTGGAAGAGCCGTTGGCTAACCAATTGCAACAGCAAAGAAAGGTTGAAGTCCTACGTCGACTGATTTAAAAACGGTCTTTACATCAAAGAAGCGGGTTGGGACCAACTCCGCTCAGAAATTGGTGTGGTTGATGTCGCAGACCCAATTCAGACCGGGGACGGCTCCTCGTCTCTTGGCCGTGATCCTCGGGGTTTCGGCGGTTGGCTGGCTGCGGACGGATCTGCATTCCATAATTCGTGCCCAGGTGCGCCTAGATGACGGGGCGGGCCTTACTGGACTGCCGCACCTACCACTTGTCTGCCGTGATAAACTGACGCATTCCACTACAGTCACCAGTTAACCTGCACGAGCCGACCGAGCCGACCGACCTGCTCAAGCACTGCAACATCTAAGCTGGTTAGGCACATACATTAGGACTTTAACTGCGGAGAAGAGGCGGGCTTCGAGAGATCTGAAGAGGCTGCTGTTAGGCTCGCGCCGTATGAAGATCCCTCCATGCGATTTCCCCGAGCTCGCCCACCACGAGGACGCCAACCCCTTACAAGCTCCAAAGCGAAGCTCGAACCATCCCACGCCCCCTAAGACCCCGATTAATATGGCTTAGAGGCTCCTCGGACCCAGGCATATGTAAAGTGATGCAGGCTTACTACGGCTTATCTACCACCGGGGTGGTAGCTAAGCCGATAAACAAGTAGCTCCAGGCAAATTGTGAGAAGCAGGAGATATATGGCAAGGTGGAGTATAACGATTGTAAGATGAAAATGGCGGCAGCTCAGATTTAAGTCATAGTTTTTTTTAAACCCACTCTCTACGGAAGATAGGGAGACAAGGTAGAAAAGAGATAGCAAGCATTATTAGAGACAGGCCGCCGCAATGTCTACAATCAATAGACGCCCTAGTTGGAGCGACGTATCCTATTAAGAAAGCTTCCTCGTACACTCATAATCATTTAATCTATACTAATACTGCTCCTATGGGTCTCGGTGTCGGCAAGGCTGCCAGTTGCCGTCAACGGGATATCCCTGGGATATAACCCGGAGCGGTGGCCCGAAGGCGAGGTGTTCGTCGAGTATGATAAGGTTGGGGAACAGTCATGAAGTCCTAATTAACAATCGAGAATACCAATACCATATATTGTGAACTATTAAGTGCAATTTGTCCACAATCAGTAGCAATAACACAAACCAGATCAATTTCTAGAGGCAGTATACGAGAACAGAAGAAGCAAGATGCGTCTTATCCATGCCGCTCATCTCAAAGCTGAACAATCAAACGCGAAATTCCAAGCCGAAGCAGACGAACCACCTGCCAGAGACATGACTTCATCAATGTACTTACTCATTCCCAGATGGTCTTGTCCTATAACAGGAGATATGTTTCCGCTAAGATATCAAGTTGTCTGTCCATAAGCGGTTTCATCAATAATTGATAAGACATAGCTAGCGAAGGGGAGACAGTGATGCCAATTCATCAAGACGTTTCAAAGGAGCAGCTCTCATGTAAAGCCGGGTCGTACAGCCCGGTACTCTTAGTGCTCGTTGTGTTGGTTGCAGTCGTAGGCTTAAATGGAGATTGCGACTTGAGAAGCGCTCAATCATGGGTAGACGCGCCGGGGTCAATTCCTCGAGATCTTCCGTGGGAAGCTGAAGGGGGCAGGAAGAAAATCTTATGGCGACTCGTTGGGTGATGCAACTTTGTTATTCGGGAGCTTAACTTACCTGGTAGATAGGCTTCCTATCATTATAAAGAAAAATGTGGCGACGTACCAGGTTTATAAGCGCGTAAATACCGAACTTATTTGGAGATACTAGATAAGATCGCTTGCTACGTGGTAGAGCGACGTTGGTTTAGGTAGAGAGCCGCTTCCGGGCAGTATAGATGCTACTACGACATTCCGCGATATATTACCTATGCCCTTATGTAACGATACTATTTAGCGTTCTGGTCGGTACGGTCGGTGGTTTCTTTCGCCCGTGAAATCTATCTTCATCCGAATATTACTCTGAATCTCGTTATCTCTAATGCAGACCCGAACTGTCTTGTGGTGGTCGTACCCCGCCACGTTAACTACATCCTCCTTCATTGTCTCGCTGAGCAAGTCACCTTACTCATCTCGCTCCAAGTATCAAGCAGCATCGCCTCATACCTGGTCTTGTCTACTTTGGTGAGCACGATTACAGTTCTGATGCCAGCTTCGCATAGCAAATCCAGAGCCATCAAGTCGGTCCCATTGGGGCTACCCTTGGGGTCATTGAGCACCACAGATCATTTCACAGAAATATATCACTACGAATATTTAACAAGCAGTGTCTGCGGGTCCCTCTAGAGGTTAGGCTTTCTGACAAGCTGTGGCGCGGCCAGCTATACATGGTGTCCGTACCATTAATTCATTAATGTAAGACGTTCTTTCCGGCTCTCCCTTTTAATATTGATATATAGCTCACCACCTGAAATGATGATCATAGGTTGAACCAAAGATTATCCTTGTTCATTTAGAGAAAACCAAGGATCGTGGAAATAAACTGTAACCTACATTCCTTAATGTCAAACTGCTCCGATGAGATCCCCCCGAGCCGGTTAAACCCCCATATTCGCATACGAGATCCACAAAGTGTAAAGTCTAGAATGAAAAACCTGGTTTCTTGGGCGTTGAATACTCCTTCTGCGTATCCCCAATGTCGGGCCTTCGCGGGCGAATGAATGGGAAACTTAGGACCTGGCTTATGGCAGTTCGGTATACACCGATCACCCGGGACCTCATTTGAGCCCAAACTGCCCTTAGACACGTGCTTAGGCATTATCACCACCGCTGGTAATAATCAAACCTCTGCCAGGACGCAGAGGAGGCAGCCATAGCCAGACATCTCATTGGCAGGGAGACGACCTCCAGAGTCGTGCGAGCATTGGATTACATCCGGAATCCTCTGTTATAGCATCTTAAGCGGAAGAAGTGAGACATACACAGGCGCAAAGGGTGGAATTACTACCAGAAACAGGAGACCACAACTCAAAATTGGGAGTGTGCTGCACAAGCAGTCAGTTTCGGATACTTGGCCTCTGGACGCACTCCTGATGGAGTTTGAGGGAGGCAGACGGTAGGATCCTCGGATCTCCTACACGAAAAGAGAAAGACTCATGGGCATTTGCTCTGTTCCTGCCAGATATCGGAGCTAACAACCACTCAGAAGGCAGTCGATGTGGAGCGCAGGCCATGATAGAAACGGCCCATGACAGAATTGATGGAAGCTACGGTCGGCAGGGAGAATAAGAGTACCGTAGATTTTGCTAGTACTGAAGAGACAGCGGCAGATTCCCCTGGTTTGGAGGCGGCGAGGGGAATGCGATATGATTCTTACAGAATCCGCGGGGCTAGCCATATGTTCTGGTGAACTTTGAACCCGGTTGGCGAGGATAACATGGCGTTTATCAGGAACTGCGTATGAGCAACCAAAACACCAAATTGGACCTGCTGCTGTTTATTTATGTGAGTATGTAGGGTGTTTCTAGCTATAGATTTAATATCCAGGCTAGACTCTAATAAGATCCTAATCTCGTCTCTCGGTAGTGCTCATGGCCAGTACCTTCTTTCCTCCCTTTACTTCCTTTACTTCACTACGGAATTGCCTGAGACCTGGAGGCCTCCTGTTAGCTGATAATGATGAGAGTCATTGAGTTTCACCCTATCCACCAATATATTATCATCATGAAAGCATTACGATAACGTACCGCACAAGCAAGTTGGTCACTTCTCTTAGCACCGTACAAACAAACTTATAATCAACATCTTTTACACACACTAAAATAGGATCGAATTAGAAAGAAAGCGACGTGGTTCTAGCGTATCAGGCGCTTTAATCGTAACCCGAATCAAGCATCCGACGCGCTGCCCAAATCTATAATGTCCCTCGTACAACTCTAGCTAACCGATAACGCGGAATAGTATCTCGACGCGATACTCGATGATCCAGTTATAGGCTTACGGAATTAAAAGATTTAACGGTCGTACAATAAATAATTAACCTAGATTCGCAATTATTTTCTCCCTGGCTCCGTAGAAGCTATAGCTAACCGACTGCTCCGCGACCGTAGTACTAGACACGTCGGCGTTAACTAGGTGTAACGAGGCAGAGGCACATAGGTACGAATCAAGGTTGCATATCAGTGCATCTCTATTGTTGAATACTAAACTAGGGAAGAAAGAGAAGGAAAGGGTTACAAGTATGTCTGGCCGTTCTCCTATTATAAGGGGAACGCGCTCGTCCAGATCAGGGCAGGCCATGACAGGATGTCCCTGCTTATCGTCCATGTGTCTGTCGTCACACTAGGCCTCGAACTTTGTACAACGATAACTAGACCTTTCGACGCGTTGTTTTAACCAAAGAATAGACTCCTAGCGAGCCTAATACAAAGATCTAAATACGTATCGCGCGTAGTTTACGCTTATACGAAATATAATTACGAAGTATAGTATCTAAGAAGTGAAGACTCTAAATAACCTAACCGAGAAGTAATCCTAATTCAAATACGTTGAAACTAGAATCGAATAGTATTATAATAGCCGGCCGTTATGCCGCTGTGGAGAGGCCCCCGAGACGGCAGAGCACGTAATCCTCTTTTGCGGCCTGCTGGAAGAATCGAGAGAGCGCCTACGGGCCACTATCGCACCATGGCCGCTGCATACACGTAGAGACCTGGCAACGGCGACGGGGAAACCAGTAGTCAGCGGGACTATCACAAGGTGGCTACTCAGGACTGGCCGGATAGCGCTTAGGCCCGGATAATATCGATCTTCTCAGGGGGACTTTGTTAGTAGGGTGAGAACTAACATAGTATTGTGGTGGACGTAACGCAGTCGCTAATAGAGCGAACCTACTGTCAGAGAACAGAATGCCATAGGCACCAGTGGGTGTCAGGACACTGAACGCAAGACACCGGTGGGGCGCCGGAGGGGTGTTTCGGACAAAAGACTCCCGAGTCATGATTACAATCTATGTGAAGCTTTGGGATGACGAGAGTCAAGATCCTTGGCATCGCCGACCCTGCTGTTATGCCGGGTCCAAGCGGCGGCCTAGCTATCTATATAAGGACCATCTCGAAGTAGGATAGGGAAGGAGCAGAGATGTTAGGCAACCTTGGTGGGCTTTGCCAAGACCACCAAGGTTACCACGTGACTTAGCCCTTCGGGACTAAGTCCAACCTTCGTGCTCCATAGGACTAGATAGAATGTCATGCTTTTACAACCTCACAAATCTTTGACCACCTTTGCGTGTAACAAGAGATCAATGCATCACCGTGGGCACCCCTACCTGAGACCGCCAGTGACCACCCGGTATTACGTAGGAGGGACGCCCGTTACTCCCCATCACTCTGTACTATTGCCTTCGGCCTAGCCGTACCCTGACACCTACGTAGCAGCGTATGTATTTAGTCCAGCCATTAGGGCACGGTTTGACATACGGGAGCACTTGTAGAGGTACCGGGGGCTTCGAGCCTACGGCGTATTTAATAATAATAATAATAATATAATAACGTGATCCACAAGTCATTTTCGCACACAAGTCACTTTCGCACTTTTCTTGGCACCTTCAAGTAATTCAGTAATATCCTATGCATAACCCGCATTTTATCCTTTAAATTACTCAAAATCTTCTTCATTATCAGTTTCTACTTCTATTGAACAAGTCCTTGCATTATGTCCAGTCCCTCCGCAAATACCACAGCGCCTTATACCGGTCTGCCGGCGCTTTACAGGACGACTGCTTTCCCCTTCTTCCTCCTCCATAACCTTGATATCACCCCTCAAGGCCCGTAAAACTTGTGCATCACCTATACTAAGTGCTCCTCCATATTGGATTTGCTTATTTTTTGTCCTACGACGCTTACTTAGTATATGGTTCGTCTCACGAAGCTCTTCGTTCTCCCGACGTAATAATGCATTCTCATGCATCATTGCATGCGTAGCCTTCGTAGTCGAGTTAATTGAGTTCAAAATATGCGTCGGCGAGCTGTCTTGATGCCTCTGGACGCTACTTTTAATCAAAGTTGACTGCGATTCGGCTTCGAGGGTGTTGGTAGGCGTCTTAGAAACCCAGACGGAGGGAGGCAATTGGGGGTCGAGTGTCGGTGTTCGTACTACTTTTGCGATATCCAACGTAGATATGACCCTATCCGGGTTAAAAGGAACAAGTCCAGCTGCTTCGAATCCTGATCTGATGTTTTTTTTGTGAAAAGCACCAATGAAAGCTTCTAAAAATCCTGCTAAGAAATCCTGCTTCTCAATATGGGTTTGATGCCTTCGCATTAAACCCTCCACGAACGCACCGTACAGCCGTTTCAACACACTAAAAGGTACCAAATACAAAGGCTGGAGCTTGTGGGATGAATGGGAAGGCATACACAATGTAATTACGCCGTGCGCCGCGAGGTAAGTCTCAAAATCCATCGAGTGGTGGCTCTCGTGACCATCCAATATTAAGAGACTTTTCGCACCCTTACGACGGCTAATAATATGTTGAACAAAGTGTTTTGCCCATTCCACACCAATATTATTAGTAGTCCAACCGTTATGGGAAAGGTCGACCTTCCAGTTGGCCGGTAGGTCGTTACCGCGATACCACGAAGCAAGATGAACCTTGCCCGCGAAGATGATGTACGGCGGTACCGCCCAACCTTGCGAATTAATAGCCTGGATCACCGTAACCCATTCCCGACCTCCTTGTGTAGCCTGTCTAGGCCGTCCGTGTCTTTCTGCACTCGTTACAATCATACCGGTTGTGATTATGCCCATTAGGAAGCCCGTCTCGTCCAAGTTGTAGATATCCTCCGGTAGGATACCGTATTTAGCGATTGTGTCCCTAACGAGCTCAAACCACGCGTAATACGCGATAGGATCTTCGCTAAATACCCTCTGGTAATTAATTCGACGGTTTAAACGCGTTCGGAGGTCTTGTCGGCGGTTAACGAAGTTCGTGGTCCAGTTCTTGCCGACGGGGGGCGCGTCGCGTACGCGTCGTAGGATATTCGCCATTTCTTCAACGTATCGAAGCCGAGGAGGAAATGCTCGCGCATCTAGCTCAATTATACGTCGGGAAATCGAATCCTCTTCGGTTTGAGTTAGATTTCGTTTTAACATATTAGCTTCGTGTCGCGTTTGGTCGCCGTCGAATCGATTCTTTAGTGTACGGTCGCAAACGTTGTAGATACGGCCAAGCTTACGCCATGAAATTTCAGGGTTGCGCTTTTTAGCTTGGATAGCTAGCTGAAGATCGGCTTCTTTGGATTTACGAGGCATGTTGTGGGAGGGAAGAAAAGTGCAAGCTAAGTTAAAAGGTTGAAATATTTGAAAAAGTGCGAAAGTGACTTGTGTGCGAAAATGACTTGTGGATCACGTTAGCCCCCGAAGATTATTCTTGCGGCTATTAACTAGTTTTCACGTAGTAGGATGGCTATTATATACCGGTCAGTTTACTTAAGGGTAAGGCTAATATACTTTAGAAGGCCAATTAAGAGCTAAGCTGTTGTCAAAGGACTGGAAAACGATATCTATAAGATAGAGTATCTCTTAGTTTACGAAAATCTTAGAACCTCTGGCCTTAACGGAAGATTAATTAGTAGTTATAGGACAATTTACGTGTAAGCCGTCGTACGAGAACGGCCAAACTACGCCGATAGCGCTGTAGGATCTACGGAGAGCCCGATCATAATACTCGTACTTGTTAGAATGAAATATGTGTACGAGGAAGAGGGTTCCGATTATTTTCAATTGTTTGAAGTTATTCGTACGGTGCTAAGACAAAACGGCCAACTTGCTTGTGTGGTACGTTAAGGCTTTTTGAAACAAATATCTTGCTCGTATGTGTCGCACTAAATTATTATCGAAAATCCTCTATGTGTGTATCTCCATAGTCCTATGATAGTCAGGTGCAAGCTCTAGTATCGTGGCATGTGACTGGTATACTACCTTCACGTCCTATATATAGCAATCGCCTCCCCAAAATAACCATACATCAAGCCTCATGTGTCCAATTCCCGTCACAGGTCAAGTCTTCGTAATGACTTCGTTCTGTTTGGGTATGCTTGCGCGCCGAGGTTAGGCTAACCCATGCAACTCCGCACTTATTAATAGCGCAGGGCGATATAACGTCGCCTCGACCGTGACTGCAACCAATATCCGGCTAAATACTCTGGATCTTCACAACGACACCGCGTCCTGTGCGACTCTCCGAGTGTCAGTTTTATCGATGTTCCGCTTCCCCTTTCTGCGACTGCGGAAGCTCGTCATTGTGCTGGAGGCTAGCTAAGCTGGGGTTTTCTGCGCTGCGCGTACTGTATAGGGGCTAGCTGGTGGGCCGGATGTGACAGAACTGAGCTCGTTCAAATGTGTGCAACTCTCCTCATGATATATCATTCACGAACCTCTTCTACAAATTATATTGTGACTAATGCTTCGGTTGACTTGCCAGTCTTTTCTCATCTTTTCTTGGAAGATCTCACATCGACAACCACAGCCCGGTCGATATAGTCACTATTTGCCCCGCGCCCCCTGGCCTCACCCAACATAGTTGTTCGATGTCCAAGGTTTTTGATCTCATGATGCGCTGGAAACTGAGCCTATCATACGCAGCGCTCCTGGGAGTGTTTGGTGCGCACCCTCCTAATCACCTCTCCACACTCTTTCTAACTAAACACCACAGCAACTCTCACCCTCGCTGCCGACTCAGCAGTTTTCGTGGACGCAGAAACGGGTTTTACTTTCTCCTCGTATGACGCCCCCTACGTGATCGGCCGCACCATCAGCTATCGTATTGCTGTGCCGAGCGGTGTGCCGACCGGAACCCCCTTCGACACTGTCATACAAATCTCGGCGCCCATCGAGGTAGGATGGGCGGGGCTGGCATGGGGAGGTACCATGACGGCCAATCCGCTCACTGTTGGGTGGGCGAATGGTAATTCGGCGGTGGCGGCTTCGCGGTATGCTACGTAAGTATCCCCTAGCATTTAACCCTGAGCTTCAATATTTCCATCTCATTAAAATGTTTTCGTTTCTACGGGAGGCTGAGATGTATTTGTTGTATTATTTAGTGGCCACGTAGCCCCCACCGTCTATCCATCTGCCATCTACACCGTCCTCCGCATCGGCACCCACGTCAACGGCACGCACTGGCAGCTCACAGCCAAGTGCACGGGCTGCAGCACCAACATCGGCAGTACAAACCGCACACTAAGCGCCACGGTGTCCAACCGGCTCGCTTTTGCCTACAGTAAATCCAAGCCGGCCACTCCAAGTTCCAGCTCTTCGACTTTCAACGTCCATGATGTGGCCAACTACTGGAACCATGATTTTGCGGCGGCGCAGAATGCCGAGTTTGCTGCGCTGATTGCGAAAAATCAGTGATACTCAAAAGAAAATAGGAGCATAGTTAAAATGGGATGAACCGAGGAATTTGTGGTGAGTAATTCCTCGGTTCATATGAAAGGTGGATGGCTGTATGGGTTTTGTTTGATGGAAATTGGGGCGATGAAATACCCATAGAGTATTAAAGCATATCAGTGGCTAAATGAACAAAATTGGCCTGTGTAGCTTCATGGTCCACCATTGCAAATTCCATTTTTATTGTCGATACATCAAGTTTCGGAAAATTCGGACGTTTCCAATTCGTATATGAATGTGAACGAAAATACGAGAGCATCATGTTTTCTCTTAAATATAGGCAAGGGTCACTGCGATGTTTACAGCAAGACTTCAGTGGAAGATGAGTAGCTACGCAATAACTACCGAACGCAGATGCAGCCTAAATAAGATCTACGGTCTAGTACGTCAAATTATAGCAGTGCATTAACTTTGTAAACGAGGGTTGAGAAAATGCCGCCGCCGAACAACCCTAGAAGAGTCATTGACAATCTTCCTCTCACATGCATTCCAACGATGGCAACTTCATCCCACATCAAAAAATATGACCTGCAAGCCTTATTCAAATTAGGACATGACGGCCATCTCGCCCATGGGAAGTGCCTTGAGCCCTGGTGAGAAGAAATGTGGTTAGTAAACCGGGTTCTTTATATGTAACGACCATAATAGGAACTGTCAACTCACATCCATCAACCTGCTCCGGTGCCTGCTGCGGCAGCGTGCAGGCATCATAGGCAGCCTGGGTCTGCTTGTGGATGCCCGCCGCATTGCACGTAGCGTCCAAGTTGCAGTTATTATCCATGGCCTTTTGGAGCGTGTCGTCCTTCCAGCCGAAGAGGTAGTCACCGTGGGCGGCAGGGCCACTGTATTTAAAAAGTCGCAAGTCAGCCCTCTGGTAACTCTTTTCTGTTTTCATGAAGGAAATAATAGACGATAATGCTTACCCAAGGTTCATGCTGTAAACATAAGGGTTGGACCCGTCGGTGGGCCATACGCTGGGGTCGTTGGTGAAGTCGGTCACGTTCCACATGAGCTCATACATGATCTGTGGTAGCTTGACGGGGTGAGTCGACGGGCAGCTGCCGCCACCGCTGGCCCCAGTACCGCTGTATGCGACGTGGCTTTGGTGGTCGGGGGAGTCGAGGTCCTTGCCGTTCCAACAACTGTACGCATTCCGTGTTAGTCGCACGTTTTACATTTGGGAATGTGTAAGTCAGCACGAAACTTACGTAGGAAATATAATGGTCTGCCGGATCATTTTGCATGACTGATCCTTTGGTACGTCGACGGTGTCACTACCGGTGCAAGGAGCTCCGCCAACGAATTGAGCCTCGCTTGGGGAGGTCCAACAGCGGTGGCAGATGTTTCCCTTGTTGACCTTGTTGGGGTCGGTATTCGTGGCGGTTCCAGCCAGCATGCGAAAACCCTTGATAGTTATGGTTAGCAACAGGGTTTCTTTGATTTTCTACTTTTTCAGTGAAAATAAAATAGTTGCCAAAAGGGAGTAGGGAACCTCTTGCTATTGTCTCACCTTTTTGAACGCCGTAACCTTCCCACTAGGAATATAGTAAATATCCAACCCGCCCTTCTGCGACAGCTGGCCTTGAGGCCCGCCATTGCCGACCTGGGGCACGCGCTTGTAGGTTCCGTTCTTCTGTTTGAAGAAGAGAACCGCGGTCCAGTAGTTAGAAAAGTCTTCGGCGAAGCTGCAAGATGTGCAAGTCGATAGGCCAGGAAGGTCATGGGTAGCGGGGTCCATGGTCACGTTGAAGGAGTTACCGCCTACGATCTGGTGCAGATGCGGCGTGTACGTCATGCCTGGGTTGACGAGCGGATCGGTGCGCTCTACCACCAGCTGAGAGCATGCGAATCGTAACATATTGAATTGTGCGGACGCATGGCGCGTGAGGAGCGCCGCAGCGAGAAGGCAGGTCCACGAGTGCATCTTGACGGAGAACAACTTATTGTCTGCAAGTTGGAATTGGAGTTTTACTTGTCTCGACTCAGAGGTGTCCTTCTCGATCATATTATTGATGACAGCAATGACGGAAATAAAGAAATACTCTCGAACACGAGATGATGGACACATCAAGAAATAGATTCAAGATATGCGTCGTACGATCACCAGGGGGTAACTTGCAACCCGAGTTCTCCGCCTTCTAGAATTGACTGCCGAACTTGCAGATCCGCTCCAAGAGCTTTTCTCATCTGGCGGCAATATAGCCATGGTTCAAGACTAGTTCGTGACTTTCCCTCTCGGCCAATCATCTTATCCGGTGATAATTGCCGGATTCCCAGATACTAGGTTGTCTAGTTGACTGATTGCCTATTCTGGCCGCGGGCCGCTTTAACCGTCCATTTAGCCTTCCAGGTAAAACCACCCAAAGATCGACGGACTTGCTGTCAGCAGGGTCCCAACATAGTATGTTGCATCGTAATGGCTCGCTCTCGGCCATATGGGACCAGTTATAGTTGGGTGTGTCTTATCAATCTAGTCCATTTGCCACATCGTGGCCATGTGAAGTTCCGACCATGTGCTTAAACGTCGAGATGCCGCAGACTCCGGCTGTGGTTGCAACATTATCCCAGCATCAAGACTTGCAACAAACCGGGTTTGGCTCAGTCAAAAGGGTATTTCAGTCATAATTAGTTTCTCGGTGGTCACTTGTATAATTATTGCCTAGCCGCTATTTTTAGTGAAAAATGGAGAGAAATAAATTCTTTGAATTGTATCGGGGCATTGCCTTCTGTTGGACCAAATTGACCGTCAAAAGACGAGGGACCCACTCACTGTAGAATGAGGTATTTTTGGTAGTTATAAGGTCTGACACCTTCTGTCCGAGGCATGGTTTAAGCAGGAAGGACACGGTCTCGGGATCTCTTGGAAATGGTCCAGTCTATAGAGATCCAATCATTGTGAGTAACTCAAGAAGCCATCCCTGAATTCGGCCCGTTCTTTAAAAAAATGCAATTGCTGCTATATTCTGTGGGCCAGTCTATACAAATAGCGGCGTGCCGCGGCAAAGTTGGCACTATCAAGTATTAACTAGTCTTGTCCCGGTGCTAACCTCCAAGTCACACAGCATCAGACGGATGTAATGTAGGCCTGAGCCTGCACCATGACGATCCTTCGTTCTAATATTCGCCTGGATACCACGAGTTGTGCATATGTCATTGGTCTCGGCCTTCTCGTGGAATGTTCAAGAACACTTTATCTCCACAATGCATATGCGGCTGAGTGTGTTTGTTAGGCATGGATGCCACCTCAAGGCTCAAATTACGGCACCAACTAGTCGACTGCTATTTTATCACTTCTAATATTGGTCAATTATATTTAGAGGACATCCGATCATCCGATGGACGGCCATGTGTGATAGTGTTTTGAAACCGGGTTTCACCCTCAAAAGCTGTGATGTGTGACGATTAATCTCAAAGGCAGCATGATTTGGAATACTTTTAATCTAGCCCCATAGCCCAAATGCCGTGCGGCAGTTGAGCTTATGTGGGAATACAAGGACCCGGAATGACACTCTGAGGATGTGTGTTGACTTGATCGAAGAAATGTGAATGTCCTGGCACTTGTGTGTAATTAAAGTTAGTGTGTAATGAACAATAACATCCAGCAAGCAAGTTTCCCATAAATCGGTTGTAAGAAAACAGATTAACAGATGTGCCTTGATAAATTCTGTTTCATGTCTTGTTTGTTTGTTGTGCAATAATTTCAGTCCCCTTTATCCGATGCTTGTGCCTTTGGCTAGGAGCAAAACTCGCAAACCACGAACCCAAACTCGAATTTTCCATGTCTATTGCGATCCATTTTCAAGAGTATTTCCGTAAAAGTCTATTTCATATTGACAATGGGTCAGGCCAAACATATCAAATTTTGCATCAGCTTCACAGCCGCGTATCATCACTCCGATCCTTCTACCCCTTCGTAATTCCACCTGCCAGCTGCGACGCTGTGATGACAGCTCCAATGGCCGAGATTAAATTCAAAATATTTCTCACTGTAACGCCGTTAGGGATCGGTAAAGCCGTATATACGACAGGTACCAGCACGGACGCATAGGAGACTTGGTGGTATACTCGGATATTGAGTTTTTGACACTTTCTCTTGCTGCGTCGTTATATCTTTCATCACTGAAACTAGGTTTCAGTAGCTCGAGAGAATCTGCAACAGAAGACCGAAAATATTCGCTCGTTAGTCGTTCCTTGTCGTTCTTTTTTGTTCTGTCTTGGCAAGAATCTTTGTAGGCATAGATGGAACAGCCTAGGGTGGTGCTACCCGGAGCAATGGACAGAACCACTAGGCACCAGAGCACAGCTTTTTCCATGTCTTCGACGAAGGGTTTGCGTTAGGCACCCCGCAAGGGAAAGATTGCATCGATTGCCCTGCTAATGACTCGCACATTGTCTTGGATGGCAGATGGTATAGCTCGGAAATACTTGGTGGTTGCTGAACCTTTCGTCACAATGTCCCGAGATGGGAATTAAATTATGATTATCAGTATAATATGCACACTGAGTACATTTTGAAGGCGTAAATATCAAACACAGATAAAAAAGAAGATGGGAATGCTTACTCCATGCCTAGACCTCGAAGAACCGCATCTTTAAAATGATTTCGACAAAGTCCTAGCCCCAGGTTCTCATGAATCCGCCGAGAACTCCAAGCCGCAAAGCTACCACTGTCATATAATCCGACGGATTCGGCACGACACGTCACTGTTCAGCCCACCGGAGACGAAAACTGTGGATCCTACAGAGAAAAAAAGGCTGTAGTGGTGCGGATGCCGACAACCTTGCTTACTATGAGCAGCCCCTCTGGCAACAACCTCTTTCGGTTGATAACTCTTTCTCTTCTGAGTTGCTCCAGTCCTTGACTTTGGCAATGCCTTCGGTGTATTTATCTCCAATGCGCCATTTCTTACCACTCTGGATGATATCTGTGATCAAATGGGCCTCCTCTTGATCTTTGAGCAGTAGGTCTCGTAAGACACTTATGCGACGCTGCTCGCTATCACAATTGTCGAACCAAGTGGCTCTCTTCGCATCGACCAGGCTCTTAGCCTCTTCTACACTCTTGCCAAGCTTCTGTTGGTGGGCTATCTCAGCCTCCCATATGGAATTGGTTTCCTTGAAGAAGTCTTCTCTGTCGCACAACTCCAAACAGCCCATGAAGTGGACCAAATGGTCGTTTATTGCATCTTCATGAGGTTCCGAACTCAAGCATGTAACCTTTGATCGGCTGGGCATGTTGCGCTCGCCGGCAGGAAGCTGTTGGTTGCCTTCGGCCATTCTCGGTATTCCGTGAAGGGTATTGGCCTCCGCTCGGTCAAATAGGTTGGACTTGGAGAAGCTAGATGGGATGTTACAGCCAAATGCAACCCCAAGGAGCTGGAAGATAGGTCTGAATCTTTTCTGCTCGTCAAGCGAGAGTTGATTAGGATGAGTATGCAAGAGACGGTAGTCCACAACGGGGTGGTACATTCAGCGATCGGACATATTTAATTAATAAGGCCAGAAGTGCGGCTGAAAACTGCCCACACCAATATTTGGTGAAGAGGAGCTTTATGAGCCAACATCCTTCAAAGCAGCAATACCCTGGCGGATCACAACATGAACTTGTCCCACTCCATATAAATCCCACAGAGCCTTGCAGGACGATGACAAGCAATTCTCCAACCAGAGCCTCGCTAGGTGAGCCTTTAATTGCTTATGAGTTACATCCGACCTGCATTTAGCTGGTAATAGTGAGGAGGCAGTGCAATTTCGGGGGCGATTTTTGTGAAGAATGCAAAAGTATGCGAGGGATACACAGGGATGTGACTAGGGTCGACTTGGGGCGGCTGATGCTCACACAGCATGCCGACGCAATGGGGACGAAGTTGGCCGCGGTGTGGCTGCCACTCTGCATGGCAAATGAACGAGCGTTTTGGCGATGTTGTTGTGCAGTGGACTTGTGTGTGACGGGCAGAGAGGCTCGAGGGTGTATCTATTCAATCTTGCAACATCGAGTCACTTTGATTCTGGCTGTTAAATCTGGTGAGAGTGACATGGTATAGAATTAACTTACACATTCTGTTTAAAATTTTCTTTAGCGCCTGATCTGTAGAGCTCGTTGCGAAAGCATATCGGGAAATTCGACAAGTTTGAATTTGAATGGATTTTCCTCTTGTCTATGGTCTCCACCAATTGATATACCTCCTGCCAGCTGCGCTGCTACTGTATCGCTCGCAGTCCCGTTTGTTCCATCTTGAATATCTAGGTCAAGAGTCATTCCATGGCCGAAAGAAAATATTCGCTTGCTTCTTCGCCTTGCAAATGTTGCATCAAGAAGGGCTGGACAAGTGATGACCAAGCTTCTACTCACAATCATTACCGCATCACCTCTCACCTCAATACTCGTTGCGTCTTTGGCTGAACTTATAGCGAAGGTGATACCGATTCGTATTAAATATCTCTTTTCCATATTTTTCTTCCAAAAATTAAAATATATTCAATATGTCGACCAAATAAAGGAGGTGTTGGACCTTGAGGGCCATTGCACCAAAAAGTGCCAGCTCGTGAGGACATGTGGCCACTGTCAGAGAACAGAATGCCATAGGCACCAGTGGGTGTCAGGACACTGAACGCAGGACACCGGTGGGCCGCCGGAGGGGTGTTTCGGACAAAAGACTCCCGAATCATGATTACAATCTATGTGAAGCTTTGGGATGACGAGAGTCAAGATCCTTGGCATCGCCGACCCTGCTGTTATGCCGGGTCCAAGCGGCGGCCTAGCTATCTATATAAGGACCATCTCGAAGTAGGATAGGGAAGGAGTTGTCAGAGCCACAAGTGTCATCCGAGGCGGGCCGGCTTCCACCAGGTAGGAAGCCGTTTGTGGCGAATGAGGAGCCGGGAAGCCGTTTGTGGCGGCTAGAGAGCCGCTTGTGGCGAATGAGAGCCGTTGAAGCCGTTTGCAGCGGATAGGGAATCTCTTGGTTGCAGATAAGGAGCCGCTGTCCAAGATATTGGCCGAAGTCGGAGGAACACAGACATACGGAAGCAAACATCCAGAATCCAAGAGAGAACCTCGGCTGGCTATAAGTAAGGAGTCGAGACGGAGGAAGATAGAGAGGACAGAGATCAATGCATCACCGTGGGCACCCCTACCTGAGACCGCCAGTGACCACCCGGTGCTACGTAGGAGGGACGCCCGTTACTCCCCATCACTCTGTACTATTGCCTTCGGCCTAGCCGTACCCTGACAGCCACCTACTGTACGTTATGGACCAATATCGCCACCACCCACCGTACCATACAATTTCTGCCTGTGAGGCAGGCATCGTTCATTTCTAACTATACAAGGCCCTTCCAGCCACAGTTTAATCGTTTGATGGATCTCCAGAGATCATCACTTATTCAATGCAAGACCATTTGCACTTCAGTCCAATACGAGGGCTCCCTTCCACTGACACTTCTTTCCCTCCCCGAGACTCGCCGGCACAAAAGTTGATAGTCGAAGTAAGTGGACACACTAAGAAATTTTGGGAAGAAACCATCACGAATGAAAGCTTGCAGGAATATATCGAACTTTTGGATTGATATAACAACCTAGAAGAGTGCATCAAGCCAATACACCCTCTGGCAGATTCGCCAAACCTCACGCACAAGATGCTACGGCCAACTACACAAATCTACCTCAACTAGATCTATTAACCTATAGCCCTTATAGACTCGATGATAGTAATCTAAGGTCGATTCTATATATCTTGAACTGGAACCTATTTACGGTAGGACTCGCCTATTACTACGTAGTTATCCCTAACCTCTTCTATAATACTCAACATTTTAGTGTTATAAGTATATGCTAGCGGAATACTAGTAACCTCCAGTAGGGTAAGGCAGTTAAAGAAGATATTGTGACGGTTGTCACGTGATTAACCGAGACTGGTCCGAATAGATTGATAAGAAGTTGCAAGTACTAAAGTCAGGGACTTTGTGTTAGTCTCTTTTTGTAAATAAATCTAGCATGATAGCGCCGTATCTAGGTGTTGGATTACAGCTGTCTCACGGAGAGTACACAGGTTGTCTGCGAAGTCAGGCTTGGAGATGGGGGGAGCATTGCATCAGGATTCCAGTAGGTCCATTCCGTATCTGTGGATTATATATTCTCTGTCTTGATCCTTCATACTGCATAATGGATGCTGCAAGAACCGTACGTAAGAAGACAGTACTCCATTACCTATAATATAGCGTGTATACACGAAGATGCAGCACTCATCTGCCCTAATATTCAGTATTGCGCTTGCAACGCTGCTCATTCTTGGAAATGGAACCCTTTTCCCCCGCAAAGACAGCACAATCTACCGTGATATTTCCATAATTGACGGCCGAGCAACCGGCGTTACGCGTCGATCGCGCTGGGTGATGTGGGTGTCAGCGCCATTATCGTCAAGCAGTTCTCGAAGCTGGGCGGTCCATGCCAGAATTACACTGATGCTGCCACCGGGAGTCGCATTGATTATGGAGTTCAGCGCTTTCAGAACGTCAGCTTGAACTTCAAATTTCCCATCGAGTGGGCGTTGAGGTTGTGTGGGCCCGGATTATTACAACCAAACCAAATACATCAACTTCTCCAATGGCGACAAGTTGATCGGCTTAGACCCCAGCTACAATTACACCGCATACCAGGTTCCACTCGAGCAGTGTCCCTATTTCGCTTAGGGCAAAGTCTTGCCCGATCCCGTGCCTTCGGATTTGTACTCGGCATTCGGAGACTTCCTCGTCAAACACTCGCTCCAAGCCATAGCCTCCAGTTTACATCTCATTTGGGGAGGGATCGATGAGCTCATTCAATCTTTATAGAGCTAGGTATATTGTCGATTTGAGATGTTGTTCGCTAGCCCGGCTGTGAAGAAAGTCCTGGACGTATGGGATGCGGCAATCGCGCACACGCAGGAGGAGGCCCATTAGCTATTTTCACATGTCACACAAGAGTCTAGCTCCCTTCCCCCTTCTGGCACTTTCAAAACATCATATTCGCTATATGTTGAGTATTTCCCCCAGTACTAAAACGTCGAATACCTGATCACTATAGAGTCGAAACACGTTTTGCGAATCAGAAAATCATGTCTCTCTATAATATTCAGTAACGTAGTCCACGGTCCAATTGCACACTTCGGCAGATTTTCGTACGCTACCACTTTGACCTGCGGTTTTTCACCACATACCTATGGTTGGTTCTTGGAATGAAAATGATATGATTCTAGCATTACATGCGCTTCAATCTGATCCAAAATTAAGTGTACGTCGCGCTGGTCAGATCTATAACGTACCTTTTAGAACCCTTGCGTATCGACGCGACGGTAAAACCGCTCGGGCAATTACGCGATCGCCAACGCAAAAGTTGATCTGTGTCGTGGGATAAGTCCACCTCACAATCCGGGTGGAAGTCCCTGGTGCAGATCCACAGCATAACTAATCATGGAAATTGCGCTCGTTGCAATGAGACAGTAGGCGCGCAGCTTGAACTTGTCGCGGAGGTGGCGCCGCTGAAGGACCTCCTACGGGCTCATCTAGAGGTTGCCGACAATGGACGAAAAGTATACCGAAGCCTGGGACAGAATCAGTTCATGGGACTAATTTAACGAGCTTAGAACATTCGTGCCGGACGCATACGAAGAAGGCTAATATCTGTCTGGCACACTGGTCATGCTCGTGCAGAGAATGCGGAGCCCGCAAACATCCAAGCCCTCCTCCTCCAGCCCCATCATGACAGCAGTTGTTTCAAACAAGCTGGCTGGTTTATACAGAAGGAAACCGTGTGCTTTGCAGGTGAGACTGAGGATGTTTTTCATGATTTGTCAATGGACTTTGGGCCGATGCGCAAACTGTTCAGATCTGAAAGGCTAATACTTATTTGAACAACACCTCTCTTTTCCTTGCATCAGACTTTGCCTCTCTATCTGGCCAGTCTCTGTTCTTTTCATTTATATCTTCTTCTGCTTGACTATAATTTATTCCTACCGGATCTTAAATCCCCTTTTGCCCACGCTAGTGGGCATTGGAGGAATGAAAAATGAAGGAATGGATGAGAGATAAATAATGTCGCAACTGCGGTATATAGAAGAATATGATGCCATCAAAGCCCTTGAACAGCGCATCGCCAAAACTTCCAGCTTTCGGTCGAGATGCCGAAGAAGATATCTATGGGAGGGTTCATAGTGATCTCGAGTTTCCACTCGTGCATCTTGCCATGTTGCCGTTACATAGTGAGACATTTGACGCAAATAAGGCTTTGGTGACGCGTTTGGGGAATGCGTACAATGCCGAGGCACATAGTGAGTTTGTCTTCTCCTCCTTCTAGGGCGATGGTTTGCCGGGGTTAGGAACTTAGCTGTTGGCTTCTTTAACTCGTGTGTAGATGATCTGTACTCGGAGACGGAAAGTATTTTGATTTCAGAGATCTTTTACACACAACCACGACTAAAACGCTGGCCGTGGTTGGGGAGAAGGATTGGATATGCCCGCCCGGTGAGTTGAAAAGCGAGGGTTCCGAGGACTTAAGCTAACATGTGACGTGAAGAGAATTTCAAGTATGTTGCGGATAACATCCCAGGTGCTAGGTTGCTTGTCGTTTAAGGGGCTAATCAAAGCATACATTTAGAAAAGAATGAGCCGGTCCTAGAGGAGATACGTCAACATCTGGAGTCATAGGAGAGGCATGTCGGAGTCTAGGGTTAATGCTTGGGTTTCTAGTGACGCATATTAGCCGGAGTTAGAGAGTAACATGGGGTATTAACACCTGGAACCCCTAATAATATGAAGATAATGCCACCAGTTGTGGTTGTTTTGGATCTATGAACTTGGTATTGTCAACATTGACTGTGCAAAATAGTGGTGGGCAAGTTCTTTGCCAGCAGTTGGCAACCTCTATATATGTCTACAGGACTGATTGTTAGTACATACGACCATAGCCTCCAGAAAATTCGGGATCCCGTCCGCTCTCCCATAGACAAGCTGGAAAGCGCCAGATTAGTAGTTGGGTGGGTGACCACCAGCGAATCCCTGGTGTTGTATGTTTTGTTGTTGATATATTTTGTATGTCTTTTTGACAAGATATTACTAGTGTTGTATGTTTCTGCTATATAATTTACTTTTTGTCTAAAGTTGTTCGCTAGATATTGTAAGTATCCGTAGCTATGTTCGGTCTCGCTAGCGGCCTTCTCCCTAATTCCAACATTTTTTAGTATAATTGATTTTAGCCGTGCTTAGATATCTATCGCCCTTGTTCTAGCTGATTCTATCCGAGTGCAAGGTAGTGTCTAGTTCGATATAACCTCCAGTAACAGACTGATCGATATAAGCTTCAGTAACAAACTGATCTAGCACATACGACCATAGGCTGCAGAGAACTCGGGATCCCGTCCGCTCTCCCATAGATAAGCTGCAAACCGCTAGATTAGTAGTTGGGTGGGTGACCACCAGCGAATCCCTGGTGTTGTATGTTTTGTTGTTGATATTTTTGTATGTCTCTTTGACAAGATATTACTATAATTCTTTTACTCGCTAGATTGAATAAAGTGGAAGGTTAACTATAGTTATTACCTCTTATCCGCCTTAGAAGTTGACCGAGGCTTATGCTTAGTCGAGTGTTCCCTATTGTCAGGGTACGGCTAGGCCGAAGGCAATAGTACAGAGTGATGGGGAGTAACGGGCGTCCCTCCTACGTAGCACCGGGTGGTCACTGGCGGTCTCAGGTAGGGGTGCCCACGGTGATGCATTGATCTCTGCCCTCTCTATCTTCCTCCGTCTCGACTCCTTACTTATAGCCAGCCGAGGTTCTCTCTTGGATTCTGGATGTTTTCTTCCGTATGTCTGTGTTCCTCCGACTTCGGCCAATATCTTGGACAGCGGCTCCTTATCTGCAACCAAGCGATTCCCTATCCGCTGCAAATGGCTTCAACGGCTCTCATTCGCCACAAGCGGCTCTCTAGCCGCCACAAACGGCTTCCTACCTGGTGGAAGCCGGCCCGCCTCGGATGACACTTGTGGCTCTGACAACTCCTTCCATATCCTACTTCGAGATGGTCCTTATATAGATAGCTAGGCCGCCGCTTGGACCCGGCATAACAGCAGGGTCGGCGATGCCAAGGATCTTGACTCTCGTCTCCCAAAGCTTCACATAGATTGTAATCATGACTCGGGAGTCTTTTGTCCGAAACACCCCTCCGGCGGCCCACCGGTGTCCTGCGTTCAGTGTCCTGACACCCACTGGTGCCTATGGCATTCTGTTCTCTGACAACTTTTTACCGGCGTTTTTAAACACGTACAACGCAACTTTCACGGTTTCAAATATCCAAGGAGGTTTCCGAGGGGTAGGAATAGTTCCGTACGATGCAGATTATGTCATATCACAGCTCGATGTGAAATTACATACGCCAACACCTCCGGGTAGCTCGGCTGGTCTCCCCGTCCCTTGGGAATCAAAGACTCCGAACAACCCAACCGAAGCCCAATCACAAAGCGATTATGTGAAAAATAGGATTGTACGACATCAAAATAGCTCACCAACGTCAATTTTTGCTGGAATAGATCAGATTGCGCGAGGTACAACGAAGGTTATGCATCGGCTTGCCCTTTTAGAAGGCGAGGTCGAATCACTTCGAAAGGCAAATGAGACCTTAAGTCGACGTCGCCGTGCGAAGAAAAAACAGCTACAGAGTGGAGGGTCACTTCGTATACAAGCTGGACAGGACCTACAGTCTCAACGAGAGGTTGATGGGCAGTTACATGACGAATTTCGTCAAATTGGTGGTCGTACGAGGCGGCGAATTGCGCGTGTACGGCGCTGTAGAATCTGCGGCGAGCCCGGACATAATGCGCGCACTTGTGGAAATGATGTAGAGACGTCTGAAGATAACGATTCTGAGTAGTTTCAATTGATGATAGGCGTTGTGGTTGAATTAACTTATACATTGTCGTATAAGGTCTGCCAAAGTGTGCAATTGGACCGTGGACTACGTTAGTTAAAATCTTTATTTGTATTTTGATCTTCGGATACGAACTACTTGTAGTCATTGAGGACATAGCTGGAGACTTCAGGAAAGTTGTTATATCATGGAGGATTGTGATGTTGATTGAGCTAAGTTAACCTCTGTCAGGTGTAACTGTAGAATGTTACCTATCTAAGTAGTGTACATTGTTACGGAGTAACTAGGGCTCCGCCAGTGGACTGTGTGCCACTAGTCCTCTGTTATTATATAAACTGAGAATTCCAATTGACACTCGCATGACTTCGTATTTGGTTACCTTGAGCGATGACTCAATTGATATATCCGTCTGATTGTATCCGTGCGTTGAGAAACTCCACGATATCGTCAAGTCCCTGTGGTTCATTGATACAGTGCCCACCTGACTCGTAATTGTGCCAATAGACTACAGGCATGCAAACCCGAAGAACATTTCGCAGTCCTCTGCCGTTTCGTATTGGCACCACATCATCATCCTATGCGTGACCAAGGAAAATAGGGGTGCTCCTCATGCTATCCGCATCGACAGATCGAGTAGGCTGGCTCGTGTAGAGCTTTTGTAATGCTTGGAAAATACCCTCGATGTCTCCTGACTTATTCGTGCAGTGCTGGGTGGAAATGCCTAAAGGCATCCAGCTGCATAGGCCTATGAGACCACCGAGCCCCTGTCCACCAGCGAAGAATATTGATAGAGCCGTGGCAAAGCCTTGACTGATCCCGCCCAAAAATATCCTATCTCGGGGCAGCAATGCTTCTTCTTGCTTGATAACTTCCAGAATGGACGCTACACTTTCATGAAGACTGTCCCGTTGAAGTTCACTTTTCATGTCAGGATCTTCCACGGACCACATATCGAACCACTGAGACATGGTTGTATCGAATCGTCGAGGTTGAAGAATGGGGGCGCTAGGGAAGACCCATCTGATGGTTGGGAATAGATCTAGCAGAGTTCTTGGCTTGTTCGCTGGCTTGGATGCTTCACTTTCGAAGAATTCACTCGCAAACTCTTCAGCTTCACTGTCCCGTTCGTGGAGAAAAATGACAGTATGAGTGTGTGGCCCTTTGGAATGGCAGTTAACGTGACATATGGCTGCCATGTGGTTGAGGCAGCTGAGGCCAAGGTTCGTTGTGGTATTCGTACGAGTATATTGCTGGTTGATGATCCTGTAGGGAATGGTGGCATGGGCAGGACAGGTACAGTCAAGTTCCAAAGTTAGGGACCACGCCGCTAGTGTCAGATATTCAGGTATATTGCGGTATGACCATGATTTGCCGGTTATGTCACCGTTCTGTGTGATGGATTGATTGTTGATTGATTGATTGATTGAAATTTAACGTCTCATCACGTGAGAAGTGCCGGGCGCAGTGCCGGCATGGTCTATGCTAGTCGAATCTATGCTACAGGGGACTGTCTTCATCTAACATTCCTGTTCAGTGCGATGGGCAGATCTCAGTAAAGAAATTGGTCTCCTCCGCCCATTGGCAAAACAAACGAGCTCCCTTGGCCGTGCCTAGGAGGGAATCTATACTATTCTTGGCCATATGCGCTTTTAGATGACCGGGCGTGGCCTTGCGGCCGCGCTTGCAAAAGTAGAAGTGGACTGGTGTCTTTGTCTTTCCACACCCGCAGTTGAGCAGTGCGTCGCGATGCTGGAGTCTCTCGTGGTAGGTCACGAAATCCCCGTGGTGTGACCTCGCTGCGAGTAATCTGCCTAGGTGTTGCCGGGGCAGGCCAAGTTCGGGGGGTCGCGGGTGGATAGCGATCCCTAGATCTCGATACTGTTGAGGGCAGGTAGTGGCCCATCGATCGTTGAAACTCTTCCAAGTGTAGGATCTCGCGATTCTCTTTATATGTGCGAATGAGGCCGGGTGTTGTGTCTTGGGTGGTTGCTCACAGGCCGCTTTGGCCTGGACATCTGCTTCTTCGTTTCCGGGGACGCCTACGTGTCCTGGGCACCACCAGATATACACTTGTCCCGGGGATGTCCAGGGTTTTCGCTCTCTCTGTGACCAGGTTTTGGACAGCTCTTGGAAGGCGGTGAACTTTACTTGACTGCTTCCGGGACTTGGACAGATGAGCCTACCCGCAACCGCGAGATTATCGAGGCAGATGTGGACGTTATCTGCCATGCTGTTGGACGGAAGCTTTACAGCCTCCTGAAGCCCCCGTAGTACTGCGTGGGCTTCCGCATCGTATACCTCTATCTGAGAGCCCAGTAGTTCGGACCCGCAGAGTAGTCTTTTACCGGCCTGATAACCAGCCCAGCCTGCTCCAGCTAAAGTCCTGTCGCTATGGGTAGCTAGCGAGCCGTCTGTATAGATTATTATATCGCGCTTTGAAAACTCGTTTATCCTTTGTAGAAACGAGCGGGCAGCCTCCTCCTTGACTGTCCTGGGATATAACCGATCTTGGCGAGGGTGATGGACCATTCGCCAGCCTGCTCCCAGGGCGGTATTTGCAGAGGAAGATTGATTGTTGATTGATTGATTGATTGATTGATTGAAATTTAACGTCTCATCGCGTGAGACGTGCCGGGCGCAGTGCCGGCATGGTCTATGCTAGTCGAATCTATGTTACAGGGGACTGTCTTCATCTAACATTCCTGTTCAGTGCGATGGGCAGAAGATTGATTGTTGTTCGTGTAGTCATCTGCTCTGGAGAGGGGTCCCAATGGCTGGCAATCACGTGACTCCTGGTAGGTCACATGACTCCTTGTATCTGACGGCTAGAACAACAAACTGCTACAGGACGCTACAACTACCGCTTAGCCATTTCTCTATAAATATTGACGTGGGGTTAAGGTTTTTGGGTGCTCGTTTTCGTTTTTTCCGGTTTCAGACGAGTTATGTAAGCGCGTTCTTGAAGGGTATTTAAGACCTTATGTACATAATCACTCTCTTGAAAAAAAGATAGGAATTTAAGCGGCCTTTTCCACAGTAATCTGAACCAATTTCTCTTTACTTGGACAGGCATTCAATGTCTGACGTACCTGTTGAGGTACTTTCTGTTCACCTATAGATCTGATTGTGCCTGGTGAGCCTTGTTCCATCATTACCTGTTGAGTGACTGTTCAAGGCCTGTTGAGGTTCCTTTTCTTCCCCAGCCTGCTGAGGCTCTGTTGTTCGTACCTGTTGAGTACTTGTTGTTCTGATCAGAGCAGAAGAGCTCTTGATCTTGTTATTTCTTTCCACCTCCCGGATAGTAAGGTCTTGTTGAGGGTCTTATTGTCCGTTGCCATCATCTTACACCTTAAACCTGCGGGTGGTTTCACTGCCCGTCGTCAAATGGGGGTCTGGCCGGGGATGAGCATAGCTCATCGAACGAGAAGGACTCGACGACCTTTCACAAGATTCCACGAGCAAAGCCGAAAACAAGATTAAGCCGAAAGCTAATTCTTGTCTCACGAAGCGGGGTTGAGTCTACATTTGTTATAGGTCCTGACGCTCATTCCTAAAACACATACTTCAGCAGAGTTTAGATGGATTCATCCAGACGTTCTTCTGCCAATATCGGCAGACGCAGACAACATCATGATTGGTCTGATCAGAGCGAAGATACTTTCGGGAGATGGAAGGTGAAGGAGGAGGAGGTGTCGGAAGGAGAGTGCTTGCTAGGACTCTCGTGGCTGGTTATTGTGGTGTTGGGTTTGGCGGTGGTGATGAGGAGGAAAGTAATCGCTTTGAAGGTCCAATTCCTGTGTGCATGGAAGGATTTCATCATTAATTCTTATGAAGAAGGTATCACACTGCTAGGTGCTGATACTGACGATCGTTTTTATTTTCCTTTGGACTCCGTTGATCCTGTTGCTCACTTCAACCCTGTCGATCATTACATGCCTATCAATTCTATCGGATCTTATTCTGACGGACCTGTTGATTCCGTGGATTCTGTCAATTCTGTTGAGTCTGTCGAGTTTATCGATTCTGTGGAACCTATTGAGGAAATTGAGGAGATTGAGGAAGACGTTGACATCTACTCGACGCTCTGTCTGTCAATTCCGACTCCGTCGATTCCGTCGATTCCGTCGATTCCATTGATTCCGCTGATTCTGTCGGACCGATTGATTCAAATGATCCTGTTAGTTCTGCTGATTCCGGCGAATCCGGCGAATCTGTTGAATCTTTCGGATCTGTGAATCCTGTCGAATCTACCGAATCTATATGCCTGTCTGAGAGAGAGTCGAGCCAGTTGGATACCCAAGTCGGTAACTTCGATCCCGTGACCCTTCTGAAGATGGTTATTCTCCGTTTTCCATGCCCTGAACAAGGCATCGATATACCGCCTTTCGGTTGGGAGAATATCTCGGAATACATCGAGATTTTTGAAGCGGTCTACTCTGAATTCGGTATCCACAGACCAAACACGACGAAAATCTCTCTCTGGATTCGATGGCGTGACTACGACACTCGTTTTATTATTCGAGCTCTCGAAAGGGAATATCCGACGTGGGATGAGTTAGTTGTTGTTATGAAGGAGCATTGGAATTTCGCCGATTACACACAACAGAAGGAACCGACTCCTCTGGAGTCTGACTCGCTAGAATTAGAATCGTCTACTACATCCAGTCTGAAATCCACGATTGATACCTCCGATGCATTTGCCTTTGATCAAGGCAAGACAGACTCTACACCAGCTGCGCTGCTTGGTGAAGAGACCACTTCGGATGAGGATCTTGCGCCAGATACAGACTACGAGAAAAATATGTTGACCGACGATTACTGCTTTGATCAAGTCGCCGATACAGCAGTCATACCTCAGAACGTTGATATACTTAATACTGTTGTCCTCGAAGAATCTCGGCCACCGTCTCAGAATTCAGCTGTTCGGATCGATACTACAGCGCTCACTCAATTCAAGAGCCCTGATCAGGACAAGACTGAAGCAGTCGAGATATCCAATTCGAGTCAAGTCGGACGAATACGCACAGAATGTTCACACGACAATACATCCTTCAAAGACCATTCGTTACTTCCCCGTCAGTTCGAGAAGAGAGGAGGAAGGACATACAGCCAGTTTCTGATGTGCGACGAATGAATTTTACTTTCACTAATCGTAATACGACACACCAGAGACTGTACTTGCTGTATAACAAACTCTGTGCTTACAAGAGCTGGAGCACTTGTCTGTTTTTGGATCACGGTTAAGCGTTCTGTTTAGTCTTTAATAAAGGAAGCGTTTTCTGTATAGTTTCGATTTCCCTGAGATTCCTCTGATTCTTTTTAAGCTGGTCAATCTTTTGTAAGGGAAGAGTGTTGTCTTGTTTTAGTGCGCAAATTGCGGCGTGAGCACTTTGCAATTTTCGAAGGGAAGTAGTAGAGCATATTCTTGCCCTGATCAGGACAAGTCTATGCTAAGGGAAGTCGTTTGGTTGTTTCAATCGTTAAAATACTTACCCTCGCTTACCCTCGCTAACCTCCACCTCAAGTTCTGTCTTTCAGAAAAGCAAAGACCGGAGAAATCTTTACCACTTATTCTTGCCTTGATCGGAGCAAGAATATTCGACGAGAAGTGGTTTGATCACTCTTATTGCATTTTGAAATGATTTGATGAAAAAGTGGGAGAATTACACTCACTTACACCCAGCTGAACCACCACTTTTTCAGAAGAACACAACGTGGAGGAAGTTTTAACACTCATTCTTGCCCTGATCAGACCAAGTCTGTCCTAAGGGAAGTGAGTTTGAGGCTCTCTGTCTTGATTCAGGGAAACGTTGGAAAAGCCGTTCACCGCTCCTTATATCTTTTTCGGAAAACACAGCGCTAGGTAGAAGCAAAAGCGGACAGAATGATTCGTTTTGGTTTGCTCTGATCAGACCTACACATATTATTTACCCGTCATGAACCACTCCTCTCACTCTCCATATCCATTGTCGCCGAATCTTCAACCATCGGCATATCGCTTCTGCTGAGCTTTCAAGGCGCCACGCAGACTACCTTCCAGATCCTTCGTCAGGGACTGGGAGCTACGACGCTCTCCTGGACCATCTTCTGGTCAGGAATCTTGACCTGTTGATCAGGGTCATACGATGCCTTCCAGTCAAATCCATTATCACCCTTGTTGATTGTGGCATAGCAACACGGCTTGTCTTGCTGCCAGAGACAATTGCCACAAGAGCCACCCTTGTACCCAAGGATCGACTTGCAGCCAAAGAAAGGCCACATGAGGTGGATTCGATCTTCATCAGCCTCACCGACTCTCAGACTGGATCGTTGGTATTTGCCGACACAGCCTCGCAGGGATTTGTGTTACTACAAGTTATCGTTAGACCTGGTCAAAGCAAAAATAGAGCAGTGAAACGTACGGACGCCCAAAGAGTTTCAGGACGAGATAGTTGTCCTGTTGAGTACTCGACTCAACAGAGGTAATGGTTGATCGGGTCCAAGTCAGGACGACGGATATAGGAATCTTGGCCTTCTGAATTGATACCAACTTCTGCTCGGCTACATCGACGGACTGGCACGAAGAAGCCTTGCAGGCGAAGAGGACGAGATACCATGAGTGACAAGTACTTGCCGAGAGGACCGCCATTCCAAGCCTAAGTGAAGACGGGACCGACGTCTGAGAAGAGCCGTCTTGTTGACGTCCCAGAACTTCAAGAGGTCTCTGTCAGCTCGAAGCTTCAAGAAGAAGTCCCAGGCATGCTTCTCGCCGTCGAAGGACCACTCCAGATAAAGTCCTTGTGCGGGAGACGACTTGTGGAGATCATGGATGCGGAGGAGTTTTAGGATTTCATAATGGTTGGAGACGAAGAGTTCTGGTTCCATGGAATCGACTGGCTTGCGCTCACTGTCACCACGGACGACCCAGACGTACTGATTGGGGATACGATCAAGCAGGAATCGATGGTGGCTGTCCACCGGGGTAACAGCCGTCACTTTCTGATCCATTTTGAATGGGTTGATTTAAGTGATCTGGATGATGAGATATCAGTGAAGAGAAGCGATTTTGCCTTGATCAAGGCAAGACGAATATGAGTGAAGTTGTGGAAGGAAGTGCAAAGTGGAGAAGTGATCCAGTCATGCTTGCCTTCCTACCAAAAAGGACTGCACTTTTGGATAACTGCCTGGAAAATTTTTCGAAAACTTCTCACTTGGTCACAGTACTTTTAAATCGACTCATTTTTGCCCTGACCAAGTCAGGAATCACATTCATTTACTCTTTTCCTATCACAATTCTCTTTCGATCCACAATTTTATCAAGATGGCCGACCAAGCCACTCGTCGATCCAAGAGGCTTGCAGAGAAAACTCCAAGCAAAGAAGGCTTGAAGTCACCTCCAAAGCGCTCTCAGGTCAGCCAGGGTGTTAAGAAGCAGCCCCAGTCGCAGAATGATTCCCCTTCCCGTCCCTCGTCAAGACAACAATCGGTTTCTGGATTGTCGTTTGTATCAACTAGATCAAGTCTGGGCGACTTCATCAGCCCTGATACGTTCGCCGCCAAGCAGAGAGCAGGATCCCGAGACTCTCTTGATCTGCTTACACGCAGGCAAGGCATGTTTGGCCGGAACTCAGAAGACAGAGCATTCCTTGCGGCCAGAGCTCAAGATGTTCCTAGCCAAGATCCGAGGCGCAGAGACGTGTCCATGAACCCCATTTTTGAGGGACAGTCCGTCGATGTAGCCGAGCAGAAGTTGGTATCAATTCAGAAGGCCAAAGATGCCTATATCCGTCGTCCTGACTTGGACCCCGATCAACCATTACCCTCTGTTGAGTCGAGTACTCAAACAGGACAACTATCTCGTCCTTATCAGACCGTCAGAGACCCTATAGCCACATTTCCTCCAGTACCATCCCACAAGACTGTTTGGTCAAATCTCCTCATTGAAAACTCGCGTCAGAACTTCAATACAAGTATCATCAGACGACGACCTGTTGGGCCGTGGCCTGAAGGCTACTACCACGCCTCAGGCAGTCTGAGAGATGACCGCCAAGTCCTAGACAGATTTCCCTGGCCTGCTATCACCTATTGAGCACGTACCTCATGGGTGGTACTGGTCTACATTGGCCTTGAACATGTGGAATCTGGACAAGCTCATTGACAATCTCGAATGGAATGTGGACTCCACACTCCTCGCGTCAATGGCTTGGATCTTGAAGGATCTGGAGGAGCACACATATATCGTGCCCATTGGCTTGCAGGTGACTGAGACTGATCACATGTTCCCTTCCTTAACCAACCGCCATATCCAAGCAACCTGCCGCCGTCGCCGCTTCCTCATTTCCGCTATCAATAAAGACGAGAATCATTGGATCCTGGTCATAGACGACCAGAAGTACGGAACGTCATATTGGTTTGATTCACTTGGTGGTACCCAGCAACAAGACAATACAGCCAGGACCATCCTAAGGAAGTTGTATGAGCCTTGGTTGGCTAGATGTGGACTTGCTGTCCCTGATCAAGGACAATTCCAGCGGGAGATTGTCACGAGCATCCGTCAATCAGATACCCATCACTGTGGGTATTGGGTGTTGGAAAACTTGCGTCTGTTCTTTTGCCTGGACTGGTCTCGAGCCAGACCACCTGTCGTTGTCGGATGGAGCAGTCATTTCGAGCACTTCAACCTCGAGAGAGCTCGAGATGCAGAGAGGTATTTCATGAGACAATTGCAACTGATAGCCCGACGCGTACTGCGTCGATCTGACCACCATCCGACGCTGCGTATGGAGCATCTGAGTGACTATCCTCATGAGGATAGTCCTGATCAGGACATCACCGATCACTCTCTCTCCTATAAGCGAAGCCTAAGCAGCAAAATGGAGGATATGAGCCTGACAGTTGTGTTTGATCATAGCGGCTCCCCGGAGCGCAACCTCTCGCCATCACACACCGCCGACTTCCAAGGACGGGGCCCCAAGGCCAGGGAAATGGCGAAGGACAAGGACAAGAGCAAGTCCGGCGAGTCTTGCACTGAACTGGAGGAACGGTATAGGAGGAACGAGTTGTCCAGAGCGGAAGTACTCGAGGCAGAGAGGGAATGGGGACGAAAGTTCCGGAAGACATTCATGGAGCCCCCAATGTAGCTGATTGTGAGTATTTTGATCTGATCAAGGCAAGGCATCTGCGTTTTTGCTTTCTATTCCTTCCGTTGTTTTTTGTGTTTTGTGTTACGTGAATTGCTATGTGTGACTTTCGCAATTCACGAAGGGAAGTATGACGTGGGGTTAGGGGTTTTGGGTGCTCGTTTTCGTTTTTTCCGGTTTCAGACGAGTTATGTAAGCGCGTTCTTGAAGGGTATTTAAGACCTTATGTACATAGTCACTCTCTTGAGAAAAAGATAGGAATTCAAGCGGCCTTTTCCACAGTAATCTGAACCAATTTCTCTTTACTTGGACAGGCATTCAATGTCTGACGTACCTGTTGAGGTTCCTTTTCTTCCCTAGCCTGCTGAGGCTCTAGTTGTTCGTACCTGTTGAGGTACTTGTTGTTCTGATCAGAACTAGAAGAGCTCTTGATCTTGTTATTTCTTTCCACCTCCCGGATAGTAAGGTCTTGTTGAGGATCTTGTTGTCCGTTGCCATCATCTTACACCTTAAACCTGCGGGTGGTTTCACTGCCCGTCGTCAATATAAGTGATTTTATACACAAAATAGAGTTGCAATGAAGCTTAGCATACAGGAAAAAATTATTAGCACCTTACAGTCCTAATTCCTATTCCTTTCATATGATCAAAAAAGGAAACGCGTACCGCGGCGTATTAAGTTATAAGGACGACCGCTACGGGTTAGCGAATCAAAGGTATAATAGTGTATCTAGCGTTCAAGTATTATAGTAATAACGGATTGGTAGACGCTAAAATCCGATGCGACGGTACGTTAACTCTATCCTAGCTTTAACGTAGTAACTGGTGCAGTTTGTTGAATACTGGATTTCGGCTAATTTCGGCTACATGAGGTTTAAATTCCGCAGCGTCTGATTGCCACGCTAACTTGGCAGCTGATTTTGACAGGCCTTAACACATCATGTTAATACATGGTTCAGGGGTTATGCGTCGATCGGCCAGGGTCCCAAGGAAGCACAAAACTCGGCCAGTTCGGCTTCCTCCAGACTCTTGTTGGAGGGGCAGCGGAGATTGGTTGGGGTGATGACTGTGCACACGAATGCTGCAGCCTGAATTGAAAATCCTAAGTGCTATCTGGGGTATCCTCTTCCACTAGGAAAAGTAGTCCTGTTCCTGTAGCAGTGATGCGAAGTTGTCTTGTATGGGTAAAGTAGTAAGCGGAGTATACGTATAAGGGAAAGGTCGGGTGCGAACTCTGGTGCTCACCCTGCGCTCATCATGTATACCTCAGGTATGTAGAAAAAGGCTTGCCGCCCTGCGCGATGATGCTCGCTATACGTTTGCTCCCTCCCATCCGTCACCACCCTGAACTCTCAGCCAGATCGATAGCCTTGCGCAGCACATCCCGATCCTTCTGAAAAGTAAGCCTCTTCATCGCCATTTCGCACTCGAAGAACTGCGGCGCGAAGTGAGCCTCCGCCTCACCGTGCGCAGGCGGCCCGTCGTCGTCCCATCCCGCCAGCTCCGCGACGAACCACCACACAAGCTTGACGCCGTTTCCCTCGCCAAGGTCGCGCACCTCGAGCATAAACGGCTCCGTGAGGCCGTCGTACGTTCGCGCTGCGTCCCGGACGTTGGCCGCCTCGAGCTCGCTGGGCGCCCGCGTCGCCATCGTTACTGGTTTCAGCACGCAGGCGTACCCGCTTTCCTCGCGCACCTCGCGCACCGCGGCTGCCTGGCGCGTCTCGTTGCAGTTGCGCCGCCCCTTGGGGAGCAGCCACTGGTCTCGTGCTCCGTAGTGTAGAAGACAGACCTTTTTGGTCGGGCCGGAGAGGTCAAATAGAATTGCGCCGCACGACTCGACGAAGAGATCGGATGGGTAGACTGTCGTTTTCCACATGTACGCCGCCATAGTGTAGTTGGTTGTTGGGACGTGGACCCATTACATAGACAAGGCTGAGATAGGGCCGTCAGAACTCGGCCGAGTCGGATTGGTGCTTCTAGCGTTGCTTCGGTTGACAGATAACAGTTGGGTTGTTCCCGAGCCTTTTTTTTTTCCTTTTTCTTTTTTTTTGGGCGCCCTGACGAGGTCTAGAATGAGCAGAGCTGTCAGCCGGCCCCGCAGTCAAAAGAGGCGGATGTAGACATGAGAGGCGTGGGCCAGGGCACAGCAAACACGATGGCTTTTGTAGCCTGCTGGCTCCACACGGCTGGTAGCTATAACCGACTCTTCTGACCACTTCCCGACAAACTTGAGCCTCATATCGGGGGGGGGGGGGGGGGGGGGGGAATGACAAGTTTGGTGCCAATCTGCTTCGGGACAGAGCAACCGAGGATGATTCAATTTGTCATTCGATAAAGTGTAAGCATCCTGGCATGGTGACGGAAGGAACCACGTTTCAGTCAGTTCGACATGCGTTCATTCGTTGATGTGAGATGATTACCGCAGCACCGGGCCAGACTTGAGATGAACCAAGCCCGCATGGTAAGATGACGAACAGGGCATGAGTAGTTAACGTCGCACATAATGGTAGTTGGTCCCGGATGAAGCGAAGCCATGATGTTGGTGGGTTTGGTAGAAAGTCGGGTAGCCTTCCAGCTTACTACCACTATGCGTGAATGAGCGGATATACTGTGTGGCCCGACTTGCCGAGCATGGACAGTTGGTATTGGAGGATCAATCAAATCGCACTGATAAACCTAGGCGTTTTTGGCCACGTTTGACAGGGAATACACTCATGCGAGTCAGCAGATCTATATTCAACCACATCATGATTCTCTTCGTGAGCTAGCAAGTTGTATGCGCCATGCAGATTATTCAAGTCAACCCTCAAGAACCATGAAGCAAGTTCAAGTGGATGAGTGCGACTCTATTGAACCTGCGGCTGCGGGGGCCAAATTCGCTCCAGTCTTGGTTCGAGGTCAAGTAGAAGCCCGCAGGGAGGGCATCATCGGCTGAGACGTTGTGACTGCTTCAAGTTCCGGCAGGAAATTACCCTTGACCGAATGCGGCATGTCATCTCATGGTGACATAACGTGCCTTCGAGGCTGCTGGGATCCGAGGTCGCACCGGAATTGACATCCAGACTTGGCGCCGCCTGCCAGTGCCCATGCTCAATGCTGGCGATACCCACTAAGGAGGGGTCGACTTTCGGCCGACTCTACGGTCGCGGGATGAGGGGTGATAACGATAGCCCACCTGCTAGGTTGTTGATAAGGAGCAGGGTAACGGCGGTAGGAGAAATCCAACATCAGATGAAGAGCGGGACGGGAGATGGAGTCATGATGAATGATGCCATATCGTGTGGCACATGTGAAAGCAGATTTCCACACCAACTTGAATTGCGAGCAGGAGTTTGCGATACCAAGGCATTGCCGCGTGTCTTGGATGATGGAAGAAAGTGTGGTCACTTGACCAGCCTTCCACCCGATAGCATGATCAGGTGCTGTAGGAAAAGTGTGTGTGCAGGACCTGATACCGATTGGGATGAGCCGTTCGTCCCATCGTTAGGGCGCTAATCAGCTGGATACAGATGAACCGGTTTAGTAAAGAAGGTTCCCACCCGTCACTACTGGGTCATGTGTATGACGATGCGCAACCCCCGTCGCTGAGGAAGACTGGTGTGTGGCATTAAGATTGCGGCGGGACGACCATCCACGACAGAGAGCGATGAAGAATTGAAAGACGGTGAGTTCAGCCAAAAAGCTATAATACGGGGAAACGTGAGAGGCGTTCTAGTTGCATAACGGGTGTTTGAGGTTAGGAGTTACACTCTTTTCTTCGGCTTACCATAGCCAAGGAAGCTGCTGCATCCCGCAGGCATGCAGTCTGATGGAGATGCGAGATCTCGTAGTCGAGAGGTAGAATTCCACTTGTGCCACTCGTGGCGTTTGTAAACCGAGGAATATACCAATGTGCATCGGAGGGGTTAGAATTCGAACAAGAGTATCAAGCATTTCAGCTGGGCTAAATGAAAGAAGTTGTTGTTGATGTTGTTGTTGTTGTTGTTATTGCATAACTTGCGAGGGTAGCTCGACCTTCTGCTCTGAAGGCTGACAACCTACATGTCAGATAGGCTAGCCATAGGTTCCATGAACTTTCTTGGGCTGCGTCGAGTGTAGCTATGACCGTATAAAATGTATAAACATGCCCATGGTTGGAGCCGTGTAGCATCAACTCCAGCGCCCAGGCTTGCCTACGAGGTAGTTGCGTGATTTATCAATTGATGATGAGGCCAGAATCTTCAGGTGCTCGAAAGGCAATTGGACACCTATTTGCTTCCCGCGGCTTGCTCGGATATCAACTGAAAGTCAATGGGGGCACTACTGCTTATGGCAGTTAGAAGGATCGGCATGCTTTGCGTTGCCGACAATTAAGTGTACTTACATTTGGAAAATATTCGTGGCGGACAAGACAAAACAGTTCTGTATGGAGATGCTAGCTTCACATCGGGCTCTCCATGAACTCTGAGATCGTCCAGAAGTTTCTGCCTCGGCCAATTGCCTGAGCGCTGGCTGTAAATATGCTCTTTATGCCCAGTATACAAGTATTATCACACCGACAGCGATTTGCGACGATGCCAGGCAAAATTCTAAACCGTGGTGGAGAAGAGTTGGCGGTGGGGATCCTCGAGCTGGTTGCTAGCATCGTGGCCGGGTCAATTGAGAAGCCGATGGGGGCGGGCATAGAGATGGCAGAGTGCAATCAGAGTGGTGACGGAACGCTGGCACGGTGATTGCTGGCGATAAGTCCGCCAAAAGCCGAGTCCAGACGACAGAGGTCGTGAGAGTTGAGATGCCTGTTGTGGTTTGTTGTGTCTGTTGAGTGGTTCATTATTATCCAAGCTCGCCATTTCTTGGTGGTTTCGGGGATAAGGAATTCCATGTATCGTCAGCAATCAGTTGATCCTAGTACAGTATCATTCATATCGATAAACTAATGGAGGCATCTTGTGTCCATATTTTTGGATGGGTAAGTCTCGGTGCGCGCTAGACGGAAACGGAGCGATCTGGTGAATCCGCCAGATTGGATTTGTGAGCAGGCCGGCCGCGAGCTATCCTGACGCCTAATGGCACACCACCATGTCTACGCGGCTTGTGACAGCAACAGATGACGCTCCGTGTTGGAGGTATTGTGAAACGAGGATGATGTACAGTACTTGCGTGTGGTCAGCAGTACTTGATCGGCCTAGTCGGCTTTGGGGGTTGTGGTTTAAGCCTGTAGAGGCAGGAGCGTTTTGATTCCATGCGTCGGCAGCCAAATGAGAGGCTGGGAGGGCCTGAGAAGCCACAGCCATGGCCCCAAACCCCGCTAATTTGCGGGTCTGATTCGATGCGAGTCTACATTTTATCACTAATTTTTCATCGTCGTCCAATTTTTCATACCGGAACAACCTAATTCGTCGTGCCTTCTATGATTCACTTCTTTCGCTTTCGCCGCCACGGCCTGATGAGTCAATGTTTGTTGGCGCATGTTGGCCATTGTGCTAATTCGACACAGTCTAGCCACGACACACGCACAAGCACCAGCACAAGCACAGAGCTGCACAGAGGCACCAACGCACTGTCGAAACACTCCAGATGCCACCCATTGCCCCTCACCATTGGCCAATTCGCTATATTCTTGGCCTGCTTTGCCAGGCTCATCAGTGGCGATGCACTTTGGTGTCCCCCATCTTCCTAGAGCTTCACAATTCACACGTTCCAGTTTGTCCTTGATGATGAGACTCCGACGCATCCACTCCAGGCTACCAGTTGATGACGACAATTTGGAGGCTTTCGCATTGAGGAAACATTTGCTTTCGGCTAGCTCAGATGTTGGGGATGATTGCCATCCGCTGCATTGTTAAAATGCCGCCAAACAGCAACTGAATGCCCTCGTAATTGATACCAAACCCAGGTCCCTCCCCTTGATTCTAGCAGGACTCCAGGTCTGCCAGACTGTAGTTCTATTATATTGATATCGTCGATGCCTACATTGCCATTGGAAGCTTGGCACCATATATGCTGGCTAACGGGATGATGACATGTCAGATGCAGATAGGTTTTGGACCTTTCATGCATTCTTCAATGCTTAAGTGCCTCGAGGCCCGAGGGACTCGCTGTTCCGGCGCCCAGCACTTGCCAATTGGCTATACTGCTCCATGTGTCTATCGATTTGTAGCCGCATTAAACGACACCAGAAACATTGCAACATGACAACGATACAGCCCTTCAATTGGCAATAATATTGGAGCCTCGTCCAGTCAGAATGATGTCGATGGATTCCATTTGCAATTCAGCCTCAGGATTTGCCACGAAGCTCAACAAGTGAGGGGAAGCTGCGCCCACTGCTCCTGTGCTTTCGTTGCAACCAACACTCAGTCTACGTGCCATTGGACCATGACCCATCGACAAGTCAGCCCCGTACGCAAGTGTGCAATCCAGGCGCGTTTGTGAATTCAGTGCTGTACCACGGGCAGCTTGTTGCGGCCCCCAATTCCCCTCCTTCATTGGACCTCATTCACCAATGTGTTGGGTGTGACAAATGCAGTGATATTAGGCATTGGGCGTCAATTGATGTGGATCTTTGGGACAGCTGGAGAAGTTCAGCGATCCACAGCTCTTTCTTCTCGAGTGACTGGGGCGGCACTCCACACCCTATTGCATCTGCACAACACACCTCCATTGTCATCCGTCCAATTGATACTGGTGTGTCTTTTGCTCTGCTCAATATTGTCAACATTTCCTGTCCTACAGCCTCTGCAATGCGTGGCTTCTACCTCTGATAGTTTCAGGGATCTTCGTTCAATTAACGAGTGAAGGCAGGCTTTGCACCAGCCTGGAAGTTTGGTGCTGGGCGGCTGCATTCGATACAGTCGTTGGCCGAAAGCATGCGGAGTCGCATTTCTACCATGGGAAAGTACCTTTCTCGATATATACTTTGCGGTACTCAAGTGTTAGCTTGCACACAGGACAACCCCAAAATAAGTCTGCACCAGGGTGGCACATCCCTGCGCCCGCACGCCGCGTCTGCCCTGCCTTATGACTGTCCGCGGCGACTTTGAGGGGCCATGGGAGTGGGAAGGAGTGACTCTTGGACGACACACCACCACGTCGATACATCCACCTTGGGCCTGAAGCTGTCGGCTTGATTGCTTGGTGCTGCCTTGTCTTTCCTCCTTCAACCGTATTTCTAAGTCATCCATCCACCGGACTGGAACTCATACGTTCGCTCTTTTGGTTCTGTTCTGCTCTCTTCCATTTCTAGTCTGCTGACTTGTTGCCACCCAGCGTGTGACTCGTCTGCTATTTATTCAGTTGCCCTCTCGAACATTGCTTTCACTAAACTTATATCCTCTTCCCCGATTGTCCGTCTATTGGTGCTCCACAAATGGTGGCAACCAACAATCCGCATTCTCATCACTGGCGACCTCGAGTGTAGTACAACTTGCGTGCCTATTGTGCCCAGCCCTCGTTGTTGTCTAAGTCAGACAGACAGCCGAACGTGCGGCGGAGACTACAAGTTTCTTATCTACCACACGTTTCCGGAAACCGAATTCGTCCGTTGTCTTGCGACTTCTATGAATTTCCAACATCAAAATACACTTCGCCTCTTCGACCAACACCTGCCATCCACACCACACGCAAACCCCGCCAATCCCGTGTTCGCCCTCGAAATTGCATTGACCGAACCCGTCAATTAGTCAATTGACTCACTTCCAACGTGTACTGGCTTCTGCCTGTTGGCCACCAGACCATTATAACCCCACATATAAGAGCCTCCATGGCCGATAAACCAACATCTCCTGCAATGCAGGCTTCCACCACATTTGGACACCAGTCGCCCCAGAGTTCGACGATATTTATGCCATTCCCAAGAAGTCAAGTAACCAGCAACAATTCGACCATGGTCTCAATTGACCCATCTAGCCCGACAGAGCCCAAGAAGCCGTTCGACATCAGCAACCTCATGTCACCGCCAGAGCTTCCTCCGTTCGACTCGTTTGCGCAATCGAGCGTTGCCAAGCGAATGGGTTCAATCACATCCGAGATGCGACGTCTTCCGGGCCCCAATCCACCCCTATCGCCACCCATCTCTCCTCGTACCAAGACCGACGATCATACGCACAGCGCGGGGCCATCCTCTAACATGCCGGTAAAGGACCCAATCCTGTATCCCGCTCAGGACATCACGAGCTCGCCCCCTCAACAACCTCTGTTTGTTCGTGATCACTCCGTCGAAACACAGCGAATTGTCGACGACCACCTCGTTGCCCGCCCTGCCTCGCTGTTTAGAGCTGCGACACCGCCCGAACGAGAGGACTACGAGTTGATGCTCTTCTTCCAGTCGCAGGTCATGAAGAAATATAATGAGAACCCGAGAGGCTGGTTGCAACGAGAGCGCGCGCTGCTCCTTGCGGATAGACGGGCTGGCGCCCGACATGCCCAATTCAGGCTGCACCCTTTGCTTCCGGCGACGAAGCCACAGACGATTCGCAGTCAGGCTCAACGGGTAATGAAGCCGTCGAAAATGCTGAAGTCGTCACGTGCGTCAGTTCCTCGTCCCATCCGATCAAACCTACAACCCCAGAAACAGCCGGTCGTCAGAAGAGTTAGCGTTACTCCTGACCCGGCCTCTCGCCGCATGGTGGCGCCGAATCGTGAGGACAAGGACTTCGCCTCGCTTCCCGATTACTGCCCCCCGCTGAACTCACTACCGACAAAGTCGAATAGCTTAAAGGTGGATTGGAAGGGTGCTCCTATAGACCTCAGTGGCGACCCCCATCGCGAGCTTCTCCATGCTGATGAGGTTACGCTCGCTGCCAACTTGCGACTTGACTGTGCAACCTATCTTACCAGTAAGCGACGAATGTTCGTGAAAAGACTAGAGTGTCTACGCATCGGGAAGGAATTTCGCAAGACAGACGCGCAGCAGGCATGCAAGATTGACGTGAACAAGGCATCTAAGCTCTGGACGGCGTTTGACAAGGTTGGCTGGTTGGAGAAGCGATGGGTCTCTCCTCTCCTATAGAGGACGCCTTGGTCGTTTCGATGCAAATGATCCATCCGGTATGGGTCCTAACACGACACAACCTCTCTCACTCACTCAGTCACTCACGACATCTTTCACGGTTCTACGAATTTGACATTTTGACGACACATGCATTGCGTTGGCCCGGTCTGGTCTGCTTTTCTGGGTTTCATATTCGCCATCAATAATTTGGCCACAGCGAGACTCGAAGTCTACATTTTCCTTTTGTAAGCTACGTATGGATCTATCACCAGCAAGATTTGGCCCAATCAGCGGATCACATCACCAGGGACATTATTTTTATCGGTACATCATCACAGTATCAGGGGATCCTTATATTGATACCCGGAGTGCGCAGCCCCTCTTCCCAGGTCACTCCACTCCACCCAGGTCGTTTTTCTTTTCTTGGTCAAGTTACGGTTTGTTTCCAACGGTCTGGTCAGGTTGAATCTGTTCTCAAGGATACCTTTGCATCACTTATGGCGTTTTTTTGGCAAGCCACAGAGTGTTAAGATAGTCTTCGCTGTGTTTTCGAGAGAGGCCAATACCCCATACCCATAAATGGTTATAGCGAGGAATTATTATTTCACCGAGGATACTGGGCAAGAGCATCGATACCAGTATTTCCATGAAGGGATGCGGTAGTATCTGCGCAGGAGGTGGAAGCTGGCTTGGTTTCATACTATCAGCCGCATGGAGGAACTGAATATTTTAGGCGAGTCATGTTCGCATTGCAGATATACACACGGGACCGAATGAAAATTTTAGCCAGCCAACATCTCGTGAGACTTGGAACATCGTGAATTGAGGTTGACGAAATAACCCACTATACACTACAGAACACCACGCAGTCAACAAACTACCAAATTTCACGTGTCCCAAGCAGCATCTCATCCCAAACGAATCCAGCCCTACCGCGCCCCCCCCCCTCCCCAGCTCATCGTCCGTTCGCGCTTACATTAGTGCGGCTCCGCCGTTCCTCGTCCCCTCAGGGATCAGCGGTGTGCGATACATCGCCACGTTTGAGTCTGGCCGGCCAGTCACGCGGCGTGGTGTCATTTCTTCCTCTTACCCCATGTTCGGGGCACAAACTATACCCCGCCGCCGAGCGACGAGAGCACATGGCGGGGTCTCATCAAACGTCACATCGCACCCGAAATATTTAGAGTTATCGATAACTCTAAGTAAAGAAACCCCAGCAAGCCGAGAGGCGAAAGGCGAGATGCGAGACGCGAGATGCTTGAGGTACGCACGGAGGCAGGGACTGTTTTCGGCAAGGTTGATGAGAATGGGGGCCATTAGCGAGACGAGATATCGTGCATATAATTGAGTAACCCGGGTAATGGGAAAACCTGGGGAAAGATCGTCCGGACGCTACCGGGCTGGGGCCGCTACGATGGATCGGGTAACCGGCAAGTAGTAGATCTATCTGGGTGTCGGTCTCCTCTTCTGCTGGGGCTGAGAGTGGGAAATAAGCGGTGAAGACTGGGTTGTGGGGTTGGGAGTAGTCAAGACTACATAGGAGCTAGACAGACAGATAGTGAGATGGAAAATGGAATTGGATTCAGCTAACTCTAGATCCCATGATGCTTCGAGATGCGAGCTCACTCGAGAGGAGCAATTGACTCGGTCGATGGGCAATGCGTAGGTATGAGGCGCCGAAGTCAATTGTCGCTCGTGGAGCGGTCAGCGTTTCGTCATGGCAATGGACAATTGAGGTAAGATAAGTGCATTGGGTTTGCTTGGAGGGAAATAGGTTCCCGGATGGAGGCTGAACGGGTCGAAGACATCTCACACCGCATAATTGACTCTGGGGAGGACTGGGTTATGAAACTCTGTTCCAAACTAAGTAATTTGCAATTGTTCTCGTCTCATTCCTTCATGTCGATATGATTTCTATGGAAACGGCGCCACGCTTTCTTTATCCGATCAGTTCGGAGACCACGTGCACTACCGTTGCGTTGCTCACTAACATCCTCGATCTCGATGTCCTTGTCGCAGGATTCCACCTACAGACCTGCCGCAAGCGTGTAGCCACCATCCACCGCTAATGTCTGGCCATTCAAGTACTGATTGGCAGCGAAGAACAGTACCGCCTGTGCCATATCCTCATCTTTACCAGGACGCGACGCCGGCACTTTTTCGGCGTATTTGTCTTTTGGAATATGGCTTTTTTGGTCTTCACCGCTGCCGTCCGACGTCATCTCGCTAGGGAACACACCTGGTGCGATGGAGTTCACGCGAATCTTTAGCCCACTGCTAGCGATTTCGGCTGCGAGGAGTCGGTTGAGGTGGATGGTGGCGCCCTTCGATGCGTTGTAGGCGAAGTGGTGCTGAGCGGTCTTGACCATACCACTGATGGAGCTGATGTTGATGACGGTGCTCGACCAGCCCGGATGCAACTCACTGCTCTTCTGGAGAAGAGGCAAGAATGCGGTAGTTGTGAAGAAGACTGACGAAACATTCGTGTTGTAGGTCTCGCTCCAATCTTGGAATGTTGAATCCTCGTTGTCGAAGAGGTTCGACTTCATCTCGTCGGCGGAGCTGGACTCGGTCTGGAATGTCTTGCTGCTGATGCCAGCGTTGTTGATGAGGATGCATAGGCACTTCTCGCGCGAGGACATCTCCTTGACGAGGCTGTCAATCTGCGACTTGTCGCCCATGTCGCACTCGAGCGGGATGATCGAATCGGATCCTTGAGAGTATTTCTGGGCAACGGTCTCGAGCTTCTCCTTGGTGCGGCCGGTGATGTACACCTTGGCGCCGTTTGCGACGAGAGCTTGAGTAGCCATCAGGCCAATCCCAGATCCTCCACCTAGAGCGCACCAAGTCAGCTCGCTGTTCCAGTTGGTCTTCGTCCTGATGCCACCATTCTGCGAAGTAGAGTTCGATGGTGGGTTAATTGCATCCTAGGAACCTACCAGTGACGAGGGCGACTCTACCCTTCAGGTCGAAGAGGGCATCACGGGTGAACTTGGCGTTGGCGCTGGTGGACGCCATTCTCAACGATGGATGAGTGTTTAAACAAGCTAGAGGAATTCCTCTTGACGTCGTCTGGATGGTTTGAAGAGGTCTACAAGAGCTAAGGGAACAGCTGGAGAGGGTTCTCTTATGGTGAGCAATGATGCTTCGGAGTACTGTTGAGGAGGTCATGACGTTCTGCGTGCAAGTTTGATTTGGAAGCGCAACACATTGTGAACCAGCAAACGGCAAAGATGACCACGACCGATTTTGATGGCCCAATCATGAGTACGAAATTCCTCCAAAAATGCAAAACGGTGGCAATTCGGTCAAGCTGAAGCAGTCATGACGAAATGAGAGACTTAGGAAAGGAGCCCATGGAGGGCAAAGCTGTCATAACTATCGCACTCTGAAGCTAATTGGCCAGGAGAGGTGGGGTCCATAGGAGACAATGATCCGTATTGGCACGGTCCAAGCATTGGGTTCAACTGGAGCACAGTGAGCCGATGCTATTGGCTCTGAAGTCTATAAACTCATATTTGCTCTTCGGCGGCTCAAAATTTGTAGACATCGGCTTCAAAGGATGGATAGCCATCCCACACCTACCGTCCCTTTTCTCATCCACTTCTTACTAAATAATAAAATAATATTAAATACGCCGTAGGTGTTAACCCTTGGTACCTCTACAAGTACTCCCTTAAGGGGCTATAGATGATATAGCGGGCCCTTAAGCCGCGTCGGGCGGTTATACAGGTAAACTTGTAGCCAAATGACTACTAAACCTCCTGTCCCTCCCTAAGTCTGTGCTACAACCCCTGCCTGAACTACCGATAAGTGTGGTAATGTGGCACTTAAATTCGTCCTCAGGGGTGGGATGCTGCTGATGTGCAGAAGATGCTCGACTATTTCTTGTCGCGACAAGTCGTAGTATCTGCTAATTGGGGTTCTCGTCGAGCGTATACATCTCAACCACACGCTCAAGTGGATAGACCGTAACGTGGTCTAGACGCTCACAAGAATCGCGGCGAGAGGGCGTGCTGCGCGCCTTCTATCGTGAGGGGACGGGTTCGCCGACGAGCGTTATCGGATAGGCGAGGTCCGATAAGGGGTCGGATTAACGATTCGAATTCTGGACCGGCTGTCGAGTTATATTCCGCCGACGTAGTGCTTGACGGTCGACTGGCTAGGATGCTCGTAATCCTAAACTGCACCAATCTCCCTATTATCGCTAGGTAGGCGAAGTCAACAAGGTGGGCAGCGCGCCGTAAGGGTTGACTAAACCCCCTTGTGTGTCAGCTGCGGGATTCGAACCCGCGACTCGTCACCGACCCAAGTGGGCGAGGCTCAAATCGGGACTTATCTACCAGCGAAGTGACCAACTACACCAGCCGACTCTTACTAAATAATTACCTTCTTTGGGAGAATCGTGTGGGAAGTTGTGGCCTCAGGTGTGAAGGGGTACGAGGCAGGTACGTAGACAAGCGTTGTAGTATTTTTACGCACCTTCATAGAACCAATACAGCCCCTAGTACTTGGGTTCCGTCAGATTGCCCATGAAACCACATTGAGGCAGAGAATCCATCATTTAATTCGTTAACCGTGTACATGGCTGAGTTGTCCGTAATTATACTTACCCCCGTGGCAACCTTGGCTTCGTCTCGGCCTGGAGCAGTTCCACCATGGTATTCATCTTCTGTCATCCTAGCCGCACTGCATTATCTGACTACCACCCTTGCTCCTTGCCGATGTCGGTTGGTTGGAAGTCATGCCTCTCGAAACTGAAATAGTGCTGTGCACTTGTTGTGATAGGCACGCTGTTCACGGAGGTCAAAAGAAAGAAAATTGATGCACATCAAGGAAGCGGCTTCAATTCTTCGATGACCCCGTGTTCTCCATGGACAAGATGTCAGGAGAGCATGGCAAATTCGAGTCTTTGCTTTCTTGATAGTGTGGCGCCGAGGTCTTCGATTACGCTGTACATAGGGCCATGATCGTGGATGGGAGAAGAACGCGCACTCTTCATGCTTATCAATACCGTATTAGTCTCAAAGCGTGCGAGATGATATTTGGTTTACGTGTGAGTGCAAGTGAATGGGAATGCTACTGATCCAACCAACATATTTCAGCTGTTGAACACATCAACCGGCAATCACACTGTGGCGTGTGACATTAAAAATCAAATGACCCGAGCCTATGAAAGTAGAATCAGATACTGAACGCGACGCATGTAAAGGTGCGGGCCACGGTACCCTGGAACAACCCCTGAGCGTGGTTCAGCTAACCCGCCAGCACTAAAGGCAAAACTGCCCTAGAGCAATGTCGAAGCCAATTTCTCAGACAATTGTATCTTGTGCTCGAGTGCATGGGGGGCAAGGATGACTATATCATTCCGAGAGTGGAAAACAAAATAAGCAATATGACAAGCTCTGCATAAATATCTGATATTCTCTTAGGTCCTTTGAACCCTTCTAAATTTCATATCCACCGCTGTTATTGTATCTCTACTATAATTAAGAGAGGAACTGGCACAGTACAAGTTTGGATACATAGTGCAGAGTGGGAAAAATTACGAAGTAAAAAGACGAAACTGATCGGCTGTTTGCAATCACAGCCGACAAGCGAGATCGCGTATGATCGTGATTCTAAACAGTGCGGAAACCTCGAACGGCCCCCCGCGTTAGGGGGTAGGGTTTTAGTCAGGGGTAGTATGCTGTAATTGGTTAGAATAAACCTCGGGAACATCGCCTGCCCTGTCCATGGCGTAAGATGAGGGTGCAGGATTCCGCTGGCAACAGTGTTAAAATTTCGGCTTGGTCCCGGGTAGCTCTTATAGATGGCAATTTTCCTTGGCGAAGTGATTGATCATCCCGTGCAATCCAATTTTTTCATCATCATCATCCAAGTTGGACGAGCTGCATTTCTTTTCTTACTCCGACCGAGCAGAGATACGCTATTGAAGCCGGGAAAAGGCCTGGATGGAAGTGGTAACTAGCAAGGAACTATAAGACAAGACAAAAGTATTGTGCTATTCCAGTCCCCATTGAGCTGTGTCGACTGAGCATCTGTCCCATGTAATGACTGTCTGCAACCACAGCGGCAGGCACCCATTCCTCGGCAAGATTTAGTCCATGGGTGGACCCAGGGTCTGCCGTCTCAATGTACGCGGTAACGCGTAGTCGTCGTGACATAGACGTGTCGGCGGGCATCCCGAGTCCTTTTCCTACTTCAGCTGCTCGCAAATTTCTGTTCTGCTTCCTATCTCTCCTCGGTTATCTTGCTCTACTCTGTTTCTCGTTCCCGTGAGGCATCGTGCGTGCGCTTCCTTTCTTACCGCCAGGTCTTATCTAACCCCTCTCCTTGTGTTATATTTCGACCGTGTAATCAAGCTCTGGCACGACTGGCGCAGCCATGAGATGATCAATTAACAACTGATAAAGCTTCACGCAAGTCCATATCCAAAGCGTGGCCCAGTATCGTGATACTGTTGAAAATTAGCTTTCACTCTGAGCTGTTAGACGCCATCCCCACCGAGCACACGTTGCGCACCGGCTTGAGCTAGCTGTCACTGGCTCACGCTACGCATGCCGTCACGTCGATTGAAAGCCCTCCGAGAACAACATAAACACCCAGAGAGAGCCGTTTCTGCGAACCCGTGGTGGCTTTCCTCACGAGATGCCCAGGTCAGTTCGGCGGATCTTGAAGAGCCAAGGTCGATATAAGCCACGTTCAGGGAAGGATCTCCCGAGAGCCGACATCGCGATGGGCCGCTGCACGACAGACAAGCCTCTTTCGCCGCCTCCGTCGTCGCTGTATGTCCCCTCATCAAGCCCCCCAAGGCCCCAACACCGTGTCTCTAAGTCGAAGAGCAAGCGCCTCGGTGGTAAGAAGGGTATTCCGGATAGGCAGGCAGGCAAAGGCCGAAATAGCCACGACGAGTTTGAGGTGAGTTGGGAGTCGCTCGTGCGGGCAAAGTGTAAGGCTAACCACTACCAAAAGGACGATTCTGACCTTTGCATCACGGGCAAACTGTCGTCTAGCAGAATAAGTGAGGACTTTTCTCAGAGACATCAAAGGTTTGAGGAAGATCAGAAGTCGGATGCCGAGAGAGCGGGTGACATCAATGTGACATCGCAGCGGGAAAAGATCAAACTCGCAAAGATGGCGCTGAAGAACAAGGGGGCGTACATAACCGCTTCCACAACGGGCAAGAACCCGGACGAATAGTTCTACACCTGGCTGATGGACACATTCCATGCTGAGGTCCGTCCGAGGGCCTTTTCGAATTGGTCTAATGTCAAGAAGACAATGAACTATACTATCAGCCGCAGGAGATCGGAAGCATCTATCCGGATCTGCCGGCAGTTGCAGGAGTTGGGACAGTCGTGGAATTTGGCCATGCAATTTCGCGAGTGGCGTCTACTCGGTGACAAGATTTCAGCTGTAGTTTGCGAGTGTCTTGGTCAGCGCAACGTTGAACTGTGGGTTGGCCACGAGTTGACAAATGCGAGTGCTGCCGGGGCTCTCGGTAGCTCTGTCGTGGCGCCGCAACTTTCGGAGAGGATGGATGTTGCATTCAAGAAATTAATGGACAAGCATCGACCATACAGGGGGGGTTCGGTCTTCGATAGTGATCTTTATATACCGGGTGACGACCTCGACGATCAGCACGAGGATACCGGGAGTGAAGAAGATCCCGATGCTGTCCCATCGATTGAGCCATCAGATGGTACCTCGGGGAAACGACTTCAAGCAGCGCTTGAGGAATATGAGAACAAGGCGATACAATATCGATTGTTTTCCTCAGTTGTAGCAACGAAAAAGGGCAAAGAGACGGCGAGTGTACGCGAAATGTCCGATGAATCGCAGGGTGGCTCACCGACATCAACACCGAGGAGAACTAATGCCGAACCGGCAAACAATACAATTCCTTACGAGCTTGCACGGTTTGAGCCAGACTTGCCGCAAAGATTGCACCAGGCACATACGGATCAAGCCAATGTACGACAAACCTCATCAAGACAATCGTCTCTCGCGGGTTCCGTTGGGTACGATGGGTCATGTCGCGCGTCGAAGAGTCGTAGCCAACAAAATAACCCCAAGGAGGGCCAGGACACTTTTCCACGCTCAAAGCCGGAACCATCGACCAAGGAGAGTAGTGGGCTGACGTATCATGGATCCTCCAATGGCAGTCCCCAAATCGAAACCTCCCAACTGCGCGTGCAGTCAGGTGCAGCGAACAGTGGGCACGTACCTCCAACCAGCGCGGAGACGCCACCGCCCGGAAGGCTCTTTAACAGACCAACCCAACCTTCGCCCACAGTCCTGTCACCTTCGGCCCGGGCTGGATGCTTTGAGCACAGTCGCTCGAGTGTCGCTGCGGATGAACGAACTGAGAGCTCGTCTGATGACGGAGACGACTTGCCGTCCCTCTTGTCGATAGCCCGCAAGGCCCGGCGTCCTACGTTGGCTCGATATCAATCTATAAAGTGTTATGCTTGTGGCCAGGCCGGCCATTTGCCTCATTCATGTGCCCATACAAACAGCGATGGCAGTAAGGCTGCCTCGGGTGTTCAAGATATAAGCCCGGGTCGCAGTACAGGGAACTCTGCACCACCCAGAGCCTTGTTGAGCTCACCCCCAGAGGAGGGGTACGCCAGCACAAAGGGGTCCACGGCAGGTACGCATCCAAATAGTACAGACGACTCGGGTGTTGCCATCCAATCGAAGAAACAAAAAACAAAGAAGAGGTCGAGGAGGGAGACAGATACTTCGAGCGCTATCGAAGACTGCGAGGACCCCAGTCCGGCAGCCAAGAAGAACTCGACCAAGAACAATTCAGGCAAAAAGAGTTTGATCAAGCGCAAGCAAGGGCAGGTCGACGATACTGAGACACGTACTCCATCTGCGCAGAAAGCTTCAACCAAGCGCAATAGAAGCCAGATTGAAGCAGAGACACCATGTCAAGCCGCCACTGAAGGTTCAACTAATCCAAAGACCCAATCGGAGGAAGCCCGGTTTGGTAAAAAGCTTAGAGACAGCTCAAGCGGTACAGATGCAGAACCAGTAGATCGACCCGAGTTGAGCCAATGCGAAATGCCCATCTCTTCGACCGCATCAACGATTTCCAGCTATGGTAGCGGCAACCTTGCCAGCTCAGACTCGCATCAGCAGGTCACGTTGTACTGCACTGAATGGGTACGCAAAGGGCCGGGCCATTGCCTCTTCGAGCGCCAGGGTTGTCAATACAAGCACGACATGCCACTCGACAAGCCCACGCAGCTACAAATGGGTCTGATCGATGGGCCGCCCTCCTGGTGGCAAAGGTGGGGCGAGCAACAGGCCAAGCTGTCCCGCAGAAGTGATTCGGCAAAGTCATCTCAACCATCAACCCCTAGCCAATGTGATTTGGGCGGAACGGCCGATCGAGATCCACACCGTGTGGGTAAGTCCCATCCTCCAGTAGTAGCCTCCAGGGATTGCTCCGGGTCAAACGAACAACCATTAGAGCCACGCAGTCCAGGGGGTTCAGCCAGCCTGGGAAACACGTCAATTTTGCCCAATGAAGCCAGTATGGCGAGCACGGCGGGCAGGCCTGGAGAGTTCAAAATTTTTGTGAAGGGCCTATCCAGTGCTGCCAGCGATGAGAGCTTGCGTCGAGCTTTCTCACGTTTTGGTCTCATCGTCAGTACTCATATTCAACGAGACAGGTGGACGGGTCATTCGCGTAACTTTGGGTTTGTTACTTTCAGGAACCATGCGGATGCAGAAAAGGCCCTGGAATCCATGAATGGGGCATGCATAGGATCGCATGTAATTCACTGTCACTGGTCAACGACCAGTAGAAACGCCGCAAGGTTGGCCTGTAGCTTCGAGCCACGAGAGCCAAGACAGAACGGCCATGGCCTATACCAATCGCGACAAGAAAGCGCAAGCCGTTCGTCGCACCGGGATATCAGAACCCCTACGAGGTCATCTAAGGCATTGTCCGCACAGCCCAGCCCAGACCGCTCTCCATGCCTCAGATATGGCCAGCGTCACCAAGCTGAAGAATTTCCAAATCCCACGCCATCGTCTCGAAACGCAGACCAGTCGGTAATACAGACACCTGCCAGGTCCGAGGCATCATCTGGAATGTTCGAACGGTCTGGAATGAGCGTCACTTCCAGGAATCGGGGTCATGGAGGGTTCCGATTGCAATGGTCAACAAGACTGGACAGAGCAGAAACCGTGGATACAGACCTCTTGATGAAGCAATCGCCAGACACCCGGGATCGGCTCATACTCGGGGAGATGAGGAGAATGAAGAAGCGAAGGGGGAGAAGAAGGCAGGAAAGAGGTCCGAATGATACGCAGAGGAAGAAGAGGGACATGGAAGATATTAGACGGTGTCTGCAATCTGTTGTGAAAGAGGAGATGGGCCAATTCTTCCGAACACAAACAGTTGGAACATGACCTAAGAAGATTGAACATAAAACCCGGCGGGAGGATGGCAAATGTGGGTTGGGTAGATTAGAGGTATAGATTTGACGAATGCATTAAACATGTACTCATGCAAGCTTGAGTTAAACCCAATTTAAGTTCGAGGTCCGGCTCGCATTGAACTTGGAGGAGGTAAGCGCGACTTTTAAGTGTGGAGAACTGCCACCCCGCAATTTCCCCAACTTGACGCTCAGATCTGTGACTGGTCATAGTGCACGCAACTTCGGAAACGACAACTCCGGACTCTTGCCAAATATCAAAGGAAAAGGTGGTTCACAATTCATGGAACTTGCGATAACGAGATCAAGATAGATCGAGACTCACAGATTGACTAGCTCTGTACATTCCACCCTTCTTCGACCGCCATGCCATCTCGTAACCAGCACGAGGAGGGCGAGTACATGGGCAACATTGGCTCGATGCCTTGCTACCGCTGCAAACTCCGAGGAAACGGCCTGACGGACCCCAACTCGAATTGGCGACTGTGGAATGCAGATATGAAGGTATATCGGGACGGCACTGGAGACGGAGACCCGGACGAGGTGTTCGCGAACAAGGAGGAGGAAATATTGGCAAAAATGGACCGACGACGCAAGGCATTCATGTGGTTCTCAGTGTCGGAATCATTGCGGGAACAGCACCTTACCGATCTCGGAGGAAAAAATGCGTCGAGCGAAGATGTCTTTCGTCGTTTACACGAGCGCGTTGCACCGCCTGGCACGGCCTACAAACCGTTGGAGAAGTTGGTCATAACCGAGCAAATGAGGGCGGACATCAAGAAGGCGGGTGAAGCCGTGGCGGCAAAGAAGTCTACACCGTGAAAACATGCTGCTCGAAGAAACCATTGGCAAATACCTGCAATTTTACATGGCATCTGGTCCGAATCCAGTTATCAACCAGAGTGTTTACTGTCACCTCGTCTGCCCCGCTCGTCAGTTAACCAATGGCAACTTACCGCCGCCCTCCCTGGACTGTGGCTGACAGAGCTGCAGCCAGGGCGAAGAAGGGCCGCGACGATGAACGTAAAGAGAGCTTTGAGTTATGGTGGAATGAGGTTGATACCATCGGACCTACTTCGAGTTTTCGTAATATACCTCGATGTAGGACAACACTACGTCTGTGGTCTCTATCATTCGAAGCCGCGGAGTATTAAGTGGTGTGTCTTGTCCGGTCTTCGTGGCTCATGCATACTCGTCAAGCCTTCAACGGTGATTTGACCCACTGGATTAGGGTCGAGTCTGTACTCGACGATCAATTGTCTCGAGTTTCGCCTTCAGGTTCTCAGAAGCAGTTGTTTTTGCTCGATAGCTCTCAGAGCGCCATTCGATCTCAGTCACGCGTGTTATTCGCTTGCTGCGTGAGATATGACTAGGACAGGTTGTCATGGCATCGGCGTCCTGGTAGACACCACGATATCCTCGGAAAGACCACATCAGGTACACCTCATTGAGACAACCGGGTTCCACTTGATTGATCAGAAAGCAAGGTTGTCCATCACCCGGCCACTCCACTGCGTGAATTCAGTGTCAAATTCCCTTGGTTCGGCAACCTGCGATGGCGAATGAGACAATCCCGTACCTCAGGCAGCAGCATTGGGAATTGGGGATATTGGCAGGCTGGTTGCGACGTTAGATTAGCATATCCTGGTAGCTAAGTGTCTCAGTAGCAGTGGCGTAACTGGCTCCAACGACATCGTCGAGGGAACATATGCACCCATTTTAACACATTCCCGAATTATTACGTCAAGATAAAGTTAAATTCAACATGTTTGGAAGTGAAACGCCATACTAAATCCATATAACTGCCATTACAAATAATTTCTGGGTCTTGGTCGTGGTGGTGGCGTGTTGATCAGCCATGTTTCAACGGCCCCGACTCTACGGATGTGCGGTAGTGGCACGTTAGAGTTGCATGGTGGAGGACGTCATGTTCTCTATAGCAGGGAATTTCTCCATCTGAAATGAGTGTATCTGTGGGGTCGTACTGGTACTGGCATTCCGGCTACATACGAAGCTGAAGAGGGAAAGTAGAGGTGGGGGGGGGGGGCACTAAAGTATCTCGCGTGTGTTTCGCGTGACTGTATGCCACCAATGCCACAGTATCCATGTTACGTGAGCATAGTAAGGGGATTGCCGTGGTACATGGTCGAGAACATCTTAGCAGCTCGTGTCTACATCTATTATTATTAGGTAATAGGGTGGCAAAATGTCGCATTGAAGCACAAAGAGGTCCGAATGCCGTAATTCACGTTGTTTCAAGTCACAGTGGCTGTGAGAACTTGAGCCAAAAGTTCATGTGTATTGTGATTGCAGAAGCACAAGAATATCTATGCCAGGTATCTAGTATTGAAAGCCCTCATCACAGCCTGCATAGCTACCCCTTGTCACCATTCTGGTCTTGGTGGGTTTTCTTCTTCTGTAAAGGCCTATTCCGTTTGGACTCGTAGAATAAGCAGATGTATGGAAGCAAGTTCAACAGCTTATCCCACCGAAGATGTACCGATAAACTGCAATGATCCCGGTCTATGCTATATAGTTATTAGATCCGGCTCAGATAAAGTCGCGCAAGATCGAGAGACGGGAACGTGTTTTATCAAATCGACAAAGTCAGAGTAGGAAAGTCATTTCAAGTGACCCATGTACTCCGGGCCACTACCCACTGCGACCGGCTTATAGATAAGCTTTGCAGTGGCCATTACTTGGCATAAATCGCAAACTCTCTATTTACCGAGGTAGCTTAGGACTCCAAGAACACATGCCTGGTTTCAACTAGCCTCAACATTTGAGTTTGTCCCACGGTATGGCTACTTTTGAAATGAAACGGGGCAAACGAGCGTATATAGAGGACCAGTGTCTACGCCAGATTCTCGAACATTAAACACTATCAACGGTGGAGCTGAACATCTCACACTCTCTCATTGGCATCGGGCGGGCTGTGGTCACAAGGTTTTTAGACTGGGTGTATTGCTGCTTGGCTAAGCACACGGCGAAGTGGAAATCTGGCGTCTTCGGTTTACCAGATATTCGAGTTGTCTCAATTCGAGGAGTAGCGTAGCTGCGTTGATTCTGGCTCCTACCAGCCTTGTGGCGACAACAAAGGGAACCTCAAACAGTCAGAACTGCGAATGTCGGCAAGGATGCTGTAAGGAACAAGCATTGAGGAGCTAGCTGTACAGCCTGCCCCGGCTGCACATCATTTACAATCCCTATTGTAGGAATCAAAGAGTGAGCGGTTTTCCGGAGCCGGGGCCTACAGATTTTCCTGAAGTATAGGAACATTTGCAGCAAGGGTACAAAAGCCGGTTTTGGACATTATAGACTATGAGTCGTACGATTCAATGGCAGATTAACTATTATGGATCTTCTATACAGTGTACACGTTTGTTATAGAGGTACTAGCAGTTTAAGGTGTGAACTGTTGGTTCTCACAGTCTAACCAATACGATGTGTCCTGAGCAGCGACTGAAAGGCAGCAGAACTCTCTACATCCGAGTTGTTCCCGTCGACTGGAATGCCCCATCTTAGTCAGTCATCCCGTTATGCATTTGTTAGTTTTGCCCCGTCGTCCTTCGTTGATACAGCCTGTATCGCCTTCGTCTCCGTTGGAATAGAACGAGGTTCATTAGCCTCACCTGCCCACCTGCACCGTGACAGCTCTCGAAGTAGATTCGGACGCGATGATGATCATGCTCCGTGAGCTGCTTTGTATAGACTGGTTGATGACGCGGCATTCTAGCTATACTTCTTGATACTTCAACAAACTATTACGAAAGGGCGCGGCAGTTACGTAAATAGCTTGTAAATATGGTTCCTCGAAAAGACGATTCGAGATATCTAGATTTGGTTCGAACAAAGGCCGATCTTACGTTATTAAGCATAGTGATAGTGTCTAGTGTGACACGAGTACTCGACAGGGCTTTTACTCTGTCTCCCACCAAGCATCGTGGTCTTACCCCGCTTACCAGTTCCCGTCCTGAAGTGTGTTGGCTTCTCAGCACATTGTGCCGAAGACACTATGGCAAATGCTTTGTTCGAAGAGTACAAGATGTTGGAGAATATCAGGACATAAATTAAAAAGGCCATCGGGCGCAAACAGGGTAAACACAAGGAATCAAGCGCGCTGACTGACGATGGTGGGCCGAAAGCCACACGACGATCCCAAGACCACTTGCCACACATGCCACACGATCACAAAGTCCGGGTCTGACTTGCCTGGCTTAGAGTCCGACCAACCGTCAGGATCATTGGCCTATTATTCTCATTTTTTACTGTCTAGGGGGTATTACTTGCAAGCAGGTATGAGATATTATCGGCTCTTTACAACCACCTCCTGTTTTCTATATCTATATTGACTTGCCAAGCTCTGGTCTTTGCTCACAAAGAAGATGTGGTATAGGGTGACCTGTTGAGATCTGTCAAGGGTATCGTCTTCCTTGGCACACCTAATCGAGGAACCCAAGTCGTAAATGTTGGGGAAGCTGTAGGAAGAATCGCGAACGTATGTTTCGCGGCGCCGAATGCGGCTGGGGCACCGGAGATTATTAGGACAGACCTTCTAAATCATCTTAGCTATTATTTAGAGGCGTTGCAATAGCTTAGCAGATCAGTTCCTAATCGACTCTATAACATTACAGGGTTAACATTTTACGAGACCGAATCTATACCACCCTTCCCCTCGCTAGTAAGTAGACACCGATCACCCTTCAGGCTTTGGTTAACAAAACGGAGAAGTTATGTAGTAAGTTGTTCAGCATTTTCGACGTGGTAGACGATCGAAAGCTACCCATAAAGCTAACCATGGGTACTTTTAGTGGATTCTAAAGCATCCATTATTCGAGTTATATCTAGAGGCGACTATAGTGGCGGTCTCTTAGCTAGTAGGAAATTCCGGGTGCGGCAAGACTATACTCGCGTCTTTCTGATGCGAGTGCATATAGGGTGTGAATTGTTGTATTGGGAAAGGGTGGCCAGGTCAGCTATTCTGGCCTAACAGAGCTCTTTTATAGCTCTTATTTTATCTTATCTATCTTATCTATCGCTGTAGGGTAACCCCCCATGGTGTCACGTATCACTTTCCTAGCAACTCATCTCGAATAGGAGTCGAACCACGTTCATATTAATGTCTATATTTACTTCTATATGACTATGTAAATAAGTCAAAAATGTAACAGGCGTTCCATACATAACTGAAACATGGGACTGGAGCGAGCTGAAGAGCTTGAATCATGGGACAAGACTGGCGCCATTGACCTATTCGGAATGGTAATAGATAATATGGCGCTAGTTCAAGGCACGACTGAAGCCCCACAGACAACGGTGAAAAACAGAAAAATGGGGATCTTTAGGAGTAACTTGTAGTGTTTGTTCCATTCCCTCTATTCCCCAAAGTTTTTGGTTAGCCGAAACTGCGAGCCTGGAGTTATTCATAACGCATTTTTTGAATCTGATATGGATGTTATCGACAGACTCCCGAAGATCATGACGCCTCTAGTGGAACACATACATCTCAAATACAATTTAACGGTGTTTTAGACTGCCTTTAATGATTCGGCACTTAGAAGTTCTCATAAACACCACCGATTCTCTTCTTTTCTGCCTGTGGTTGTGGATATATATCCAGATTATCAAGAAAAAACCGAAAGAAGGCATAAGTAAGGAGACGGCAGTTAGTCTTAGCCTCGTGTTCTTCGGCTATCGAAGCTATTAGAAGTTCCCGTTCAAGACATCCTCGTCATTTAAGTCCAAAATGTTAGGAATAGGCTGCTCACGATACCGACAGTACCAGGCTAACAACTCGGGGATCTAGATCATGGCTGGTTAGGCCGTGCCGTTATGGGAAAGATTGACTCTTGCGAGTGAGCATCATGCGACTTCTCCATGCACATATACCCATATACCCACTTAGAACCAACACGAATGAAGAGTCATTTCGCCATCTTTGTCTTCGCGAGCTCCGTAAGGGGATTTCGGCTCACCGACGAGCTGTTCTTTTCTAGTATAAATCCAATCACTGCTAACCCGTACG